TTTTGCTGATACCAAACTGTCCTTTCAAAGATCCACTCCGATGAAAATCATGTTTTAGTTGTTGTAAACATGTTCATATGGCATTTTTCTGATGCTACAGGACATATCATGAGAAAAATAAGTGCAAAATTACTTCTCTGAGTATTTCTGGATTCAAATCACTGTGAATCTCTGGCATACCTTAACGGCAGGCTCAGATTCAGTGAGATTTCCTTCCTTTCATCATGCCCCTAAAGACATTAGTGTCCGAAAGCTGAATAGCTTCTATGTTACCTGCTACTTCTACTGCACAAGCAATGTTAGGCTGCAAGGTAGCGTGAAGAGGAGTGTGCAGAGCAGCGCTGTCTCTGCCCACGACTCAGAGGCAAATTTCTAATGAGCTACCGGAGCCCTTGAATATGACACACGTAATGCAATTTTGGATAAAAACTTCATAATCACAATTTAAAGACCACTGATAACACTAAGTAGTAAAAAAAATGATCGGAGTGGGACTTTAAAGTCTTTTCGGAGGAGAAGATCCAGACAGATACCCTTCAGATCTGATCTAGTCCTGTCAGGATTCTCTTTCTCAATAACCACAGGCTGACTTCACTTTTTTTTTTAATTAAAATCTCTATGAAAAGCATCTTTACATCACAGATATGCTGTCAATGAAGGGTTTGTTTTGCTGTGTGTAAACTATTTCTCCTATGCCTTATTTGTTATTACAACATGCAGCTAAAACACCACAATTCCCCAGTTAGGGATCAGTAAAGTAAATCTTTTATGCATCTATCCATCTATCTCTTGTGTCCTGTCTGTATGTTGTGTCTAAGAAGGTCAAGGAATTTTTTTTAAACTCTGTTTTTCAAACGGATCCTTGCTGTGTTTCTAACCAAACTGTTCTGAACTCTGGAGATTCCCAAAAAGCCTCAGCACTCAGCTGTAACAGAAGAGTAGTTTGGTCCAACTAGGCCCACAGCTATGCCTGGAATCCTCCCCCTCCTTTTCCTATCAGAGCTCCTATGATTTCTGTTTTCTCTCTATTTTACATTCAACAAGGCAGTCCACGCTCACACAGCAACTGACGGTCTGCACGAGTAAGGCACAATACTCCTCCCTGATTCATTTATTCTTCCCGTTATAAATGAATCTCAATGCAACATGTAAAAATGCACTGCAGACCTCTGACACTAATGATTCTATATACTATTATTACATTCATGTGGCTGCGGTAATGTAAAGGGCCCTGCAATGTTATTTGAATAGTACAATGTCATGGATTTAACTTTCCAACATACCCACAATACATGACAGCTATGATGCATTGTGGGTATATTTCACACGTACCAACCAAAAGTAGTCCAACATACAGATTTAGATGAAAAATTGGGTATAAAGATCAGATCTATTTTCTATAAATTAGTGATTAAATAAATCTAGAAAGACTAAGCTTGTTTTTTCCATAATAGGTTAATTTTTAATGACACCTACATATACTGTATATAAAATTCATGGTTAACAATTAAATGATGTTACAGTTTGGGGTTAATTCAGCTCTGTCTGGGTCCTTCAAACTCCAGCTAATCCAGGATTTGATCATGTTGGGCCACTATGAGGTTTTTCTCTAAGGGAATAAAACTGCATTAGTCACAGTCTTTTGTGCCACATTTTCTAGATGAGAGTGTCTGATAAATTTTGTGTTTAATGGTGTGTTTTGTGTTTGGGGGAATAAAGTGAAAACCTCAGAGCAACAGTCTTGAGGCGCGGAGAAATAAGATTTAGGGATTTGGTCTGGAACAGGGAATATTATCATATTTCTGTCAGTACCATGATGTTGAAGGTTTAATAATCTGCAGACAGATTTTATAAACTGTCTACCCAATACCTTAAAAAGACTTTTTTTAAAATCTATATCACTGCTTCATGTCTCTGTCTGTCCCTCTCAAACTGGACCCATGTCTATTTCTCAATGTCTCCATCTCTTTCTGTGTCTTTGTCTCTGTTTCTCTCTCTCCCCAGTGGGGCGCTTTAACCATGGCTGGAAAATGCTCAGACCTTCACATGTCAGACTCTGAAGAATTGCCAGTTTTTCCCCTCTCCCTTTTTCTCTTCTCTTCACTCTTTCTCTTTCTCTCGGTTTCTTCTTTCCTCCCTGGTGCCTGACCCTCTCAGCGCTATCTCGCTCTCAGTTCCCTCAGAGTCGGCACATGGTGCCGGCAGGACACTCAGCCAAGTGGGCTTCCTGAGTGAGCGAGAGAGGAAGTGCAGTAATAAGGAACAAGGAAGGGGTGTGGGTTTAAAAATAACCCTCCTATATAAGCTGAGGCAGGAGCCCACTCTCTGTCTCAAACTCTCACTCTCCACTCCAACACTGTTCAGTCTTGGCCAGAAGAGGCTCCACTCTCTCTCTCTCTCTCTCTCTCTCTGACTTATCCACACAGAGAGAGAGAGAGAGCTCACACACAAACACAGAACATCATGGCTTTCCTGCCGTGCAGAGGAAACAAGAGAAGTCAAAGCAGGTGTTTCCAAGAAGTTTAACAAAGACATAAACTATGCGCACTGAGGAGAGCCACTTTATCCCCGAACAGGCTGCAATAACTTTGACAGAGGGAGAAAGTCCCGTCTGTTTCCAATAAGAAATCAAGGCTTCTAGCAGAAACACATTACTCCGATAAGCCCCGGACAACTGATACTTTTCCTCAGTGCGCTGTAAGCCAGGCAGAATTCATTGCATGCTGATATTAAGTACAGTTCTGTGTATGCAGTCATGAAACTCTATTTTTTTAAGAAGTTTTAGCCAGTTAAAAGATTTTGTACTGCTTTAACAAAGCATTACAGTTCTCAGCACTAAAATGGATTGGCACTCAATGAAAGGACATTAAAGAGAATCTAAAACACAGAACAGCTTATTACAGATAATACCATCTTTGTGATTTACATAGCATGCAACTGCTCACAGCCCCTCTTTAGAGGGTTGTCACAGTCAGTACAACGTGGGCCTTCTTGATTCTGTCAGTGATACCAACAGTCTTTGGTTTCCAACGAGGATTATTCCTTTAATTGTTTTTTTAAAAAGCAAATAAATTGAAAAATGATCTTTACAGCTTGTAGCCTTAGCAGGAGTTGTTTTGTTGGGTTGTAATCAATAGACTTCAAAATTTTAAACAGCTTTTTGTAAAAATCAGTTGACTCATTTGGAGAACCAGCTGACCTTTTCTCTCACATTTGAAATCAATAGGGTTGAGATATTTAACACGCAGTTCAATGAGTGAAATCAAACAATTCAATAATATTCATGCTCTAAACACCTTTAAATATTGTGTCTTTGCCATCCACATGTCCTCCCTTCCAAGACAGGCCAAATCAGACTTATCTATCCAGCTATTACTCATCACAAGTTTGCTTAAAAGAGCTTCTTCATCTTTAAAGTAAAAGACATCCTCTAAATACAGAAGACACCTGAAGGAAAGTTGTATAGAAGAGGCCCACTCCCAGGACAGGGGTCTTGCAATAGGTGTTGAAAACATAAAATGTAATATGAACAATTAAAGCTTGATCCTTGTACCTGTTGTTAAGGCACTAAGTGACTCTAATCAATGGCTGCTGTCACGGCTACTGTTCTCAGTATAGGTGCCCACTGAGCAATAGAAAGCTATTAGACGTCTGTTTTGTTTTTTTTAAGACCTAATTTCAACCGTCTAGATTCTGTAAGATTTTAGACGGAATTTAGACGTTGCACTTTAACCCATTATTCGATAGCTATTTATTTCAAAAAGCAACTGTGAGTTGCACAACTGATCTCCAAGTACTTAATCAAAATAATTATGATAGCCGTTGAGTAATATACAGTGTAGATATAGCCCAGATTTAGACTTGGTCTAAATTGAGACGACTAAAAAACTTTCATTTTTAGACCTGTGGTAGCCTGATTTTAGATAAGTCGTCTAAGCTGCATTTTGTCTTCTATTAGACCTCTTTAAGACCAAAAAATGCTCAGTGGGTTTAAAGTATGAAGGTGATCCGCTCCATCTACCGTTGTATTCCTGGACAATGACAACAAAGCTTCTTCTTCCTCTTCTTAATGTATCTTATCCTGTCAAAACTATTTGCACTTTTGTCCTTATTTTAACTCGGGCAAAAAAAAAGTTATGAAATAAATTTTAGGATTGAGTCCATTTGCTCCCCCATCCCTCAGATTACATTTTTGTTATTTAAGATGACTATTATTCATAAGGAGATCAGTCTCAAAAAGTCAGTCTGGCTGTCTATGTGTACAGGGATTGAGGTTTGGTCTCCTCTGACAGTCACATGTTTGCAGGCTGGCCCTTCATCCTTGTTGTGCCATGATGTAAATCTCAGTCTAAACAATGACACGGAGCCAGATGAGCACATGTGAGAACCTCTAAGGCCTCGCTCTCAGAAACACCCAGCCAGCCGGTCTGATTCACTTCCACATGGAAACCATACAGCGCTCCATCATGGTGTGACAACAGGCTCAAACACACTCTCAATCTCTCAGGCTTGCACGTATGCATACATTTCCATATTCAATCTAATACTTTCAGCATGCTGAGCCCAGTTATCATTGGCTGAAAAAGAGAAAAAAAAACAAACAGCGTAGGTTCAGGGTTTGTTGTTTATGTCTCCATTAAAGGGTAGGGTCACCATCAGGCAAAGTGGAAAAGTTACAGGGATTGTCAGAGCAAACATTCCTGCTGTGTGTGAAGAGTATGTGTTCAACGTGTATTCACTTATGCCTACAGCGCCATCAGTGACTCTCAGCATACATTACTTGCCATTACTGAGCCATAAAAAATTGTGTGTTTGGAGAAGGAGAAGACAGGAATGACAAGATGGAGATGAAATTGGATGAGTCACTGGAGACATGAGATGAGAAGGGTGGAGGAAGTAGAGGAAGAAGACAAACATTGAGCTGAGAGCAGAGTGCCAGAGCTGGAGCGCTGCTGCTTTTCATCTGGTGAACAACTGTTGCAGCATGTAGAGGCATGCTGTCATTATCAAAGTGATAGCAGAGACAAAGTGCCGGCACTGCCAGTGATTTCAAGAGAGGAGGAACACGGAGCATGTTCTGCTCGGGAAAACAGGGGAATTCAGAGGAGGACTCTCTCTGTTAGGCAGTGGCTGTTTGATGCAGCTTCAGCGCAAGGGAGGAAAGACAAGACAGATTGACGATCAGTTATTATGAGCACAGTTACACTGAGGAGATCCAAGTTGACAAAAACACCAAAACTGTCTTTTTTCTTTCTCCCTCTTTTTTATCATCACCTTACAAAAAAATCCAAGAGTCCAGAAATTTTAGATTTTTACAGTGACAGGTCAAAGATAAGACAAAGCACAGTCAAGATTACTGACACTGAATTGACAGCTGTTAGTCTTGCTGCAAATAATGACAAGATTAGAGATAAGATTCAAAGACCTGTTAGAGACTCAAAATGGAAGAGATGAAATGACAACGGTATCTTCACACTGATAAGACTTGATCACCGCAGGAATGAAGGTACAACCACCTCTTCCAGTAAAGCAGCTGAAAGTGACTGGATTAAATATGATGTCTGAATCATCATCTGCAGCGAGATTTACGTATTACTGGAAATAAACGTTGTGATAACACTGAGGCCTGGGCTATCAAACATGTCATCCTAATTCCAGTGTTAACCTCAGTGTGTGTCACTGCTAATGTGAGTTAATTTGTGGACTTTTAAACCACAAGACAGCGAGTCCCATGACTGATTCTGTCGATCAGTCACATTGATTACCACACAAAATATGCATCTTCATAAAACCGTTTGATTATCATACAAGGGTTTTCTTGTTTATGCTCATGTTACAAATAACTCTTCAGACAGCATTTGTAGCCCCAAAATTCAAAATCAGTGTTCACATCTATACATCATCTTCAAAAATTGTTCGACTACCTGTTAAAAATTGCAGATTGGGCCATACTGTGATTATCTTTACAATGATATTTCTCTCTCTTGGAAAAAGCCTCTTCAGAAAATCTCTTTTGTAAGCTGGCCTGGTTTTAAAGCCTGTGTCAAGAAACAATGTGACAAACGTGCCTTCAGTTCATGCTTAGTGGCTGGTGCCTGTTGCATGTCTTCATGTGTTTTTATCGTGCACATCCATCAACTCCTACTAACTACAAAGGAATGCTACCAAATCACCAACGGCTGCCAGGCCTCCAAAAATAATTGCAGAACGATCATGGAGTTAACTTTTAATAGGTATTTAAAACCTGTATTCACCAGAGGGCAAGTAAGTGTACAGGTACAGTGTGTTACACGACACACCCCTGTTCTTTCGCTGTGCCAGGCAGTTTGCTGTGCATGTGTTGTGACTAACCGAGTTTTACACAAGGAAACTGGTAATGCAGATTATTATCAGAAATGGTCTCTTTTTTGTTCATGAGGCTTCAAAGGATTAAATGAAGTTGTTTGCTCACTAAAGAAAACCCTGATGTCAGCATGATGGTAGATTTACATTTTGTTTTGAAGAAGACACAGGTAAGGTGAGGTGAGGTGAGGAAAATTAGAGATTTGCAGGTCGAGGTAAGGTAACAGCTTTATTACAGATGTGGTATGTGAAGTAAAACTTTGATTACTGTGTAAGCTACACTCCTAACTTAATAAGCAGTGCAGGTCTATTTTACATAGCAGCGTTCTCCCTCAGTACACCTCAGGACACAGAGGAGCAGGTCAAGACTCATTGTTTATGAGAACGTCTAGTTGTATGCAAATTTATCTCTTACTGTGAGAGGATGATAAACTACAACTGCAAGGTTTTTATCGGGTACCGTGGGAACATATGGTCAAACACAGACCCACTGTTGATCATGTTAATCATAAACCATACATTTAATATGATAAATAAACTAAATGAGGTCAACATTGAGGGTTTAGACATATAGATATGTAAACTTGCTCCATAACCTTAAGGTGAGGTTCAGCATTCATTATATTTCTACCTAAGACTCTCTTTGGTCTCCTGAATTCACATCATACCTGAACCGTGACTTGTTCTGACAGCATGAGTCAACATTTGAATATCACTAAATAGTTTTGTGTGTCACTAAATTACCTCAAATAAATCTTTGCAAGGTGAGGTCGAGGCCCACAAGCCCTCTGGGGCTCTAAAGCAGGTTCATCCAGTCATGGAGAGAGTCAGAGCAGTTCAAAGCCACAAAAACAGACTACATGTTGTCCTCGCCTGAACCATGATATACGTCATCAGATTTCAGATACAGGTAATGCTGGGCAATTATTTAATACTTCACACTTCTACGCATTTACCTGAAAGACATAAGAAATAACTTTAATGAATGTGACATACAGATTTTAGCATTGTTTCATGGTAAACTGTATGATACACACCTACAGTAGTTCAAACTAGCTCTGTTTTAGAGCAAAATGCAACATTTAATCAAAGTGTGTTTTTTTCTGTAGATCCTACTGCCAATACTGGAGAGCCTCTTTAATGTTCCTTGAATGAGGCTAAAGTATAATGGAGCCCTGGTGTCTGATGGCTAAAGCCTGCTGCAAGAATAGAAAAACTCTCTCCTGTGCTGCTAGGGGGCTGACAACTGAGGTAAAACGAGAGAGGAGAGCTCTTGGGTAAAACTTCTAACTCTCTAATTTTTCTCATGTTCAGACAGAGAAAAGATCAGCAATATAGTCAGACCACAATCACTTGATGGTGCCATGCCTTCAGCTACATGGCAAAGCATCGATATAAGAAGAATGATAGGAGAACTAGAGATGTGTCAGACAGTATACCAAGAGTTTGGTGTGCGTAAAAGCGCACAGTTACCCACGTGTTTAATGCGCAGGGCACCTGCAGCTTCTCGTTGAGCAGAGCCTGTTTGCCCTCTCTGGTATTGGTTTCGTTGCTATTTTTTAGAAACGTGTTTATCACTTAGTATGTCGTTAGAGGTATTGCTGTGGGGGCGGGATCTCTCCGTCTGCCCTGCCAGTTTGATAGATGGGCGGGTTCTAGCAGCAAGGTTAAGAAGCTGCCCGCAGCGCAGCAGAGAGCATTGAGCACCAGTTCTCCTCTGACTCTCTTCACCTCTGCCTCTGACTCGCAGGCAAAGTCGGACTTTTATACCGAGGCTAAATTTAGGGGGCTGGCCAGTGCACTGCGTCCTCATCCTGGACGCACTTCCTTCCCCCAGCCTTGCACTGGTCTCTGCCAACAACATTTATAAGAAAACCAGCTCCTTCCAGACACAAAGCTGCACGAGAGAGGAGCAGCACCAGGCAGCAGAAAAACGCGCTCCGAATTTCTTTTTTTGATTCTGGAAACTCAGTGAACTCTGGTGATTCCCTTTTAAATAGAGAAAGAGTGTTTTCTTAATATTTGAGGACGGTTTCACGATTTTTACTTCACACGCATGGAAATGGCCTTGAGTGGGACCATTTTACCCTCAATCTCTACATTTGCCAACCAAAAGGAGAAATGTTGGGAAGATGTAAGTTGCACACTTTGTATTTACACTTGTTTTCTGCTCAGTGTGATGTTTGACTTCATGACATAAATTCATGTTCGCGTTTTGCTGGCACAGTTGTCATTTTAGAAAAATTGATCGCCGTTTTGGTAGACAGTTAACTTTTATTTATAAAACGTTGAACTTATTTTTAGAGGTCTACTGCATGTCATGCTGTCAAACCCCAAAGTTTAACCCACATTTCTCAATCCGTGCACCTTACGGCTTGAGTATTTTTCTCATCTCGTGTGGTATGAATGTCAAGGTAAAGGCATACTAATCTTTCTCTCTCTCTCTCTCTCTCTCTCTCTCTGCAGAGGTGGAAGGGCGACATGTGCGGCGTTACGCCCAACATGAGCAGCAGTTGCCTGGGACGAAAAGATGAAGAGGACCTGGATAAGTTCTTGGATCTTGAGTTTATTCTCTCTAACACAGTCATCTCCGACAGTGCGCTAGAATCAGGGACGGGAACAGACTCGTATCGGCTCCAGGAGTCCGGGGCGTCCGTGTATCACCAGCAAGACTCCAGGATGTCCCAGCAACCGGCCAATTACTCTCCTGTCCCGGACATAAGCAGCCCTCCGCCGCCGTACACCAGCCTGATGGCGGAGCTCCTTCGCTCGGACGTGGACCCCAACTTCCTCTCCGGGAGCGGCTCCAGCATCCAGGGCAGATTCCTCTTCAGCTCGTCGCCTTTCCAGACCTCTCAGGACTTATTCCCCGAGCATCCCAACATTAAGGTGGAGCCCGGTTCCATGGACACTTATGGACCTGTTATGGGTCTGGTGCCTCAGAGCTGCACCAAAATCAAGCACGAGGGCAACGTCTCGTGCATGATGTCATACGAGCAGCAGCCGAGGTTGGCCAATTCCCCGCAAGCCCCGATGGGTAGCTTGACGCCGCCTCTCAGCCCGGACGACCTCATGAGCTCCGAGTGCCACCAGACACAGATGTGCAACACCTCGCTCAAGTTCCCGCAAAACTTCCAGCCTCATCACCGCTGCACGCCCGGGGTATTCCCTCACACGCATACCGGGATGCAGCTGCCTTACCCCGGTGCCCACCACCATCACCAGTTCCCCGGCGTGTTCGGGGAGGACGTGGCCTTGGGTCTGCAACAGCAACAGCCAGCGGCCGGACAGCGGGTTCTGCTCACCCCGCCGTCCTCCCCGTTGGACTTGATGGACACAAAGCCGAAGAGGGGTCGTCGGTCCTGGCCGAGGAAACGGACAGCAACACACACGTGCACTTTCAGCGGCTGTGGGAAGACCTACACGAAAAGCTCGCACTTAAAGGCGCATCTCAGAACGCACACAGGTACGATCTTGAAGTGACATGTCACCCAAACACATTATGTAAACATCATGTGATCACCTGCTCTCACTCACAGCTTCTTTTTCTATATCTGCTTTCAGGAGAGAAACCTTACCACTGTAGCTGGGAGGGCTGCGGCTGGAAATTCGCGCGTTCAGACGAGCTCACACGTCACTTCCGGAAGCACACCGGACACCGCCCATTCCAGTGTCACCTGTGTGAACGAGCTTTCTCCAGGTCCGACCACCTCGCCTTGCACATGAAGAGGCACATGTGAGGAGGCACCTTTGGACTAAAAGAAAACAAAATGGCGCTGACAAGAACTTCTATGCAACCCTATGAAAAAAGTGTAGTAGGCTACATGTGTTCAGCTAGAAGGATGCTATGCAATTATATACACACAAGTTCCTTTAAGAGTATCAACTATAGTGGTGCCATGGCAGCATAAACTGTCACAGTGTAAGAGGACACCACTATTGACTATACTGTTATACCTAGAGGTATATTACAGGAATTTTATTGTGATTTTTTCATTGAGGCAAAGGAATCCTCCTCAAGTTAAGATGCCCTGTCATTGTAGTTTGATATAAGATGACTATTTCTTTGAAGAGATGACAAACAAACCACAAAATAATGAGGAAATATTGCCACAGACGATAGAAACAGACACACGCTGTTCTCACACTGTAGCTGTTTGTTTTGTTTTCTCTTTTTAAAACTATGTAGCTGGTACTACTTTTTAAGAAATGCTGTCAATGGACTTAAACTTACCTGCACATTCCACTCATCATGTCGGGCACATGCCGCTGAAGCAACTGGAAGCAGACAGTCCTATCAAAGATGTATTTCCCCATCAGTGCCTTCTGTAGCACAGTATAATGAGTGCCATAGTCTCTACTGGCCAAAAGACAATCAAAGTTTTATTCTATGTTATATTGTGAGTGTTAACAGCACATAAAATAAGCTTCGAGACAATGTTTGTTACAAACTGCCTTCCTTCTCCTCAGATGCTTGAATAGAATGTTGTGTCTGTGAGTCTGTTGTCTACAAGCATTAAAGTCAGGGTCTTACAGGTCTCACAGAAGTGCATACCATCTCAACGCCACGTGAAGACAAAGGGCTATAAAGTCTTTGAATTTGAACAAAAACTTGTTTGTATCTTGAAGAAATGTACTGCCTTGTAAATAGATTTTTTTACATAATGTAAATATTTTATTTTAATGTACATATTAAACTAAATGAACAGTATGATATCGAAGTTTTGAGTGTGATTTCAATGATTTGAACATGACGCAATTACACACAAACACACATAGTTTGAAAGCTCAGATTTGACCTTTGACCCCATTAAACAGAAGATTTCTACTAGAGTCCTAAGGCCTAATATTAATTGGCAAGATGATCAACAATAAAGTAAAAAAAAAGACACAGAAATCCTCTCTCTATTATGTTGTTTCTCAGTTATTTGTGATTTTAATCTGAAGTGACAGGAATCCTATCATTTAAAACCTTGGCTATTACAGTTAATCTCTCCAGATAAGTGACTTGTGCCTCCTTTCACTCTTTTGTCAGTAAAGTTATAGATTGTTTCCATTAACTAAAGTTGTTCTTACCTCTCAGGCAGTCATAATAAAATGAATTGTACATGCTCAGTGAGGTAAAATTACGCAGACGGTGGCGAGAAATAAATCATAAATTGTGAGTCAATTTCCCTGCCTTGTTCAGAAATGGTGAAAGTACAACTTTGAAACCTAGAATACATCAGTGTCTGGCGTAAATCTGGGTCAGAGTCTATAAACTGAAGTGTGAAAAGTCGAAAGTTTCAGGTTCATCTCTGAAGACAACTGGTTCAGAGATGCACAAGGTGAGACATCACCAGAAGCCGGTTTGATCCAGGCCATAGTCTTCAGCACCCGGCTTGCACCGGGGTGATGCTTCCCAGCTGGGACAGAGCGGCTGCCAGTGCACTGCGGCGGCTGCCTATAAATATACATTACATTGACATAATTACAGGGGCCTAATATAGATGGTGGCTTCATAGGGGCATAGGGGCGAACCACAGAGAGTGGGAGGGATGGAGGGGTGAGGAGAAAAAGAGAACCCTCTCAAATAAACTGAAAAGAGCTGCTGGGATAAAGGAAAGTTGAGTTTAGTAACCTCAAAGACAAGTGTTTCCAGGTATGAACAAAGTAGTGTCATTGCATGGAGAGAGCCGTCTTTATCCAGTTTTTCCTTTTGAACAGTCTCAGTTCCAGGGATGAAGACTCATGATTGCACACTGTCTTCTCAGTAATCAATTAAACCGTACGGCTTTAATGTATTTCATCAAGAAAGACCTAAAACCGCAAGATTCTCCTGAGCCATCAGAGTCTGAAGACACGAAGTCAAGACTTTCGGTTAACTCACTCTTGTGTAACTAAAGAACGCAGTGTCAGAGAGTGAAAGTTGGCACAGGTGCATACTAGCAAAGCAATGCTTGGTCCCTTCAGAATAACAATCTGGAAAATTCCCTCTTGTTTTATTGTACTTTTGAGCGACCAAACCCTCAGTGTTTATCACTGTAGAGTTTGTTTGGATTGTTTATCAGTGACTGAAAGGAAGAATCTGATGTTTTTCTTTACCTTCCAAAGACAGACATTTGAGTGAAGGAGGTGTGGGAGGAGTTTCAACTTTCAATATCTCTCTTTTCAAGGTTTTACACAATAACTTACATTTTGGGCGACAACTGACAACAAATCTATGAACACCCAAGGGAGTGATCCTTGTTTGTATCTGTAGAAATACCTGAATGACCTTTAGATGCAGATGAATGATGTGTTGCATGTCCTGGATAATTTGAAGCAAAGAAAATGCTGCGTTTCTGCAGCGCTTCATACCTGACTAGTACTGCTAAAGTAATACTGCTCTTGAGTATCACTTTGTTTACTGCTCTTGGGACTTAGTTTTAGGGTTTGGAACATACTTTCTTATCTGATTAAAACAACAGTGTCAACATACTACAGCCTTTCGCCTAGTCAAACCTAGCGAGAGGAGAAATAAGCTCAAAAGAATAAATAACTTGCTCAAACTTTTTACTATAATCTGTTAAAGTATATAAAAGAAAATCAGGGGATAAGAAGTTATAGTCAAGATGCACAAGTAGTTTTGAGATGATAGTTCCTCATGAAACCCTACCATCTCTCAATTTCACATTTGCACTGCTACAGCTGAAGGCCTTGGTTTATTTTAGATGATGACAGGTCACACATTTTTGGTGTCATTTGAAGGGTGGCCATGTGCCAACCCTGAGAAAAGAGGAACCCCTGCCTCTGAAATTAGTACATTTACTCAAGTGAAAAATCAAACATTTTCATTTCCCGTATTTCAGCCGGGTACACAAGGGTGGCTGCCACTGCAGAGCGTGGGAATCTGCAACTGGAGGGGGTCAGATGGTGAACATGTTAGTTTCAGAATTCTGTTAGATATGCAGCCACATGTGTGTATAAAAAAACAACTCTTTACAGCTGTTTCGAAATGCTCTCGTAAACTCTGGTCCAATAGTGAAACCTCTACATTTTCCTCCTAAGGTTAGTTTAAAGTCCTTACTGAGATCCCAAAGGTTCTGTTGGTTCGTATAGTTCAGGTTGTGCTTGGAGTTAAAGAGTTTTAAATGTTCATAAGTTTTGAGGAAGTTTTGCTGCAAAGGTGGTGCTTGTTATGAGTCAGGCTTTGGACAAAGTTGCTGTATGTGATGCTGTCAAAGAGTTGCATTACCATCTATGTTTCTCAGAAACATAAATAGTAATGCAAATAGAGTTTGAAGGTATCCGTCCACGATGTCTGTCTCTGCCTCCGCTTTAACACATCAGAGGTGAATGGAATTTCTGCTGTGGTGCTGAAAGCTGGGCCCTCAGCCAGGATTTAATATGGTGTCCAGATTTCTTCCATCACAACCTCAACCACCTGAAAAAACAAAATAATATCTCCCTATGTTCACCATACTGTCACAAAGCCTTCTCTGCACAGCAAGGTGTATATTCCACCAGAGGATACTGAAAACTTTTATTTCAAATGAAACAATTGGTCGTTGCTCTGCTTGCCTGTTGTTTTTCCAGCTCTGTTCACTAAACTGAGACCAAAAAACATGAGGAGAGGGTTTTGGTGTACCCTGGTTGTCCCTGTTTCACTTACACTTCCATTGAGGGTCACACTACTCCTCAGCCCAATCCTCTATCTTAAACTAGAGGAATTAAAATAATGTGACATTCCCATACTGAAGCATTATTCCTTATTATGATGCAAGCCGAACTCCTATCTCTCAATCCAAGACTAGTAAATTTCAGTTAGCCAGAGGCTGTAAACAAGCTCACAAGCTCTTGTGCAACAGTTTATCTCAGAGGAACTCCCCTCCAGAATGCTTCACAGTATATTCTTCTCCCACTCTAACATAACACACTTATAAAAGCATAAGTGTATGTGCCGAAAACTGACACCACAGAGGTGGAGATAAGCAGTGTTTCCACTGAAAGCAGTCCTGTCAGAAGGGTCACGGGGCTGTTAGGGATTTAGCCCCCCCAGGAATTTGTATCTGAATCTAAAGCTTTATGGCATTTTAGGATCCAATCTGTTCCTCCTTTGGTTAATGGTAAATAAAGATGTTGTTTTTTCCCATTTTACTGAGTGGAGGCTATAACAGACCTTGGTGAACCTGTATCAAAACTGATGATTCTTACAAAGCAAAGCCAAGACCCTGGGCTTTGTAATATCAAAAGCACCCAGTAAGGACCCCTTTCCAGGTAAATCTAGTGAAGCCAAAAACCTTATCAGATGTTTGGGAAACAAAGACCTCAACTGGAAAATTTCAATCTTAAAGGAATCCCATAGCCGGGGGCCGGGACTTCAGAGGAAAACTGGGAATTTCATTTTTGGAAAGAGGATGCCCTCTACTGGAGTATGTGCCACTACAGAGCAGGAAACCTGCAGGAATACAACTGGATCAGGGATTCAGTTCAGTTTGTTTTCAGCCTTTTCTATCCTTTCCTGCTCACTCCTTTACCCTTTTGTAACCAAGGGGGGTTAGAGAGAGCATTAAAGTGATTAGTGAGTGGAATAGGGAAAGAAAATGTGCCTTAACTGTAACTATATGATTAAATTTTTTGAATCATAAATTAATATCATTTGCATTTTAAACTGCCTTGGGATTGATGTGTCTTGGAGAGAAGACGATGGACTCTGGAGAGAACTCATGCAGCTGTTCAACTTGAACACACAGATAAACAGAAGAGCACATCACACAACTGATTACAACCTGGTGTTGAGTTGGTCATAGCAAATACCTCAAGTACTATACTGTACCGTACTGAAATGTAATGTAATGTAATGTAAGTATGCATGATGTACCTTAGGTGTGGAAACCAGTGAAAGAGAAAGCTGAAAAATAGAGTCAAAGGTTTGGTCAGTTCCTGTGAACCATGAATGACTAAGAAGGTAACGTGGACACCATCAACTGGAAACTGAGTGACGGTATCCTTTCTCCGAATCAAACAAGCTTAAACTTCTCCAAATTACCCATAACTAGCTGTGAAGAAGAAGAAGAAGTCATGTGACCCAAAACTAGCTATAATGAGGAAATATGTTAATTATGTCAAATATGCTGCCTCCAGAATTATCAGTGATTGAAATTCAATGTTAGGATCCAGTTTGATGGTTTATTAAACTGACATTAAAGCACCACTCAGTGTTTTCTTTGCCATACAAGCTTACATCTCTTCAAAAATTGACTCATAGAGAATGTGGTTTTATTGAAAAACCTCCTGGTCTCTTTGGGCTCATACTGCGAAAGACTATAATATCAAAGTACATTAATAAACTGAGTAAATCGTACAGCTGATAAACTGCCTCAAAGTCCAGACACGTTTGCTTGTTAACATTAAGTTTCACTTTCACACCAGGTTCTAAGCGAATCAAAAATCCTGTAAAAACTGATATTAAAGGATTAATTTACAAAAAAAAATCTGCTTCAATGACAGAAAATAGCCAAGCAGTCAAACCAGTGCGTATTTTACATGCAGACAGTTTCAGCTCTGTTTGCTGGAGATAACTGTTCTACCTGAAACTGAAGGGTGTCTGCTCTGTTAGATATGCATGAGCTGGACTCACTGAAAGTGACATGAACCGTCATTAGCAATGAGGCCAAAAAAAGAACCACGTTCTCTCGAGTCGATGAACAAAAGGACTTATTTAAAGGTCATTTGGAATAAGTAGCATAAAGTCTAAGATTGCTAGAAACACCAGTAAGTTCACATGAAATGAACCAAGACATCTCCAGCTGAAGTCGTGTGGCTGTTATCATGTTTCAGGAACACTTTACAGCGTCATTACTGATTCACAACATCCTGCAATTCCCTCCATACCAGCCTGTGAGCACGTCTCTCTCTGTGTAAATGACTCGCTGTTAAGGTTCTGTTGTCTTAGCATCCACATTTTTCAGAGACTTGATGCTTCAAGAATTTGGGGTTCAAGTAATGCACACGCGCACACACACACACATTCCTTCCAGGTACCTGATTGCTGTGAAAATCAGTACAGTATGTGTCTGTTGTGGATCGTTCGATAAAGACCTTACGCACACACTAAATTTTTGAGCCAGTTTAAATTTCATCTGTGGATTAAGTGACTTTTGCAGCAAAGTCTGATTAAATACAGACTCATACAGGGCTGCTTGTGTCTCATATCTCACACAGATCTGGTATTTAGGCAGGTGATTTCTGACTGAGGTCATGAGTCAGAGGCTTTCACTTCAATTTATTCAAGTTTTATGGAATTGGAAAAAGTGCTTTCAAACACAACTTTAATGCAAAGAACAGACTTGAAATGTTTTCTCTGTTTCTAATACATAATAATATAGAGGAGGCAGGACAACATAAGCGCTTTGCTTCATTCAGTCCCCTCTCAAATTGGTTGTTGTGTTAAAAATTGTATGTACTCACATGTAAATATTGTTTTTTTGATGGACATGCACAGTTGTTTGGTGTAAATATGTATTAATTTGCTAAGAAAGAAAGAAAGAACTGATTTTCTAAGACATTTTCTGAGAAACTTGGCCTTCTGAAATTAAGTGTTTTTCAGAGGAAGACGTAAATGGTTAACTTTATAATTCCACAGTATGAGGTCAAGTTAATTTAAGACTAGTTGAACCTTGATCTACTGGAAGCTGGAATTACAAACAGAAAGTATTACTTGCATCTTGAGCAATAATATCTTATCGGTTTTGAGTATAATTATTATCTTCATGCAGTGAGGCCATCCTACAGTTCCAGCGTATCCCCCCCTTTCATAGAGTATGCATGTTTCTGTTGAGAAATATGTAAACGGAGAAGTGTAGCATGCTGATAAGGCCGACAGAGAAGGCATATTGGTCACAAGTAAAGAGATACTGAGCTATTGTGAGGCTAAACCAACGTTTATCCTCCAATTCTCTATGACCCACATTCCCAGTTAAAAGCCAATAGGCTTTTCATTTCCTCCTCTCCATTACCATAGGGTAAACACAAACCTAGCAAGGAATTTCCTGTTATTCCATACGGAGATAGTTAGCATTCGCTAACATAGCAGATTGCTAGGGTTTCAGCTAATACGTTGAAATGGGTGCTGTGTTTGCTCAGCATTCATTTCACACTACACAGCTGTATCCTTGAAATGTAGCTGAGGATAATTCAGTGCACATTGAGGATGTCTGGGAGGAATAGAGCTGCCTCGTCTGTTTCAGAGTTAAGAACAAGTTCAAGAACAAGATGTTTCCCTTTTTACATGTAAAAGAAAGAGTTCAATTGCTTATTTCAAGGCTCATTTTGGTTTGATGGCTCTCTTTCAGTTAAGTATTTCTATCAGCTGTGACGACAGTGTGCTTCACAGTGTATGTCAATACAGAGAATACAATGAGAGCATAGTAGTCCTCAAACAGGGTTTAAAGAAGTAATTCACCAATGAGGTCTTACATTTCTTTATTATTGTTATTTATGCATATTTCTAAATAATGTTAACCTAAAAAGAGCGATAGTTTGAGTTGTGCTTGGTAGCATATGGGTTAGAATCAGAAAGAACAGTTGATCCAGCAGGAATGCAATAAAAAGAATAAAAATCTGACAAATCTGCCCTAATAGCACATAAAATAAACTGTCTTTAGACCTTACCAAATAAAAATAAGCTGTGAGAGCCGTGTACTACTTGTCAGGCAGCAGCTTTAAGGTGTTTCTGACCTCAAGGGGTTGTATTTATGCATTTCAGAGGCCAGAACCTGCAACAGTGGTATCAAATGACACTGATGGACACATGCACAGTTAGCCTACGGTTCATTCTCCGAAAGCAGTTTATGCCTTTGGTGGCTTCAGATCAATTATTCACAGGTTCAGGTTTTTGACAGTTACTTTGTAGACTGTTAAATTATAGAAGAACTGATCTGAAACTCGTCTTTGTCCCTCATAAGAGTTGAACTTTGAGGTCTTCAATCAGTGCATGTCACAAAAGACACAGCAGTCCACTTTCATTTGACTGAAATTTTAATTCTAGTAAACAGTACAGACCATGTAGAGAGGATCACTGTTTAAAATAAACCTGCTTCTGTTATCTCTTCAGCTATTAGTGTAACATAGGCAACCTTTCCAATGGTTTCTCACCAAGTTGACTTTGTCTTCTTTCATTTTTATAGGACAAATGTAACAGACATGTAACTATACATTTACATTTTGTATGCATCTTGATAAAGACAGCTCAAGTTACTTCACCTACATGGGAGGAAGGACATCTGAAGGTAAAAAAAAAAAAAAAACAGAAATACAAGCTTGTGAGAAGAAAAAAAGTAAAGTGAGAAAACGGCAAGAAAGTTCCTCCAAAACCACTTTTCTGTTTTCAGCATCAGCGTGTCAGTAAGGACAGAATTCAAAAACTTTGCATCAAAATGAAAAGGAACTAATAGGGTGTCAATATTTTTTAGCTGTCACCATACGAACATTTTTGTCTTTGTTTAACGGCTAAGAATACTGATAATTTTAAAAATATTTTAAAAATACAGAGAATTGGACATTATTACCATTTCCTTTCCTCCAAATCCATTCAGAGCATTTTTGAGTGAGAGCGATGCAGATCCTGCAGCTACTGGAATGAAATGAAGGCATTTTCTCTACAAAGTCAGGACAGAGGAGTGGATGGTTATGGATGCATAAATAATCATATCAAACACATACGCTACATGTCAAAAACATTACACTGGTTTGACAAGATACATACAACAATAATAAAAAAATAAACATTATCTATTGCACAATGGAGTTATCAGATAACAAATACAGTATGAATGAAGATACCAGTCTGGGACTCGGCACTCTAAAGAGTGCGCTCAGACAGGTAGGGGTCAGAGGGATGTAAACATAAACACACGATGAAGAGCTGGAGGGTCACAGTTAACACAGCAGGCTGGCTTTTAGGAGGAGACGGTACATTTTGGTAACAACTGAGATCTGTCTGAAAGTGTAGTAAGGTACCAAAGCTAAATTCTTCAAATAACAGGTTTTATTTTGAAATGTTGAAGTACGTTATTACAGCTCAGGTATATTAGCAGCATTTTACTAGACAGCTATTTTGTGACCTTAAGATGTATGCTTTCTGGATGTCGCTCTTCAAGTTTGTGTTACTATAAATAATTGCCAAGAGAAACTGGTGCATCCTGTGACGCTTATTTCTCTTCGACAGAGTTGATTCATGTTTCGATAATTCACATTGGGGTTGCTTTTAGATGCACCTGAGCCATCTGGCTGGGATTTAAACCACAGTGACGCTGAGACCAAACTCAACGGACCACTATAGCATTTTGTTATCAAGTATTATTCTTTTCGCTATGCAGGCTGCCTGTCACACTGTTGTTGAGAAGTTGATGGCACTTCAGTTCATTTGAAACTACTTAAAGCGATGGCATTTTATATGAAGTTTAGGGTTAACAAGCTAGCTTATGGGCAGCATGATAGATTATGTGGCATAAGCAACAGCATGGCACTAAAACCAACTGCTCGCAGCCATTTGAGTTTACAACTTTCTTTTCATAACAACAATAATAATAACGCATTTATGTCTCAGTACTTAAAAATTTGAAACTCTTGGATTTGGTACAAAAAAATATTGATGTTAAGAGTGATCGACTTTTTGGGTCGTGCTTCACACAACACAATCATGTCATCAATCTTGTTTTCTGTAATAAAGCAAGATTTGGTGTCGAAAAAGTCTTTCCTTATCTCATTATGAGGGCTGTTTTATATTCAGGTCAATGCAGAACTTATTCTCATCCTTGACAGGTATACCATGAAAAGGATATATTTAACTACAATAGGCATTTAAAGAAGTTGTTATGGAGGGATGTTGAAACATACCCCCCACCCCCAACCCCAGGTCGACATTATATTTAAGGATGTTTTGAGATGATTATCTTTTTGATCCTTTTTTTCCACTTTCTCTGGAGTTGCTAAGGACGGCATAGATTTTTAAATGACTTTTTAAATGAGTTTGATCAACAGACTAGAGAAACTTAAACATTTGAATTCTATGAGGCACTCAGCACTGTATCATACTGAGTGATAGTCCTGGAGCTGTAGTACCGCTAATGGTTACACTTGTGTTACACTTGTTTTACATTTTGAACACTTATAGTACAGACAAACTTTGCTTTAACAAAGACTTTCTCTCCGTGATCAAACAGTTGTAGTAATGGCAAATAAAAAAACTACATGTCCTCCTTCAGTGTGACATATTGGAGAACAGTGGCGCTCTAATGGCAGGGCAAGCATGTGGCAAAAACAACTGAAGGATCATTATAAAATGTGTGTATGACTCTCTCAACATAATCTGCCACTTCAAGTAAACGGGACAAGTTAAATAAAAACATGTCGAGTGGTGAAGTTTAAGCATTTAACGTATCAGAAGTAGCAGTATTTCAATATTCCAGCCATTGACACCCGATTTCAGCAAGTTCCAAACCTTTTCCAAACACTCTGCAGCTTTGTCGCTGGTCTGAAGAGCACTGGAGTGGCTAATACTCGTCTACAAAATATAGAACAAAACGACTACAATAAATTGGATGTTCTTTTAAAACAAAAACATTTTAAAGTAACAAAAGAAGAACAAGCTACATAAATAAAACGGACTAAAATCCTCACTCTCTCATAAGAAAACAAGGTTAAGTGTGAAAAAAAAAGAAAGATTTCCCTCATCTTGCTTTTCGTTTGTAGGATGTGGTATGACATCACAGCATCAGGATCAAAGCACAGCTGTCAAGAAGAGGCATAGTTAGCTCTGTTTTTACTATATACACTTAAAGAAAAAAGAAAAAACCCGCCAGGTATCACTTGAAACGCTCGTTTGTACTCTCTCCTGGACAACGCAAATAAATCTGTACAGTTTTGTTACTGTTGCTCCACAGGATATGCTGATAAGTCCAACCGTATTTTCATTGTCAGGTACTTGTCACATTAAAGGGAACCAGTGTAATGAATCTTCATCAGTTTTTTAAACACAGTTTTAGAGCAGTAATTTTCTAACCTACGACAAAAACAATAATAATACAAGTGAAATGGAGGCATACCAGACTAAAGTTGGTAACAGGTTTTCCTTTTCACACAGGATGAGCCACTGAGTGAGAGGAGGGGTACAGACTCATCTGCCCTCAGATTAACCTGGTCTTCAAGTAAAAGCAGGCCCCCGCCCTCCTTTTTACAACTCTGTGGTTTTAGTTTGTGTTGAAGTGATTGTGCCCACAGCTGTTTCATATATGGACCATGGAAACTCAGTATGAATGATAATTATGACCTTAAAGTGACACAGAGGGATGAGTCCTGTTCAGCTAAAGTCAGCCTGTAGACATCAGAGTTGTGAGGTTGATGACTTCATATCATCCAAGAAAATAACCTCAGATGATGTCTCAGTGGTGCTGTTGGGTTTCCTGAACTTGGGTTTAAAAAGGGCTGAAACGCCCCCCCGACAGGTGGAGTAAAGACACGTAAGGTTTGAACTCAGGAACCTCTACACGTGTAGCACCTTGACACCCCGACTATTCAAGTTAGATACTGTGCTTCAGTGGTGCACAGTACATTCCTAATAAATCTGGGATTAAATAAAGTAACACTAACTGAAGGGCACAGTGAGACTGGAGCCTTCTAGCCCCTTAATGTTTCTGCTTTGACAGGCTGAATACCCAAATTTGTCTGGAGTTCAAGGCTTGGGCCGGTCATGTCACGATAGACTCTGGAGGCAAATGTTGATGTGAAAACCAAAAAAAAACAAAAAAACAAAGAACGACAACGACAACAACAAAGGATTGTACCTTGAAACTTCTCAATCCTGAGTGTAGATTCCAGTCTCCTCAAATACCTCCCCATAAACAAATACACATGTAATATATTTCTCTCTGTCACATTTTCCCATTTTACCAGCTAAAACAACTCAGAACTGAATACTGACACAATCTATACCATCAGCGGCCAAATGATATATCCATGTCGTTTCAATGCATCAGCAACAAAAATCCCTTTAGATGGATACCTTGGCAGTTTGGATTGTAGTGTCACGCTTCTGAAACGCAGCTACTGTATTTGCAACGCAGCGCACCTAAATTCAAACTGTCAAGGTGTCCTCGTCAGCAACAGCTCGCCATCCCACTCAGTCCAGTGAATGGATTCTTTTCAGTACTGTTGAGCCACTATAGTGCATATACACAGTGCATCTGTCTGTTTTACTCCACCCTCTTTTGCCTCCTCCTACTCTTCTTCATCCTTCCGTTCTCTCTCTCTCTCAGCTTGTCAGCAGAGAGGTTTGCAGTGATGAGTTCTGGGCTCTCAGGTTTGCTGTCTTGTTTGATGCAGGCAGTAACCAGACAAAGTTATGGAGAGTGTGAGCATGTAAGTATTGGTGGTGCCGAGCTGTGTATTTGTGTGTGTGTGTGTGTGCATGTGTATGTGTGTGGAGCAGAGTTTTTACGAACACTCAAGAATTAGTCCAGTGATGTGCTTTGTGTCTGAATGTCAGTCATGTTTGTCTTCATGTTAGCCTGTCTACACACTGTGTGTATTAGGGGTTGGTGGAGATTCCATGTCATGCGTTGGACATTTCAGCCTTACTGAGCGCGATGGCTAGTTCCAGGTCCTCCTGCTCCTGTTGTCTGAGCCGCTTAAGCCGTTCGCGCTCTGCCCGCTCGCTCTCCCGCTTAGCCCACTCCAGCTGCTGAGCTTCATTCCCAAACTAAGAGACAGAGAAAAAGAGAGGCCGTCAACAGGGTCTCTGCAGGCTTCAACAAGTCAAGTTTAAGACTTTTTAAGACTGTAATGAATACAATTTTAGACCCGTTTTACATACATAATGGCAAAAAAGTACAAAACACATGAAGGGAAATCAGAACATTTTACATTACTACAAACCAATCATTATTTCTATGGCACATTATTTATTTTTAGTTAATATATTTCAAGACCTTTCAAAATCGTATTAAAGACATTTTATGAGATTTTAAGAGAATTTTAGACATTTTTAGGCCTGAAATTCAAATCATTGGATTTCAGACATTTCAAGACTTTTTCAGACCCCACGGATACCCTGGTAGAGGGAGAACAAAATGTGGGGAAAAAAAATCAAATTGAGTCCTTTCATTTATTCATTATGACATATGATGTTAGATCTATCAAGGCAAATATTATGGCATGGATCTAAATCATGATAATAATAAATAATAGTAATGATAATGTGGTTTTACAAGTGCTCAAAGACGCTTCACAAGAAACACAGTTAAAATACAGAAAATTTGGAGTAATAGAGCAACAATGTAAAAGGTTAAAAAAGACATAAAATGAAAAGAGAATAAAAGAACAGTTTACAGGTTAAAAGCCAATTTAAAAGGGTGTGTTTTTAGGAGAGATTTGAAAGTACGGGGGTCTGTACAATCTCTGATGGGTTTGGGGAGTGAATTCCAGAGGGTGGGGCGGCAGCAGAGAAGGCTCTGTCCCCCCAAGGTAACTGATCAGATGATACTTGATCAGATTTTCTATGTGACACTGATATTTGATTATTTTTGGTGAAATACATTGTGTGCCTGGTCTCTTACCTTGACTTTATCAGGCCCTGTTAGAGAGAGAGAGAGAGACAACAGAACAGAAGTGTTAAAAAGCTTCTTATTTTCATCAATACTGATATTCTTGTTGCTCTGTAAAACAGTCATAAATTTGAAGTCCCTAAAAAACAGTGGGGGGTTGAGTGTGCTAATCTGCCGAGTGGAGACACTGAAGTATTTTTTAGCAAGATCAAAAATATCCAAAAAGAAAGAAATACATTTGAAGGAGACTTAGCTGAAATAAAGCTCCTGTCAACTAATAACACCAATACAATACCAGACAGCAGCACATTCATACACAAAGCAGGCAGACTTTACAGCTGCCAGTTAAAGGTTCATTCTGTAGTCTTAAAAAAATAAGCATCACAAGTCAGGTCAGCCAGACAGAATCCTTTCCTCTTGTGCTAAAAACAGTGATTTTCTTCCTAAAAACAGATTATCTCTCTGACTGACACTCAAAGTGTGCAGAATTTGATCATTATATGGGGAATAAGTGTGAGTTCCTGTGCTTATTTGCTTACAGGCAACAGCAGGTTTGTGTCTGTTTGTATAGTCTGAGACTCTACTTGTCCTGAGTATGAACATCATGCAAACACAAAGCTGATATTTGGCTCAAGCATATGAGAAAGGCAGGGGAAACCCAAACAAGGGTATTATACTCTTCCTGCCAAAACAGACAAACAGAACTTGTACGGGGCCAACACCCTTTCCTGCACTCTTTGAGGGCAATTACAGTCACAATGCTGCTCGGCTCTGCAATTAGTAAGCTATCTTTTTAAAGTGGCTTTCTATGCTCTGTCACATCAGTGAATGTGGCCAATCTATGCCTTGTTTCTGTCTCACTATCAATGATGGTTGCCCATTGTGTGTCAGTAAAATAAGCTCTAAGGACACTGACTCAGTTCATCTAACAATCCCACATTTACCCTTCACTTCTATAGGCTGATTTGTAGACACAACAGATTATTATTCAGACAATAAAGAAAAGCTGTTTTAAGTACTGCTCGTCATAGATAGCCTTAAATGTGTGGTATAGTATTGTGAAAATACATTTATCTGCATCTCCATTCTGAGAACTAGAAAGGAGCCAGCAGTTTCATTTCACTAAAGGCAAAGTCAAGGAGATGTTAGCTAATATTGACACTAAGCTTTTATCTCCGTGCCCAGAGACAAAAACTAACTGTCAAAAAGCTTGGCTCATTTCCTGTGCATCTCTGACCTAAAAAACTACATATACAATCTATTTTGACCTACTTTGTGTGAAATATGGTAAAGAAGTCTTTTACTGGAGTGTTGATCATGTGCTATCCCACCTATTTTAATCCATAGACACACACGCTCACTGTGTGTGTGTGTGTTTTTTTCCTTTTACTTGCTGTTTTCTAGTGTACTTTTTTGACCCCCAGACCAATAGATGGCAGGTAAGGGTTAGGGTTAGGTAGTGAAGATTGAACTAGAACTTGCTTTGTGCATTGCATGTAGGAATGTATATGTGTATCAAAACTACTGTTTAAATTAATAGTAAAGAAACTGATAATTGGTGTATATATAATTAACAATCATTTTATGTTTTTGGTCGTTGTTAAGATAATTTAAGATGTTAGAACAGGATGGGGGAACTGTACCGCGCAAAACCCACAGGGTCCGGAACGGCTCCAGAGCATGAGGTATCAATTCAGTGCAGCGCAGCACGAGCAGCAGTGGAAGTTTTATGTGGTTACAGAGTAATATATCCGGTTAATTTTCAATATAAAATAAAGTCAATACGTTTTACTATTCTTAACTTGATAATAGGAGAGGCCAGGGTTGTGGGATGTGGGTGTTTATATACACCGCCGTTTATATACACCAATTGGCGGATCTTATTTTATGACTCCCGGGGAACCACGCAAGAGCTCGTGAGATCTTGTCCAGTCTTGCGAGATATATTGGTAATCTCGCAAGTGCTTCCTCCGATGGCGGCGGCGGATCGGATCTGGTGGGTGCTGTATGCACCCTGTATCTAATCCGCCTGCCAATCTGGAGCAGAGCAGAGCTGTTCCGGATCCAGTGGGATGCCCGGGAAAGAGGACGTCATGTCCCTGACTTTGTGTCCACACTCAAATAATGACCAGCTGAGACGCATTATTACACAGAAGCACAATGCAATTTCTTCTACTACCCTTGTAGACTGTATCCCACCCCTCAAGCAGCACATTCGGCACAGTTCCAGGATGTATGTGTGTGTTTGTGTGTGTGTGTGTGGCCTGGTCTGGACAGAAAGTTCTACGGTATTGTCCACTCAATTCACTGAATTACAGTCTGCAAGTGTTTGGAAGTGTTTTCAAGGACATTACTTGTTGTTGTGGATGGTGCAAAGGGGTCTTTGCTGCTGAACGGGTCCACAGGGCCCTTTTTACTCTGAAACGGGTCGATGGGATCGCTGCCGAATGGCTGAAAGGGGTCACATGGCTTGGAAGGGTCAGCTGTGCCAGACATGCTCACTGGTGTACTCTTGCCTGGGGGGGAAAAAGAGATAAAAATGTCACCACAGAAAGAGAAGTTTCACTTTCCAGACACAGCTTCATAAATACCTCCTAAAAACGTGTTTAGTGCTAACAGCTCTGATGATTTTGTATAATATTATGGATAAAAGTGGGGCAAAAGCCACAGAGAAACATAGGAAATCCAGCACAGAAATAATCAGTGTATTGCCACAGAGCATGGCAAAGAACACAAAGTTCACAGAAATATCTCAGGCTTTGGCTCTCACTGATTTCTAGGGAAGATTTAGACCAGCAGACCAGATACTTGTGTAGCCTGATAACTGACAAGTGTAAGAAATCATCTTTACCGCAGCTTACATGAGTAATTCTAACCTAGTGAACTTTGCTGATAACACAGCATCTGATCTGATCTGTTGAAAAAACACACAAACACTTAGTTCTCCAGTTCTCACAGTCATGCCTACGCCCTGCTCTTCCTCTAATATCACCTCAAAGATAGCGACCAGCTTTTGAAAGCCACAGAGGTTTCGACTACCCACACAGTGTACCAAAACAATTGGTATGAGGACCCACACAAATGCACGGCTTCTTCCCCCTGAGAAAGGAAATATATCAAGACAGCTGCTGTGAAAAAAAAAAAAAAAGTGCAGCAAAAACAACAGCCAAAGCACTAAAACCAAAAGTGGTATCCCTTAACCAACAGAGCAGTTCTCTACGGTTTCTTGGTAAATCACTTAGGTTAGGTTTCTGCCCACATTACCAACTGTTGGTTCCCTGCTACCAACAAGACAAATCAAGAACGAAGCTGTTCATGTCCAAAGATCATAACTTGCCTTGTTTTGATTTAATATATTTTATTTGTTAAACAATTAGTCACTTATTTCTGGAAGAGTAACAAATCAAAACTGTTATTTTTGACATAACCTTTTACTTTCATGCTGATGGACAAATAGATTTAAAAATGCAGCATATTATAAGACAAGGCTTGTTAGAAATAGTTTGTTCTTGGTTTCCAGAAGAGAGGCTGGACAGCTCAAAGTAATATGTTACAGTCCTCATAAAACTGCTACACTAAACTAGCAAAATTGTTGGAACTTTTAACCATATTTATTGTCTGTGAATTATGACCTTAAACTGTATTTGTATTTATTATGATGTGTGCTAATGACCTCTTGGCCAGGTCACCCTTGTAAAAAAGATCTTGATCTCAATGGAACTTATCTGGTCGAATAAAACAATAATAAAAAGTGAATTTGCTACGTGCAAGATTTACTCAAGTCACATTAAAAACTTTGCATACATGTTTTACTTTTGAAATGAAGTTCAACATTGCTGGGTCAACAAGTTAGATGAAATAAGTGGTGGATGACCATTACAAAATCATATACCAAAGTGACAACTTAACTCTGATCTTTTCAACATCTGTCTTGCAAAAAGTCCCACAGACCCACAGCTGGCCCTACTCACAATACCAAGCAAAACATCTTTTACTGCAATGTCAGTTTCTGGAATGAACTCTGAGTCGAAGCGGAGCCTGGCAGAAGATCGTGGGAACGTTACCAAATACATCATGTCTCTTGCTTAGGTGTTAAACCGCAGAACCAGTCAAACCGTTGTCATTCAATACACACATATACACATACGCGTTTGGTCCTATTACCCAGATAACTACGGGTGATTGGGGTGAGCAGTTCATGTCACACACCATGCAGAGCAAAACTGCATGCCTGGCAATCACTTATTTTCCTCTTTCAGTAAGCTCACACTCGAGAAACCACAATCTTGGGCCCCACCCTGTTTTAAAATAATACCTCAACTTGAGTGTCATATGCTTTTACTGTCGACTACGGGGTTGTGCATGCACCGCAGAGTATCTAATCCATTCAAAATAACCCAGCAGCAGCAATTTACCCCAATATGTGCCACTTTATTTGCACTGTCACTGAAATCATGGCCTCTGCACACCCAATGAGCTGATGACAGACACTATTAGAGAACATGTATGTGTGTGTAAGAGTGTGAGTGTGTGTGTAAAGAAGAGAAAGTCAGGTCAGGAAACATAAAGACCAAAATTGGTTAATTGTGGGAAAAAAACCTATTAAATCACCTGTAACAAAGCTGGCTAATATTAAGTGTACTTCCCTGCAGCTTTACCTTCCCAGAACCACTCACCATGTCAGTGCATGTACGTGCACACACACACACACAAAAACACACATACACACACACACACACAAAAGACAGAGAGAGGAAGCAAGTTAGGGTGTGTCTGCGAACAACAGCCAAGCAAACCACAGCTCAGCACTCTTACAACATCACCCTCAGATGTGCCTACAATCAAACATCAGGGCAGCATTGTGTTTAATGAAAAACACACAAACATATCAGTCCGGGGAACACTAATGTGAGGCTGACCTGTGATATAAAGAAAGTGACAGCTGCTGGATTCTGGCTAATCTCTGTGAACCAATATAGGGGCAAAACTGACACATATCTTTACTACTGCTGAGTTTGCAAGCACATTGGACAGCGTGCTGACAGCAAGTTGAGGTCAAAAAAGGAGAGAGAACGTGATTCACACTTTTAGTACTTTGACAGCGTTGTGTGAGTCCCATAAAGAAAGGGTTAAAAATGTTCAAAAGACAAATCTGAGCATTTATTATTTCTGTGAAATTATCGTGACCATGCAGTTGAAAATAAATAATATTGAAGAGGATTAGAAAAGTTAGAAGCAAAAGTCTAAATCTTTTACTTGTGATCTTATGTTGAGCTGGACTTGAGTTTGCAAGCTTGCTGACAGGTGTTTTCTATCATTACTGTTGATGTACTTTTCTGTACCACAATGTGCTCTCATAAAAACATGATGCTGCCCACAGATACCAAGTGTAAACAAATAGGAAATGGTGGTCAATAGTTCAACAGAAATGAACCAGAAAAAAAGGGTGTGACTGCAAGTTTAGTTTCAACACACAAGCACTTTTCACTTGATACCTAAATCAATCCAAACTGAATGCTGCTATATGCTGTTTGAGACCTCTCTACTTTTTCTGTAGGGCGACATAATCGATTATTTCACAACTTTTATTCAAGTGAAACTAAATTAGTCAAGTTCAGCATCAGCACATCATATAAATAGTCAAAAAACCTCCCAAGACACTAAAACTGTACAAGTATAATCATGACAGGTCAAAGAACACATCAGTCTTTTAAACAGGAAAAATGCAAACACTATATACTCTGTAACAGCAGCACCTTGACTAGCTTTTATCTTTTCTGTACCCACATTGACATTTTTTCCTGTTGTGACAGATCAGAGTGAAGTTCAACACTTTCCTCTCGACACATAACAGAGAAGAAAAAAACACAACTTTTCCACACTGCTGACAACAATCCATTACAGTGAAGATGTCCCTCTAACAGGTGAAAACATCTTATTGTATTGCTCTTCTTGTTATCTTCATTTACTGTGTGTGTGTGTGTGTGTGTGTGTGTGTGTGTGTGTGTGTGTGTGTGTGTGTGTGTGTGTGTGTGTGAGTGTTTTCAGTTACAGCTGACAAATTTAGACACCCACACCCTTTCAACCCATCAAGAAGGTGACTCACAACATGATGGGGATGTGCTGAACACATTGAAACACCTTTATGTTTGTGACAAACCAAAAGTAACACATCTTTTAGAGTTAACCACTGCTCCAATTTCACCCTGCATCATGATAATTTTTTCATAACTTATGATTCAGTTTTTTTTTTTTCGCTGCAGTTTCTGGGTCACAAAGGTTCCCATTATTACACTACGCAAAAAAAAAAATCATGAAACAATGTGACAATCAGCGTCAACCAGCTTATAGTTGTACAAGATTATTTAGCATTCGGCGGTGCAGAACCTTTTTACAGATGTTAACCTCAGACACGAGTATCTCTGGAAAGCTGTTGTATAATGTTGCTTTTTCTTTTTTTATATTCTGTCATGCTCCGGCAGTCTAGTGTGACACTCACCGCTGGGTGGTTTGGGTCTCGGTGGAACGCTTTTTTTTGGTGGCAGAGCTGGTGTGTCATTCTTGCGGCTGAACGGATCATCCACAAACACAGACTTGGAAGAGACAGCAGAGAGAAACGTGTTTGGCTCTTTTTGCACTCGACAGTGGTTACATTAATAGACAGAAAACATCATTTATAGCAGACTATGAAGTTAGGATGTAGAATCTGACAAAGAAGGAGGACACACCTCCATTTATCACTTCTGTAGAAAAAGAAAACATACTGACAAAACTACACAGATCCATCAAAAGTTAAAAAAAGAAAAGCATTTTAAAAAATTGTTCTCTAGTGGACTAAATATAACATATCCATATTATAATTTACAGTAGAAGCAGAATTACACCTTTCATGGTGCATTTTTTACACAGTGTGCATGAAACTATGTGCCTTTGCTAGGAAAACATGTCGTCAGGGTGTTTTTTGGCCTCCGGTACCTTCTGATAGTCTGGCAGCCAGCTGGCTCTGCCTTCAAAAGGGTCTCTTGGTTTGGACATGTGGCTGAAGTCTGCAAACCCGGCAGAGCTGTTACTACTGCTGCTGAACGAGCTGCTGCCAAATGGGTCCAGCGTGCCAAAAAGATCTGGGAAAAAAATAACAAACGAAACAAGAAAACAACATTTGAACAGCCTGTTACTTTACAAGGTTTCCTACAACTGCTTGATTACATAAGAGTGTTAGTACTCCTGTGTTGGCTGTAACTCTTTTGGTGTTTGCTGTAGGTAAAACCAACAACTGAGAGGTCAAAATTTCTGTCTGATGCTTCAAACATGAATTTTCATACACTTGTCATATATAGAATACATTTTCACTGCTTGTATGCATCTCTCTCCCCACTTTTAAACTTAACTTTCTGTGACAGCTGACCGAGCTAAAATTTGAAAAGCATTTCATTGATAAAACAGTGTCCCTAAGCATCAGCAGGCACGTTCTCAGAGTGTAAAAAGCAGGCTGATATGCTGAAGTTTGTATTTCAGGTAAAGAACTATTTTAGCCTTTACATGAACAAGTGCTTGGCTGAACCAGGCACTTGTGCAGCCAGGCAAGACTGTGACAAAGCTGTATCAACACCTCTAAAAAACGGACGTTGGAAAGTGGACTTGCAGCACTGAGTAAGCAAATGTGACACCTCTTCTCTCCAGCCATGGTTTTAATAGGCAAACTAACATAGTAACCTCAGTCTAAGAAAACAGTAGCTGGTGTGGGGTGACAGGCTTGAGCTCTTCCAATCACCGAGGTTCAATCTGACCCGGAGCGTGTATGTGTTTGTATTGTCTACATTAATATCCTGTAGAAAATTAAAGAGCTTTTCTTTCGTGGTGGAGGACAGTTAGCTTATTGAAAAGGGTTCAGGGATTTGATTGACAGCAGACATAAATTCACTGAGGAGCTACGCAACCACAAAAGAGTATCTGTGCGTTTATGACATCAAGAATTTTTCCCTTAGTTTCCACTTTAATCTGAGACTCCGGCCTGCAGTGCCGTCATTCTAATTCCCAGAAAAATGGCAGAGCTTTAACGGGAACAACACGTAAGTTTCAAGTATCACTCCCCTACCCTTATCAGCCAATTTGTCATGTTCATCCCATATTAAACCAACATAAACATCAGCCTCATGATGCAAGATTTTGTCCCATTTGGAAAAAAAAAAAAAAAAACACCAAGAGAGAAAGAGAAAAATCCTATGGAAGCTGTAATTCTAGGAAATAAATGTCTACATCTGGTGATTTAAGTGTAGAAGCATAAACATTAATGTCTAGCTATGTAATGGTGCGTTCCAGTTGTTCTTGGAAATCAGGATTTCTGAGCTCCAGGTTGGAACTTTCAACTGGAATGACCCCCAAGGTCGGATTTCCGACTTGAAAAGCCAGACGATCCACACAACCACCGAGCTGACATTTAAAGATGGTGGCGCAGGTTGTAAACATTACTGTTTAGAAGCTCCTGTAATAATCCTTTTATTAACACTTTTTGTACTATTTGTTGTCCAAATAAGTCAGCCGTATACAAAAGTATTGTTAGATATATATGTGCGGAAATGCTGTCATAGTGTAATTTACATTTTTCATGTGTGTATGCAAACTACAAAGCAAGTTGTGCTAACAACGGCTAACCGTAGCCTGGTAGTTTCAGACGGTTTTTTTAGCTGTTTTTGGCCGTTGGCTACTTTTTTCCAACTTTTTAATTGAAACGCTGATAACTCAGGTGTGACGTCATTCCCAGCTCCGACTTCCGAGGTAAAATGAACGCACCTTAGAGCCAATTTGAGATCTTTGATCCACTGAAATGAAGACCAAAGGGGTTTGGCGTCTTTATAACATTTACAAACACTAAGATTCAGGAAAGGAAAAAAAGTCATTTTTTAGATGTTTCTGGTAGGTTTGAAAAACTCAACTGAATTAATACAAACTGTGATCAAAACACATGTGCTTCCTGAATCTTCCTGGACTCTCACTGAGGTAAAACAGAGGTTGCCTCTGTCCATTAAGCAGTTACTTTGACCAGTTTGAAGCCTTAAGATTGGAGATATGACTTGGGTCATCTTTTGTATGAATGTATCCTGGTCTTTCATTAACAGGTAGAGAGGACATGTCTACAAGCGTATAGTTCACAAAATGTCTCTGGGCCATAATTTAACACCTGTAGATCTTTATGTTTTTGCTCTACTATTTACACTGAAGTCTATGAAAAGTGGTATTTGTTTTCCCTAATAAAGGGGCAGGGCAGGGACATTTTTCCAGACAAAGCTCTCAGATATGCCGTCAAATTTCATGGACCAATGGACATGGTTGGTTTTTAAGTATTACTGGAGGTCAGAGAATTCCCAGATGGGCAAACTACTTTGAATATGAATTAAAAATATATAAAATACATGCAGGCACTGAAACCACAAAAACAACACTGAAATCATACCAGGTCCTTTTGGTTTTGGGTTGTTTGAAGAAAAGGGGTCATGGCTTGTGAAGTGACCAGTTTGCTGCAGGAAAAAGAAGAAACATCCTGTTAAAAATGAATTCTCTTCTGAAGCCAGAAAACCGGAGGATTCTCCACACCAGACTGACAAAGCTAGAACCGACTGCTTCATCTGTAAGACCTTGTCCAAACACCGGGCCGAATGGCAAGAACTGCTCCTCACTATGACGTAATAAATGCAGCAAAGAGTGGTTCTTACCTTGGAGGGTAATGTGGCACTTTTGCTGAAGGGGTCTGATGTGGAGAAGGGATCAATCTTTGTAGTCTTCTTGAAGAAATCTTCGGAGGAAGCCTTGAATGGATCTGTCTCCTTGAACGGGTCTCCTCCAAAAGGATCTGAAGCAGAAATAACAGTTCATGTCAGGTAATTATTGTCACTCCAGTGGTTCTTCAACATCCATCTCTCAGACCAGAACCAGAAGTGGCTGCAGTAGCTCTCTGTGATCAAAGTTATTGTTTTCTCTTTAGAGACAACTTCACTTTGCAGGAACCTTTTTGGCCGTTTTTCAAAGACTTTTGGATTTCACACTCCAAACTTTGATGACATTAAACGAAATTTTAATCCATTACTTATACACTGATGGAAAAAAGGAGAGGACAATGTATTTCTATAACAGCATTCACATTTTAAAATATTTCCAATATAGAGGAGCATGTGATTTTTTTTGAAATATTAAAAAAAAAAACTCTTATTGACAAGAAAACTTGAATGATTTTCTAATGACATGAGTATGGCATGTAGGATGACTAAATAAGAGCTCTAGTAATCCAATTGATCTACTTGCACACCTCCCTGCCATCTCACATCTTATGCTTCTAATATCTGGCAGCCCATGTTTTGCAAGAGCAATCATATCAGAGCAATCATAGCAACACGAGGCTTTGAGTCAGTGCTCTTCTTCGGAAAACAGCACCCAGCAGGTCATGAACTCCAGCAAGAGTTAGTAACACTATCCAGAACAGTCTCCTCCACACAAAGCATCCAATTCCAGCTAAATGCAACTCAAATGTTCCGCTAGATAAAATGCATATGTGCTGTGGAATACCAGTGAAAGTGTATGCACTGTAGTCAAATAAATACACAATCAAACACAAAATAAAAAAGAAAAATATTTTAGAAATTCCAGCACAACATGGACAAGCAGGCAGCAATCGTTTACATGCTGTGGGCTCAGAGATGTGAAAAAGGGCCAACACTCTTCTGCATCCACTGAGAATAGAAGTGAAACTTTGTAATATCGCTGAAGAGGGAAGTGTGAGTGAATTTACAGTTGCACACTCTGCTGTTTCACACATGCTGGAGGACTTCAGCAAGAAATAAGGCTCAAGCTACCACAAGACCCGTGTGTGATAGTAAATTACATTCACCAGGTCAGCAGGCCAAGAACAGGTGGTCCATCACTGTAAGACTTATGATTTAACTTCTTCAAAAGATTAGACGATTTCAAATAATTTAAGATAAAATTTGGTTAGTTTGTTGTTTGAACTTTGTTTGCGGATGTGTTTTTATATGAAGAGTTAACAATGTGGGGTGAGTAGCTGACAAAACATACCCCCAAACTCCTTTTTCAACTTTCAGCTCCATTCAGCTGATTAAAAAAGAAGTACGGCATTTTTCAAATATAAGCATTAATATGTTGCCAGAGATGAGTTGGATAAAAAATAAAATATATATTTTTTATTTTTTATTAAAATTAAACGCTTTGGTTCTCTGAAGTGCTGATGCAACAAGTTTTATGGTACTGGAGAGCTCCTTCTCTCTGAATAATACCTGTGGTTGCTGATGGCTGCTTTGCAAAGGGGTCATTTTGGAAAGGGTCACCTACAGGAGAGGAGTCAAGCAGAGAGGAAAAAGCAGGAGGAAAACAAAGAGGAAGAGACAGTCAAAGAGCAACTCAAGCTAACCCAAATTTGCTATCTAGAAGAAAGAAACCATGATGAAAATAATCAGAGCAGTAAACACAATGTCAGCTCAGAAAAGAGAAAAGGATTGTGAAAAAAGAGCACAGAATGAAAGGAAAGGACCCCAGGAAATCTATTTTGATCTTCATCAAGACTTCATTTGTGTTTTTTAAAACAAAACTTTGTGCTTCCATTAAATCCCATTTAAGGCTATAATGAAAAGTCTCTCCAAACATCAGCATTACAACCCCTAACTTAAACTATGAACCTTTCCCCTGTAATGTTATTGCAACACCATTAACATTGGGTTTTCTACATCAGTGTTAACACAGGGCCTGATACAGATGACATGGGACAGTCGCAAAGAGCAGAAATAATTCCTAAAGACGGTGATCAAGATAGAGAGATGGGGAGAGTGAGAGAGTTCAGTGAGAGGCAATATTAACCTTTGAATGGATCTGTTTTGAACGGGTCCTCAGAGTGGAAGGGGTCAGTAGGAAGTTCCTGAGGCTGGCTGTTGAACACAGATGGCTTCACTTTGAAGGGGTCCTCCTGTGGATGTGAAAGAGAAAAGGACACAGAAGGACTTTTAGTAATGATTGTAAAGAGTTTTTTTTTTTTTTCTGCTAGTCACCCACATAGTTTAGCTGACATCCAAATTCAAGACAGCACACCTGACACTAACACAGTGGTTATGAAGTCCAGTCCTCGAGGCCCACGGTCCTGCATGTTTTGGATGTTTCCCTGCTCCAACACACCTGATTCAAATGATCAGCTCGTTATTAAGCCATTACAGAGCTTGATAACGAGCTGATCATTTGAATCAGGTGTGTTGAAGCAGGGAAACATCCAAACATACAGGACAGTGGACCTCGAGGACTGGACTTGAGAACCACTGCACAGAGTAGGTGAACAACAGCTTTGCCTTTTCATCTTTTTTTCTGCCAGTAAAGATCACACTAAGTACTGTAAGGGATAGCTTTACACATACCAGTGGTCTAACTCGCTTGCCAAATTAGTGGGAGTAGCTTCTTACTATTACAAGCATATACAAGGAAAAACGTCCAACTATCTAAAGAGGTATTTGTCTATTCTCAACATACTTGCTGAATATACGGTGATCAGTCGAAAAGATCTCCGACTCTATTGACCCAATCAGTACGTTTACATGCACAGCTTAATCGGACTCAGCTCATAATTTGTTTTTTTCACCGAATCGGACTTCTCTCCTTGTCCGTGAACACATGCAGCTGAGAAAATCGAATTATTGACGTGAATGTGACCCCAAAAACTAGGGGGCAAACTATGGGTCTTTCAGCTGCGCTGTTTCCAGACCTTTTCTAAAGATGTCTCCGTTCCTCGTTTTGTGACCGTCCGTATACTTTAAAATGTCCATTTCTGTCAGGATGGAAAGCATAACGGCACTCTCCTCGTCGTTCCAAAAGTGGAAATTTTTTCATGCTTCAGCCATGTTGCAGTTGCTTCTGAGTCGAAAGTTCTTTAAAGTATAGTGCCACTTCTTCTCTGGTGTTTTTGGCGCACACGCACAGGCATTGTCCGATCATACTCCAACTACACTGGTTACACGGTAGAGAAAATCAAATGCCAATCGCATTATCTTGGTGTCTTAATCTGAGTTCTCCGACTCCAATCGGAGTTATCAAACTTCGATCATAGTCGGACTAAGGGGTTTACATGCACTTTAGTTGTCCTGTCTTAATCAGAGTAAGGCAATAATTCAGTTTTCTCGAGCGTCATGTAAACGTACTGAGTGATTATGAGATACACATGCCACATACAGATGGGTAACATTTTAACAAATAATACTACCTTTATTTTTTTTCAATGGAACTGAACATTGAAACTCCTCAGATTAGGATTTTCATCATGACTGCTGTGTTGGACTGTGCTTTTTAGCCAAATGTAGAAACATCAACACTTAACTACTGTCTAAAAACAAAAAAGATTTAAAAAATAATAAAAAGTAGAGTAATAGCTACCATTAAATACTGTATCTAAAAACAGTTTGGGCTGAACTTAAATCTAAAGTATAAAGAACTCATTCATCACCATCATGTTAGTCCTTTTTCTGTCCTGTTTCTTATTTCATACAACAGTCTCCTAAGTATGAAATTATAGTGACATGATTAATGATTGATTTGTGATGGGCTGTCTAGCTTTGGTTTAGCAATTTGCAGTCAAATGTGATGTATTGAATTCCCCACAATATTTTTAAAACTGATCAGAGTATTCCTGTGAAAAGGATTATCAAGAAACATGTAATTGATCATAACCCATCTTACCATTTGACAGCTCCTGTGTCCTGCCCCACCAGACTTTAGTGAAGTGATGTCCTCATGTTCTGACATCTGTGCAGTCATCTTGGCAGACACAAACATTACCATAACTGATCAAATACAAAGACTACACCTGTATTAAACCAGATCTATCCTTTTGTAATATACACCTCAGTTCAAGTGTGATAATGGACCTGCTGTTGCAACTTTGAGGAGATAATAACAAACAAGCACCCTCGATCCTCACTGATCAGACTTCATTTCTTTATGTGCCAGCCTAACTCTCAAACTTGATATAGTTCAGTACAAGATCTTTTGTGAATTTCATTGAAAACCCTGAGTCCAATACCGCTGGTGATACCAAGAGCTGTTTCCCAGGTATAATGGGGACTGAAGCAAGCGGAGGATAATCGGAGTGAAGTGGAGGATAATAGTTCTGGGTAAAAAGGAGAAAAAGAGAGATGAATAAACTATGTACAGGACGGGCAAAAGTTTTAATGTGTGACTGAGAGTTAAACTCCAGTCCATAAAGAAAATACAGTAGATTGTAAGACAGTGTACAGTGATTGTAAGCTTTGCGTCGTGTTCAGTCTTGCATAGTGCTAAATGGCACCTGTAATTGACTAAACCTACTTTTAATCAAGAGGAACAGAAGAAGAACGATTTTTTGTTGTTTGAATCTATTTCACAGACTAATCCTGGGAACTTAAACACCCACTATCATTGCAAAGTCATTGCTCTTAGTCTCAAAGGGCAGCTAGTCAGTCTCTACTGCTGCCACAATAGCAAACCTCATACCTCTGACCTTGCGGTATCTTTCCCACACTTTACCCTGTGGCTGAAACTGTCTAGCTGCCCCAAAGGAAACCACCCCTTACAGTTTCACAACTCTATAGCATCACTGCTTTTAAGCTTGCCAGTACTGTAACCAAAATATTGTTCTGTACAGACACATGCTCGCAAAATGCGGCTGGAAGTACCCAGATATATTTTGGTTTCTACATGTGTTACAAATTGCTACGGATTTTCTAAGTATTATCTAGGCTTGGGATATTTACTTTAATACCCACCCAAGCCATGAGGGAAAAACACATGCCGAAGCTTTTGTAGGTTTCCTGACCTGTGCTGTTCTCACCATGGCTGGGAATCCTCCGTTTTCTCTGTCGCTGAACCCTTCGCTCATGTCAGCCAGGTTGGTCATGCTGCCTCCGTGGGTTCCGTTCAAAGTGCTGTTGTACTGCTCGATGCTTTTAGACACTTCCTGCTGGCTGTCCTGAATCTGGGACAACTTACTTCGTGCCTGCAGGATACAAACAAACACAAATAATGGAAGTCCATGACAGTGGGATGTATAATTGTAGATTGTTTGAATTAGTCCTGAATACCTCCCAAACTCACATCATTGCAAATTCACAAAACTGACAGAGAATAGTACAATGTTAATCAAACCTCATTCTTGTTTCAGATGTTACATTTACCAAAAGCAGCATGAGAAGAAGACTGAGATGAGTTAATGCTGATGGCTGCTTTGCATAGCAGTATCTGTCATCAGAGTACATTTGTGCAGTAAATGGGTGAATATGAGTAAAGGTAGTGTGAATAGTCAGGAGATATAAGCACAAGATAATAAATGCAGTCCATTTATTATTAACATTTGTTTTTTTTTCTTCAGATACAGTTTCTGAGCTGAGAGCTAAGGTAGGAAATGATCCGGACCTCTAACACAAATGGTTTTAGTATGTGCTTATCTTCAAAGCATCCCATTCAGGAGAATTAAGTATCCCAGAGAGCAGAGATTGAGACCACATCACAAACTAATCAAAAACTTGTTTACAAGTAGTGAGCCGTGTAGGTACACAGGTGCTAAAGTGAGGTATGTGGAATGAGTGGCTGATAGGAAACGGATGACACACCAAAGCGACTGAGGATGAAAGTAACTGACTCACACATGCGCACACACTCACACACAGCTGAATGTAGTGTTTGACTTTCTCTAGTGTTGCAGGTGGACCTAGTAATGACTAGTAATGATAATGCAGTGCAACAGTGCCCCCTGTTGACACACTTCACAGAAACACACAGTATGTATGTCCTACCTGGTTGATCTCATCTTGTGTGGCCTTCAGGGACTTGATGATGGTCTCAAGTTGGATCTTGCCTGCAGCCAGGCTCTGCTCCAGCTGGTTCTCCTCCTGCTGCAGTCGGCCAAGGTCGGCCTTTGCTCTGCTCAGCTCTTCCTCCTGACTTTGCAAGTCTGACTCTTGGGAGTGGATCTGACTCTGGAGGGTTGAGATCTGGAGGCAAAAGAGAATGAAGACGAAAGGTTGGAGTATGAGAGTGGTCATTATTCCACTCATGTGCTGGTAACTTTCAGAAGCTCTATACAGCCAACACATCACTGACACTTAACTCCCTGTCCTCAGACACCATCTCTGCTGCCTCTTTTTTATAAGGCCAAACAGCAAAATAAGCCACAATTGCAAAACCCTTGCATTAACAATAATACATTATTTATAAGAACTTACAAATTCTAGTCTTATTATCAGTTCCTGGATGTCTCACCTGTTTTTCATTCTTACCATCTGTGACTCCTCCTGGCACTTTATCCGCACTTCGTTCAGCATGTCCTCTAGTTTATGTTTCTGCTGGTCCATCTCCTCCAGGCGGTCCTGGGCATCTTGTTTCTGAGCCTCCAGCTCCTGCAAGCTGGCTGTCTCTCGGTCCAGGTCACTCTGCATCTCCTGAAGAAACAAGGATACAGAAGACAATATTCAGATAAAAGTAGCAAACAATAAAAAGTGGTCAGATAAAAAGTACCACTGGTAAAGCGCTCTGGATTATAAAGCGTATAAAGCCAAACAAAACTGTCAGATAAGTCAAATTTTATTTATCTCATTCAATAACTCAGTGAGGCTACGGTAGCTGCAGTGCTCCGACAGGCCAAAAGGATTTTTGGTGCGCCTTATAGTGCGAAAGACACGGTAACTCAGTGCTCTATATAAACTCACTGACCTTTTATAGTAGTTTATGTGAGCACAAAGAATATATTTATAATCAGAGAAACTGTCAGGGTTTTGATAACCTTTATAACCAATCAGATTTATGTGATTTAAACAAGATTAAAGCAGTGAACTTTACACCATACTGTCTGTTCATACTGCTCTTTCAATCACTGAGGGCTTTGTCCCTACCTGCACCTCTGCACTCTTGTGGCGAATGGCCTCCTCTGTCTCCCTGATGTCCTGTTCAAGTGTGTACTTCTCCCTGGCACAGGAACACACACATGCATAATTATAACATAAAAAGTTATCAAACCATCATTCAACATATCCAAGAACCAAAGACGCTTACTGGAGTTTTATCAGATCCAAAGTTTAAAAAGACCACAATAACAAACAGGTTAACGGATAGACTTATGTCCTGTTTTCATACAAAGGACTTATTCACTTTGCTACTAACCCAAAATATCATACACAGAGACACAGAAACTGGCATGAATTTTTGAAGCAGTTTAGGGCTCAGTGTCTTGCACAGTCATATGCTGATAGGTGATGCCTGATGTACCTGCAGACTGAGTTACTGACAACTGTGTGACCTGTGGACTGAAAGTGACATGTATGTGCCTCTAAAGATCTTCCAATCTATTGCTGTAACCAGTGAATAATAATTCACCTCACTTTGTTTGATTGTAAATGTTATTGCAAAGAGCTTTAACAAATGGTCATCAACTATTTAATTCTGTCCTAGTGCAACAGTCAATTTCTGAAGTCTCCTCTTTTACATTTCCTTATGCAACTTCTAAGTACGCAGTGTGGGACCAATTATGGAGTCTTGCTTCAGGGCAAAGGAATATTTCATAGTCTTTCTAGGATAATTACGAGGCTCTTGCAGTCTGTGTGGTTGAAACAGTCTTTTTTGTACAGAAATATCCCTCCTTTACTCCGCCGGCTTGATTTGTCCGACACAGACTACTGAAATCACTTATCAACAGTGTTGCCAACTCCTCAGTAAGGAAAGTCGCTAGTGGCTGTCCTTGTAGGCACTACATGATGCCATCGCATACCCGTTAAGAAGAGTAGTTTTCAAGTCAGAGTCTCCAAACTATAGAAAAAGTTGCTATATTTGACGCTAGGTGCTTTTTTGAAAATAAGTCGCTAGGGGGGTCCAAAAAGTTGTTAAATCTAGCAGCAAAGTTGCTAGGTTGGCAACACTGCTTATCAACTATGGTTAACTTTAGTTGTTCATTTCTACAAAAAAACAAGGTGTCTGGATTTTCTTCCTTATCCCTTGGATTAAACGTAAACACTGAAACTGATCTCTCTTAGATCCATCATGGCTGCAGTGAGCCAATTATGTACAAACATTCATATTTACATATGAATGTTGGGTATATTGACACTTGATCAGAGTGAACCGACCCTTAACAAACTCTTCTTCTTCACCTCAGGGATTCAGCCTAAAAGAAGCAAAACTAAGCATATATATAAAGCCTCGGTATAACCACTATGCATGTAAAGAAATTGCCAGAACCATTAACCATCTGGAAGCCACAGTAGATTTGACAACAGAAAAGTCCAGAGATATTTGGTAGCTGGTGTTTACCTTAGAATATTCCACTGGGTAAAGGCAAGAGTGCTGACGCAGCATGGAGAATAAGTGGTGAACAAACAAAAATTGATAAAATACACACATCAAAGGAAGAGTGGACAGTTGGCTGAATAAATGGATGATGGATGGACGGAGAAGAAAGAATGTAGCAGGATGAGGAGACCAAGAGAAATAGTAAAGCTTGTCCACATCTGATTCATGTTTCCTTTTCAAGTGTGCATTTTATCACAGAAAAAATGGTGGGACTGTACAGCAGAAACAGAGCTGCAGATGTGTTTTAGCTCGCTGTTGGCTGCTGTGGAAACCCCTACTGTGTCCATCATCTTTAACGTAATGGACTTTTAACTTCAAGTTGATATTAATGAGAAATCCTTTTCAATCACCTGTCATACTGTGCGCATATTAAAATTTAATGAACCCTCAAGAAACAATTTCTATCACATCAACACTCGAGTCCTTGAGAGGAGCCAGTTCACCAAACCCCCAACTACCTGTGCACTCCTGTGTGTACAAGCTCCCATTCTTTGCATTTTTCCATTAGTGCATCTTCATAGGGTTCAGTTTGGGTGTATTCCTGCCATGTTGTTTGTTTGTTTCCATTGAATTCAAATACTAAATTAATATTATTTATTTAAAAGGAATATAAAAATAACAACAACAGGCTTATCTCAAAGAGTATCATTATTCCACTGGTATACTCTGATTTAGCGACACCTTTTTGTCCTGATAGACCCTTCCTGTTTTTAAGGTTATGTAACAAACATGGAAATTAAAACAGTGGCATCTTCTTTTATTTTCATTTTTGGCTTTTTTTTTTTGTTTTTTTGAGATAGGACAGCTGAAAACAGATAGTGTATGCGGGGAGCAGATAGTGGGGATGATATGGATCATGGCTGGAAGTCAAACCTTCAACCTCTTAGAGAAGGACCATAGCCTTAGTAATCTGGGCGCTCTCAATAACCATAAGGCCAACTGGCCTCCCTTATTGACATCCTCTATATATTCTTATATAGAACTTGACAATGTTAACATGATGAACACATTTAACATCATGACAAAGTAAACAAACAAAAAGGCTTCGATAGGAGTCTCAAAAACGATACCCCTTTACTAAAAAACTACCTACAAAATAGAGAATACAGTGTGAAGAGTCACTTTTTCTGTTATCAGTAAACTCTCCTTGTACCGAGTCACCTGATCATGTTGTGAAATAATGAACAAAGAGATTATGAGAACCTTTCCGTATTAGAAAACAGTGGGATGTTTTTGAGGAGCAGCGCTCAGCTGGAGGCAAAACAATCCTCTAGACACGTCAATAGGCCTGTCACGATAACAAATTTTGCTGGACGATAATTGTGCTACAAATTATTGCCGATAAACGATATTATTGACACCGTTTTTTAAATTATAGATAATGATATGAAATGGCATAATAATGCGAGTACACCGTGTCAAAAGTGATAAACTTTAATTTCACCCACGACGAAGACGTAACGTTGACGAGCTAAACATAAGTCGGAGATGACTAAAATGTGACGAGACGAAAGTGCGTTTACGTTGATGGGACGAGACGAAAATGACGAACAGAGTTGCAAAACTCAGTCAGTTAAACGCTAAACATACAGGAGCAGCTTCAGTCCGACAGCTCTCATCAGCCTGCTGTGCTCCTCAAACACACAGACACACACACGCGCGCGCGCACACACGTGGAGTTTTGTGGTTGACAAAAACAAAACTGGTCTAAAGCCGAAATATTCCTACACTTGGGCTGTTGCGTTCGGTTTAGACACCAAAGCTGTCGTGTTCATTCTGTTTGCTTGCTTTTCACTCACGACGCTCACTTGCAGCACTGTAACCAAAAGTCTGTGTCTGTGTGCCTGTGCGCGCCTACGTGTACCTGTGCGCGCGCCCCCTCGTAACAAAGACACTGAATGACTGACAGGAGGGTTCACTAACTCCGTTCATTCCGCTATAGAGCCAACGCCCCCAGGTGCCGAGAAAAATGCACAGAGTGAGACCTCTTCTCTCATCCAGCGTGTTTGGTAGCGAGAGAGGAGGAAAACAAACGCACGTAAATTATCGAGGCTGGCAAAATGACCGACCTCGTTTTTATTTACCGAGCGATAAGGCGATTTATTGATTATCGCGACAGGCCTACACGTCAACCAGCACACGTAAATTGTTTCTGGTTTGCTATCGACAAAGACAAAAGATACTCTGGGTTTCTGTGAGAATGTAAGGTCACTTAATGTCCAGGACAGGGTGTTACTTAAAAAGTTAACACTGACAAACTAGAGCAGACTGGCAAACCTGTACGTCCAATGAATGGATTATATGATAGGACTACTTAAGATGGAGTGGCCACGAATTTACAAACCCCAAATCCAGTGAAGTGAGGACATTGTGTAAAAGGTCAATTGAACAGTCAAACTGATAAACTTTGTTGTTTTTAGCAAATCTGGTTTTGAATTTGATGTCTGTGCAACACATTTCAAAAAGTTGTGGCGGGGTAAACAAAAAACTGGGAATATTGAGGAATGCTCAGAAAACCCTGTTTAGATCATTCCACAGGTAAACAGGTTTGCTAGAAACAGGTGAGTGTCAAGATTGGGTATAAAAGGAGGATCCCTGAAAGGCTTAGTGGTTCACAAGCAAGGATGGGGTGAGGTTCGCCGCTTTGTCAACAACTGCATGTGCAAACAGTCCAACATTTGGGGTTTTCATCGTCTACAGTCCAAAATATCATCAAAAGATACAGAGAGATCAAAAATCTCTGCACATGAGCAGGAAGGCCAAAAACCAACATTGAATGCCTGTGACCTTTGACCCCTTAGACAGCACTGCATTATGAAACCCAAATCATTCTGTGAAGGATGTGGGCTCCGGAACACTTCAGAAAACCACTTTCAGTTACCACAGTTTATCTCTACATCTACAAGTTCAAGTTCAAACTCTACCACTCAAAGCCAGATATCAACCACAGCCAGAAACACAGCCAGCTGCTCTGGACCCGAGCTCATCTGAGCTGGACTGACTCAGAGTGGAAGTGTGTGGTGTGGTCTGACGGCAGCACATTTCAAATTGTTTTTGAAAATCATGGCTGTGGTCACCTCTGGGCTAAAGAAGAAAAGGACCATCCATTTAATTGGTTATAGGTGGAAAAGAATTTGGAAAACACTGTATTTGGTTTCTATTGACATTTTACACAACGCCCCAAATTCATTAGAATCCAATCTAACCCTAATCCATTCAAACAACTGCAAATGCATGCTAAATCAAGTGTGTGCTGCACAGTCAAGCTTTTTTAATGATCAGCTCCATCCAGTCACTGAGTCTTGTCTTTTTTAACCACGTCTGTTTTTGTTTTTGATGATTGGCAATGGTGTCTACTGCAGATCAGATTATCAGTTTTGAGACAGTACTGTACTCTCTTCAATTCTGGCATTTCTAGTCACCCATGACACCTTCTACCCTGCAGTGGTGATTCATGTGTCCAGGTTTACTTTGTTTTGCCTCCAGATACAATGACATCACTGTATTGTCAGCTCAAAAAGGGTCTACAGTGCGGTGATATCATTGTGCTCTGATTTGTGTTCATTTGTATTTTGTTTGTGAATTCTTCAATTGTCTTTAATCCTTGGTTCATTATTTTAAATAGATAATTCATGTTTTAATTATATTTCATTCTCTTTTATTCTACTTTCAAACTGACTTGGTTTTTGTAACACATTTTTTATGAAGTGGGGCAAGAGGGGAATAAACCCAGATTTCAAAGATCAAGACATGATGTGGTCTGTGACTTATTAAACAACAAATGGAAAAAAAACTGAATGATGATGATGGCGATGGATTAGTAAGGAAGCTGATGATCAAGGTTAACTTGGGAGGGGGATTGTCTGCTTTAGTTTGGCAAAACTAAAAAGGCTTTGACACAGGGTATCATTCAAGTACATTCAACATAGAGTTAACAACTAGCAGTATAATTGAAAATAAAACTCCAACCTGTTATTGCAAAGTTAAATCATGTAAACATCTGCTAATTGTAGCAATAATACTATAACATTATGTTTTGGCTACATGAGATAAACTTGAAGATATATATATATATATATATATATATATATATATATATATATATATATATATATATATGTCCTTTGGATGTGAATTCTACTGTCAGTTTCTATCCAGCTATTAAATTATATCCAAATGAAAGCTGTTTACTTTTTTCAGTTATCTCATGTTATTGTGTTGCTGTTAGTGTTATCATTCGAACCTCTGTAACTGTGCGATCTCCTGGCTGATGTCATCCAACTCCTTGATACCTGTGAACTCCCCCGAACCAACTGAACTGGAGCTATCCTGTAAAGAGAGAGCGACAGACAGAGAAGAAGAAGAAGAAGAAGAAGAAGAAGAAGAAGGGAGGAAGACAAAAAGAGAAACAGGTTGGCAGAGTAAACTTCATCTTAATAAGAACGTGGGATGGTGAAATGATACCAACTGAGCCACGGTAGACCAGGCCAAAGGTAGGAGGAAAGAAGGAAACAAGAGGATAGGAAGAAAAAAAAAAACAGCGCTCAATAATAGGAGCAGCACAGAGGTTGAATTAGTAGGTGAGGTCTGGGTAAATCACTAACATGTGGGGGAATGTCACCACCACTGACAAATCGCCAAAGACAGAGAAGATTCAGGATCTCTTATTGATTATTATTATTGATATATTTCTACTAGCCCTCTTGCAGAATATTCAAAAAGCTGTTATGGTAGTAACAAATTGCCAGCACTGTGTCCACCAGTATTTGCAGGCAATGTTAGTCATGGAAAGTGATGGCTGTTACAAAAATAAGATGAACCTCACCATTTCTTTATTAACAGTGGCAGTAGTCACACTTTCTGGAAGCAGACAGGTTTACTTGGATTGACTGACTGATTTATATTTGGGCCACTAGCACTTGCTATCATCAGAAAAAAAAAACTATAATTAAAAACTCATTTCAATAGAGTCCGATTTGCCAATTAGAGCTCTCCTGAATCCTCCCTTGGACCAGCTGACAGGGTGAGACGATGTAACTGCACTGTATTGGAATGGAGAAAAACGTCTTGAAAATGCTTCCCAGTAATCAGCTCCAACAGCCAGCCACTGAAAGCATTTCAGGCAGGTTACACACTGTTGGTCCATGTTACCTACCCACAACTTGAACATTATAGCCTGAGAGAGGAGGAAGAGGGGAAAGGTAGAAACATCAGCAGTAAAAAAGTCAAGGCAGGTGAGAATAGTGGGCTGTTTATGTCTTTCATGTAGCTGATTTACCTCTCCTCCAAATTTTCCGTTTTCATATCTATGTGAGTCAAACTTTCAGGTTTTCAGCCACCAGGTAAGAAGGTGTGGCACACTTAAAAAAAACTGCTGTTGAAAGAGAAACTGGCTCTAGCACAGAGTGGAGGCGAGAAGAGAAGGAGAATTATCGACTTACGCGTCTCATCTCAGACAGAGCAGCCATCTCTGATCCCACAGGAGTCATGTATCCTGACATACTCTGCAGCCACAGAGAAAACACTTAGTTAAGGACGATGAAATACAGCAGTTACACTTCTATCTTATGTCATAAGTTATTACTTCTAACTTTACAGAAAACACACATATTCAGGATTTGTGGCAGAGATCGGTGCCGCAGATAAACTATACTGTAAAACACAGACCACATTTGACGGATGAAAATGGAGACCCTTTTATGAAGTCAGATTTGCTCTGGGATTCTGATTTGTATTTTAGGATTCAGCTGTGTTATTTTCAAAGCATATTTAATATCTTTTTATATAAGGCTTCAGTACAGAAAGAAAGTATATCATCACTTGGAGTTATACTACCAAACTATTGCAGCTACCTGCTGGGACATCATTCCCTCACTATCAATGATGTTTTCCTTTAAAAGGCAGTTAAAACAATCTTTATCTGGCTGTAATGGATGCATTTATTGGCTTTCTTACACACAAACTCTTGAGTGTCTTCAAGATGCAGACCAGAGGTGATAAGAGATCAAATTTTAAGTCCATGAGATACACAGATATGCTTACAATGATATCTATGGCTTACATGCACTGTTTGCTTAATTTGTGTTCAACCTACTGGTACAGGTGTGCCTCTCTCGGAAGGGGGGATCATGTCAGGAGTCAGAGATTGTGGAGGATCAATGCCTTTGCTCACTTTCTGCTGGATGAGATACATAGCGAGGGCAAACTGCTCCCTGGTCAACTTGCCTATCTGCCTGGTGTCCGACAGAGCCCTGCAGACGCACATTCAGTTAAGTCAATTACAGTGAGCAGACTGGCCATGATGTTGAGCAGAGCCGGACAAACAAACGGAAGAAGACAAAATAAGTTAGGACAACTTCTGGATCATGGAAGTATTTAGTCAGGCAAGGTTTCAACTCTCAAGAAACAGTTTGAGTCCACAGCTTCTTCCTAACATGACTACATCCATGGATGAATCAAAAGTGCATACAGAAATCTGGGTCAACTGTTACAAACTTTGAGCTAAATGATCTAAGTTGTTCAAAGTCAACTCTAATATTTAAAAAAAAATCAAGTGTTTACAGTTTAAAACTCATTCATGTAGGCTGATCTATAGGTCAGCAGCACAAGTTTATAATAGTAGGTGTTACACACAAACCAAACATGACACATAAGGTCTGTAAACCACAAACAAGAGCATAATTGATACTCTACCATATATGGGCAAGGAGATTCTGAGACAGTCCAGATTGCATAAAGATCTCCTTGACTTCAAGTCCACTGACGAAACCATCAAGATCCGCATCAGTCTTTAGGAAGATGTCATCATAGCGGCCACGGTCCGACACTGGGACCACCCAAGTCACCGAAAGCTGAAACAGAAAGATGTTGTTTCTGTTTCTTTTGCTACTTTCTATAATAAGAGAGATTTGATTTTTGTGCTTGTGTAGAAAGTGTCTGCTCAGGCCCAACTTTAGTCCTTAGTCTATAACACCTGTCATTGTTGGTGCTTATGTGTGAGTGGGCCAAAAAAACAGAAATCTGGTGAAGCCTCTGAAACCAGTGACAGACAATGGGAGCTCATCTTGCTGTGTGAATAAACTGAATGCATAAAAATGGCAGCTTTCATGGGATAGGTCCTGAGTCTTTCTCAGTAAAACAGATTCTAAATCGAATGCAGTCTATCTTTATCTTTGCTGTGTTTATACCAGCTGAACCATTCCAGCTTTGGTTTCTTAGTGACTACAAAGTGCAGTATTTCACTGCACGTCTGAAGGAAGAACATTTAATTTGAGCACACCAGTGATTTGCTTCTGGCACAGTAATCTCAAAATAGATATTTATCCATAGTTACCAAGCTCCCACTCTTGTAATAAAAATCAGGGTGCAGAACAGCAAAGCAGTTTTGGTATCGACCATGACTTTTTGGGGTAAAATAAGAGATGTTGCTAGCAGGCGGTCATATAAGCTATGAAGAATTTACGACACAATAATTTACTTGATAGTTGCTTGATAACACACCAAATATTGGCACAGCAAGCAGTTGTCTGTATTCATCAAACATACTTGTGAAGGAGAGACAAAAAAATATAAATAGATGTGGTCAACTTACTGTTTCTGAGTGTTGAGTCAAAAGTGTGAATTACCTGTCCAGACTTGAGTGTGTGTTTGGGTGACAGGCTGCCGGTGCTGTTGAGTGAGTTCATGCTGCCGTGGGAGGGTGTGGAGCGCAGCGAGTCTTTTGGAGGAGGGGGGCTGGCAGGCAGTCCGGGCACGGAGCTGGCCACTGAGCCCAGACTCTTCTTCCTCTTGGATGGAGGGACGAGGGAAGAGGGGAGAAGCGTCGGAACAGGTTCTTTCTCCAGGGCCCGGTATACAAGGTGCATGGCCTGAACGAACACATTAACGAACACAAACCTTTATAAAACGTTCCTCATTGTTTAATGTGTCCCATGCATTGACAGGAAGTTAAATAGCTGGAGTGCCAAAAAAAAGCATTTTAAAATTTTGAAATTTGCAAATCAGCAAAACGTTTTTTTCTTCCACTTGTTTTGCAGTCACAGATTTTTAAAGGTTAACTGATACAGTTTGACAAAAAATCTCATCTCAAACATAGAAGAGAAAAAAAAATGGCCGCATAGAGTGACTGAATCAAATTGTTGCTTTTTACACAGTGATGATACAACCCGCAATTGGGCGAGTTCATTAATGTACCTTAATGGGGCCACTTCATTGGAAAACACTTTCATGGTGAAAAGTTTCTGTTATTGTTCTGACAAAGATGACAGTGTGATAGAATTTCAATCTCATTCACTGTAACAGGATGATTGTCTGTGGCAAATGTTGAGTGTCTGAAAAACTGCTGATCTCCTTCTTATTTACACACAACAGTCCTGGATTTTTTAAAAATAGTGCAAAAATCAAAACATATAGAGTAAAATGGGGTGGGTCTCTAAGCTGTGTTGGTGAGAGAAGCCAGAGACTTTTGTGTTTTCTGATTGCTTCCTCTTCAGCTGTGTGATGCTGAGGAGAAAAGGGGATCTCCTCTGATATTTGATTGTTAAACTTTATAAAAGGTCCTTGGTGTGCCCAAGGCTGGGTGTACACTGTACGATTTTTTACAAGTCGTAGTAGAAAGTGAACTTCCACTGTGAATCATACTGTGTGAATCGGTCCCACCATCAGACATGACCTGAGTGCTCACCGTGTCTGTGCCAAATCAGAACAGAGCTTTGACAAGTCTCAGTGTTTCTCTTAAAAACTCCCACACATGGAAGTCAGAACCAAAGACTATGACTTCCACAGAAAGTATTAAGTCAAATTATCACCTTTCTGACAAATCCAAGCCTTTACGTTGGCGAATTGGGATGAAACCCTGTGGGGGAGTGCGCTGTTACCTAACCAAATTTTCTGACATGCCAGAATTTCATCTGACCAGTCATGAGATCAGGCTGTGGTTAGCTCTTGTAACTCCCATGTACAACAAACAACCCACAATCCAAAACGTCGGCCAACTTCCAAAGCAGTCGTGCAACTCCAAAACCAGGTAGGAATGCGCTTTAAATCGCACAGTGTAAACCCATCTTCAAGATAATAGGAATAAGAACTACACTGAGTAGTTTAGTGTGCACTGAGGATGAAACACTCACCACTGCAAACTCATCTTTGTCCAGATGGCCGTCTTTATCTATGTCACTGAGGTCCCAAACCTGATAATACAAAAACAGGATCAGGCCATCAGTACTGTTCGGTTACAGATTAAAAGATTGCATATTCTATTTCAAGCTTTTCAGTACTTTCTTCTCCAATAACTGACATGATGTCAGAAACCAACAAGCTGAGTCACTACCTTTCCAAGGACATCCAGAGGTAGCTTTGAGTTGATCAGGACTGGTTTGACCTTCTCTCCTGACAGCAGGCCATTGACTGGAGCCAAACTTTCAAATATTCCATCAAATTTACTTTTCTCCTCAGGCTGAAAAAGGAAAACACAGATTAGAATTATTGGAAAGGCTGAATCTGTATATGTTAGACTGAGTGGCTGACTATCTTTTGACTTGATGGAGTGGAGTGGACAGTCTCTTTTTTTTATTTACCAATGCTGTCATCAAAGTTTTAAAAGAAGGAGTTTATAGTCAGAAATCATTAGGAACTTGTGGTGAAACAAACCCTGACAGCCCATTGTAATTCATTGGGGAGTGAAGCTGTGCTGCTTAGAGATGGACTGCTGGTGTCCTTCTGAAACCAGACAAAACAGGCAGACAAAACAGTCAAAGCGCAGTCATATCATGAATTAAGTTAGATTATAAACACTCTCTCTCAGCTTTTGCGATAAGATCTTGTAAAATGTGGCACGTGATTGTTTCACAAGTGAATGACTGATTTGGATTGTGGATCAATTTGATTTCAAAAAAATTAAATGGAGATCCTGCAAAGATACCGACAGACAACTGTCACAAAATTGTTTTAATGCAAAATATATGTAGATGGATTGAGCTTTTAGAGATGGAGTCATACTCACAAACTTTGGGGGAGGAATAGTAAGGTTGAGGCTGGACAGGCTGACTTCCTGGCCACTCTGAGCACAAGCCACCAGCCGCAGAGCCACATAGAAACCCTGAGAGAGAATAATTAGATAAAAGAATTACTTTCTTTTGATCATCCCTTTACTTATTGCAGTGTAACTGTGTCGTTGGCGTTTCAGCCTCCTGTCTTTCAGAAACTTGTATCTTCCTCTCAGTTAATATCACTGTATACTGGCCTGCAGTCTCCAGAGGTCTGTATCACATGTCTGTTAGTTAAACTTACACTCATTATTGTACAGCACCAGTGGATGTAAAAACTAAAACGAGTTTGCAGGAAAAGTGTAGGATATTTTATCTTAAACATTAGCACTGTTTTCCCTTTAACTGCTTTTAAATGTAGTCTAAACTGTGTTACTGTATTTTTTTTAATCAATTTTGTCTCTGTCAACAAAGACAAGAAAATACAGTCATGAGACTGTTCCTTACCTGTTTGTCCAGATAGCCTTTTCCATCAGGATCTGCCAAATCCCAGATCTGAAACACAACACACAAACAGCAGCACAGACTCCTCAATTACTCACATTCAAAAAAACAGTTTCCTCATTCCAAATTTTGTTTTCCTTGGTTTCTTAAATGTTTATTGGCCTCTTTTTTCATGCGAAGAAAATGATGTGTTATGATGACTGATCGTATCTTGAGTTTGTTCCCAGAATTGTAACTGTTGAACAGCTAATTTCAATTATTATTTCCAAACAAACCAATTCAGTCGGTGAACAACTATCAAAGAATTGTCATGAGAGGAATTAGGTTTTAGATTCAAGGTGGTAAACCTCTGTTATTTATCATTTGTTTATGGAGCTAACAACCTCACTCTCCCTATCTAACAATACATGTTAAGAGGGGTACCCTGATAGATACGACCTCTGACCTTAGAGGAGAAAGGCCAATGGACCTTTTTACCATTTGCAAATAATGATGACATACAGTGAGTGTACACATATTTTGGCAGTAGAGTCCGGCAGGCTATAATAGTTTGTCAAACTTTGTAACCTCCGAATATTGCAATTGCTACTTCTACAAACTGATTGTGACAAATGGTGAACACCTGGGTCATGATAAATGAGTCAGTAAGCCAAGTCCTTACCATAATTTTAACTTTCACTTATTACTCACTGCTCATTATTAAGTCTTCATTGTATTGCTCCTGTTATGTAGTTGTAGCAAAGGCTTGAAACAACTACACACTGTGGCAATTCAGTTTAAAATTAGTAAATATTACTTATTTACAGTGAAACTCTGATTAAACCAAGGTTGGACACAGTTTGTATTCTTGATTATTTTAATCTTACATTAGGATTAATCAAAACAAACAACGATCCATTTGCAGGAACCCCCTCTGTGCTTAAACAGCTGTTATAACAATGACAACCACTGACACAATGTGGGGCTAACACTTTCCAGTGAACAGGGTCACATTTTAAACTGAAACCCTAGTTGTTCTGAAATGCTCATGATCCTATCATAATTTACAGAATTTGCATCTACATTAAAGTATCAATGCTGAATACAAACCACATAATAATTATACATTTATTTTGATACTGGTAATAGTTTGAGTTCTGTGTTAAAAACTTTCTAAATTGTCTGAAATGGAGTAAAATGCCAGTTCAGTTGCCAAAATAGGTCCATAATACTGCAACTAAACACTAAGAGGGGTCTGAATTTTTATTTTCAAGATTTATGTAATTTTTTTTTCTTGAAACAGATTCGTAAAAAAAGAATCCCTAAACAGGGTTGTGTACTCTGATGAACTGTCTCCTCAGGTCATGGCAATAATATCACAGTGACTGCATCTACAATAATCTATTTATACTCTCCCTAGAGCAACCACAGCAACAGTAACTAGTGCCTATAGCTGCAGAAAACCGACTGGAGAGATTTTAAAACTATTTTGCAATGTAGATGTGTCCAAATTGGTGTAAAACAGAGCTGAAAATCCAAAGCTGTAAGAGCACATTCAAATTGTTATTTTACTGGTACGTACATACCTAACTAGAAATGAAAGAATACAAACAGACACCTCTCCATGTTAAGTTCCAGTTCAGCTGCAGTTTTAGCTTTTTACAACTAAAGGACAGTGAAGCTCAGTGACCAAAGCTGCATTTCAGCTATTTCCATAACTAAGCACAGCAGTGACACAAAAAGTGAAGTGATGTGGGAGGGTTGACTTTTTGCTCCTACCTGCTAACATAATCAGGAAACATGCCTGACAGGTCAGCTCTGATTAAAATATGAATAATTACACCCACAAAATATCTGAGGTTATCACTCAACCCAAAAGTTGAATGAAACCCAAAGTTATGGATGTGTGTTTCCAAAATAATATGCAGTCGAACCCATCACAATCTAACACTAACAGACTCAGTAGTGGGAGGCTATCTCAGACATTTTGAAAACTTTACAGGGAGAAGTGAAAGAGTGGGACTGGCATTCAAACCCATAAAATAAAACACTGCCTTTTAGATAACTTTAAAACATTCATGCTACACCTACTGACTTCAAAACCATCTCAATAAGATATTCAAGAGTCTTTTAGTTAACTCTTAAATGTTGCGGGGTTCTTTATAGAAACTTTTTACAACGTTAACAAAGAAAGTCTAACCTCTCTTCCACAATATAGTGAATACACAATAAGGCAGGAGAGAATGTTTACGTAGATAAACAGACGATCCTCCTCTAAAGGAGTTGGAGAGTTCTTCTCAAACACCACCATGTCATTTACCACAAAACTGTTCTTATCCACAGTGTATGCATGTCTCTTAAAAAAATTAGATTTTTTCTCTCTACAAGTTTATTTACAGTCTATGCATATGAGTTAAGATAAAGGACAACATTTTAAAGTAATGGCGATTTGAGGATGTGTCCATGTAACACAAGTTTCAACTCTAATAACAACCAAACTAATTCTGTACATTGCCGACTGCATTTATTAGCACTTGGCACGCAAACATCTTACAATCTTAACACTCTTTAAATTGTGTTATGAGCAAAATAGATGTAAACACAGCTTTGATATTAATATCTTGAAATACCTTAAAGCTGCTTCACAGGTTATCACGTTAAAAGCAGAAATCCCGTCCATTTACAATGTAAGTCACACAGCAAGCCGACTGCCATATGGCCAAAACACAACTCTACAATTTTGTGTTTCATAACACTACAGACGCACCACATACTGGAGGTGAAAACTTTAACCACAACCTACCTTTCCCAGTGTAATATCAGGGAGTCCCGACTTTTTTAAGAACAAGGCAGCTTCTGTTGGTCCCACTCTCCCTGTATTCCCAGGATCAACCTGGAAGCAGAACACCCACTTGCTATTTCTCAAGTTGAGCTTTATGGCATATTAAACAGGTTTTATCCCTTATTTGAAGGAAATGAAGATCCCCACAGACATGGGACAGCATACCTCATATTTTGTATGAATAAACTGGAGTTACTCTTTTACCCATAATCTTACCTGTCTGTAAAAGTTCTCATACACAGGGTTCCCGCTTGACAACTGTGACAGAGAGAACATATCATTGCACTGAATTAACCGCATGATCGTCTCTAAACAGGCGAAGATCCTCCATGTAAAAGTAGTGAGATCAGGTCAGCAATGAATCCTGTTATTCACCTCAGAGTTGACCTTACAGCATAAATCAACCAGATGAAACAACAATTCTGGTTTGACTCTAATATCTATCTATCTATGCAAGTCATGCGTATTTAAATACTCGTTAAGCACAGTTTTATGATTGAAATGAAACAGCATCCAAGCCTTGCTGCACTGTCACAAACACAAACCACACAAATCATCTGAATTGCCTGATCATGACTGATGCGCAGCCGCTGCAGGCACAAACATCGCTCCTCTGGGTGTCTATCAGCCTTAACCTTCATTTTCCCGACAGTAAACATGAATATTAGTCAGCCTTGACATATTTTAATACGAACACGGCTCAATTTCGTTCAGGTTAGCCTACTGTTTCGCTCGCCCTCTAGCTTCACAAGCCAGTTCATCGCTTCCCCGTCTACTTTGCATCAAGGCTAGGCTAGCTAAACACTGCTAGCTTAGGGACTAAACGTTATCGTAGTATCTAAATGCTTTAATACACTGTACTAACGTGCACCGACTACATTGTCCCAGTCCTGTTTACAGCGCCCATTATGCATAACGTCATAAAATATGTAATAAAGAAACTTTACAGTGTAATATATCCTAGGGTAAATGCTACACGGCTAGGTTAGCTAGTACCAGCTGTGGCTAACAAGCCCGCTATGTAACGGTACTGAAACAGGCCTTATTCGATGGCTGTATTCCCAGCTTTATTTCAGAGCGAGCTCAAGTTTTGCTCAAAGAAAAACGAAAATACAGCTTCATGAATGAGACACGTTGTACCATCCTTGTCAATAGCTCTGTCCTCAGTTAAGGTGTGGATTTGTAAATAGCCGCATCTTTACCTGGGTGAGAGATGTGAGAGCTGCCATCTTCCCTGTTGCTGAGGGAACGCACCCACCCTCACTCCCCAAGCAGCACTCCCCTCAGCGGCCAAACCCTTGCCTCACCATCCGGGGGCGAATCTAGTGGAAACTCCTGTAAAGATTTCACTTATCGCGACTTTCTTTGTCCACAAAATAATCTACCTTTTCAAACACTTACCAGGTTGACTCATTCTACCTAAACTTTGAACAGAAAATTATCATTTCAGTCAAACACTTGATTTAATGCCCAATAATCATGTAGACTAGAATTTTCCAGTCTGTAAAATAACAATTTTTATGCTTATTTGTTGTGCGGCGCTTTCTGTAACATAGTGTTTTATGAGAGACGCTTTTTAAAAAACTTCTGTTGTGGTAAAACATAAATACTCATAATTATTTGTTATTCATAATCAAGCAATTACGGCTGATAATTAAGGACATCATTCCTGGTAAATTAGGTGGAAAGTTTACTTTCCTGCGGCAGTGGTTAGTTGATTTTACAGTTTTTCTCAGTCGATTTGGTGCATTTTCAGATCAGAATTAAAGTTCTCACAACTATTAGTTCAACCTCCACAACACTGAGTCATTTGTGCAAATTGTCATACAATTCTCTGCTGTTTTATAACATTATCATTTGTTTTTGTCATGTCAGTCAAAATGAACTATACTTATGAATGCTGAATAGTCACTCCCTATAAAACTAATAGTCCTCATTTCATTGCTTGAGTCACTATATACAAAATTGTTGAACTAGTTCTCAAAATCTGTTAAGACAATTTACTGAATTTCTTAATCATTTTTTCCTGTAAATGTCTCCTAAATTGAACAATTTCTTTCAGTTGAACCTCAGTTTTCACTCGTGAGGAGGTGTGTGAAGCATTAGTTGTAACCAATGACAAGCCACTTGTCCACAGTCACTCATAGCTGAATCCCATGAACCCTCACATGGCACAGCATATATAAACCAATTGCAGTTTGTACAAATTGTTCTGAGAAATGCACCAACTGTTGTGCAAATGTTAATAGTGATGTGAGAAATGCACCAAAGCGACTGAGGCAAAACTGTAAAAGGCATGAAACTTCTTCAGTAACCTTATACCTATTGCATTTGTGAGGCTTTTACTCCCATGGTCGTATTCATTCATAACAAACGACCAACTTGTATCATCCACTTTGTCAAAAGCCATTTATTTTACACAATGCTGAAACCAAAGTTTTCACAACTAATCAGCAAAATATGGTGTACTGAAGATTGTACATGTCTCATACAAACCCAAAAATGAAAACAAAACATTGACAGAAATGGAAAAACAGATTGACTGAGATCAGAGCAACACCACACTTCTGGCTTCACCATTTCTAACCCGCAGCCATGCTATAAATAATTCTGTAACAATCTCATGCAACCAACCACCCTCTCAGCCAAGGAGATGCCTTTGTCACAGTAAAGTGCCTTTATCTCTAAGTATGTATACCCCATTTACAACACATAATAGAAAACTTCAGACAATTCCAGTTCAAACAAAATGATGAGAATCAAAATGAGAAAAAGCAAAGCACATGCTGAAATCTTGAAAAAATATTTTTGTTTTGTTTTGGCTTCTAGCACAAATTCAAATTCCCTTTAGTTTTTATTTGAAACAATAACTGATTACTTATAAATAATCCAAACTCTAATGATAATCACCATATCCAGGACACATCTGTGAAATATCTGAAACACTACATAGTAAACAACAACACCATTATGACATTAAATGTGTTCAAGTCTTTAACAACCAATAAGGCATGAGGGAGCAATGGCTCAAACTCTTACAACTTTGAGATGCATAGAAGATGTGATATGAGACAAATTGAATGAAAAAAAAGAATTGTGTTAAATTGGGAATAAGAAAATGGTTAATTTTTCCAGAAAGGAGACAAAACACACCTCTCCCTTTAAAATATCAAGTCAAATATTGAGCTAAAAAAGCATGCTATGTGGCACTTCATAGCCAGTCTTCCAAATCCTTCACCTGCAAAAAAAACAAAAAAAACAAAAAAACAACAACACAGTGAAAGAGGATGATGACAGCTCAAGCCAAGTTGTGATGTGTCCCCTCTCCCCCCCACAAAATATAAAACTGAGCATTCCTTTACTGTGTGTTCAAAGTAGAGTGCAAAGTAATATGACTCCTCTAGTAGTGAATTAAACCACTGACAGACACACCGATTTTACTGTAACCTCACTATGTCTGATTTTGGAAGCCCATTTCTGAAAGAAAAAAACTCTTCCAATCAACAAAACAGTCATTTCACAAAAATGAACTGTGAATAGAATTTCATTAATTACTAAATTGTGGGTCTTTTATCCCATGGTCCAAATTATGAGATACAGCAGGTTTAAAGGATTAGTTTAAATTCTGACTTGAATATTCTTATACTAAGATGTTGTTTTTCCAGTTGTAATTATTTTTTGCTTGTCTTTCTCAACATTTTCTTTGATTTTCCGCTTTTCCTAGCAAGAGGGAAAGGCAGAGGCAAATCACAACACAGCAATTCAAAACAGCTTGCATATTTCATTTTCCACAGACAGAACCATACATCACTGAATGCATGGTTGATGAAAGGTCAAAACCTGATGATACTTTTGTGTTCTTTGGACTTATTTGGTTTGACATACTTTGAGCCTGATGCTTATCCAAAGATAAAGAAGCAGAAAATGAGTTGATCAGACCTGAACTTCGATTTTAAGCAGTGCTAGCTCTCAAACTGCGGGGTCAACAGTTTGCACCAAATTAACACGTAAATCCAACATGGAGGGCCAACAGACAGATATTGCAGGCTTTCATCGTCTTTCCACAACAGGTACACACTGTGGTGTACAAACTGTAACTGTCGAGTAATCCCTGTTAGTGTCCCTAAATAAAAGCCTGTTGACCCATGAAGATGATGCAGACTATTGTAATATTAACTGGCATGACATCTCTCACTCGGCACAAGCGGCAGCTGTAATGATGTAGCAGCAGTGAGGCATAGCTCAGTGTGAGCTCATATGATGATCATAATAGCATGTATTCATGATCATCCTTATCATTAGACCAAAGTCACATGGCATGAAAAAAATGCTCTCGCCCCTTCTTGTTCCTCCCATGTTGACTGTAGCACCGTCATCCCCTCAACGGCCCTCTGTTGAACGGTGATGTGTCAGGTGATGTGCGGTTACTCATCATCCCATGTTTGCTGTAGCAAGAAGTTGGCCGCCAGGTTCTCATTCTTTTCACAGGCAAAATAAGCCTGGATGACTAAGCCTTCAGGGAAGCCCAGTGCTTTTAACTGGAAAACAACACACATTTAGGATACAGGAAAATGACAACACTCAATAAACAATAGCTGTGGTCTGCTCATCCCACAGCTTTCTTTAAACACCAGTGTTCTTACTTTCCTGAGTGGATTTCTTCGCCAATAAACTGAACAACCAAGTGCTGAATACATACACACCAGCAATTTAAGAGTTAAAAAATGTCTTTTACTTTTGGCCCCTTAGATATGTGCATTTATATTCTTGGTTTTGCATCAAGAAAGGATTATAAAAAACATTTTGAATAATCTTTAAAGGAATATTCCGGTGTAAAATTAATTTAGGGTCAAACACACTGTAACACCAAATTAGACACCCCCTCGAGAGATGAAGGTTGCCGACCACTTGCTTCTCTAGTTATACCAACTTTAGTAACAACGGCACGATCGCAATACACAGCGGTCTGAGGAGCCATAAACAAACCTCAACCAAAAAGCCACTCTATAGCCACAAATAAAGCTCAGAACAGCACCTAACTTCATCAACAGTACACTTAGGGTCCTAGCCACAGCAGTAGCCATCAAAGATTTTTTAGCTTTACCTAATTTCTTTAGCAAAGCCACTTGTTTGTAGACCTCAGGCCAGTCCATTACGGACTGCCGCGGGGGAAAGCAGCTCAAAGGAGAACATTTATGGCTGGGACGCTATATGTACTGTTAATGAAGTTAGGTGCTGTTCTGAGCATTATTCGTGGCTATAGAGTGGCATTTAGGTTGAGGTTTGTTTATGGCTCCTCAGACCGCTGTGTATTGCTATCTTGCGGTCTTTACTAAAGTTGGTATAACTAGAGAAGCAAGCAGTCGGCAACATTCATCTCTCGATGGGGTGTCTAACTTGGTGTTACAGTGTGTTTGACCCTAAATTAATTTTACACCGGAATATTCCTTTAATTTCATTCTTATCATTCAGCCTTTTGTGGGGAAGTGTACAGTTTGGAGAGTTTCAATATTAAGTACTGAGGATTGTTCGGTGAATCCTACATCATTGGGTTAGTAAAAACAAATATCATTACACATTGGAAGCTAATGTAATTCAGCTGGCTTTGGATTTCACACAGTTTTTACCATAGCACGTACTGTGTAATTACCCAGCCAACACTGCGCAGTATCAAGGTTTAACACAGGTTACTGACCCTTTCAATGGCCTCTTTCTCCTGTGGGGTGACCTGGATGTAGTTAGTCTGTGGTGACCCCTGGGCCTCAGCACCCTCCCCTGCTGTGTCTCCACCTCTTGGCTCATTAAGCATCTGAACAAATTGCTCCTGGTGCTGTGTGATTTGCTGAAAGTAGTTAATACAGACAATATCAGTTTAGACAATATACACGACCCCAGCCCCTTGCTAAATGACTGAGTTTAACAGATTACAACTGTAGATTAACAATTGTTTGGACACAGTAAACTAGCCTCCATGACTGTGTCTGCACATTTATTTCACTAAATGTCTCAAAATTCACTCAAGTCTAGAAGGCCTTGAAAAAAATATGTAGGATCAGCTTCAAAAAGTCACCTTGAGCTCACAGAGTTACTTCTCATACTTAGCTCTCAACAGTTGACCAATAAGAACCAAATGGACAAACAGGCCAACTTCATTCTTTGGCAGAAACTTAGTGGGCATGCTAGAGTGGTACCTGTAGCAACTGTGGATTGTCTCTGCCCAGCTGCTGCAGCAAGGCTGGAAGGAGGGCTGGGTTCTGCTGGATGATCTGTCTCATCTGTTGAAACTGCGGCTGGTTCCTTAGGAACTCCAGAGGGTTCCCTGTAGACCCAGTGCCCCCGCCAGCAGACAGAGACGGGCTGCCAGTTACTGGCCCCACTGAGGGGAAAATGGGCTGGTTATTGTTGTTGCTAATGCCCAGTTGTTTTGCTGATTCCAGTGACTTATTATCTTGTCTCTTCTTTTCAAAAGGTTTGAAAACATTTTTCTGCTTTGCTTCCACCTAATTAAGGCAAGAAATACAGCCAAACCATTACATCAATAACAGTATAAACACCATCAAAATTACGGTATAATTGTCTCTGAATCTTCAATGAGAGGAAATATTTTGTACACTTTTCAATAGAAGTTTCAGACCCAAACTAAGAAGGCACAGGAATCAGTCAAGTAAATGTGTTAGTGGTTGTGTCTTTTTGTATCCACTTTAAAACCCAACTACTGCATGATTTCGCCCAAGACACCTGATGGTGAGGACTATGATTTACAGTGTCATAGTTGTAGTATAAAACTATTTTCGTCACCTTACAAATTATGTTGCTAGAGTAAGGTTTTTATTTTCATTCCACTCTCATCTTTTTTAATGTCCAATTTGACTGAAAAACACTTGGTGATAGAATAGACTGAAGACACAAACACATTTTCTTACTGTTCGGAGCTGCTGTTGTCCGCCGGGTTTGTTGTTGTTGTGTGGTTGGGGCTGGGGCTGGGGCTGGGGCTGGGGCTGGGGGGTTGGATGGCACAGTTTGTCTTACTGGCTCTGGAGGTGGAAGATCACTAGCCTCTGCTGGAATACCCTGCAGACCACAATTATTAACTATACACATTAGGTTTCAGGTACAGGTAGAGCAGGATATAAGGCATGCAGGGCTGGATGGATCCTCACCATGAGGAGATATTCCACTGCCCGGTCTGGATTGTTGTAACTGGCTCTGAGTGCGTTGACTACCTGCTCCCTCTCATAACCCATGGACATAATTTCTGAGACCAGGTTTTCATATGCTGGACCTGTTACTGCAGAAAGAGAGAATTAGGATTTTTTTTCTTTTTTTAAATGGGACAATATGCATTAATGAACATTTACATGTAAATGCATGGGACATGAGACTGAGATCAAGATGGTTGATGGGAAACAGTTGATACGCACAGGATGTTTTGCCCTTATGGCTTGGTTACCGTATGTCATAAATACACACTGTTATTCTTCGCTTTTGAGACGTGGCCATTGGCACAGGAGAGGTTTTTCTTTAAATATAACTGCACGTTAGGTCACCTGAACTAAGATAAGCCAACAAAGATCTTCAGCCAGGACATTTAAATAATCATAAATGATAAAAATTTTGAAGATGAAAGAAGTGTGCGTATAATGCCTTTGTGTTCAAGTGTGGCTTTTCTAACTAAGATAATGAGAGGTGTCATTTTTGTGGAGTTTGTTTTTTTGATTAACAGAAAGAAGAAGACACAGTTGTCTTACCAAGTATTGATGCTGCTTCTTCAAGGAGCCCGAGCTCATCAACAAGGCTTTAAGACAAATTGCACAGAAAAAAAGCAAGTTAATCAAAACCAAACTTCAACCATTACAGTAGGTGTCTGATAAATTTAAAAAAAAAACAAGCCTGGAAGTCGCTGAAACTTGGTGATGCAGGATCTGGCAGGAAAGTGCCTTAAACTCAAAGTTATGGTCAAATTACTAACATGCTGACAGCAACAACACTGGCTTAAACACATGTTAAGCAGATATTTGTGAGTCTGTCAGAAACATGATGATGATGCATTTCAAGGGTGCTGAAATAATTAATTACTCTAGATATCATGGTAACAGGTTCTCTATCTCAATTAAGACAAATTTGTGGCTACATTTGGTAATTAGAGCGAAATACTTGTGAGGCTATTGGTTTTTTCAGGTGAGCCAGAGAAAAAGGTACGAGGTGACTTGATTAGATAGAGTTGAATCTCATCAGGAAGAATGTCATTCAAAATCTTATCCTCCAACCTGGAAGCAGAAGAGAGGACTGGAGGAGTAGCAGGTGGCTGACTCTCTGGGTTTTCCCTTGGCTTCTCTTCTGGCTGGGCAGCAGGGGTGGGGCAGTCAGCAGGGGCCGAGGTTTGTTCTGCCTTAACTGCTTCAGACGCTGGATCAGGGGTGGAGGCCGGGGGTGCTGCAGTGGCAGAGGCTGGTGCTGAGTCTGGTGCTGTGTTTGAGTCCCCAACTGCTGCTGCTGATTTATCAGAGGCCTGTGGGGTGTTATCTGGGACTGCGGAAGAGGTTTCAGAGGGAGGCACTGGCTGTGGGGCAGGTGTGGACGTGGATACTGTATGTGTTGGTGTGGAGGGCACTTGCGATGGGCCAGAGGTTGGTGCTTGGCCTGAGATTGCAGTTGATGCTGGAGCTGCAGCTGGTTGGGAATTTGGCAGGGCAGTTGCTTGAGACGGAGGGGCCTGTTTCGGCTAGAAAGATATTTGCACACTAATTATTAGAGTTTGGTAATGAGTACCAAACATTTTGTTGCAACTGATAAAAGCGAGTAAGTTTGAAGTACAGGTCTTCTGCTCTGTATAGTAGATAGCTCATTCAGAATATGGCAAAGAATAAAGTCTGACAGATAATACAGACCATAATACAATACTGAAGAGTCAGCCATGGCCCGGTGAACCCAGTACAGTAAATGCAAAGAAAACACTGATTCTTTCTGAAGTTTAATATTGTGTTATTACAGCCTCCATTTGATTTTGTTCCTGTACATGTTGACCAAAATAAACTGAAATCCCAGCTGGAGAGGTACAATGTTTATAACACCATAACTTTTTCAAACTAAAAACCAAACATGAGACATCCCCCTGAGCTGCTTTAGGACTTTTGTAGTAAAATGTCCACAAAGGACGTCTTTAATACCACCATAAAACCATAAACAGAAAAGTCACATTCACTTAAAATCATCTGTGGAAAATAACAGACTCTAATCTGAGAAACAAAGGGTTAGTATGACATGACTCTCTAAAAACACATTTTGAAGAGATACTGACCTTGGTAACCATGACCACCACAAAGTTTTTTTCATCGATTTTGTAGTCCTTCAGCTGGGTGTCATCATTTAAGATTTTGCCTGAAATATTCAAAAGAAGACTAAAAAACAGGAAAGCTTAACGCCAATGTTCTGAATAATAAGACATAATTTTTAAAAAAGGATGCCATCTATATGGGCAAATTAGATGGTAGAAGAGGAAAGTCAGTTTTAGGTCAATTTTAGGGCTGTGACTTTTAAAGAACTTTTCAAGAGAAATAATCACAGCTACGCACTGTTTGTTGTGGTATTTAATATTATGTACAGTCACAGCATGTAATTACCTTGTGATCTGTCAGGCGAGGTTCAGGAGTTGAACGCATCACTTAACCTGCTGTTTCAGCGAACACTCTCACCTCTGCTTGAGTACTTGAAGTGCATGTGGACACTTAAGAGTGTACTTAGGCTCTTACATCGACATTTGCTTACGAAAATACAGCTACTTTTGTGTAAATCAACAGCTGTTTTTGGTGGTTTCTTTTTATTTAAGCCAATTATTTGTTTGTTTTATCAAATCAGCTACTTGCCGCAGTTTCTGCCAAATGAATGTGGTATTTGTTTTTTATCTATATATTTTAAGGACAGCAATGTCCATGGACAGGGTTTTAACCAATAAGTTTGTGTTAATTGTGAAATAGTTAAAGTCACGCACTCACCTGCATAGATGAGTTTTTGTCCAGCAGCTGGAAATCCATCTTTCCCTCTGTCCTCCTCTATTTTCTTCTTCAGAGCTTCAACCTGACAAAAATTAACAGATGGACCATTGGTGCTGTGTATCACAAGTGGAGCGCCCTAAAACTTTACAATGTGTTCTCAAAGATTACCTTGTATGTTCAGGAAAGTGTTATATCATATTTTTCATTAATGAATTACTGTTCAAACACTGACATCAGCATAGCTATCCTGGCCTCTCTCTGTGATGGGGTGGTATAACGTTGTCTTGCCAAAAATGATTAATGTCCACATGTATCTGTATTGGGGTATCAATGATGTGCAAGTAAAATATAGCCCCCCCTGCCTTCCTTTTGGCTGTGTATTTAATGCTTATCAACATACAGAGTAATTTCAGATGTTTTGTAGTTAAAAAAAATCAGGCTATGAGGCTGTTAGATTAGTGTAGCTGAATGAGTGTGTCACATTAGTAGTCTGCTTTAGAACAGTTTGCAGTAGTTTTGAGTGTCAGTGCATGCATGTATGTGGTACTTTACAGAGATGGAGTAAATCTCAAACATAAAAAAAATCAAATACACTGGTTAATGACAATGGCAAGAGGTATTATAAATACAGAAATATATTACTGTAATGTATCTTAGTGGATTGTGTCAAATGGATGAACTAGTAGGAAGAAAAAATAATAGACTATCAAAAGAGTAATAGAAAAAAAGTATGTATCTGTGTTTGTATATCGTTGACCACGTAACATAATTTTTTGCATGATATTAATAATATTTAACAATGACCTCAATCCATGATTCAGATTGTTTTTTGATTCAATTCACCTAACATATGCTGTCGGTAATCATTTTAAAGTGTGAAAAAATGTTTTTTGTTTTATTTTTGGGGACTATGTTCAATAACCTTCTCTTTTCCAACATAAACATATTCGAGGATTAAAATATTGCATCGTCATTCGTGGTTAGAAACTGAAACAAGTCACACATTATCAAGTTTGAAGAAAACGTATGCAGCATTTCCGGTCGGTATTTCCAATCTAAACTCTCTCTTCCTTCCATACATGACAATATACAATCTGGCCAATGACATACATGCTATATTCAATCTCATGCAACTTGGCCTGTAAGAGAACTATTATCTTTATCGTGTAGTTTTCACCAAAGTAATCGGTAAATGCCGACTTTCTTGTAAACAAATTTCAAGTGTTGCGCTTTTACCTTGAAAGGGAACTTGCTCTATTCCGGTCCAGCACGCGCTAACTCCGGCTACGTTACCTTACATGAACTCAGTTAATTACAGTAAGATTTTGCGGATTTGTCAAGTTATCTGACAATAAATTCCTCCCTCTGGCGCAGTATTTCTTTCTCATTGATAAAATACCTATCCTATGTCTTCTTTTATAGACAGCAGTAGTCTTTATCGCGACCGTATCTTCACATTAGCTAACATTCCCGTATGCTATGGTGTACATGCCAGCCCTCCCGGCCTGACCGTGTTTACTTCAGCCCCGTTAACTTCTACTCACCGTCAATTCTGGGTCTATTTCTATTTTGAACGTCTGCTGTTGGAGAGTCTTCAGTGTTATCGTCAGCATCTTTCGACGCAGTCAGAAGTCACAGGGACCAGAGATCAGTGTATACACAGCAATTAGTAGACTGTAGCCCCTCTTTTTCGCACAGTATCTATTTATCTGGGTCTAAATGTATGTGTGACTCAGCTGTCTCAGTACCGCGGAGCACGCTGGGCAGGGACGCCATCTAGGGCTGAAGGCAAGGCACAACATGGTGTTGACTTCAAGGACCGTCGGAATTATTCAAACTGAGAGAGAACGAAAATAAACCAGCAGTAAAAGTTTTTCACTTCATCCAACTATTGTCTTTCAAACGAATTTACACTCCTGCTTGGACAGGCATATCTGATACCATATCTCAGCAATTCCACCCAGGTTCACGGTCCAGTCAAATCCAAATAGCCCTGAGATTACAAAATTTTGTCAGCCGGCAAACCACATCTTAATTTTTCTTCCTAATTGCTTGATTGTTAGGCAACTATACCTTAATTAATTTATCTCAGTATGCTTATCAATGTTAAAATGCTGAAATAACAAAGGGTCACCACAAACAGAAGAGGGTTGGTGCCACTGCAAGTTTTTTTTTTCTTTTAAATTCTTTTCTGTGGTCTCATAATTCAGAGATTAGAGCCTAAATTCTGACATTAACATCAGAGTTCTACAGAGCCCCTGAGGTGCCAAAAGTAATATGTAGTAAACCATGCACCTTATTTAATCTTGTTAGGAAAAAAAGTTGAATCTCTCGAGAGCACATGATGGGTCGCCTGTGGTAACACATTATTATCCTATGCAAAGGTTAATATCTTAAGCACATGAGATAATTACAGTGCACAGGATAACTTGTGTACCCTTTTTGCAACTTAAAGAGCTCAACTAAACTCTATAAAAAATAAACAATTGAAAACAAAATCACACAACAAAAGTTTCTATAAGTCTGCGGTACATATACTCTACCATAGTGCCTAACTGTGACCCTTTTATCACTTGCAGCCACATCCAGAGTCTGACAACGACAGGAGGGTTAGAAGGGCTCTATCTTGCATGCATTTTCATTTTTTTCCCCACTCATAATCACAAATCCAGGACTATTCTTGCCAAGACATTGGAATCCACTCATGAGAAGCTTCAGTTTATTTACTAAAACTCAAACAATGTGCAGCACAGGACAGTCACTCATTCAGAAAGACATTGAGAAAATAAAAATCACAGTTTGTCAGATGCAGTCTCATTTCATACATACATCACTCACTCAAGGACACAGATGGAAAAATGACATATGTCTGAAATTAGAGCTCTGGGAAATGACAGGATTTTTAGGGAATCGGTGATTGAATAAATTATGAGGAGGGTCAATAAAAAATAAACAATCCTAAATCACATAGGAGACATAAAAGTGCAAGAACCAGAAATGACAGAATCTCAGTTTGCTGGTCATCCCATCAAAGGCAATAATAAAATTATGAGCTCTGAGTAACTGCACATGCACCATGGGACTGACCATGTTCAGTAAATAACATTAAATATTTCATTTCTCAATCAAAGAAGACACACACACACAAACAGAAAGAAACACGTGTAAACCCTTCTCCTTTCTCACATGGAAACCTGAAAAAGCCACAAGGAAATTAAAAGAAAAGAAAATGAATCTGACTCGACCCTACCTTTCACCCCCCCACCCTTCCCTACACCTGAATAAAAGGCTGCTGTATGAAAGGCCAGAGTCCACAGGGCTGTCACTGATTTTGTTTGTTGCAGGTTTTAACCCACAGAGAGGAACCCACAGTCCAACCCGCTTCTTTTTCTCTACAACTCATCCTTCTTTTTGACCTCATTGTCCTCTTCTTCTGTACCAGCATCCTCCTCTGTCTCTTCATCTTGTTCCCCTTCTTCTTCTGCATCCTCATCTTCATCTTCATCTTCATCCCCATCTTCCTCACCATCAGTGTCCTTTTTCTTGCTTTTCTCCTCCTCCTCTCTCAGTTTCCTCTCCATGTCCTCCTGCTCCTCCTTCATCTTCTTCTCTGGTTCCTGATTGAGAAGACAGGGTATTTTAATGTCTTGAGCTCAGAGTCAGTGATAATTTTGATAATGATTTTTCTTTTTGATGACAATCACACTTTGGATTCACTTCACCCTGCATTATGCTGATATTTAAACCATGTCCAAAGTGGAGACAATTTGAACCTATTATGGTTTCAGCCACTTCAATAAAAAATACAACTTCATGAACAAATCAAATATACCATACTTTTCCCTACAGATGGAGTGGTTCGTAAACAAATGACACCTCTATCTCATCTAAAAGCATATGTCTGAAGTCATCAAAAATGCCATTTGGATAATCTTGGTTCTTAAGATGAGGATATTGTTAATGTTATTTATCTAAGCTTATTTTTTTTAGATCTTTTACTATGAAAATTATATTTTAAAAAAACATCAACAGAAGAATTTGTGATGAAAACAGTTTGTTTGATCTAGAATAAAAAAATTAGGTGTATGCAAGGTTTGTTATTCAATATTCGTGTCTGACCTTGGTGACTCCCCAGGTTTGCTTCCCGAACTCTTCTGCTTCCTTGACATCATCAGTGATCAGGAAGTTGTCAAAGATTGTCCCAGACTTAACCTGAAAAAAGATAACAAACACATAAACATTATCGAACAGCTGTTCGATTTTTCTCAAATCTTGTTTCAACTCCGCTCTATCACACAGCATGAGAGGCAGCCAGAGGTAAATTCAGGACGAGTAATGGGAAAAGTGCTTCAGTTACTAGATAACTCAGAGGGTAAGTTTCGATCTTTACCTGCCACAGATCCAGGCCTAGTACTCCGATGCTATCAAACTTGTACATTGTTGCGTCATGTGTGTACTCAGGGTTGTCGATCTCAGGATGGACCCAGCTGCCCTTGTAGTCGGGGTTGTCAATCTGTTTGGGTTTCCACTCACCCTGCAAAGATGTAATGGGAGGGGGTTATGATCATGGTTACACCCTGCTTTTAAAGCTAACCCTCAATCTCACCCAAACATCAAAAATAAATTCCCTCTTCACATAAACTCAGTAATCTTATTTTTAAGGGGTTTGAAAATCTCCTCAGCAGTAGAAGCCTGACCTTATACTCTGGGTTGGTAATCATAGGAGGTTCCCACTCTCCATCCATGTCCTCGTCCCAGTCGTCAGGCTTCTTGGCATCAGGGTCTGTGATTGTCTCTGGCTGGTCCCACTCCTGGTAAAAAGACAAGGTGATTTTTATTTCATCTGAAGTATCTACGTTTAAAATGATACATATGACATATCAGGAATATGAACACAGCCTTGCGAGGGCACAGTTAACACCTTAAGTTTTAATGTTCTTAAATCAGAACAGTCTTCTCCATATCAACCTTTTATTTAGAACTTCTATCAAAGCAACCAACAACTGTCTGCATCAGTATTACAAACATGACCCAGGGGCCAACAATTACTGAGGAGGCTCTGAAAATAAGTCAAGCTAGCCTGAATAATCTGTTTGCTCCTTTTTCACAAGCACTCTGTTGGTGTAATTACCAAAGAGGCGTTTGTTGAAATATAGAATTATCTGTGTGTTATCTGCAGAACACCAGATATACTGCAGAAAACATGAAATGGTACCATAAATATCTTCCCCTATGAGGTGACCAACACACCTACCTGGTAAAACTTAAATCACATGATCAGCACAAAGTTGATCCTATTAATGCCATGCGTGACGCCAACTCTGTCACTTATTTTAAAGGTAGGAGTGTGCTGGTATTTGAGATAGTTTGGTCAGAGATTAACATTAACCCTGCCCATGTATACAAAGTATACATGGCTCCTAAGACAAACTGAAAGACAAACAGGATTTAACAAGCCTGACACATGTGAACTCTAACTGTGAACCATGTTTGAGGAACAAGATTTTAAGATGTTCTTCAAGCACTTTGAGCAAATATTGTGGTAAAGCTACTGCTTAAAACTAGCCTTAAGTGTTTTGTAGCAGACATTTTGTCACCTCAGGTTATCTCAGTGGTGTTGACAGTAAAAATATGGTTGAGATCTTTGAGGCTTGATTATCTTTCATACATAAACACTGAGGTGCTCACCGAGTTGGTTAAAAGGGTTTTGTAGCTCTGGTTAGAAATAATTAGCGATCAATCAAAATGTGGTATTCTGAAATTGCATGCAATTCAATGTAAGACTCAAATGTTGTCTTACCTCAGGTTTGGTGTCATTGGGGTCATCGATCTTGGCTCTGTCGTCCCAGTCACTTGGTTTCTTGGCCTCGGGGTCCTTGATCATCTTTGGGGGCAGCATGTCCCAGTCATCCTCCATGGAGCCAGACTCCACCTTCTCATTGTCGATCTTCACCTCGTAGGTCTGGTCTGGATTCAGAATCAGTGTGTACAGGTGGGTCAGCTCGTCGTCCTGGAGACAGTGAGGGGGAGATAGAAGAAATATAGAATGAGAGAGTTGATCAAAATATTCGCTCAAAAAAGGCAAAATCTAGATTCACAGGCTTTTTGCAGTAACTACCTTGCATTTGATGTCTTTCTTGATAAGGTGGTTCTGGCCCTTGTAGTTGAAGATCACATGAACCTTCTTTGTGCTGTATCCACAGATGTCAGGCCCTGGAGATAAAGGCCATGGTACAGTTAGAACAGTTGAATGTAAAAGGGACTTATCAGAAAAATCCTTCAAGCGTTTTCCTAAGTACTTTGTCCTAAATCGGGGGTGTTCTCTGGTCAGACCCCAGTGCCTCTAAATAACAAATATGACTCACCAAACATGATGTAATACTGTGAGTCTCCGTGCATGTTGCTCTGGTCAAGGTCAGCGGGAAAAATCTTTACATAGCCGCCTCCACAGTCGATCTTCTGCTCATGCTTGACGGTAAACTGGATGACCACAGACTTTCCCTCATTGCTGAACGACTTGAACTTCGCAGACAGGGCATAAAAGCGGGCATCCTGGCTGGTCTGGATGCCTGTTGATGATGCAAATATGAACAAGAAAAAAAGAAGTAGGAGTGAATAGGTGTTAGTTTTGAGGAGGCCAAAGCCACTCATTCAAAGCCTATTTTTTGTGACTTCTTGTTTGTCCTTGTATAACTTTGATCAGACAAACTTTCTATATGAATGTGGTCACAGAGTTCAGAGCACCAGATGCGGCACTCTTGTAGGAGTTTTGGCATTCAACGTCGTTCTTAGGATTACTTAGGCAGAGAAGGTGGGCACCTGAAAAGCTGTACCAGCCACTCTTCAGCTGCCAGCTCACAGGTGAAATAACTCCTCAAATCTGCCACTTTTTAGTTATTGTTTGGCATCTCTTTTGACATGTAAAAGTAATATTTATTCAGCAATTTCATTTGCTAAAATTTGTGCTGAAAGCGTTACAATTCAAAAAAGGTGTTCACAATGCCTTGAGGAGTGGGGGTGTTAATAGCAACGCTGTCACCCCAGGCAGGTTATTCCAGTCCTGGACATAATCTCAGCACAGACAATTTCGGCCACTTCCTCGTCTTTGAATGGCTCTCTAACATCAGATTACACACAAAGTAAACCTGCTTTGCATTTGCATAAGACACCACCTGCAAGCTTTGGAGATAGGCAAATACACCCCTAAGGAAAAAATGCCACTACATACAATTGAATCACTGACACAATGTCTAAGGATTACCTTTATCAGCCTCGGCATCCCCATAGAACTTTCCGGCGCTCAGTTTCCACTCGCCGTAGTCGGACTTGTGCTTTGACTCAACCCACCGGCTACTCCATCCATCTGTGGCAGACATCAAAACCCATTTTGTTACTGACAAACTTTAATTGGCTGTTGTAACAAAACTATTATATTACACAACTATGCTTCATTCAGATTCATACTTCAAAAAAACAACTGTACAGCACTGAGCAGGATATCACTGTATAGAGCAACATAAATTAAAAAAGGGGAAATTTGGGGGAAATTGCAGCTTTTCTTAAACGGCATGGGTTTCAGTGGGTAAGGTTGCCTTATTAACACCAAAGTAATTCTTAAAACTGATGCATTTTCTACATTTTATCAATTTCCGTTTTTAAAATAGGTTTCCTTAAAAATGTGTACTTATTTCACACACAAAAATCAGCATCACTTTATTTTAACTCAATGCTCCCCTTAAAATCAAAAGTGAAACAAGAATTTGTGCCACTCATATGAAGGTCTGAGCTTATGAATTGACTTTTTCTTACTTACACCTGACGACTTGGTATGATAATGAACAACCTAAGAAGATTTGTTTGACTCTGTTCCACTACTTTAGATCATCTTTAAGCAATAACCATCTCACTTTACTGTCTGGCCTATTTCAGTGGGCTAAATGAATGCAGTACGGTTATTTCAGAGGAAGCATTACTTTAAAAAAGGTTAGATCTGGAAGAGTAAACTCACTGAAATTGTCTTTTCAATTCAATAGTGCAGCTGCTCTGTGGGCAGAATGATTTATATATAGGGCAAAAAGACATGTGATAGATAGGTTATACTGCACCTCCATCCGCAAACTGTTCCTTGAAGTAGATTTCAGCACCAATATTGACAATTATCGATGCAAAAACAGCGAGGATCGTCACGGGTAGCTTCATATTTGCTGGGTCTGTCCAGTGCCGGGGAGGTAAAGAGAGGAGGTTAGAGGTGAAACCAGCGAAAATAGCGAGGAGGAAGCGTAACCTGAGAAATTTAACAGCAACGAGCCCTGCACAGATGGCCGCGTCTTATTGGACCAATGTTTGGCCAATCAGATGAGACCACGAGTTACATTTCGGTAACGCTCGGGTTGCATCGGACGGAGATCGGAAATGGGGCAAGATAGGGACCCTGTTGCGTTCAGGGATTTTAGGAAATGACGTGCCAGTTATCCACTGGTGAAATTTGTGGCAAACATGTGCTCTTACCCACCTAGTAACGCCACGTTGACTTCGTACATTGAATTTGGAGTTATGATGAGGGGATAAAGACCAGCGTGTTGTTTGAGAAATCGGTATTTGATCATTTTAAATAATTCCAGACCGATTAAAAACAAGCCCAATTAGAATCATTTCTCCTTTTTGGTTGCAGATGCACCACTATACCTGGCAATTAACGCGTGGACTCTGTGATTTTAGTATCCTTTCAATGCTATTTAATGTCTTCAAAAATGTCTCCACTGAGAAAAAAAGCCACCAATAAAAGTTATATTCTCTTTCGTAGGCTTACTTGCATTGCTTTATTACACTAAGTGTGTCTGAGACAGAGCTGTGCTGGATATACTCGGATTTAAAAGGAGGCAGTAAAGAAATAGTCTGCCAACAGCATTGTAAGCAGGATCAAAATCCACAAGGAAAAAAAAAGCTTTAGTATTTCTGTGGTGTATCACCAAGTTCTTTGAATATTATCTTACTATTTATGCATGTAGTTCTGTAAAGGAGTGATAATAGGATCCCCTTTGCATTTTAATGATCAAAAAATGACTTTGGTCTGAAGTAATGTAATTCTGTGGCGCTGATATTTTATGGTTGTAGTACTTTTACTAACCACATAGAGGCACCAGAGTCTTAATTCCAAGTCTGACAGGCTTCACGTTCACAAAGCACATCACCGACCCATGCGTAGAGTTTGAACTCTCCACAACTAACCCATGAGTTAAACAAATTTTATCCACTTTGTAACACTTTTGCCACTAGATGTCCCTGCAATCCAAAATACACTCTGTACTTTTTCAGCCAAACACCAGACATTTTTACTGATAAAAGATTATGTTGATAGTTTCATTAATCTGTATTCATATCAGGTATGTGAAATAACTGAACAATATACTAATAGTATGCCTTGAGTTTCCATTAGACTTTAACTTTTAAGGTAATGTAAAGGTGTAACAGTAACAAAAGGTTAACAATGTGTAAATATCAAAATAACCCTGTGTGTGTGTGTGTGTGTGTGTGTGTGTGTGTGTGTGTGTGTGTGTGTGTGTGTGTGTGTGTGTGTGTGTGTGTGTGTGTGTGTGTGTAAATCCACAGATGTGAGGTTGTCACAAGTCAAAAAGTGAGGTAACAAAATACTAACACTCTACAGGGCACACATGACACACAACAGGGAATTCTGTCCTGAGCTTGTTGATAGCAATCACACCTAAAATAAGGTCACATACTTCATGGAGATGATGGAAAATACTAAGACACAATGTTAACTTGAAAACCACCAAGTGATGTTTGGTCTTTGCTGGTCTTGTATAGGGTGTAAATGAAAAGAAACAGTAACAGAGATCCAGAAAACACGGTTCTCACACTGTGGAGCTAAATGTAAAGATACCCGCTGTGCTAATGAGGGCAATGAAGCTGGGTGGTATCATCAACACATGTCCTGCTCTTCATCATGCTGTCACCTTATTTCATCAGTAGCAAGTAGTGCCAAGTTTTGTCTTGCTCATGCTAACAGAAGAAAAACACCTTTTATAATCTTACTAAAGGCTATAATGTTTGCATCTGATGGGCAAAATTATTTCTTATTACTTCCAACCATAACAGCATGATAAAATTGACGCTAAGGAAATGTATTAAATTGATAAATGCAATAAAAAAAGTGTGGTTGAGTTGGTCCTGAAAAATTGCATGTCTAGATCATTGTTGAAGTTGTTAGACTTGGTGAATTCTTGACCCAAAAGCGGGGACTTGGATCATGCACTAAGCTGATTGATGAAGATCAGAGTTTGTGTTTGTGAAGTGGAGAAAGCAGGATAACCAGAGCTGACAGAGAAAATACAAAAAGACAGTGGACCTGGAGAAAAGGTAGACAATGAATTACACAGGATTCAAAGAAAAAACAAAGATATAATCTAGATAATGAGCAAAAGCTGGTTTTAACATTTGTTCCACACAGCCAGCCTGAAGAATCTGTTGAAGTGTTGAGCTGAGTAATGTATACCATAGAGGCTTGATGAGCTGATGTACTGCAGGTGCACAGCTGGACTGGCAGCAGGGGGGGAATTGGTTGCTTTTACAAAAGGGAAATACACTTTCCTGTATGCGAGGAGCTGGAAATGCATGTCACGCATGTGTGTATGAAAACCATGTTCTATGTAGAAAGCGATTCTATAAACATAGAAACACACTCAGTCTGTCAAACCCTGATCTCAACCTTCTATATTATTCTCTTGAGCTGTAGCTTAGATCCTCTATTAAGGTCTACCTGCCAAAGCCTTACAGCTGTCTTACCTATCAAAATTAGACTGATTCATGTTTTAATCAAAAGTTGAGGGAGGTGCACAAGCATTTGCGGGACAAATAGTAAAGGAAAATCTAAAAACAGGTCCGCAACAGAGTGTTTAAGAGCAAATGTAGGACAATAACCAGTCCACACTCCCTTTGAAATCCTTAACAACTGGATCTTGCACACACAAGTCATAACAAACGGTTCCTTTGTGGTTAAATGGTTTAACTTCTTTGGGTTTCTAGAAAATAAAACAAAAATAAATCTTGCTTTTCTTGCATTTGGGATTCTATTTTAAAATTTACACAGTTACTCCTGTTTTAGAGTGTGCTTTGCTTTCCTGGGCTCTCGTGGGTTTCATACCACAATCACATGGTTGGACGTCTACAAACAATCCTAAGGTAGGCTGTGAATGGGAGTGTCTGTGATTTTGCGAATCTCTGTGATGCACTGGAGACTTGTTCTGGGTGCCCAAGAGCGTGCTGAGAGTGGCTGCAACCATTTAACCCTATGGAAGAAATAAAAAAAATACTCATGTAAGTGTACATCTTTATTTGAATACATAAAAAGATTTACAAGCATTGGAGACGGTGCTTTCACTTAACATGAAAGCATCGCCACTTAAGGAGCAGTGCTGATTTCTTATTCAGAGTGGCTCAAATTAGCGACGCTGGTACAGGAAGTTACTGAATGTCAACTTCAAAATTAAGGTTAGTGGTTATAATTATGGCTTGCTTGCGGTTTTTCCTTTCTATGGCACCAAGACAAGAGAGGATTAAAAATGGTAGCTACTGCTGACTGAACTATTATCGAACCTGTTTTTATTCTGCAAACATATAATCTACAACAACAACAGTGGACTTGTAAGTTTTCGTAATTGAAAGCATGTTATGTCAAAGCCCTACAGGTTGCCTTGTTTATATTTAAGTTACATCATTTTATATAAGCTTCTCTTAATAGACTGTAGCCAGTCATATCACCATTTGAACTAAGATTTGGAGGCTTAATGATGGGTTGTGAAATGCTATGACATGCCATGCCATGCAGCCAGATAGTATGGATGTTAAGTAAAGGTCTTCTTGTTTGGGAACTTCTCTCTGCTTAGACCGGTATACCACAGATAATAATAACTTTAATAATAACTTTATTTTTATTGCACTTTTAAAAACAGGAGTTCACAAAGTGCTTTGACAAACTGTCGTAAAACACAGAACATCAGCACATGGAAATAAAAACAAATAAAAACAAAAGCTCAGTTAAAAACAAGCCCTCTGAATTGAAGGCCAGTTTCATTTGTCATAAGAAACCCAGAAAATACAAAAACCCTGCAACATAAAATGAGACCAAGAGGAACAAAAGAAAAACATAAAATAGGTAAGAAAAAGAAATGTAATAAAAAAGAGGGGCAGAAAGCAGGGAATAGGATAAAAGATGATGTTAATAATGATAATAAAATCCTAACAAAATAATAATGATGGTAAAAGTAATGAAAAAATGGAATAACAGTAATTAGCAGAGAAAAACAATAAAAGGTTAAAGGTCAAATAGGAAATGATTATAAGTAAAACAAAGGCAAAAAAGACAGTAAATCGAAATAAGGTAAAAGTGATAAACGAAAGACGGGGAAAAGATGATCCTGTGTTCTTGATACTTTTTCATCTTGTGATCCTGATACTTTTTTCCTAGCACAAAGATAATGTGCTGAATGAACACGGTACCTTTACGTGCTTTTATTTTGAAGGTTTTGACCGGACGTAGCCGTGGTCATTACTGAGAACGTGACTCTGGTCTAGAAGGAGTGACTCGTTGACTGCGGCGAACGCAATTTCGGCAACATGGGAGACGCTGTGGGATTTATTCAAAACGGATTTTAAGAACTGTCGGGAAAATGGCAGAGAGGTGAGTGAAAGAAAATGCCCTCTATGTTTTTTTTCGTCCTGTTTACTGTTGTAGCCGATAGTGTGTCTCGTGTGAAAACGGAGGGAGGCTGCCAGCCCAGCGATGAGGCTAACAGCGGTTCGTTTGGTCGCTGAGCTGAAGCGGGTGAAGCTAGCTCGCCACTTCTTCGCTCTCACGTTAGAACATGATTTACGAGGAAAAACATTTCTTTTAATTCAGGCTCGTTTTCCCCCTTGTACATGATGTTGTTGGCTCTGGAGTGTGTCGCTGGTTGTTTTTGAAGGTGTAAGGATCACATGAAAGAGGCTGTGGACGGCTGGCTGATGATGATGATGATGCTGTTGCACCTGTCGGTCTACATTGGCGTCTCTTTGCTGGAATGCAGCTAACCTTCTCCTCTAGCAGGATGCTAGCAGCACACCCACCTATACGGACACATTATCAATGTGGGTTGATGCTTGGCTAGCCAGGTTATCCAAATCCTCCCTCGCAGCATCCCTTCATCCTCATGATGGATGGAGGCACCTCCCATGAGAGGAGGCTCTGGAAATAGAGAAGCGTTTCACCATCCTGTTACTTTCTTTTTTTACACGATCCACTTTGACCCCCTTTTCCATACCTGTGCCTGATGAATTGCTCTCCTGTGTGTACAAAAGAGCACTAGTTTCTCTTGTAGGTCTTTCAGTGTGTTATATGTCTCTGCTTATTAGTAGGGTCACACACTTCTAACTAACAACCATTTTTGAATCATAATTCCCAGTGGTAATTTATATATTAATCTAGTAAGTAAGTAAGTGAAATTTATTTAGTATAGCACCTTTCATAGAAAAGATTCACAAAATGCTTCACAGTAAAAAAAAAAAAATCAAGTCAAAAAAAAAAATCAAGTCAAATCAAAGAATAGGGCCCGACCGATATGGATTTTTGGGGGCTGATGCCGATACTGATTATTAGGGGGGAAAAAAATCTGAATCGGCCAATTTTAAATTTTTTTTTATTAAGTTATAAAAAATACATAGTATACCGGAATTAACTACGGTATACTATATACTGTAGATATACTGTAGGCTACTGCTCTTCATGCCGACAGGAAGACCAACTGCCAAACTTGGACCTGAAGCATGTCCCGGTCATGAACTCATGCAGTGATCGAAAAAAACTCCTAATCTACAGAAGAACTGAAGTGGTGTGTCTGTTTAACTGTCCCTTACTTTGTACTATACCACAATTTAATTAGGAACCAATGAAAGAAGTCATATTTTTCCATCAACTGGTAGAGAGTTTGTGAATCAATGAGTGAGGTCCACTTTTGTATACAAGAGCATGCATTAAATATGCTCAACAGATTCCTGTCTTGTATTGCTGGCATGTACACTTGTCCCCCGCTCAAGGAAACAATCTAAACAACTGGGTTTTGAATTGGGTTTGGACTCACAGCAGAAAAAAGGGTTACTTACAAAACTACGTCAAGTTCCAAGAGATCTCTGTTGCAAGGCTAAATTTTTTTAGACCTGCCCCCACATCCAGCGCTAATTTTTCTAGCGCCTCCTCACTGGCATCTAGTTACTGCCAGTAAAATGAGGGTGGAGGCTGCATCTTCACCATAGACAATGGCAGCTTCCCCCCCTGCAGCATGCAAGCTCATAAGGCCAAGTTAATAATTGATGGCTGTTAAATTTGTGTTGCATGGGTCATCTGGCCTCATGTAAATCACTTGTGCTGGTTTCCACCGAGGGCTCTGGAGCATTATACAAATCCCTGAATGTTTGTCAGAGTCTTACTGTACAAATCAGAGGCTCGGCTCCCTCATGACTGATGAGAAACATTCTGTCTGGTTATCAGATGTTGCAGACAGGGTGAAGATTTGTTTAGCCTGGAGTGTTTGTTGTAGATACGATAAAGAAATGAACTGAAATGGTCTGTACCTTAATAATAAGGACTGCTTGAGGCCAGTCAGGTCAAACCATGACAATGCTGATGTGTTGGATGATTCAAGTAGTTACTGAGAATTGTTGTTCGTGCCTCTCTGAGAGTTTCTCATTCAAATCAAATGTGGTCAGCTTACAGCCTTTTAACTCGGAGAAAGGTCAGATATTCATAATAGCCTTTCTTCTTTAACTTATGTTGGACTAGTATTGATGTACAGTACTCATTCAGTAGTACTTGATATAAGATGGAAATACTGCCTTGGTCCACAAGCATTTGTGTGTACTGTGCAGAAGTCAAAGTCGAGTAGTTCTGGGAGTACAATGTGTAGAAATAGACCAAGTTAAGGATCATGTTACTGAAGTTCAAGGCATGCATTCCCTCTGTCTCTAAGATGATTTGAGCAACAAGAGCAGCCTGGTAAGGACCCTTGACTGTAAATAGAATAGACGACATGCATTCGTTTCTGCCCTTTGTGAGAGTTGAAGCTAAAAGACTGCTTCCATCGGGGCTGACATATTGTGCTGATGCAAGCAAGGAATATGCAATAGCCACCTAGCTGTTGGAGTCATGGGACTGAAGTCATCCCCTCTCAGCTAAACCAAAACATGCATTTGACTTACAGACACAAACACCTCTCTAGGTGCTACGGTCTGTGGCAGAACATATTATTTGCAGCAGACAGGTATGGTTATGGAGAGTTCAGTGTCTCTTGTGCTCAGTGTTCCTCTTCTACTCTGCCTGTGGAGTACAGAGCACTGCAGGAACATTTGTCAACGGAGCTGTCAATCAATCATCTTTTGTAAAATCAAACAACTAATTAAAATCTAAGCTTCTAAAATAGTAAAGCGCATAAATCAGCATAACTAATTACAGTTTACAATAGGAACTGTGTTTGAAAAAATAGTTTGACTTGTTTCAATTTTATAGTTTGACACATGTTCCATCTGTTAACATGGAGGAAACTGGGTATGTGACCGATGCTACAGCCAATCAGGGAAATCTTTTGGCTTCACAGTCAGTGAAGATCTGTGGTGTCCTCTTGAATAATACAGTCTGTGGTCAGGACTAGGAAAGGAACAGGTCCCAGAGAGTACTATACGTCAAAGTGATGATATTATTAAGTTATATTAATGTTTAGAGTTGTGAGTTACAAACAAGCCTGTCACAGATGTTTTTTTTAATGATGAGCCTAACCTGAGCTCAGTCTAGTGAAATAAGGGCTCACATTCATCCTATCACTGGCAATTTTACAGATACAAGCACGCCTGTGTCTTTATTAGAAAGGGGGATGACACTTAAATTTGGTTGATTTCATGTTAAGCCCAAACACACTAAGAAATAATTCAAGGTTTATAAATATAACCTCCTTGTGTCACGGTAAAAGGCTAATGGATATACCCTCGTCAACCTCAGTCGTGGAAATCAGGCCAGGCGCAGTAGATTGTAGGAAAAGGGCCCCTGATCCAAGGTCAAAACTCTGTTGAAAAATACAAAAATTAAATCCTTTTTGGATTCCAATCTTCAGTGCTGAACTTGATGGTTTTGTTTGTGTGCACCTAGTCCACAATGGAGTCTTTGAAGTTCAAACTGGAGGAGAGATGCTTTTTATTGCTTACTTTGAAAAGAGAATGAGAGACGTGAGTTCAGTCAAACTACCAAGGTGACAGAGGACGGTTTTAACAACGTGATGTGTTGTTCACACAGGGCCTTTTTTGCTCTTTGGTTTGAAAGAAGCTTTAGGAACCCAGATTTTTTTTCATGTGGCTATCTTATACATCAGTTGGAAGTTGGCGTGAAAAGTGGCAAAGCTTGTACATAAGTATTTTTGGATGATCACATTTATTCAAAATATCGTTTAAGGATCTGCAGTAAGCTGCAAACAAAGCTTCTAAAGAGCCCTCTTTAAACTGGATGTTTGGATTTGGACAGTATGCATACATACATACATAGACTCCACGGGTCAATGTATGGGATTGCAGCTGTTGTTCCACCTCAGATCTTAGCATGTGTTGTTGTGCATTGCATTCCTGTCTGCTGAGCTACTGCAAGTGCAGCAATTATGTGCACTTTTTCATTTTTTTTCCCAGCATGGTTGTTGAACAAGGCCACTAATTAATAGCTCATAAAACAAGCTGTTAATAGGAATTCTCTTTACACTCTGTGGTTGCCTTGGAAATATTTTGGCCATTTATTCAGATGGGAAAAAGGCACTTCAGCCAGTAAATAGAGTAAAATTAGAATTAAACCACAACTGATGTTTAAAAAAAAAACCATCTTCCTTTCTACTCGGCGCTGAGCTTGAAATCATCCTTTGAATGTTGTTGACATACAGAATGTATCACCGCACACATGCCGGCTCCATGTTGCATGTCGTCTCTGTGTCTGGCTGCCAGCTTGACATTTGATCCCAGCAGCAGGGTGGGGCACTGAGCTCATGTGTTGTACCAGCAGCACGTGGCTGAAATATTCATAATGCCAGGCTGGAGCTACAAAGTTGCTGCCATATCTGTCATAATTATTTTGTCTGCTGCTGGGTGAGATGTTTTTGTGGCACCTGAATCCAGCTTAAAATGTTGAAATCCTGTTCCAACAATATATGGTCCATTTCAATACACTCACTCTCAGCAGTCAACTAACACACTCAGCCACTCAAACATAATGATAGAGCTGCCGGTCTGAGTTAGTGATTCCTCCCACCAAAAGCACAGTTTAACATGAATGATACTGAAAAGAAGATTGTATTACTGAGTTTGTGAAAACATATTGAGACGAATGAGGTAAAAGCTTGAGGACGATTATCTGACTCCAGTCAAAGACTATGATTTGACAAATGACAATGTCAGTAAGGAGAGGAAAGGTGTTCATATTGTCAGAGGTGGCCCCAACCACCCAACCTGACTACACAGAGCTGAATTGAACATCTTTCCAGCTCCTGTTGAGATAACTGCATCTGATCTCAGAACATCTTATCTACAGCTGGTATTCAAAATGCAATTTAATAATATAAAACAATTTTCACAGCTCATAATATTCAATATACCTCTGTTTTACGTGCCTAGACTGAGGAGTCACTGTCACAATATGCAATCACGACTAATTTATTCTCTGGCTCTTCGCCTGACCTGAGAAAATACACAAGCTCTTTTTTTTTTTTTCTTTTCCCAGCCTGCTCTCACTTGGGCTCAAGGTGCCTCTGGTTGAAAATCTCAGAACTTCTCAGAAACATGCTGGTGTTGTCACTGTCACTCCTTAGGCAGCAAAATAAACATTGGATGGGAAGAGAGCTGCCACCCTGTTAACCAAGAAGATGGATAAGAAACTCGTTTTGGCATTTTTTGTCTTGCCTGAGGCGGAGCTTTATTATATATGTTTGAAATGTTGTTTTTGAGCGCAGATGAGCAGAACACTCAGTGTCAACCTCTGTGACCATGTGACCAACCAGTCAGCCTGTGAGTTAAGCTGGTATGACAGTTTTTCATTTACATGCTCATAAGTACTTTCAGTGTTAAGGTCCTTACACACCAGGGCCGACAGGAATATAGAACGTGAAATTACGAAATATTCGGAGGCGAACTTTGACGCGCCTGACTATATACATCAAGCCCGATGTGATTTTGCATTTTTCCGGGGGGAAAAAAGACGCATCCCGGGTGGAAGCGAGAAGACTGACACAACACCAGACTGAGTGTTTTTCAGTTCTGATTAGACACTAGTGTTGAGATGTCTGTCTGTCATGGTAGCATGTACTGAGTCGAGGCCAGTACCAGATTAAAGCACATTAAACTATAATCCATAAACATAAGGTAACAACCGAGACCTAATGGTGCTGTGACAGCAACGCCATTGAGTTTGAGACAGTGAAATACATATGGTATGTTGTATCTGAACAGGTTAGCTTACGAGCTAAAGTTACTTAGCACAGATGAAAGTTAAAACAAAGACGTTTATCAAACTGTAAAAGCACACAAACCATCGTCATATGAGAAATCTGACGCTATGACTCAACAAGTTGTCCTCCAGGTTTGTGTCTTTTATCAAAAAGCACTCAATCAATCAATCAATCAATCAACTTTATTTGTATAGCACATTTAAAATAACCACAAGGGTAGCCAAAGTGCTGTACAGTGACATAAAAACAAATAAAACAATCAAAAAACAAGATAACGCAAGCAGAAATACAGTAATGCAAAAGAATAAATAAGTGTATAAATAAGGAGGCTCACAGCAAGTGCTAAAATGATAAAAAACAAATTAACACTACAATGTACTAAAAGCCAATGAGTAAAAGTGCGTTTTTAAAAGGGATTTAAAAACAGGAAATGAGGAGGCCTGTCTAATTTTCAAGGGCAACTCATTCCAGAGCTTAGGGGCAGCAGCAGCAAACGCTCTGTCCCCTCTGAGCTTCAGCCTAGTACTGGGGACCGTCAGTAAAAGCTGATCAGCTGATCTTAGGGGTCGGGGTGGGCAATAAGGCTGGAGCATCTCCGAAATATAGGGTGGAGCAAGGTTGTTCAGGCCCTTAAAAACAAATACTAAAAGCTTAAAATGAATTCTGTACTGAACAGGGAGCCAGTGTAAGGATGCCAGGATGGGGGTGATGTGCTCACGCCTGCGGGTCTGTGTCAGGAGACGTGCAGCAGAGTTCTGCACAAGCTGCAGGCGGGCAAGGGAAGCCTGGCTGATCCCTACGTACAAGGAGTTGCAGTAATCAAGACGGGTAGTTATAAAAGCATGGATTAATTTTTCCAGGTCAGGTCTTGATAAAATGGGCTTCATCTTCACTCAGTTCTCCGACACGTAAACAATCGGTCGGCCATGTTGGATATACTGGTGAATCAGACATCGCAACAACACGCAATCTGATTGGTCAGAAGTGGACACACAGTATGGGAAACTTTAAAGAAATCGACCATGATTTGAAAAAACAAATTTGGCAATATCGCAGGACAGGAAAACATTGCTGATGTGAACGCTTGTATTGACAGGATATGGGTTTGGAAAAAAATATTGATGTCTGAAATAATCGCACGACAAAAACGGTCCCGGTGTGTAAGGACCTTTACTGGTAACTTTCTTGTATTGCATTAGGGGTGTCCCGATACAACTTTTTTACTTCTGATACAATGCCGATATTGTAGCCTTCAGTATCGGCCGATACTGATATTGCTCCAATATTAGCACAAACTTGTGCAGGACAAGCTTTGCTCTTAGCTGCAATTTCTTTTTGGACTTTAATGAAAAATACTGCCACACAGCCGACATCACTTCTAATCCTTGCTACTTTGTTTGTACCTTAGTAAACACTGTTGTCGGGATTACGTGGGCTCTACATGCTGGATCAGGGTGTTGCTAGCTAGGGGTGTCGAAGTGGAGTCTGGAATGGACTGCTTGTATTGGAGTGCTGATATTGAAGATTTTAGATGCAGGCTAATATAATCTGATATATGTATATATATATTTTTTTTGCTGATATTGAACTCATCTTATTTCAATATCGTATCAGGACATCCCTTTTTTGTACATTTGTACACACGGTTTAAAAACTCCTGTATTATTGCTCATTAGTCTTTCTGGATTGGTCAGTTATCTCTCCCTGGTTTATTTTTACACGTATCTGCTTTAATGTGTTTGTGCGCGCGTGTGTGTGTGTGCGTGTGTGTGTGTGTGTGTGTTCATAAAGGCAGTAGGCACCCTGTATGTGTGTGTATGTGTGTATGTGTGTGTGTGTGTGTGTGTGTGTGTGTGTGTGTGTGTGTGTGTGTGTGTGTGTGTGTGTGCTGGAGGAAAAGAGTTAGCAAGTACTCGGCTGTTGGTTTAATAAAACGTTGATATACACCTCAGGGTTGTTGTGTTTCACTCTCCCGGGCTCCATCTTTGTCCCACAGCCCGTCCCTTATTACCCACATGAAAGAATCAACAAACTGCTCAGTTCCTATTGATGTTGTGGCTTTAAAGGACAGCAGCTTGTTCAAGGCTGCAGTCTGAGCTATTAATTTTTCATCCATTTAATCAGTGACAGTGGCAGGAAGAAGGAGAAGCCTAAGGGAGACACGTCACTGTTTCCCAGCATTATTTAGTAGGTTGTAGAGAGAAGGACTGTGGCTGGTTGGCTGCCTGGTGATGGCCTCAGCTTGAAATAATGGAGTTGTCGTGAAACCAGAGTTTGGAAAATTGATGCTAGTATAAATCAAACCATGTTGACACCTGTTTTGATACCGCAGCAACAAAAAGTATATCACATCCTGAGCACCAAAATTTTCCTGAGCATAAATCAACATCTGGCGTACTCTTAGGCTACCTAAAAAGGTCTTTCATGAAATTATATTGTTTAGACCGATTAAATGACGCTGTCAGTCATCACAAGCAGCATCCACCGAGTGTGCGGTGGGGTCTGTATCTGCAGCTACCCTCCTCTGTTCTGTCATTGTGTCACTGCCTGAGTTTGAGACATTTCCATGTGTCATTCATCGGAGGTGGTGGAGATCACAGCCAACCCTCCGCTGTCAGGACTTGAAGGACGAGCATTGATCAGGTGACGTCACTCTTTCTCTCCTCTATCCTCTGACTGCAACAGTCCTAAATATAACCTGCTCATCTCTAGTAGATGCCAAAGGACCTCACAAAACATCAGTATTTGCTGACCTGTGAAGGAGGACATTTAGTGGTGCTGTGGCTGTATAAGAGCTGCCAGTGTGACGAACAGGCAGGATTATGCTGGGCTGTTTTTAAACAGCATCCCACACTCTCCTTCAAGTTTGTGTGGAGGTGTGGGCCTGTTAGCTTGTTATTTAGAGTGTGACAGCTGCGAAACAATCTGTAAATAATGAAATAATTTCCCGTTCCTCTGCTTTGTATTGATTTGTGGCACGTACTCGCCCACTCCCACTCTCTCTTTGGCTCACAGTAGGTTTGGGATAAAACTATGACTGCAAATAAATACATACACATACAGATAAATCAAAAGATATCGAAGTTTTAAAGTTTGAAATGAACTCATTTGTGTTGTTAATGTTTCTACTTCACGTTGGTAAACGGACTAGTAGCACTTTTCCAGTCTTTCTCACCTCTCGATGCACTTTTCCACTCTACTCACATTCACCCATTCACACCACATTCACACACTGATGTCAGAAGAAGCTACTGTAGGGCTCCTTCAGTAATAACCGATTCCATTCATGCACAGTCACACACTGCTGACTATGGGTGCACTCGCTTCAGGCCCAGTTGCCCTGTACCTTGTTGGAGCACTGACACTGCCCCTGGGCCGACTAAGCCTTAACACAATTACTTCTTTTATATGTCATTGAATCATAATATGACACAGGCATGGTTTCCAACAAACTAATATCAAACATTTAAATGAATAATTCAATCATTATTATTATGACCACACACTGAGAAACAGCCTGTAAATGCCAGACTGCACACGGGAAACACCTGCTGTGCAGTAAATACGTTCCCATTCTAATCAATGAGGCATCATATACAGGATGCGTCTGAGCTCCGTCTCAGCTCTGTCCCAGTAGAGTCTTGACGCCATGCTCTGCCAAAGATACGTTCAGAGAAGATCGTCCCAGACAGGATATCAAGAACGGTAAAGGTGTATGCCATCCGGTTAATTCTAAAATAAAACACCATATGCAGACTCTCGACTGTATTTTGAATCATGTAGGTGAGAAATACTTCCTGGTTATGGATTTATTGGTAACCCTTTCTTTTACAGTACACTTATTACCAGGTTATTAACAGGTAATTACCTAGTAACAACATGAAATTATCTGGTAATTACATGACAACTACTAAGTCAATACTGTCTAGTTTTTTTCTTTTTTCTGTGCAGCTCCATTTTCAAAAGCTATTTGGGGTTCTTATTTTCTATGATTGACACTTGATACAGCCTATGGGAGTGCGAAGGTTGCATAGCGATACGCTGTTTGAGCCAAGCATTATCACAGCGACTCACCCGCCGAATGCGTACAATGCTACTGCGCAAGTGGTGGTTCCAGGATGCAGAGAAAATCCTGGAAAAACCAGAGCAGTTCGGCGTCAAGTTTGTATGATGATGGAAGGTTACTTACCTGGTAACTAGACAGTATTGACTTAGTAGTTATCATGTAATTACATGTTGTTACTAGGTAATTACCTGGTAATAAGTGTACCGTAAAAGAAAGCGTTACCGATTTATCATTAACACAGAAAAGCCCCATGGTCTATCCCTAATCCATGTGGACACCAACAGGACTTAAAGCTGCTAATTCTGTCTGAAGGTAACAGCACAGTAAGGTGAAACATAGTTTATTAAACACGAGTAAACCTGCAATAACCCAAACTTAAAAATCACGTTGCTTGTTCACACACAGTTGAAGCACAACAATCACAAAAAAATCTCAAACTTTTACTTTTTACTTTAATTTGCATGATAATTTATTTCAGGAAGTCAAAAGTAGATCAAATACAGCCCCTCACCAACTCTGCCAGCTGAAAGAAAGTTGCGGACTGTCATAGAAAATGTGCTTTTTTTTCCCTCCTAATGAAGATCATTCGGGCTGTTGTTGATCATTTGCCCTTGTCAGCCACCGTAGTGATTCTGTTGGTGAAAAGTGTAATTTGCCCTGTACACTTTGATCAGCCAGTCAATGCAGTGTTTCAGGGGGTGTGAAGGGCATCTGTGGGGTGACTTATTGACTTGCTGTATTGACCTTTCCGTACTCACGCTCAGTGTGTGCAACAGAACAATAATGATGAATGGTGATCAATCAGAACCCAATTTAACTCTAAAATTAATGATGAGAGCCTGATTTATTATGATACACCCTGATATATGAGTTGAGTTAGACAGCTTAGGCATTAAAAAGGATCCCTCAGACTTATTATCATACATGCATCACTCTCTGTATTTGAATTTTACATCTTATAAAAACCTCCAGTTAGCAGTGAAGATCTATGAGGTACGGAGAGACGCTCACTCAAAAAAGGTCGTTATGCAGCCAGACCTTTCAAGCTCATTAAAGAGACTTGTAATGTTAGCTGTAGGTGAGCTCTTATCTCAGCTGTAGGCAGCCATGTTTAATGTGATTTCATGCAAAGTGATTAGTAAAGGGGGATGTGTGTATCATAGACTGTTGCTTGTTTTCTGGTGAGGTTACAAAAAATCCAGAACAATGAGTTTAAGAAGAGCTTTAGAGGTTGTGTTTCATTAACCATCTAAACTTATCCCATTTATTTTGATCCATACTCACTCCTGTATGCCCCCCCACATCCTTGCATAAAACCAAATCTTTTGTTTTCTATTCATTGAAAGAGTCCTTGGACAAAAGCACCAGTGGAGAAATAATGAGGATATTTTCAGTATTACTTTCAAGTTATTTGAAGAGCACAAAACATAGGCATAGTGGTTCATGGATGATAGGGATAGGAATCACTAGTGGCCCCACGATACAATATTATCACGATACTTGGGCCATGATTTGATATCACTGTAATTTTAAAGATTTCAAATACATTGAGTATTGAAATACCATTTATTGTGATTTACTAATTGTTTTTTACCGATAACGAGTATTTTATTTTCATGTATCACTTCTTACAAACCTGATGTGTCATGTCTACGGCTGGGCAATATGGCCTCAAATCAATATCACAATATATTAAGCAGTTCAGCTCGATAAAAATAAATGGACTATAACTGCTCCACAAGCTGCTCACCCCCTCCCACATTAACTTTGTCTACTTTAGCCGCCGCTCCTTTTAACTGTCCTCCATCTCCTCACCTGTCTTTCCCTCTTTGTTATGGACTGGATGGGGTGGAGTCATGTCTCTGAAGTCAGACAGCGTCTTAAAGGGACATGAGACTATAGCCTACCTACACACATCCAAAACCAACTTTTTTAAAATAATTTTTTGTGACACCAAATATATTGACATGAGCAAAATGACGTTTGATATTGTCGTAAAATGTGGTATCTGTAAATTTTCGGTTTATCACCCAGCCCTAGTCATTCCCACCTTATTCGTGCCCTACTTGCATTCCTTATGTCCTTCCCTACTTTCTCCTGCTCCATGACAATGTCACCTCTGCTGACCTCACTTGACAAACAATCGATTTATTTTTCCATTATCATAGATCTCAGTTCATATCAGCAGTTATTTTGAAAAAATTGATACTTAGCGGATGAAACGATAAAATATATCAATATATTTCTCCCGGCCCTAATGGATGACCAGACTCTAGCAGAGAAAAGAAGTCAAGGTATGTATAAACAGCTTGTGATCCCCGTCATCATAAGGAACCGGACCCCAGATTGAATACTGAGAATTTGCACTAACTTGTGTTTATATAGTGTATGGATTACACTCTTCATGCTTGTAGAAGTCTTAACACAGATGGAGATCTCAGTGAAACTTTTACAGTCAAATATGTCTGTACGGTCGAGAACAATGTGGTCCAGTTTGTGGCCTCACAGGGTCATCTTGAACAGATTATGGGGAACAATTAAAGTCACCTTTTTAGATGAAATACTTCACTGGAGTTTTGACCTTCCAGAACTTCCCCCCTCCACCTCCATTATGAAAGTACAGCTGGGCCATTAAGTTCTCCTCTCCATCAATGGCTCCTACCTAGGACATCACTAAACTGCCAGATGTCTGCTTCAGATAGCAAACTGGCAACCATGACAGTTCAGTTCTTGCAGCTCATTGAAAAGTATATAGTAAATATTGTTTTTTTCAACCCCCATGTCCTTACATTTTGCGATCGCAGGGTCTTAAAACAAGTCGGCTTGCATGTCGTATTTCATCCGTGTCATGTAGAATAATTGCTGGATTGGTTCAGCTCTAATCTTTAGCTGTTAGCTTGTATGTGGGCTGGCGGAGGACCGAGGGGGGAGGAGGAGGAAGAGGGGGAGGATAGAGAGGGGGATGGCAGGAGTTAAAAAAAGACAAAGCTATGAGGGAATATTGACAGACTGTACAGTAGAGGCAAGAAACAGCACTGCTAAACATACAGCAGCACAGTCGAGAACAGCATGCGGCGCTTCAATCATTTTTGGCCCAAAATGAGCCTGACACAGTGTTGAGCTATCGAGCTCTCTGCTGCTATTGTTGGCCGCTGATTGCTCGTGGCTGCAGAAAAGCCTGTTTGAATTAGAAAATGAAAGTGAGCAGAGATAGTGGCATATTGACTGGCATTGACAGTGGACGGAGGGGGAGAGGGAGAGGGAGGGGCAGCAGAGATGGGGGGAGTATTGACAGATGAAGAGAACAGGAGATAGAGCACTCTCTCTTCCTAATAGGATTATTGTGTAAATGTGTTTGTCTGAAGGGCCGCCTCTAGAGGCCTCCAAATATGTGTGTGTGTGTGTGTGTGTGTGTGTGTGTGTGTGTGTGTGTGTGTGTGTGTGTGTGTGTGTGTGTGTGTGTGTGTGTGTGTTTAGGACAAGCGATAGGAAGTGAGGAAAAAGAGCAGTTTTGGGAGCATAAAATTCAGAACAACTTGGATGGATAATTGGGCATGTGTAATTCTTATGGCAGTTTTGGAAGCATTTCAGATAAACCAACACAGATCTGTTCTAGTGTCCCGCTCAAGCTGGGTTCAGACAGTAGGAAGAAGTGCCACAAAGCGCCCCATAGCGCTGCAAAATGCTGCTCGCCTCCGTTCAGTGCCCATTTCAACTAATTAGGCTTTTCAGACAGGAAGTGGCTATCATATCAGTTCTGTTTAACTTTTAGCAGTAAGCCAATCTGGCAAAAAAACCCACAAAGATATGCTGATTTAATCTTTATTAAGTTTTTCAATTGCAGATTATGATATAGATCATATGACCCTGACAATCTTAAAAAGCATCCCTTACTAATCCTAATTGGTGTTTGGCTGTATAACAGTATATACCGTGTGATGGTATAAAAGTTTCTACTGGCTGAAATTTTGCTTTACCATTTATACTGGGGAGAGAGAGAGAGAGAAAGAGAGAGCGCAGATGTCTGCTGCATCTCTCTGGGTCAGTGTGTAGTTGTCGGTGCTCCCTAATAGGGATGCACCAATCGGTGCAATCACCGATATTTGATATCGGTATTGGTCCCGATACTGAATGGGCCTGATGCATAGGGGCCGATCTCTTCAGTCTAACTCTATGCTATGCGCCGTGAGTGGCATCCACAAGTTAACATGCTGAGCGGTTGCCCACATTGTTTTCAAAATGGAGTGACCAAAGGGGTCTGCTATCTTGAACTTTATCACAATACTTAAGCCTACAAGCTCGACAGCCAAGTAAATGTTCCGAGGGGTGATGGTAAAACTTCAGGTCACAACAAAAGGTAATTCAGTGCGGCTTTTCTGCATCGGAATTGGATCGGTATCAGCCGATATTAAACTGTAGATATCTGTATCGGTATTGGAGGTGAAAAAAGTGGATCAGTGCATCCCTACTCGCTAACAGGAAAGCTGGAGCGAATCTGTTGTGTTTCCGTATATTCACTAGCGTGTCATGCAGAGTTTGTTTGATGGGTCAGGTTTGGGTGCGCTCCCTATAAGCAGACTGCTTGGCACAGTTTCAACAAAGAAGAAACTGCTTCACTGGTGGTGGTCATGGCAGACGTGGAGATTAGTGGCAGTACTGAGCAAATGGGGGCAGCCCGACCGACCCAACATGAGAAAGAGGAGGAAGAACTAGTTCTGAAAAGGGCGCAAGTCGTGACATTGGTTGTCTGGAGATTCTTCTGATTTAGAAAATCTGACAGTGATCAAGTGTCGTGTGGATGTCATTGCTGGAGGAGGAAACACCAGCAACCTCTTCCACTACCTAAAGATGAAACACGGCAAGCTCTATGAGAGAAAATCGTTAGACTGGTCCGACATTTTGTTCGCATTTGTAAACAAATCCGAGTTTAAAAATAAAAGGAAAATGAATGAATGCGACAGTATGGTTATTTTTGAGCCATGAATTGAATTCACGGAGGGAAAAAACATACCGTGATAAATACCGTTACCCTGATATGAAATCACTCATACCGTGATATAAGATCTTGTTCATACCGCCCAACACTAGTCCTTATCCTATAATTTCTTCCCATTTCAGTGGTGGGCCTCTTGACTCCCACATTCCCCCCCAACCTCCGTTAGACTGCAGTTTTAAATGTCATGAAAACTTTTTATAATCATCATCAACTCAATCAGAACTTTCCTTAACACTGTGGAGGAGTGCTGTCCTAGCATAATGTTTGTTAGTTTCCCTAATGCTCTTTTATCAGCCCCAACACTAAATCAGTGCTGCTGCTCAAACTAAGCTCTGCCTGTCAGCCTGTCTACTCCCATTCACCACAATCCACTCACACAGATGGAAAAACAAAAGCTCTGCAAATATGACATCTCTCATATTCCAAATGGAATCACTGCACTTCCTAATGAACGCTGACGAAATACTCCGCCTAAAAGTCTGCAGCATTGTGAAACGGTAAAATTATCATGGTGTAATGGGAAGGGTGATCCAAATACTTTCTTTGGCTGTAATATTATCCGCCTTACTCAAAATTACACATGCTGCTGTGTTTCAGATATCCCTTTAAGGCTTCGCGCTCCAGTGCTTGTCATGAGTGTTGGCGGTTTGTTGGAAGCTGGTATCAGAGAGGTGGATGGCAGGAAGTAAGCGTGGTGGTGGTGGTGGAGCAGGTCATATGAGCAGACCTGGTGATGAAGAATTGATGCATTGAACGGGCTTGCTGCTTGCTTTTCTGACTCCACAGGGGTGCGGTGTTGTTGCTGGATGGATATTGATTAGTTCTGTTGGTGGGGTGATTATGTGTGACAGGAAATAAATGTGACCTCAGCTGCAAGCCTACCAACTCTATTCAGCTTGCAACATCCGGTGCATGAGTGTAAAAACACTGAAATTCAAACACACACACGTAAAATTAAAGCAATCTCTCAAAATGATCAACCACAATTGAAATCCTTTGTATTCGGTTTTAGTCAACTCAAAGAGCGTAATATGAAGTTGTGAAATAACAGAGCAAGAACATGCAGAAAAAAAAAAACTGTGTCCAGCTCAGGGTGGCCACATTTTGGTAGCATAGGAAGCCCTTTGCATATTCATGAGATCTTCAAATGGATTTTTTTACATATGCTGTGTGGACTTATTGGCTGCTCTAGCTTGGCTCTGCTTTTCAAGTCATCTCGTTTTTATTAAAGGTCCGGCGATTATTTTGGCCATGGGCTCTGATGCAGCAGTCCCTTACTCTTGCATTCACTGCTGGTATGTTGTATGTGCCGACCCTGTTCAAAAAAATTTACTACACGAGCTCATACTGAGTGAAAACCAGATGGAATGGCATGTCGCTGCAGGATGTCATTGTCATCCCTAAACTTCTTTGCTTCTCACAAGGCGTGAGTAATCAAAACCAAAAACCCCAGACATGAATTCAGTTGACCCAAGTTTTCCACCAGTCCAAGTATACGCGATACTCCTCTGTTGTCTTTCAAACTCGTTTCTCACCACATCATCACAAGCTGCCTCTTTGGCCACACTTCTGTCAGCGTAATACAATCTTGAGTGACAGAGAGGCAGCTGTGTCAGAAACATACCAGTTGTAAAGCTTTATCTGTTGTTTAAAAAGTAAACTCCAACAAGAAAACAGCAAAAGAAGAGACTGGTAACAGCTTGTTGGCACAGCCTTATGTCTATCATGGGTGGGAAAAATATTGATTCGATATAAGCGTGGTACAAATTTTAGTTTGCTGGAGGCTAATTATAGATATTTGGATTGAGAAACTTCTCTTAACTGATTCCCGATTTCACTACTTCGTGACTTCTCACATTGGCACGAATCATATGAATAAAAGTTGGAGGCCAGCAGTTTATAAGTTAAAGAAGTTTATAGCAGCATAATATCAAGGGAAGACAGCAGTACGCTAGTCGACTTGGAATAGCAGCTGAGAGATGTGTTGGCTGCTTTAAAATCAAAACGAGAAAGAAGAAAAAGATTTTCCACTGCTTTATGTCGTGATGAGGGGAAGATGGAGAATATGCTGAGGTTTTCAGAGAAGAGTTGATAAAATTATACAATATCAGCAACAACTACCAATGTAATATGATGTGATCCATACAAGAGCAGGCCAGGGCAAGTAGTCAGGTTTCAATTTCATTTCATTCAATTTCTTACAGGTCATTTGTCGTTTTCAAGTCTGCACCTTTATAACATCAAGACTTAGGGGTACGTTTGATACAGGTCAATGTCACTGTCAAGTTTGGCAAATGTTAGCCTCAGTCACTCTGAATGTACACACACACACACACACACTGTGGCCACATTTATAATTTCCTTGAGGGAACCCTCCCAAAAAAATAAATAAAGTTGTATTAAATCTAATCTAGTGACACTGTGTACTGCTGAAGCGCAACATGTTGAAGAAGACACAGTGGTCCACAATCATTTCTTTGCACTCCCAAACTTTGTGAGACACAGCAGGTGGCACAATATTCCTGAGTCTTAATTTTCATATTTTCATGATCATTGGGAGCCGCAGTTGTAATTGAAATTGAAAATTAAACTCCAATTAATCGCCCATTTTTAGCAGCACCACACACTTTGCAAATTGCATCTGATTTTATTAAGTTCTTTCTCCATTAAAACCCACATCGTTCATTCAACTTCTGTTATGTTTGTTTTACACACCTCCTTTACTATTCTCCAATACAAAAGTTTACTTCCAGGGCGCACATACAGTAGTGTACTTTCCCAGTGCAGGTTTACCCTTTTATCTTATTTGGATCTACTGTTGAAGGAATAAAATAAGAACAAATCAAAAAGTTAAAATTATTTGTTTGCTCGTATTTGTGTAAAAAAAGTATGCATAGAACATCTCACCTTAAATGCACTGGATTTGACCTGCGCAGACATTCAACAACTGCTGCATCTACATTTCAAACCTGCATCCATACATAACTGCTCTTCTGATGCTCTCAGTTAATCTGCCCACCACTGCTTCATAGCCACTTTCACTCACTATGAGTGGACTCAACAGTCCACCAAGTGCTACAGGATAATTACTGCCCAGTTTATAGGCAGGTAGTGGGACCCTGCTCTTTTTGTATTGTTCAGTTAATCAGATATTACAGTGCATTATTTTATCATTGTTTTGCATTACAGGATTGTTGTTTTGTGATATATTTTTGTTGAGAGCCAGGTATCGTGTATCCCATCATATATCATTTAAATTTGATATAGTATTGAAAGTTGCCAGCCCTGATGGCTTTAAAACAGCCAGAGAGCTTTTAGCACTGACTTAAATCAAAGCCCCTTGGATTTAGTAATGTAGCTTTTGAAATTCTCATCTTTACGATTCAATCCATGATTTATTTAAGCAGTCTCAGCAGGGGCCTTGCTTAATTCTGCCATCAGTCTGTTAGTAGCCAATGATGCAAGGCACCCATCAACAATGACACTTATCTCTGTGTGCCGCCTGGCTTCCACCAGACCTAACAACTTTTTCCACAGAAACCGGTGTCAGGATTATCTTATCAGTACGGCTTAACTGGTGGGTGTCCTCCTGCGTTTAATTAACTGATTGGTGTAATTTTATATAAGGTCACTCAATAGATCAAGCAAGTTAATTTTAAATGAAGCTTCAGCCAGGATTAAAGGATAATCCACTTAAACTGCACACGAGGATCGTAAATTTTGAATTAGCCTGATGGTTTTGATTTTTGTCATACCTGTTAATAAAGCTTCACGTTTCAAAAAGTGGAGCATTTCTTTCTGAGAGCTCTCTGGAGATCACTCAGTGTCTTGATCTTTTCACACACACACACACACACAGATCCAACCCTCCACAAAAAGAGTTGAATTGTTTGTTGTTTTTTTCTTTACCTCATCCATATTTTCTCTCTGTTTTCAGACCAAGCTATGACTAAAGTACAGATATTTTCATGTGGACCTGTTGTTTCTTTTTGTTAATTTTATAAAATCTGAGGACCCTGTGTTTTTCTTATTTGAGAAAGGTTTGCTCATTTATTTTATCAAGCGCAAAGTTAACTTGGCTCTGAGGACCATAAAAATAACCAAAAACCATTTTGTCAAAGTAAATCATTGATTAATTTAGCCATCTGTAAACAAGGATGTTTGTGTTCACATTTTGTGTGTCTTTGTGTGTGTGTGTCTGTATTTGAGGATAAATAAAATCATGAGTAATGAAAGCCTGTGATCTGGCAGGAATTTCTGGTGAATCTGGAGCCTCAGAGCTTTTCTTTGGAGCGGGTGGGTGGGAGGGTGGGGTTGTCAACAAGCAGGAGGCAATTTTAATTAGCTATGCTGTTGTTGAAGAACTAATCAGCTTTATGCAAGGATCTCACGCACACAGACTGACACACATACAAATGCGTTAAAGGAAGCTTGTGGAAATAGTGGAATGTGCTTGTCGGGGGGTGGGGATGGGGAGTGGAGGGGATGAGCGGCAAAGAGGGACAGGAGGCTATAATGGGATGCTTTGAATTTAACAAAATTAACACACAGCCCTGTATTTTGTTTGGTCCTCATCCCGTGCACAAGCTCAGCTACAGTTTGTTGGTTCATTACAGAACATGGAACTATGGGAAGACTTTTTAATTAAACCTAACCCCCCAACACTGTGTTATTTAGATTTACTCTAAATTGCATTATCACAAATGCTTAGAGTTTGTCAGAGCAGTGGAACAACCTACTTAAGTTTTCTTTGCATCTGTCTGTATCAGGTCTGCCAAGATTAGTTGACTTGTCACAATGACATGGACTATCAAAATTGTTGGTGACTAATTTAACAATCAATGTTGTCTGGGTTTTTTTATTTTTTTATGAAGCTTTTTTTTTCTTTTCAAAACTGCCACTGTACTTTCCACTGTCTTGTCTCACTTGTCGTTGTCTGTCCTTGATGCCAGTTGTGGTTATCCAGGTAAGCAGTGATGTCTATGGAAAAGTGATGCCCGAACAGAGTTGCGGCTTACCGGCAACGGAGCTCAACAGTTTGGGAGCATTTTTCCAAACTGAAAGACAAGCATGTGCAATGCAAAATCTACAAGACAGAACTTGCCATCTATGGCAGCATGGCGGCGATACACGAGCATCTGAAAAGAAAGTATGTCGTAGCGGTTTCCGTTTCCAACAGTCATCAGTCGTCTCGGTAAGCTAAGGTTGGCTAGTTGGCTGCTAACATAAAAGTCAACATTGAGCTTCTCACGTTAACGTTAACGATGACGATTTCATTAACCTTAGCACATACCTCGAATACTTAAAGCTGGAAGCTAATGATGGTTATATTGGAACTAAGAATGCACCGATCCACATTTTTTCACATCCGATCTGATCTTGTTTCCTGAATTTGTATATCTGACTATACCACTACCATTCCGATACCAGAGCTCTGTTAGCTTTATCATCATTATTATCATTAATGTTTATTTTATACGAGGCAATGATAAACTCCACTCTACAGGCAAGTATATGTACGTATGTTTTTCCTGAACAGAGTCATGTCTCATCTCTGTGTCTCATTGAGACACGCCACCGTTCAGGAAATCCATTGCACAGTTTGCAGTCAGCTAGCAGACAGACCGGCAAGAATCACTTGTACATGATTACAGAAGACAAAGTTAAAGCAAAGACATGACTTCTGGATCAGAAATTTGCACAGGTTGGATCGGAAATTTCCGATCCATGAATTATGTTGGTATCGGAAGCCAATATTGATACTGGATCGGATTGGCCCCATCCCTAATTAGAGCATCTGCATGCTGGTGCAATAAGCTGTAATTTACGTCTGATCCGATTTGTCGACTAATTGCAAAAATAATCGGCGACTCGTTGATTATCAAAATAATTGTTGGTGGCAGCCCACATTCTGTATGAGTGTGTTTGTTTGATACTGAATCATTTATCTTACAGTCAACATAAGAGAGGAGTGTCCTGGGTTTTTGTCATGTATCAATGACATGTTGTTCATGCACAAGTCACAATGGCGATCATATTGGGTACAACCTATTTCTTTAGAACTAGCAAAACAAAGTAGGAAAGTCAGTGCAGCGCTGACTGAAGACAGCAGCAGCACAAAGCCAGCAGGGCGAGTTTAATAGATGTAAACATGCTTTAAGGAGCTACAATGGTACGTCTATAAAGGCGACAATAGCAGAGAATCAACTCCAGAGTCCATCAGTGGAGCAGCTCCAGAGAACAGAAAAGAGTCTCCTCTTTTCTTTGTAACTTACCTGTTGTTATCCTCCTCACCCATTTGTCTTTTTCACACTCTCTTTTCTCTCTGCTCCCCTCTGGAGCCTGGTGCCAGACACCTCACAGTCACTGCTGCTTACAGGCTGTAGCTCCCTTCTCTAAATGGGCAGTGCCTTTGGTTGGTTCATAGGGTGAAAGGCAAAGGGGTCACAGTGGTCAACATCACAGACTCAAGTGTTCTGCTTAATATTCAAGCAATACAAAGACACTTCACTTCAACCCCCACAGTCAGACTTGCTGGGAGGAAATTCAGCTCATATGAACAGACACCGTGGGGGAAAACAGTCAGATTTTAGTCAGACCTTGATTTGTCAAGTTCAGTTTGGACAACAGGTTCTTCTCCAGGGTACTCTACATACAGTGAAGTCAAAGGTAAATGGATGAAACCCAGCATTGGTATGACTAACTATCTATACAGATGAAAAAGTGTTCAGTTGGACTAAATCAGTCTAACATGAAATGTGATGAAGAGTCAGAGACATGCTATTTAGAAGTGTTTTAAAAAAGTTAGTTCTTGGATATACAGTGAAACTCTTGTATTCACATGGGTGCTGTAAGACAACTGTTTCGGTGTTCAGCAGCTAATCGCATATTTAGCATAACTAGCAGAAACAGTTAATAGTTTTAACTGCTCACAGCCCCAAAGGCCTTTAGATCTGCCGGGTTAATAAGCTTTTTAGCATCTAGCAGACTAAGGTCAAGGGGTGAGCGAGCCTTTGCTGTGCTGGCACTTCAGCTTCACTTTTCTTCACGCTGGCAGTCAGTCTGCTGACACGGATGGTCAGCAGTTGGCCTCATTTATTTCCCTTTTATCTATTTCCCTACTATGTGATCTTTGACTTGGGCTTTTCTTTTTTGTTTGTATTCTTAAGTGCATCTCTATGTTCTCAGCCGAAGGAGAATTTATTTTATTTTCTGAAGGCTCATTTGGCAGGAAAGCCTGATTTTGACGGATCATTTTCCAAGCTTCAATCAGCTGGTTTGTGTCTTGATGAAATGCTAACCCCACCGCTCAAAAATTTCTGCAGGCGGCTGTTTTTATTTCTTGGGTGGATTTTATTGTGCCAGGCTGTCTGTGCACAAAAAACCTTCATGAAATAAATCACATCTGAACATGTATTACTTTTCCAGACTCGACTGTATTCAGGGTCTCTATCTGACAAATGTTTTTAATTATCTGTCTTCTTTGTAGTTCCTTAAGGCAAGTGGTAATGTTGCTGTTTTCCTCTAAATTAATATAAGTATTTGAAATATGTAATTCTAAGTACTGGTGTGGACCACATCTTTAGTAAGCTGCAGATATTCCTGCACTAATTGCATAAATGCATGAAGGCTTATTTTACATATTTAGTCATGCATCACGCCCTCTTGTTCGTGTGTGTGTCTGTGAGAGAGGGAGAAAAGGAGAGCGATTTTTAGTCTGAGTTGATACTTTTTGTCGCAGGTAGTCGGTTTCCAACACACCACAAATGTGAAGCATCCAAGGGTCACAGAATTATGAAGGCAACGGTTGCTAGGAGACCATCCATCCACACTTTGGTGTTCAAGAGAATCCAGCATGTACTACTGCATCAAACCAAGAGTCTCACACACAAAGGCATGAACACGGAGACAGACATACACACACACACAAGGAAAAGACAAACATGCACGTTTTGTTACTCCTTTGTATTTGCGCTTACACACAAACACATACATAGACACACAAAAGCTGGAAGATGTGCGAACAGAAAACAAAGACAGATGGCCAGAGAAAGGCTGTCATGAGTTATTGAGCAGGTGACGGTTTTTGTCTGCAGACTTCTTGAAGTCTGTGCAGAGCAGACACGTGTCCCCCCCCCCCCCCTTCCTTAAGAAAGAGACTAAATTTTCGGTATATTTGAAATGAGGCTGAAATAAAACGGTCAGCGGGCAGATATGTCATATATGCTGCTTTTCAGCCTTGCAGGAAAATTGGATTTTAACATAATAAACCCCAGAGTGCAAAAGTTTCACCGCCAATTATCAGTTGAATAATGTGTCACTGTTTTAGCCCTTAGCTGAGAATTGCTAACTGGAAAAGACGACACTTTTCGCTGTAGTCTACAGTGAAACATGTTACTCAGAGTCTGTTGCACATCCATGGCTGGCTTCAGGGGGCAAACTCTACCGAAAGCAGTGCTTCCCCATCCCCCCTCTCCTGATCTCATGAAATTAAAGAAGGGTGGGTGTCCCTCATGATAATTGTAAAGTGTCAATCATACTGCTTTGGTCAGATATGACCATTGGCCCACAATTGCACTTAGCTGTGAGACAACAAGCATGATTGCAGCCAAAACAGAAACAACACACATACATTGTAGTCTGAGTAACAATCATGGTTTCACAATGCTTTCACAACCACTTGTGTTTTAATGTAGTTTTAGAATAGCAGCACTTAATGTAAGGAGCATAAGGTATGAATTATTAACCTCTTCAAACCTCAAACCTACATAGTTCAAGTGTTGAATGTATTTTTTCCTACACCTAAATAGTAAAGCTCGACATTTAGGCTGTATATGAAACACTCTGAACGCAGCACAGAGATGTTTCTGAATGAAGATCATCATATGCTGACAGGGTCTGTCATTCTGAGCCAGGGCCGAGAAATGAAAGAATCTGAGCGTCACACTTGTATACCTTGAAATGCTACAAGCTCAAATCTGTTTCCCCAGGCTGCTGTTGGGAGACTGGCTGTCTTCAGTATGTGAACACGCTGCTGCTCCTTCCGCTGCTGCTGCTGCAGCTATTTTTAGTGTGTGGGTGTTGAGAGGTCCAGATCAGCCTACCAGATCATGGAAGCTCCACAGAGACTCCACCACCACCACTGGTGCAGGAACACACACACAGAGGACTATATAACAGTATGGCGGGGGTGGTGATCGAGAATGAAATCTGATGTGATGAGACAAAATAGTTCTCAATACAACTGTCTAATTCCTCCATGGGGAGGGAGGGAGAGGCTAACCTGCTGGAAAATTTGCATTTTGTTTCGACATTAAAGAATATAGAGGTTAATAGTAGGTCTGGGCGATATGGCCTCAAATCAATATCACGATATACTGAGCAGTTCACCTCGATAACTATAAATAGACAATAACTACTCTACAAGCTGCTCACCCCCTCCCAGATTAACTTCGTCTACTTCAGCCGCTGCTCCAGCCACTTCCACTTTTGAACCGTCTTCCATCTCCTCACCTGTCTTTCCCTCTTTGTTACAGACTGGATGAGGTGGAGTCACGTCTCTGATGTAGGACAGCATCTTAAAGGGACATGAGATTATAGCCTACCTACACACATCCAAAAACAACTTTTATTTATTTTTTTTTTTGTCACCAAATATATTGACATGGGCAAAATGATGTCGGTTATTGTCGTAAATTTTGGTATAGGTAAATTTTCGGTTTATCGCCCAGCCCTAGTTATAAAGACGAAAATGACTGTGCTCTGTCTAATTCAATGTGACCAGGCAATCAGGAAACAATGTTGAATATTTTCATCATGGTGGTTTAAAATTTGGTATCGTCTTGACTGATAATAAACACAATCATATCAAAAATTGCTCTTGCAATCAAGCTTTAGTAAGGTTTGATCTGGAGACTTGATTCACAATGCCAACCAGCCAAGATACCCAGCTGTGGCTTAAAATCATCCTTTCCAGGCTATAATGCTGATTTGCCAGTGCGTAATCTCAATATGGATTTGGTTGACAGTGTTCAGCTTGCTGTTAGTGGTTGTCGTGTTGCCTGCACAGAAACCGAACCAAAAAAGTTGTGTCTACCTTTTAAAGAACTGGATTGAAAAACCGGAAACACACACAGTTGTATCTGAATGGGGAGCACACCAACATCTATGTAATAACAACAAAGTGGAAGCAGTGCAGTTTTAGTTACAACATGATCCTGTTTGGCACTGGTCCTGTGAAAGTGCTCTTTGCTATAACTTCTGTAAAATGTGCAGTTTCTGCACAGCTCATCTTATTTCTCCCCAGCACCAAATCTCTCTACCAAGCACAAATTGTGAGGGATGTCCAGTCAGCCTTTCTGGTCCTCGGTCCTGATCTTATACTTCAATATTAAGTATCTGCTGATGCTGAGCCACAATACAATAGTTGTATTCGCTTAGATAATTGAGCTGCACAAAATCATTTCAGATATCTGCAGCTTATTTGTTTTTAACTGAGACCAACTAGGATTGTTTTAAAACCCCCATGTGTGAGACCCATCAAACTAGCACGCATTTAATAGCATACTGCTGTGAAAGCAATTCTCACGAGACACTGCAAGCTTAACAGTGGTGGCAACTGGCTGCTAGACCAAGAATGTAAATATTAGACATGAACCGAGCTTTCTAACCTTACTTTTTAATGGCTGTTTATTTTTTTCCGACAAATGATATAACAATATCAACTGACCTAGATTTCTTTGAGAGAAAGTGGAGGAGTCACTCAGCAATGACATGTGACATGGAGCAAACATTTGAGCCAAAACAAACAGATGTCATGTCATGTTTACATCACTTTGTACTGTATGTACAGATTCTTAGCTCCAGTATCCAAGATGGATGGACATATCGCATATCCGTAAAACAACAAAAACCTGCATTTTCAACCATGGAGATGGTCCTATGGTCTAAATAAATGAACTCAACCACTTTCTCTGTTACCTTATTGGCCTACTCGCTCTCATAGGGGTATTTATCCTTTCTTTAGACATCTAGAGTTTGTTGCTTCAGAAGAGCAGCCTTTTGATTTTGTAGATTTAGTAAACTTATATCATTTTATTGCACGTTCAGTATCGAGTATGTTGTATCAAATTCACACTGCTGGCATTTTAGCCAGGGGATTCAAATTTACCTATGTATCAGGCTGTTTCATCTTTGGTATATTTGAACCATGTATCCCTGGAGAGTTACATCAGGCTGCCGTAAAGTGGTTGTTGTCGCCGTAATCTGGCTTGCTAAGAAAACTATCGTTTTCATGATCAGTGACAGCTGAGTTAAGCGATCAGAGAAGATAATTGGCTCAAACAGCACAGATCAATTTAAAAAATGCTCAGGTTTTCTCCTTATTGGATTGTAATTTGGACAATACAATAAATAACTCTTTATATTTAGATTTACAATTAAATTAAATCGACTTGAAAAATAATCCAATTTGTGTTTGTGAACACTCACGAGATGTTCCTACAAGCACAATGATAGTTTTGGACATGTCATCCATCCCTGAACTAAGTACAATCAGTCTTTCTACAGTAAAGGTCATTTTTTCCCCCAGTTTTCTTCTGTATTCAGCAGACTTGAACCTGGAATGCCTCCTGAAGAGGAGGAGAGGATGAGATTATGGCAGAGGACAGAGGAAATCATCCTGCAGCTAAATGTTCGTCAAGGGGGAGAGAGAGCATTTATCGATCTGTTAATGACGGAAATGGGAGGGAGAAAGAGGGCTCTTCTAGAGGGTGACCTCAGGGCATCCTCTGTGCAGACTGGATGAGATTCATGAAGGTATTGCAGACCGACTTAAGCAGGATGTGAAAGACAAGGACAAACAACAAATTATTTTTCAGGACCTTTCCCTAAGGCTGCACCAGACCTGCTCATGTTTCAAAAAAGATGAATGCCACTGGGACGAGGCTAAGCCAGGACTGTTTGTAAATGTGTCAATCACGGCTGCAGATACAGGTGAGATTACAAATGATGCAGATACCTTCTTTCACATCAAAATGAATCTGTTTCAAAAGAAATTCAGGTGTGAAAGAGAGTGTATATCTGTAAGTCAAATCTCTTCACTGTTTTTAGCTTGTTAGCAAGTTTGTTATCAGCTGATCTATTTCCAGAGTTCTTCTCCACTCCAAAGCAAATCAATCATGTAATCTAATTTGGTTCAAAGAATAAATTTGTGTTCAAATTTATGTTGTTTTTTTTCCCCAGGAGCTCGTTGGTGGTGCCGTAGGGACTACTAACTTAAGCTAAGCTAATTTCTCTGTAAAAATCTCGATGTTCCATGAGTAAACCCCTGTAAATCACCAAGTTTGAAACAAAGACGGGGTTACTTTAAAGTTTTAGTGTTCCCTCATTTGTCTGACAGCTAGTCGGTGTCCCACCAGTATATGTGACACTCAAAGGCTGATTTTAGAGTTTGATGAGGGGCTGAAATGGAAAAGGAGACGACGCAGTCTGATTTTTGTGCTGAGCAGCTTATTTCTATTTTGACTGAAACAGTTTCGAGGCTTATAAAGCTGTGGTATGGGTCCACACAGTTTTGGACCTTGGCTATCATACTTCTTAAAGGGATATTCTGGCGTACATTTAAGTTAGGGTCAAACACACTGTAACACTGAGTTAGACACCCTCTTGAGAGATGAATGTTGCCGACTGCTTGCTTCTCTAGTTATACCAGCCGTGTGACAGCAATACACAGCGGTCTATGGCTCAACCTCAACCAAAAAGCCACTCTATAGCCACAAATAATGCTCAGAACAGCACCTAACTTCATTAACAGTAAATATAGGGTCCCAGCCATAGCACTAGCCACCAAACATCTTTTTTAGCTTTGCCTAATTTCTTTAGCAAAGAGAACAAACACAACTCATTCACTCTCTTCCAGCAGCCGCTTGTTTGTGGGGGAAGCCCGGACAAGTCAATCACCGAGTGCAGCGAATCATTTCCTTTGAGTAATAATCATCATATTAATCATTTTGCACTGCAGACGCGGTAGTTCTTCTGCCTTCTGCACAATTTCAGGGCTTCACAGCCATGAAGTTCCCAACATAGAACCTACAGTAGAAGATGTTTTGAACATACTAAAGCAGCATTTGAGATTTAGACAACTGTGGTCGCCAGCAAAAAGCACACATCGTGAGATTGATGTCTACTTCCTTCCCATTCACTTGCTGTCAGGATTTAACAGCTAACCATCAGCTCGACAGATTTCGTACAGACTTTGGACCAAGACTTTGCGCTGACAGTCAACGAAAGTCTTCAACAGTCAGGTTAAGTCGATTTGGTCATTTAAGTACATACAGTACACACATTTCCAGAAGTGCAGTGCATTTGTGAAAGGGGCTTTTGAATGTTTGTTTAACTGTTAACGCTTGCCCTTGTCATTTACAGTAATAAGTGAAACACAGGCATGTGAGGTATGTAATCGGTCTTAGCGTCAAAGGTAATCCTCAACCCACAGCAGAGTGTCAAGAGAAAGAGTCGAGACCAGAAGAGTCCAGTTCCAACTGTGACAACTCCTGGTAGAGTACAGATCAATAATGTATTATTACATATTAATACTAAATCTAGTATTCACTTAAATTTAGTATACACTTCAATCTAGGTGTGGGAGAAGTAATCGATACAGCATAGTATCACAATGTTTTGTCTGGTGATATATTGTATCGTCTCATTTATCAAATCATCGATTTTTTTAAATTAATTGCTAATATAAAGTTAAATCTATGATAATGGAAAAATACAATCAGCTGTTTGTCCATTGAGGTTGGCAGAGGTGATGTCATAGAGCAGAAGAAAGTTAGTACAACAAATATATAAGGTTTGCAAGATGTGCCACATGAAAATGAAATACAGCGTAAATGAGACAAACTTAAAGGAAAGAAAAATGCTAAATTAGCGAAACAGTTGAAAAAATTGTATAAATTGCATAGTATTGTATCACAATACTCACTGTATCGCAAAATGTTAAAAATCGCAATAATATCGTATCGTGATAATATTGTATTGTGGGGCCACTCTTGATTCCCACCCCTACTTCAAACCCTGTAAACCTGGACTGTTTAGGTATGGTGTTGATTTTGAAAGACCTAGATATGGCTACAAAAGACGTGCTCTATTGAGAAGACGTGCTATAAGAATTAAAGGTGACACCACTTCCCTTTTAGAAATAAGTCAGTCAAGAGTTCATCGCTGAATCGTTTTGACTGTTGATTTTTTTTTGTCTCTTGTGCATATCTTAACAAGATTTTAGTTTTCATAAAGCTCTGCTGTGTGATTTCCAAGGAGGACAAGTAAGACGTCAGTGACGGGCCGCGTAATGATGTTGTCATATATGACCTGAAGTAATTACAGGCTCACAGTAAAAGGAAACCCAAGAGACGCTTACACTCTTCATTGTGTCTGTCCTTGTGGGCCTAAACCCATTGTACTTTTTTAATTCATTGGATTACCACAGCTGGCAGCCACGGGGGATACTTATGAGGATAATATGAGGATGATGAAAAGAGGAAAAGTTCACTTGACTTCTGAGCGGACAGGCAGGCAGGCATGTGCTGGCTAGCAACACATAGACATGTACAAGATGTCTCCAAGCTGTCAGTGTCAGCCTCCAGCCTGGATGCAGCTCAGAGGACAGCTGCTGTCCTCGTGTCACTGAGTGACTGTTGGAGCTGAGCAGTTTCTATTCCCTGTGTCAGAGCCCCGTCATGACAGTATAACACTTCAGCTCGGTCATGATGCTTTGTTTATTGACACGCAATTTCTGAGCACAGGAGCTGTTTACATGATGCCAGTTTAAAAAAAAGAACAGCATAGGCCAGATTAAATGTGTGTCAGCACATCAGTCATTTGACAGGAAGGGTAAATATTTTTCCTGGAGTTGTGCAATAAATCACACATAGGAATTTAGTGAAAATGCTTTAAAAATTAAATCACAGTGAGGCTAAATCCATCTGCCCAAGTGTTTCTCATTTGTATCTCGGCGTTAAAAACTCAAATCTAAGCAGAAATGATCGAGCGCACTCTCAGTACAGATGTGACACACATGTCAAATGTTGAACCCACCTGAAGCTTTAGTCTGCTGCTAATTAAATATGAAAATTATACATCTCCTTCCTTATGTTTTTTCATTTCTCTGAAAGCTTAAAGGAACAAAAATAAATAGCAGTTTGTGTTTGTTAAAGGGATACTTCAGGGCTTTTTTAAAGTGAGGTTGTACCGTATGTTTGACACAATCACTAGCAAAAGTGTTCTAGCCACAACTGATGCTGGTCAGCCTTGTCCCTTTTATAGGAAACCACCAGCAGGGACAGAACACTGATTATGCTCCTGTTTTTAGCCAACTTTGTCACATGTTTCAGCTATTTTTCTTCCCTTTTCTTTGGAAAGTTTATTTTCTGGCATTTTGTTTTTATTTGGAAAGTTTAGGAGACAGGGGGATAAAGGGAGTATCATACAAACTGTTTGCTTAAGGCATAACCTCCATATATGGGAGGTATACAAATAACCACTACAAAATAAGATGTTTTTAATGGTAAGAGCAAAACGGCTGAAGATGTTGACTTTAATAAGGATTTGGGAGGAGCTGCATTGAGAAAAGAAACTGGCAACCTTCCTAAATGACAGTGATTGGTACAGACATCTGTCAATCAAAATTTCCAAAATCAGTTTTTCTGTTCGTCTTTTTTGGTTTGCCGCCAAAAGAAAAACAGCATGGTCACGAAATTGATGTGATTTTAGAGATATTCACTGTATTTTAGAGAAAATTGTAGGTATTCAGAAAGCAGGTAGAGGTGATAGCCAATCAAGCCTGATTTTTCAGCTTCCAGCTGTCACGTAGGTCGCTGTTAGGTCAGCCCTCACTTCCATGAGAAATCAACCATGATTGCTAATATTAAGATATGTGACTGAGGGTGCGTGTGTGCGTTTCGAAAGTGAAAGAGCAGGCTATGCATTTAACATGAGGCAGCTTGAAACTGGACAGAGCAGCCATGAATGTTTCATAAGATCCACACAGTTTATTAGCCATTGTGTGTGTGTGTGTGAGTTCATTGTGTGAGGAGGTTAGAGAGCAGTAGGGTGTGGTGGTAAGTGCAGCTTCACAAATACGATGATAAGGTCACGTTACATTATATTGTTTGATCTGATTCAACATTGTTCCAACATCCACGTTTCTGTCTGTTGTGGTGCAGTCTGCAGCCTAATGACAAATGTCATGCTGTGGTCTGTGCGTGCGTGTGTGTGTGTGTGACTGCAACACAAATGTTGTGTCCTCTCACAATTCTTTGTCAAGACTTCAATCTGCAGGACTGTAAAAGAGAATCTGTGAAGAATTCCAGCTTCAAACTATTGAAAACTGTGAACTATAAAAGCAAATACCAAGGAATTGTTGTATTTCTTCGTGCAGCAGTTAGGATTATTTTAAATGTATCCTCTTTAAGTGTTCATGTAGTTTCATTTGATTTAGATAGAAAAGCCCCTTAATGTCGCGGAAAAACACAAAGTTATCACAAAAAGCTGTGGAATAAAGCTGTTGGGAGCGACAATATTGCAATGGCACATCTGAAGACCATTCAACCGTCTGATTATATTTGGCGAAGAAGCTGCAGTGAATGTAAACATGTTTTAAACGCATAGCTCCAGCCATGCTTCATCCAACAGCTGAGCAGCTGGTTGAGTGAGGGAGCAGGTGGTCCTAGAGAAAGGGAATCACACCTTCAGGGCACGCGGATGGTGTGAAGGGAGTGCTGACAGACTGCACTACAAATGTGGGTTTGGTATGTGCACACGAACATGCCTGTATTTGTCTCACACTTCCTGTTTGTACTACAATAGAAATCTCAGCAATGCTATAACGGAGGCAGGTAATGACATGAATTCTTTATAACAGAAAGGAACTCAGGATTTTTCAGGAAATGTTGCAACATCTTGTTAATCTGTCCTTGTCAGTGTCTGCAGTATGGTGAAAGTGCTGACTAGCTATTCAGATACACCCTGCTCAAGGCAAATACAGTAGCACTAACACATTCCATTAATAGTTGAGTAGCACTGAGCTAGTTCGAACTATCTCAGACTCTGTGATAGTTAGCCAATCATTGAATCCCAATGAACTCAGATTCAACCGACAGATATTTATATTTTTTTCTTTTCTCCTCATTGCTGGAACCAGATGCAAATGTGTGGCCCTGATCTTCGTAACAATAGTCATCTGATCACATAGGGCTGAGCGATATGGCCTCAAATCCATATCTTGATTTTTTGAGCAGTTCACCTCGATAACGATAAATTGATGATAACTACTCCACAAACTGTTGCTACAGACTGGATGGGGTGGAGTCACGTCTCAGACGTAGGACAGCATCTTAGAGGGACATGGGACCATAGCCTACCTACACACATCTAAAACCACTGTTTATTTATTTATACTGAATATACCAATATGGGCAAATTGGCGCTGTTTATTGTCGTAAATTTCAGTATCAGTTAATTTTCGGTTTATCGCCCAGCCCTATGGTTACAGTCATTGATTTATCTAACCATCTGTATTGATGTGTGTCAACAACAAGGAGACTGACTGATCAATATTAAAGTGTATACCGACAACACTTGTAAATTTTCACCCCTCTCATCATGCCCTCAGAAATCCTGTGTAGAGCAAGTCACACAATCCAAGAATGTTTGAACAAAGGTTTGGAAACTAACCAGCAAATATTCCCACCCATGATGCCACATGAAAACGGTGATGAAGAGAAACTCTTTTAAAGTGGACTGTCAATTGTTTTGTCAAAGTAGTCAAATTTAATCTTTAGGATTATGTGCTGGCTGCAGCTGGCTCAAGATCTCAGTTTGGATTCAAGGAGGAATTTCAAGAATTCTTGAGGAAATTCTTCTCTTTGTTGGCTGCTAACAACCAGGAATCTTCTGTGTTTTGTTGATGGGACATGCTGACGTGGGGGCAGGGAGTGGCGGTCAGTGGGGTGTCATTTAAAACCTTTTGCTTCTTAAGACATCTCTTCTCTACAGAACTGAATCACATTCATTTTCCAGTTCCTGGATGCAGGATGAGTTCTCTGTTCCCACTGTGATCAAACCCTAGAGCATCAGGCCTGCTGGCCTCTCTGGGGGTTCGGATTTAGCCAATAGTGAGCAGATAAAGTGAAACAAAGGGCTGAGCGAAAGGAGAGGTCTAGGACCCACTGGTGTTCAGCCAAGAGGGAATAATGACACCAGTGGTGTGTGGATGAGCTGTAGTCCAAACTGTGGATCCATGAAGAGGGAAATCCAACAATTAAGCTTTACTTTTAAGTGAGTCTCATTTATAGGAAGGAGAAGAGTAAATTCTGAGATTGTAGTTTCAAATTTGTGAGGAATAAAATCAGAGTCATAAATTAGCATGAAAAGGTAGCAAACTTGAGAGGATAGTATTTATAGAAACCACCTCTTTTGGAACAGCCTAATTCTGCTAGACTCACACCAAGTGAGGAGGTGTACTAGTGCCTGAGTGCACCGACGCTGGGACTTTTCTCAAAGTGAGGAAATAGAATATTTGAATTAAACAAATCAGGGTGAATTTTTATACTTTTTTGAATGCTTCAAATCCGACTATCATTGAAGTTCATGTCGGACTATTGAAACAAACATTTTGGAGTCCTTTATGGGGTGGAGCAAGAAAATATTATTTTCTATTCCCCATTGGCTGGTTTTGGAGAAAATGTTTTCCATTGGCTACAGTCTGTACTTCACACTCCACACTTTCTCATGTATGCATCAGAACTCAACAAAGAAGGTGAGGGGTTGTGGCTCATTGCATGTCCTAAACAACATTATTTGAGGAGGTTCAGAATGAGAGGCTTATTTTGAACAGTCAGATGAACAAATCTTAAGGTAGTCCTAACATGCACTGTCCTAGTAACAATATCAGAACCAGACTCATTATCAACTGTTTTGGCCAAGTATGTGTACGCATACAAGGAATTTGACTCTGGTAAGCTTTGCTCTCTATCTACAAATATTCAACATGAAATGTAACGAAAATGGTTCAACAAATGACAGAGGTTGTCAACAAACAAGTTTTGACAAAAGCAACTCAATATGCTAAAAAGATCTCAAACCCTGTATGCAGTCTGGTGGACAAAAGAATACATTCTCTAATTCATCCAGAGGTTGTAGTCAGTGACCCATCAGCTGGTGTTCCTTTCTAAAAAACATTCATATTACCTACCTGCATAACAATCAGTGTTGAATTGAAAGCCAGTATCTTAAGTTTGAGGGACAGGTTTGGCAGCCCCCAAACATTCCTCAGGAACAAATCTGCCTGAAAGAAAATACATAATCCCCCCCTATATTCTCTCAAATGCAAATTGCACATACGGCAGCAGTTGCCTGTGGCCAGAGAATGTCCGTCCTCCATTGTCTTTCATTCCTGCCTTTTTCTCCATTATCCTGCTGGCTGCTTCATTCATCTGCAAACACCAGTTGCCTTCCCACCCAGCCCCCTCCATCGCGGTTCTTGCCCTCTCCCACCTTGTGTCTCCCGCAACCTCCCCCCTGTTCAATCATCTGACCCCCTCAGTCCCTCTGCTCCGTCTTTTTCTTCACCACTCCTCACATTGCTGCCTCTCCATCCCTGTAGCCTGTGTCCCCCAGTATGATTCACTGCAGGCCTATTAACCACACTTATGGTGGATGTGAAGCTTTTTGTGTGAGTGAGTGTGCGTGTGTGTATGTATGAGTGTGTGTGTATCCGCTGCAGCAAAATCTCATCTACTCTCTGTCACCATATGCCAGTTGATGCTCGTAAGATGCTGTAATTGTCTGACTGCACCCCAGAGGATGATGGTCTGTGGTTTTTCTTTGGGACCAGAGGGCAGAGCAGACATTTATGACATATCCAGAGAGGGGGTGGCCTGGTATAAATTTAGGGGGTAGAATGAATGCATTGACAGTCATCTGCAGGTCCAGCCCTCTGATAGCAGCTCTGACACGGAAAAGTAGAGAGGAGAAGAAAGAGGAGGAGTGACACTGATTCATAAACTCAGCCTGAAATAAACCCTCTATAGACTCACTTACACATAATAAACAGTCAGTGTTTCAGTGATGTTCAATCTGCATTAAAAGCTCAGTGATGGTACCTTATGATTAAATGAAAACTCACCGTCCTCTCTTCAATATAATTTTCACTTTAATATGATGTGCGTGTAGACACTTAAAGTAAACATACTCACTAGCTTAGAGGGGTTTGTATACCCACAAAGTAATGAGGACCAAGACCATAAGCTGTCTCAGAATTCATCACACTTGAGTATGAGCTTAAGTATCTGTGATGGTGGAAACGTCACATGCATGTTTGAAAGTCATGTGACTGACATACAGAGAGCCTGTTTGCACAGCAGCCAGTTTTCTGTGGTGAGGGGCTGCATTAAAGTGACATCAGATTGATGGGTATTGCAGACTATCCCTGGACAACAAGGAAGTGGTGAGAGCGTGACATGTTTCGGTCACATGACTGACATCAGGCCACGAAGAGGCTATTGCACATGTGCAATTTTCAAACAACATATTGTTCAGCACTGATGTCTATTTAGAGATCTGCACATTTTATTTTTAAGTAGTAAAAATATTTGACAAACTTTTAACTTTACAGTATTTTTTTATAGTGTTAAATCTAATCATCAGTATTATTTAGATAAAACCAAACCCAGTGCGAATTTAGTATTTGTCTTTGACTTGTCCTTTATGTTTGTCTTGGTAAATGAGACGATACGATATATCACCAGACAAAATATTGCGATACTGTAATCTATCGATTTTTTCTCCCACCCCTATCTCACATACAGTTGTACTTTGAGATAACACTAACACAATGCTAAAGAAAATAATAAATATAATTTGTCATTTTCCACCTATACCAACTGCATTCAGTAAATGCAGCTGTAATAGCTTCAGAAATGTTTTTAACAGCAGGGAGACTGCCCAGATTTGTTTAAAAAATGAACATAATAAATACAATCCTTGATCCTTTTAAGATTTGTCAAATATTAGGAGTCGTCTCAGCTCCATTGATAACTCCTGAAGCAATTCTGCAAGTTAAAGTGAGCGTGAGAACACTTGTAGTAGTAATTTTAGTCTTTTTGATGTTGCAGACAGAACGGAAGGTCATTCTGGGGGAAGCTGTAAGGACTCAGATGACTGTAGTGCTCAGCAGACAGTGGAGCTGATGTAGGTCAATAGTAATAGATGCCCCCGGCTAAAATCTCTAGATGGTATTTGCTACGCTGGATTGTGTCATCTACTCGACAGCAGATCCTATCAGGTTGATCTCTGCAGCCTTTCTGCTGCCAAGACTAAAATACCTTAAACTGTCCCACAGAGGCACGACAGCAGGCAGCTGGAAAGCACTGAAGGCTCCTGGTGGGTGATAAGCTGAAGTGCGGACAGGCAGGCAGAACAGGGCAGCTCTACTGCAGAGCGTGAAAAAGCAGAGTTGATTAAGATGAAAGTGTTTTTTACCTGTCCTCCGGTGACTGTTGATCAGCTGTTTTCTCTAACTTGAGATTCTAACCCAGCCACAGAGCTGATGTTATTTTACTTAAACTGACAGAATCAGCAGAGGCAAAGCAAAGGTTCCTGTAATAGTTAGTTTGGAGTGAAATAGAGGCCCGTTTTGTGACAAAGAGGACTGCTGGGTAATGAGACTTTGGTAACAGGGACTTGACTACAACACACATAGACATGAGATGATCAAACCTCTGATCTGGATTTAAGGAGGAAAGAGAACAAAATGCTCCTAAAATGTTAAACCTTTTCCTCTAAGATACCTGCTAATCTGATCGTACTGAATTAAAACCTTCCCTTTCCTTTCCTTTTGATCTCCTGTGGATGTGTTAATACCATTCATCACACAACGAATCTGCTAAGAGTACGTACAACCTGCTAGGAGTAAGAGTGGGAAGTGCTGCAGTGGCTGATCCTTTGTTTTCACATACAGCCTGCTGTTAGAAGCCTTTTTTATTCACACACATTTAAGTGTGACAGGGGTGGTGGTGAGAGAGGCATCTCTTTAGGTCAGAGGACATGGAGGCCCACTGTTGGCCCTCTAAAGAAAGAAAAGGGCTCTCTAGCCCTCCTCTCCTCCCTCATCCCAGCCAGCCCCCTCCTCCTCTACTCAGAAGGGCACTGGGGTCAGAGGTGGTCAATTGCTACAGCCACAGATTAAAAACTGTGTGTGTGCGTGAGTGTGTAGATAAATAAGAGAGAAACAGAGAGGAACAAACTTGACGCTGAGCTTTGTGAATGAGGAGGATGAAAGAAACAGGATAGATGAGGAAGAACAAAGCGAGACAGATACAGGGAGGGGATATCTGATAGGGCAGCAGATGCTCGGTCAGCCGTCTGCCTTGTAAAGCATTGATTGTGGCTGGGAGCGTTGTAAAGGCCGGCAGTCGGACTGTGTAGGTAGAACTGGAGCCACATGTTTGTGCCACACCTCTAAACTCATCACAGTGCTTCTCCTGTATGACTGTCAAAGTGTTTGCTGTGTGTATCCCCAGGAGAGCTGCTGACTTTTACTTTGCTGTGTGGATACAGTTCAACACACTGCTTCACTTGCTATGAGCACTGTCATTGTATACAGATATGGCTTTATTTAGGATATGAGAGATAAAGAAGTTAAGGTACAGTTTGCTTGCTCATAAAAGGTGTCCATGAGAGATGGAGAGAGATTTGCAGGATACAAAAGTGATTTCAAATATTCCAACAAATCCAAGCAATAAGTTGACCCATTTAAGGGATATTCCGGCGTTCATTTAAGTTAGGGTCAAAAACACCGTAACACCGAGTTAGACACCCCCTTGAGAGATGAATGTTGTCAACTGCTTGCTTCTTTAGCTATACCAACTTCAGTAACAACCGCACGATAGCAATACACAGCAGTCTATGTCTCCACGCGCAAACCTCAACCAAAAAGCCACTATAATGCTCAGAACAGCACCTAACTTCATCAATAGTACTTTGCCTCATTTAGCTTTGGTCTCACAAAGAGACCAAACACAACTTCCCGTCTCTCTTCCAGCAGCTGCTTGTTGGTGGGGGAACCCTGACAAGTCGACTACTGAGTGCAGCGAATCATTTCCTTGAAGTAATAATCATCATAATAATCATTTTGCACTGCAGATGCGGTAGTTCTTCTGCCTTAGCATCTCGGTCTGATTGCATTTCAATGAAGAAATGATCATAAATGTTCCTTCTTGAGCTGCGAAACTCCACTGCAATCAGTGAATTTACAACGGGATATCCCTTTAAAAGAAGCAATCATTAAATGGAGAGTTAGATAAAAAGGGGTTATTTCTCTTGTGCTGCAAAATCAGCTCAGGCAGATGTGACCTTTAGGGCTTAACATACTTCATCTCAGTCTGTGTTTATTAATGTAAACTCTAACACTATTTTTTTTCTTTTTCTAAATGAGTAGAAGTAATGCACACTTTACTTAACAAATATAGGAATGTACTGTAATTAATGAACAGGATATTTCTTTAATCAGTGCTAATTACTGAATCAATATTGAAGGATATTGATTGATATCAAATGTTATCCTGACCCAAAGAATCAAAATGAAATTGAACTTAGAGATTTGTGCCAATAAACATACGCTCACTCAGTGTCTCGTATATTTACAGTGCACAGCCTCTGAATAAACAAAGCACTTCAAGGCCGGATTAAAAACTTTTAAAAAACTCCACAGACCAGCTAAAAGGTTAACTTTCAATCACATTCATCCTCGTGAAGATCTGTCGCATAGTTGCAGAGATGTTCGGACACACTGTAATCAAAAGCTTTATGTGCAGCTGGTGTTGTTGTCAAAGAAACCCTGCCTGCCTCCCAGTATGTCAATCAGAAAGTCTCCCACACTGGCTGAATTCACATTGTGCAGCATACATAACACCATTTGATTGATCGCTCTTACAAAATTTAATTACTGTTGTTTAAAAAGTTGAAAAATGTTTGAAAAAGTTGCAGCACAGCTTTGTGCATCATTATGAGTAGACAGTACACTGACAGAGCTAACATATACACCGGGATGGGAAAGGATATCAAACGTTCAAGCGGCGGGCAGGTCCTCAGGGTCATCAATCTCCCTGGTCCCATCCATAAGCGTTTTTTCTTTCCTCTTCTTCACTGTCTGAGTGTCCCACCTCTTACAGCACACACACACTTTCACAGATTACACTATTTAATCTTGATTAGAATCGCACAGTCTTAGCCGGCTGAATGCTGCTTAGCAGAGCAGAAAAGAGAAATGAAGGGAAGGAGGACAAGGGCGAAAAAGGCAAACCTCGGTTGTACAATAGAAACACTGGGATCACGAGTGGAACAAAAGGAGCTTATAAAGAGATCAATACAAACTATTAGTAGATCTAGGACATGCTCTGTTGTTTTCATGCTGTACATGTCTTACGGAATTGCTGGACATTGTGTTAAAACCTGAAGTTGTCGAGTTAATACATGAAAGATTTGCCGTTTTTGGGATTGTTTAATTGCAGAAGATTTTGTTCGTTTACACTGTAAATGTAACTATCAATAGGAATATTGATGTGGTCTTTGTATAGGGCCTCCAAAAACCCCTTTAAATGTTGCTTAAATCAAACTTGACAGTTCATTCTTGGATTGTGTTTTAACTCCCTCTTCAAAATGAGTCTAAATTGTTTGCTTGAGTTATTTCCTCCTTTAATGGATTGCATAAGGGGAATCGTGATTTGTTCACAATGATATTTATATCTCCAATTAGATCTCTGGAAATATGTAGATGATATTTGTGAGGCATTCTCCAACAAACAAGCCAACAGACTGCTCGGAGGAAGACAGGAATATGAGTCAAATAATCATTTTGATTAGCCGTGTTAACGGCTCAGTCCCGGATTGTAATTCCCTTCATGATACTGCTGAAGAAACCATTTGAGCTGAAAACTTGTCAGATGTTTCCTCAGTGCATCCTGGCTGCAGGCACACATGAATTTGAAGTGTTTTGTTGTAAAGGCTGTAACAACTTTGCTGTCTTTGTACGTCTGCTTCATGAGTGTGGAAGAGTACTGTGTATTTTAGTGTTATCTCTCTTTGCATCGCATGAGATGAGGAAGTGGAGCCTCCAGCAGACTCCACAGATAATTAGATAGAGTTAAGGAAATCTCGTCAGGGAAAGATCTACTGTAAGGCTTGTACGGGGTTTGAAACTATTACTGGCACAGGGATAGAGTAAGCCGAAGTGTGTGAGACTGTATTGATCAGTGACAGCTCTGTCTCAGTTGAAACCTTGTGAAATTTCTCCTTGGTTGGTGAATCTATACGGAAGAGGAAACAAAGGCGAACAGGAGCGTTTTCATCCATACTGTGGTCACGACGAACAGACCCAGTTGTGCAAACCTACAAAACAGTTGTGGTCGGAGTCTTACAAAAGAATCTTTCCTCACATCCATGTCTTCAGGACTTAAAAGGAAATATACACTCGTCATATCCAGAGGACGTGTGTGGTGGTGTGTGCATCATCAGAGGGTGCCCCCTGAATTTTTTTACTTTTCTTTTTTCATTCTGCAGACTTCAGTGGTTTCGCAGTCAAATATAAAAATAAATTTGTCTTTATTAGATGCTAAAAGTATATATCAAATCTCAGTTTTCGCCAACCTGTGAATGGGGAGAGCCAGTGATGTAGTGGCTGTGATGGAGGGCAGAGCAGAGAGACACACACTAGAAAAGAAAAAGTGCAACTAAAGTTGAAAACAAACTAAAGTTGGCCCTTTCCTTCAAGTTTATGCAGAGAACTAAAAGATATTTGTAGCACAAGTTATATAAAACAATCAGGAAATAACTTACAGTGTGTCAGTTTTACCCACAGACTGTATAAAGTATGGATGTCGTCTGCCTCCTCACTGGGAGAAGCCTCCTTAAGAACAGCACCCTCTGGTGACAGGCTCCAGCAATCCCTACAGAGATGTGGACAAACTTAAGAAATTAATTACACAGAATATAAATTTTCTCCCCCTGATCGTGATGTTGACTTGTAGTTACTGTAAGACTGGTTTGTGCTCGTCCTCTTTTTTTCTGTGCAGCTCCATTTTAAAAGTTTTTAGGGGTTCATGTTCTCTATGATTGAAACTTGAGACAGCCTATGGGTTTACAAAGATTGCATCGATCATGTTAGAGCTGAGTGTCATCACAGCGACTTTCCCACCCCCGAATGCATACAATGCTACAGCGCAAGTGGTAGTTCCAGGAAGTGGAGCAATTTGGCTTCAAATTCGTATAATGACGGAAGGTGGAGCCAAGTTGTCCATTATATACGGTGTATGGTTTTACCCCATAGTTTTCTTAACTAATACTCTCTCTCTTTACCTTATCTCCATGCCCACCAACTACCTCTCTTTCCACATGATTTTTACTAACTTTTACTAACTGATTGACTGAATACTGCTAGATTATCAATTACCTGCTTAAAATATTAAGCTTCCTCTGACTACCTGAGTGGACTTCTTAAACTGTAACTGGTGACATTAGTCTATAATATGTGATATGAGAATGGGTGCTGTTTATAATGGAGAACCTCTCTCTTATCCATCGTGTAGACTCCTCTATCTGCCGGGGTCATCAGTTGACAGGAAGTTCAGTTTCATATTTTTGCACATGTTGACTGATTTCCACAGCTTCCCCCCAATGAAAAGAGCTTAATGACAAATTCTGTGTCTCTGAGGAGATATAGTGCCGCTTTAAGTGTGTGTGTGTGTGTGCGCAGCTCACCTCACCTCACCAATCCTTTGTTCTTATCTCTTTTCCACACTGCAAGGAATATTAATATCATGTAATACACATGTATGAACAGGCGTTATAGGAAAATGTGTGCGTGTGCTACCTCCTTCGAGGGCCTCGTGTTTCCTATCTCCTACTCCTAAACAAGGTAGGAGTGTTCCCCTGCTGGTTACTCTTTTTCATTTGCATAATAAATGGATATTCATTTATTCCTTTGCGGCAGTGCTGTTCTTTGTCTGGAATCTAAATTAGAGGTGAAGGTTGTCGGTACGAGTGTGGAATAGGGAGTTGAGTGTTGTCAGACAAGAGCTGCAGCATGACAGGCTGTGTGTGCTGTTTCAAGAGACGGAGAGGAAATATGTGATTTCAAATAAAAGGGTTCACATTGACATACAAGGCTGTTAATACTGACTGCGTATGAACTAATGGGCATCACAAGTCACAGGGCTGCCCTTGTGCCAAAGGGGACGGGATGCCGTCGGTATGATTTGAATATTTTGGTATGATTTTCAGTCCTTATATTTGAATCAATGGCAACATAAGGTTTATGTTATTATTTGTTATATTTCATACATATTTTCCACTTTACACATACTTTTTATTTCATGCAGTATGACTGTATTGTGTTGTCTACCTTTGTCAAATCTCTCTTCTAAAGTTTCATGGAATGATTAAAGAATGAACCATCACTGAAACATCAATGACATGGAAAACAGCAGCGGTATCTTCTCGCCTGGAGCATCAGGAAAAGCCTCTCAGATGGCAGGAACTCAGACTGATCATACTTCAGGCTTTGTGGTGCTCTAATCCACAAGCTGGCTTTAAGGTTTTCGAATGATTTTATTGGCTCAGCTGACTGCTCAAGCTGTAGTGATTTCTACATATGTACAGCTGAGGTGAGACGTTGCATTCTCTAGCCAAGTGGTTTGGGCAAACTCCAAAATATAAAGCTGTAAGTAAGGCAAATACACAGTAAATGTAACATCACTCTGTTTACTCTGGCCTGGTGGATATTCCAAGATATCCAGATGTGGAAAGAATTACTTTAAATGATTCATAGTTTAATTTAAAAAAGTGTGTGAATTAGATTATCAGCAGTTAGGGTTGGGCGATATGGCCTCAAATCAATATCCCAATATATTGAGCACTTCACCTTGATAGCGATAAATGAACGATAACTACTCCTCAAGCTGCTCACCCCCCATCCCCCCCATTAACTTTGTCTTTCAGCTGCCGCTACAACTTTTGAACCGTCCTCTTTCCCTCTTTCGCTCTTTGTTACAGACTGGATGGGGTGGAGTCACATCTCTGACGTAGGACAGCATCTTAAAGGGACCTGAGACCATAGCCTACCTACACACATCCAAAACCAACTTTTATTTATTTATTTATTTATTTTTTACACAAAATATAACAATATGGGTATATGGTAAATGATGTTGGTTATTGTCGTAAATTTTGGTATCAGTAAACGTTTGGTTTATCGCCCAGCCCTATCAGCAATCTCTGCAGATTGCATTTTAATCTAAATATCACCATTCATTTGAACATATCGAGGTCTGTTTTATTTCATTTTCCTATTTGCCACTGCCTCATCTCTCTTACAAAGCCGAAGCATATGACATGAAATCTGCTCCACACAAGAAATTAGCCTTTCTTCAATGTCCACCAAACCAAGGCTGAAGCTGAGCTTGTATCATATGAACATACAGGAAGACTTACCTCCAGCTTTGCCTAAACCACAGAGGTCAGCATATTTGAGTCAAAGTTTAATAAAGTCATAATATTATAATTACAAAATATCATGCCTCATATGCAAATGAAGTGGGTATGTTTAAATTTAGTGAGTAAAGTGATTTCTGCAGCATATTAAAAATATTTAATCAATACCAAACACATGCAGCGCTTCAGTAATCCAATTTCTTCATAACCTAGAGCAGATTCAGGACCCAGGCTGCGAAGTCTCGTACTAAAGTGGTGACTTGCTCTTTGTAATGACTGCAGTATGAGAGCTGCCTTTCGTCGGTCAACAAATGCAGCTCATTTTGCTGTAAAATGTTTGTCCCATAGGTAACACAGCCACTAACCTTTATATTTGAAACACTGAAACTTAAATGTAGATTATTATCAGTGTTTTTGAGGCGGCTGTGGTTCAGTGGTAGAGAGGCTCGTCTCTCAACCAATGGGTTAGGGGGGTTTGATCACGGGGCTGTCCAGATGCTGAGGTGTCCTTGGGCTAGACATATGACCCCACCCGCCCCCGCTGGCTTTATGCCCCCAGGTGGTGTGTGAATTGGATTCATCAAAACTGCTTTTGCTTTACCCAGCAGCCTTTGCTATCAGTGTGTGAATATGGTGTGAATGTCATGTGATGTAAAAGCACTTCGAGTGGTCAGAAGACTAGAGAAAGTGTTACAAACTAGTGTGTGTGTGTGTGTGTGTGTGTGTGTGTGTGTGTGTGTGTGTGTGTAAGGAAAGACAGTGGGAAATGGGTTCACTGCAGATGTAGTCATACCACCAGCTGGAGTGTCCTGCCAAACTATTTTATATTCTCACTATCAAAGGCTGCTTTGCGCAAACCCCTGCTGAGCTGCAGTGAACAGGTGTGTACGTGTGTGTGTGTGTGTGTGTGTGTGTTTGTGCTTGAGGCTAACCTATACCACTAGCTGTGATGATGGAGACAGTGGATTTAGGGATGAAGGAGCAGGAGAAGAGGACAGATGGAGAGACAGTCTGTAAAAAGTTTTTTTTTAACGTGACTTCAGTGTGACTTAAGCTTTAAGTACAAAATCACAGTTTCCTACACCCTCTTACCCAAGACCCTTTCCAAAATAAAGGACATGATTCACACAACTTTCTTTTCCATATCTACATGTGAAATAGCGTTGTATCTGCACAGTCTGCACTGACAGGAGAAATCAGGGAAGAGAGGCGGAGAGGGGATGTTTATTACTGTAATTGATAAATTAATTGAAACTAAGACAGATTCACCAGATGTCTAATGGACACTTACAGAGCCTGAAGTCATGCTAGGGTGAATGACGTGCAGAAATTGAAGGCAGTTGGATGAGTTTGAAGGTTGTGTTAGTTTGTGTAAGTCAGTGGAGTCAGACTGTCTAAAGTCAGTGTGGAGGTTTTTTCAAAAGCAGGAAAAGATGCAGCAGCTCGCAGACTTCTTTGCCTGAGGAGACAGAGTGGAGACTATCATGAGACTGGAGAACATCATACAGAGTATAAGAGTGAAGAAGTTTCACTCTATTATGATCATGTAGTAATGCAGTATATACTGTCAGGATCAAATCTTATCAAACTTTACAATGATTGCTTTGCCTTAAAAAACAGTATAGGGTTTATTATGTTGGCTGATTAAAGAGCTGAGCTTCAACTGCCTAAAACTGAGGGGCCATTAAACTGAACCCAAGGTTCTGAGCTGGTCTAGACCACACTCTTCATATTTACAAAGACAGAGTGTCAAGATGGGATGAAAAACTTAATTCTAACAGGCAGAAACCTTGAGCAGAACCAGACTCATGTTGGACAATCATCTGCTGAGATTGTATTGGATTTGGAGAGGGGATAGAGAAAGATGCAGAAAGAGAGACAGACAAAATTGAACAACAACAGCAGGTGAACACACAGGTTTACAGTGGTGGAGATAATGGGACAAGTATGTGAACTGTTTATAGGAAATGCATAGGGCTGGGCGATAAACCGAAAATTTACTGATGCTGAAATTTATGACAATAACTGATGCCAATATGTTCAGTGTCAAAAAATAAATAAAAATAAGTTGGTTTTGGATGTGTGTAGGTGGCCTATGGTCTCATGTCCCTTTAAGACGCTGTCCTACGACAGAGACGTGACTCCACCCCATCCAGTTCTGTAACAAAGAGGGAAAGACAGGTGAGGAGATGGAGGATGGTTCAAAATGTGGAGAGTCTGGAGCAGGGGCTGAAGTAGATGAAGTTAATGTGGGAGGGGGTGAGCAGCTTGTGGAGTAGTTTTCGTCCATTTATCGTTATTGAGGTGAACTGCTCAGTATATCGTGACATTGATTTGAGGCTATATCGCCCAGCCCTAGAACTGCACAATAATGATAAAAGACTGAGCATAGTTTGATTTACGGCAAATTTAACCAAAGTATTATCTCATAACCAAAAATATTGTGATAAATACCACGTATCAAAGAAAGGGTGAATCACCCTGACCTCTCTGTCAGTCCCTTTTCGCCTCCCCACCTCCCTCTCCCCTCCTCACATCCATTCCTCTCTCCTTTTCCAAGACCCTCTTCCTATTCATACCTTATAAAAGTGTTGTCAGACTGCTCAGTGGTTTCCCAGCAACAGTGTTTCAGCGATTTAAGTGAGAGAAATGCTCTGGCAGAAAAACTGCAAACTGTGCAAAGTGACCCTTTTTAAGAGGAGAAGAATGGAGCAATCAGCACGACCGGGGTCACCGCGTCTATTCCCTGTTTAAGTGTTTTATGTTTCTATATCACAAAGAGTGTCCCTCTTTTGTACAACTTGTACTAATGAGGAGAGACATTGTTCAGGGATAAGAACAAGTATGGATGAATTTAATATAATATCAAAAATGTTTTCTCCTTTTTGAAGTACTTTGTTTCTGGGTAGACTTTGCACTTATCTTTAATTAACCCTTATTTCAATCTATAATTTACCTCTATTCGACAGTACTGCCTTTAGTTGTGATAGATTAAGTGGTACATGTGAGGTTTAAAAGCATTAAGTGTAGTGGTTTCTTTTAAAAAGCCCTCCTGGGATCTATTTAGCTGCTCTGAAACAACTAGCTGTTTATGTTCGGGATTTGAATGTCACGGGGGTCATTGGGGGTAAAGCTGCAAACACACACAGCTCTGAGCACAGAGTCCAAGCATTACTCAAACAAAACAGGTTGACATGTGTACGTCCATGCAGGGCTCTCTATAAGAGGAACCTCAGGCCAGTGCTGAACACCACAGTACAGATGTCCTATCAGCAGGAGGCTCCAAGATCACATCAGATCAGAGAAAGAGTGAGGTACTGTGGCAGAGAGGGACAGTCTGTGCTTACAGCCAGACCTGTACACCATTCCAGCTCGAAAAGAGGACATCCTTTGCAGTGCATTTGTCCCTTTTGTGCATTGTGTTGTTCATATGTCGATGAGTATCCAAAGCTGTGCTTTGTGAAGCACATTTTCAACGAGAGGCAATAGAAAAGGAGTGTGTATTGTCAGGCTGGAGCAGCGTTTGGAGAATGAGTTTGGTTGTTGTCGTCGTCCTGGACTGCCTCAGCTGTGTTTATTTATGTCTAGTGTGCGTGACATGTGGGAGTTCATTTTTCCAAAAATGGTACAAGGTGCAGTTTCCCTTAGAGTTTGTCTAGTCCCTCTTTCCTCTGACATAAATGTCTATATCAAAGAGACGAGATATGCTGCAGTGCAGAGGGATGCCAAAGGAAAGCTGCAAACCACACTAGAGCTCATATTTGTGCACAACCTGTGCAGACCGTGCTCTCATGGTTCACTATTTTTCAGACTGCAAATGAATTTTGCTCGTCTGCCTGGTGATTTTGTGCTCATTGGACTGAGCACAGTTAAAGGGGGGAAGTGGAGCTGCAAGCATGTTTCTCTGAGCAAGTCAGCTGATCAGAGTTACATGCTAATCCTTAATTATAATAAATATATTAATTTAGATATAGCAGAAATAAATGTATCTGATTCTTATGTGACTGGTAATCAGTAAAGTGTGTTCACATCACAAAACGAGAGCACTGGATATTTGTGTTCCTTCTATGATAAATGTCCAAGCACCGATGGGCCAAATCAAACCCAATCCAAGCTAGGGATGGGAATCAATAAGATTTGATTGATATTAATGTTATTATCAATTCTTCCAGACAATCCCTGTGGATTTTCTGTGGGGATAAAAACGGGATTATGTAGGTTTCCTGCATTAATGACACAAGTATAATTATGACGTCATTTTTCATACCTTCACTGTTCAGCTTAAATGAAGAAGCCTGACTTCTGATTAGGTTTGTCAAAGTCAACTGATTGTAGATACAGCCTGTGAAGGTTGACAGAGCATAACAAAGATGGCAGCCTTCTATTAGCATAGTCAGTTAACAAATCACACTAATCACCAAAATTAAAACAAACACCATCACAGAATACTTCTGTTTTTAATAGACTGGATCCAGACAAAATTAAACTGATTTGTCTTTGTTGGATAGAAAAGTGTGTGGATATCGCCAAAAAGCTGCTGGCCTTAGGAAGTGAGTGTATTTTTTGTGAGGTGGAGTGTTGCACCATTCTTTTTTTACTGCAAACAAAACACTATCTTGTTGTATACAGTAGCCTTTGACCTCTCCTGTCGCCTGTGTCATGATTACTTCTTCCAGTCTATTGGTTGATAGCCTTTTGCGATGCATCACGGCATTGTTTTTAAAGGCACATGAAACAGGTTCTGAACTGCAATTGATATCAGTTCCCATCCCTGATCCCGGGGTGGTCTCTGAAACTCAAAGGATCACATTTCAAACTTCAGTTGATCGTTTCCTTAAAGGCTTTGTTTGTGTTTGTTTGACTTTCAATGATGGAGAAAGCTATTATGGACATGGATGTGAAGTGACTTGAACAAAGGTAGCCGTCTTGACAAAAACATGAACTGTAATTTTAATCACAGGTTGGAGTTTCCTCTGCATGGGCTATGTGTTAATCTCTGTTGTTTCAGTCCAAATGAGTACTTGTCAGACTGTATGTTAACAGAGCCCGTCTCTGCGTGCACTGGGAGGAGGGTGGCCAGTTAAACTGGGTCATTTGGAACACCGGCACATCAACTAATAATGGCCAATTAATCCCACCATCCCTACTCTGGATCTCTCTATTTAACTGGCCTGTTCTGCTCCATTTGACAAACACTTCGTCTGATGGCTGATGTACCATTTCTTCCTCTATTTTTTGCTCCCTCTCACACAGGCACACAGACGCAAGTGAGGCTGCTCGAGTGTTCAAATCGCTCCATAGCCTAAAGATCACAGATGGTTTACACGGGCAAAGAACTCTTAAGGGTGATGGAAAGATCTGGAATCATAAAGAGACTGCCAACGAGAGTGCTGATAAAAATAGATGTCCTATTGTCAGCCCAGGGCACTTCAATTTTAAATCTATCATATGTAGGAATTTCACATTTTTGCAATCTTTTTATAAGGTAATGATTAATCAGCTGAGATCAGAGGACATAGCAGCTTTCTTTAAAAGAAAGACAACATGAGAAGACAGCTTTTAAATCAAAGCTCTGAAAAGAGAAACATTAGAATTGCACATATTCATCAAACTCTAATCTTAATTTCTCATCCTACAGACAATAATGACAGGCTCTGTGAGTAACGATTAACTTATTATGCCTTACAACATACCCTGTAGATTAAAAAAAAAAAAAAAAAACACCTGCAAAGATTTCTGTCCTTGAGTGTTAGAATTTCTCCACAATCCTACTTGCAATTGAAGGGCCAGAATTGAATCTTTAGTATTAGTGTTTTAAAAAAATATTGATATGCAGATGGTTAACAGCATTTTCATGCAGATATCTGTTTATGGACATAAGTTAAAGCTTAATTGTTAATGGATGGCTGCCAGTATGGATGCATGTTGATAGATATGCTAGGGCCGGGCGATATGGCCTTAAATCAATATCACAATATATTGAGCAGTTGCCCTTGATAACGATAAATAGATGATAACTACTCCACAAGCTGCTCACCCCCTCCCACATTAACTTTGTCTACTTTAGCCGCCACTCCAGCCGCTCCAACTTTTGAACCGTCCTCCACCTCCTCACCTGCCTTTTCACTTTGCTACTGGATGGGGTGGAGTCACGTCTCTGTCGTAGGACAGCATCTTAAAGGGACATGAGACCATAGCCCACCTTCACACATCCAAAACCAACTTTTATTTATTTAGTTTTTAGACACCAAACATATTGACATGGGCAAATGATGTTGGTTATTGTCATAAATTTCGGTATTGGTAAATTTTTCGTTTTATCGCCCAACTCTATAATATGATAAGAATGGGACCACAACTTCAAACTCTGACACTTTGAAAACCAAACTCTGGATTCTTTTATTATTCTTTAGATGAACCAAAATGATCGACTTTTTAGACATACCAATATTGTGTTATCCTCAAGTTCAGTATGCAGTAGTTAAACACACTTAAGCATCAAAAGTCATCACTTGCTCTGCATATTAAGCTGATTGATAGGAGCAGGTGCATCATGGGTATTAGAGAGGACTTCTCTGGCAGCGGTTGCACTTTAGTCCCTCCGCTGTCGGGACAGTGATCGATGTCAGGTCTCCCCCTCATCTAGAGAAAGAGGAGAGGATGAAGCTGTTAAGCCATGCCGTCAGTACAGCTCAGGTCTAAGTGGATCATCACATCCAGATCCTCTTCGGCCACACCTCTGTGACACAAGCAGTTTAGCAGCTGTATTTGCTGTGCATTCAGTACGGATGGATTGTCAGTTTTCATGAATCTCCCTGGAACCACTTGCACAGTTTTGCATGCATATATGCCGGTCTGAGCAGCAGGGGATAGAAGAGCAGAAGCACTTCTGTATTTTCTCCATTACAAAAACTAAAGCTGGAGCAGTGTTCTCCTCAACCTCACGTTATGTCATCTGGAAATTTATCATCTATTTATTTGCCTTCATTCTCAATAGATGAGGCTTCTTTAGATGGCAGTGACAGTCCAGTCTATAAATCTGATTATTTTTTTCTATTTGATAGTTGAAAGATTGATGCTATGGATGATTTTGATTACAATGGCACTGATGACAATGATGTTTTTGCAGTGTTGATGATGAAAAGAAGACCTGCTTCAAGACGTCCTGTGCATTGACAGTAGTGCATCATACGTGAGACTGTGTGGGAAATTTCGTTGCTTGAATTGGACTCACACTCAGAAGTCTCAGACGTCACTCTACACAAAAGCTTTTGCCAAATGAAACTGCAAAACTCGATCATTGTAACATTTCTGGACAGTCCAAAATGAGCCCTCTACAAGATATCTTTAGGTCTGGAATAAGGTTAGTAATAGGGCTGGGTGATATGGCCTCAAATCAGTATCGCGATATATTGAGCAGTTAGCCTCGATAATGATAAATAGACGATAACTACTCCACAAGCTGCTCACTCTCTCCCATTTAAACTTCTTCTACTTCAGTCACCGCTCCAACCGCATCTCCTCACCTGGCCTTCCCTCTTTGTTACCGACTGGATGGGTTGAGTCACGTCTCCCATGCAGGACAGCGTCTTAAAGGGTCATGAGACCATAGCCGACCTACACACATCCAAAACCAACTTTTACTTATTTTTTTGACGCTGAATATACTGATATGGGCAAAATGATGTCGGTTATTGTCGTAAATTTCAGTATCATTAAATTTTCGTTTTATCGCCCAGCCCTAGTTAGCCATGTGTTACAGGAACTCAGAGGGAGAGCAACTATGTCACTGGTTGTGAGGCAGATAACAGTGGCAGAAGCAAACATTGCTGGCTATATTGTCTGTGGCCTCTTTGTAAGAAACTCCTCTTTTTCGTATTGTTTGTCATATGAGTGTAAAATTGTCTGCCTGACCTCAGCAGTCAGTCCACTGTTTGAGTGTGAAGTGCCTTTAATATTGTGGCTCTCTGCCTCACTGTACTCGTGTTGTTGTGGGTGTCCTGCAGGGCGAAAAGAGGGGTTCTGGCGATGTGTTAAGCTTAATGTTCCACTCTCTGCAAGGCGCCGTAGGGTGTAGCAGTTCCCAACAGCTTGAATGTCAAAGGAAAGTTTTTCCGAGGGAATTATAAAAAAAAAAAAATCACATTTTCTCTCATAGTTACAAACATTTGCACAAAAACCCAGGAATATGGTTGTAAAGGACGAGCAATAACCCGGAGGTGTCGTCTCTACAGCAGAGAATGTCTTTTTCTAGACACATGCTAAAAAAAAAGAAATAAAAAAGACACTCCTCTGTGGGTTTAGTGATCTGTGGTTAATATTCAAATACAGTCAATCACACAGGGTTACAGACATGACTATTACCACTTTAAAAAACTATCTTATTTGAACGTCTTTATTAAACAGCTTCATCTAGTGTGTATTTCAGCACTTTTTTCCAGACAGAACTCAGGTTATAAAGCCTGATGACATAATTGAATGTGCAATTTTCAGATGGCAGAGCAAATTTTACCGCCTGAGAATAAGAGCTGCAAGTTAAATCAAGTGCAAATTCAGACAAACGCAAACACATCTTATATTACCATCACATAAAGCCCCATATGAACTCCATGTTAGTGATGGTCTGAGGCAGATGTGTGGAAACTCTGGGGTATAACCCTGTTATCTGCTTAATCGTGTAAAAATGTCTTTTATAAATACAGTTCTTATGTAGAAAAGGGGACTAGAGTGAGTAGAGATTGTCTTGAACCGTTTCCATTGAGCTCAATTAGGGGTGTCCCGATACCATACTGATATTATAGCCGTCAACATTGGCTGATACCGATATTGATCAGAAATTGGCACTAAATTGTGCATGACGAGTTCTTCACTCAGCTGCAATGTCTTTTTCTGATTTAAACAAAAAATACTGCCACAAGGCCAACATCACTCCTAGTCCTTGCGACTTTGTTTGTACTTTAGTACACACTGTTGTAAGCTGTGGGCTCAGCTTACTGGATCAGGGCGCTGCTAGATAGAGGTGCCAGAGCAGAGTCTGAAGAATGGACAGCTTGTATTGGAGTGCTGAGATTGGAGATTTTAGATGCAGGCCGATATAATCCAATGTTCGTTTTTTTTTTTTTTTTTGCTGATATCGGATAGATATCCAATATCAATATCGTATCGGGACACCCCTAGTCTCAATGTCATATTGAGGTCAATTTACAGAGATTGAAACATGCTTGTCATCAGTAATCTGTGGCAGGGACAAGCAATTAATTTTACTTAATCTTAATTTGATTTAATCCTGGAATGACCAAAACAGTTGATATTGATACATATCACAATATAAAAATAATGTCATAATGAAAATGTTCCGTTACTCTTAAATGGAATTTAAGCATATTGACCATGTTTTACATCGATATCAAGGGAAATTAATTTCGATATATATCGTTATCGTTTTATCGCCCAGCCCTAATCTGCACTATAGTAGCAGATTTATCAACATATGGTGCTCGAGTGAGTATTTCTGGCAGCAGGATGGGGTGTTCAGGATTGGATCAAAGAAGCTTCAGTGTGTGTGTTCACTGTAACAAAAGAGTACGTCCCCTAGTTGTCAATACAAATGTTTGATCTGTTTTGGACAACAATAGAGCTTTTGGCATGTGGTGAAACATTTATGAGGCTTAACGCACGATGCTCAGTCAGTATTGGGGATTTAAAGTTGGATTTTGAGAGATTAAAACCTGCTTCTTACCTAAGTTTGTGAAGCTTGTGGGAGAATTTCCTAAACTCTGCCAAACTGCCGCTGAAGTCTTTTCCCGAATCACCTCTTCCTCCACTGTTGCTTCATCTTCCTCCATTGAACTGACACCCAGGTATCCACCCACTCGCTGCCTGCTCAACAGGTATTGATTGACCTCTTCAACACCAACTGGTCTGAAGGCTTTAAGCACGAAACAGGATGAAGGCTGAGCAGACTGGAAATGTTAAAATGTAAATATATGAAGTGCCTGTATATTTGTGCGTGCACTTTGGCAGAGAAATGTGTCTATGTTGTGCTGTGTAGGTGTGTGTGAGTCATGTTAAAGCCTCCGTTACTCCTCCTGGAATACATGCAGCTGCAGCAGAGCCAAAGACATATGAGACCGTGTTTGTTTGTGCGTGCAGGACCTACATGAGTGCGCTTCTGTTTTATTATTCATCATGTGGGGAAACTCTTCGTTATCCCTCTACAAATTTGGGATGTTGCAATACATTAAGAACACCACTTTTATTTTTTATCCCCAAACAAACATGTTTGTTCTGTTGGCCCGTTTTCCAGAAGAAGATTTCATCAACGAATATATTAAATATCCTCGCAAGTAGGGCTGGGCGATATAGCCTCAAATCAATATCAGGATATATTGAGCAGTTCCCCTTGATAATGATAAATGGACAATAACTACTCCACAAGCTGTTCACCCCCTCCAACATTACCTAGGTCAACTTACCTTTAAACCGTCCTCCATCTCCTCACCTGTCTTTTCCTCTTTGTTACAGACTGGATGGGGTGGAGTCGCGTCTCTGGCATAGGACAGCGTCTTAAAGGGACATGAGACCATAGCCTACCTACACACATTCAAAACCAACTTTTATTTATTTTTTTAACACTCAATATATTGACATGGTAAAATTTGGTATCGGTAAATTTTCAGTTTATTGCCTAGCCCTACTCCCACAATAAAATTCAACTGTTCCTAATTGGCATGTGTCTCCTCAGCATGTTGGGAAATGACATTACAATCAACTAAAGACTTGTCCAACTGGAGCTGTGGTTGAAGCACAAGTTGGTACGTTTCTGCTCTAAAGTTTATTCAGACCAACATCTCCTCCCACGATTGCATATCTATGACCCTCTGTTTGCTTATCTGCATTTCTGCCTGTGTGTGTGTGTAAACTGTACAGTGATGAGAAAAAAAAAAATCAATTTCCTCCCAGGGGGATTAAGAAAGTCATTCTGCCACTTCCTTCTCTAACTCATTATTCATAAACTGAGCATGTCATCACAGAGGAATTATGAGAGTAAATATTTTTGGAATTTGAATGCAGTTTGTACGTGTCCAAAGGCTGAGATATATGAGATGAACTGGGCTTCATAAAACTGAATATGTTAAATTATTCATAAGCTGTATGTCATCATAATAAGTAGTTAAAAAGTCTGCGATACAGAGCGGCTTGAAATCAGAGTTGAGGGTGTGCAGTGTAAAAAGTGCTGAGTCAGAGATGGAATAAATGTCTGGACTGTGAACTTCCTCCAGAAAAGTGTTTAGTTTGGTTGATGGAATAAATCTTGTTCTCTCATTACCATAACTGAGAAGTCCTTCAGCAGAGTGTTTAACCCACAGTTAATGCTACAATAAGGACAGAGGAGCAGATTGTGTGGTTCTGCTAGGCAGCCTCTGTGTGTGTGTGCCAGAGTGTGTGTGTGTGTCTACATGTACAAACAGGGACTTGTATGAGAGATAGAGAAGTAATAGTCTAAAAGTCTTTAATTACAAAGACAGGGTTGATTGTAAATGACCGTACAGAGAGAGCTTCAAAGACCTGACTGAAATGAAACGTTTGTTTTCCTGATGGGGTTTTGTTTGCTGAAATGTGGATTCTAAGTGCTCCTGCTTCTTCCTCAAGTGATCCTACTTGTTTGCTGCAGAGTGGTCACTTTCAGAGTGCAGTGAGCTGTTGTCAGTTGTTGGTGTAGGCAGGAGGTTGACCTCCAGTAGCTCCAGAGCTTACAGTCAGTTCGTTTCACAGTCAATTTACCAAAAGTCTCATTCTGAAATCTTTCCCTGCAGGTTGGAGTGGGTGGAAATCATTGAGCCGCGTACGCGGGAGCGGATGTATGCCAACCTGCTGACTGGCGAGTGCGTGTGGGACCCTCCACAGGGTGTTTGCATCAAGCGGACTGGTGACAACCAGTGGTGGGAGCTGTTTGACCCCAACACCTCACGCTTCTATTACTACAACGCATCAACGCAGCGCACTGTATGGCACCGGCCGCAGGGCTGCGACATCATCCCCCTGGCCAAGCTGCAGACTTTGAAGCAGCACACTGATGCCAGTAATCCTCGACCTGCAGGTGGAGGAGGAGGGAGAGCTTCAGCTGATAATAGCCCGGGACGTAACAGCGGGGTCAGCAGAGAGGGGAGCACATCGTCCTCCCTTGATCAAGAGCTGTCTGAAAAACAGAGCAACAGAGAGGAGGCAGACAGGTAAGACTGCGGCTCACATGCAGAGACACCAGACCAGAACTTGAGAACTTTAAGAATAACAAGTCTAAAAACTAATCATAAAGGTGAATTCTGTGAAATATAAAAACACCAGAAACTGCAATTAAGAGATGTTTTAATATGACTTCTTGTGTGGAAATAGTGATGTTTAGTCTGCTTTTTGTTTTGTTCCTTATCCATTAAAACTGGTTTGTGAAAAAGGTGCAATCCGGCTTAAGTATTTAGTCAAGTTTTTCTTTGCAGCTGGATTAATTCCCTTAAGTGTGAGGCAAGCAAAGCTGTAGAGTTGAGTTCTTTATTTTTGATCAGTAGTTCATTGTGTTATAAGTTTTATTTCGCTGTTTCTTAAAGAACAACAGCTCACAAGCTTTTGTAGGTCCAGAAGTAGACGACTGGATTCTATCTTTTCCAAATAGTTAACTTCATAAACAATCCCATCATCACTCTTCCTTTTGCTTCAGGTCCTAATCAATACTTTCGTTGTTATAAATCACTGCTGACAGTGTGGAGAAACTTGCAAAGACACCATGCAACAGAGTGGTTTTAGTGGAACAAGAAGACTTCAGCTGCATTTGCGCAGTTCTGTCTTTTTTCTTATAAAGCTTAGATAGCTCTAGTCCGTACTGGCACTCTCCTGGTTCTTCACATTTGCTCTACATTTAAACAAAACTGACTGAAAAAAAAAAACATGCGGTGGTTGGTATGTCCACCTTGTGTGAGTTTCCTGGCACATGCCACCTGTGATGTTCTCTGCAAAGGTCAGGCTTCCGGTCAGTCCGCCCCCTCCTCCAGTTTCTGTCACTGTCCGTTAATTTCTTCTCTCTCTCACCTTCATAGCTTGTCACCTGCCTTTACTTTATCTGTCTCTGTCTCCCTTTCTCTCTCTTCCACTCACCCTCAGCACCATCTCTCCCCTCCCCCTTTGTCTAACAAGTCTTGGTGGCTGGTTTGCTGTAATCTGCTGCAGTCTGCAGTGATTGGTGGATAGGCCTGTCAGGGGTCACAGTGTCCCGTAAATGTTTTCTTCTTTAGCACTGCAGGACACACACACACAAGTGTGAACACATACTCCATAGCATTTGTGTGTCCTTGTTGTTCTAACTAGTCCTAAACTTTCTGTACAATCAAAACAAATCAGTATTTCAGTAATGATTGTAGATTCTGTATGTTTGGAGCTAAAGGTAAACAACACTCTTGCTGACACTAAATTGTCAGACTGACATATTTATGACTTACTGACAGCCCAGTATTTATTGGTCAAAAGTATTCCATGAATGAAAAGAGATGGTTTTGAAATTCAAGGTCTGCATTTCAGGAGGGTAGATCATCTTTGCTCGGCTGTAGCTTTAAGTATCAGCGACTTTACCACTCACCGATTGCTCTCAGCTGCACTAAAGCTTCATTCAGTCATCGATGATTCAAAACCAACATTTTCCTACTACTGCTTCACATCAGAGGCCCTCGATCTGTAAACCTGCACAGTCTGAAGAGCAAAGAGCTGCAGAAACACAGAAAAGGGGAAAGACGGTCGTTTTGAAAAACTGAAATCTATTTCACAACAGATTTTAGATTGTTCAGCACTGCATAGTCAGCTGATGACAGGGTTCCTACACAGTTGGAATTTCCATACTTTTCCAGAACCTACTTTTTCGAATTAATTTTGGAAATACCTACTTTTCTATCTTAGAAAATAGTGTTTTAGAACTGTGATAATAGTCTGGAAACATAAATATTTTTCCATACTTTTTAAGACCTAGAAATTGATCAAATCAATTTCCATACTTTTCCATACTTGTGTAGGAACCCTGTGATGAGTTTTGTACAATTCAGGGACGAAAAACAACCAGTAACAGCAGCCTGATAAAAAGTCCAGTATTGAGACAGCATGTATCATCGGTGATGTATTTTGCTTTCTTGCAAATCTCTGTCAACTCTGATATTATCTATTTATGTAAGAAGAATAGGAACATAATGCTTTTTCCTGATGCTGGTTCAGCATGACGTTAGAGTGGTTAGAAGTCAGGCTGAGTCAAGTGCAGGCCTGGAGATGCTCTCTGGAGAGAGTGATGCTGCTGAAGAAAGCCGGACAGGCAGTTTGTCATAGACCACACATCTTCCTCAGTGACAGATGGGAGCTATTGACCTCTACATGGCTCTACCTCCCCATACACACCAAGGATCCTATTAAAGGAGGAGATGAAGGAGGGGCTAATGGAGGGAGAGATGGCAGGACGAGAGGAGAGGACAGAGGAGAGGATGGACACTAAAACGCAGAGAAGAGGACTAATGAATAGAGGCTCAGTCACTTTCAGTCTGTGTGTTTGTTCTTCTGTTACAACCAGTGTCCTCAAACACAATCACCCCACCGCCTGTGAAATTTAACAAGGCAATCAGCGTGGAAACATACAGTATAATGAATTCATTATGTGCAGACATTAGCTACAGACACGCTAGCACCTCTGGTCACTTGATATTGTCTATATTATTGACTGCTTGAGGGATGAGAAACTGTGCTAGAGCTTCTTGGACTGCTGATGGTCTGAAACAGCCAGAGGAGAGCAGCTTCCTAGTATTGCTGTGACCTTCCTCTGTGGGGTTACTTCAAATTAATTCCTCGCCATAGCCGTTTTCTCAATATTTATATTAACACTATCTAATTATAAAACTTAATTAAAGCTGGTTGTGGGATTCAGTAAAGGTTCCAGGCTTCACTTGGAGGATCAACCTCAACCGAGAGCAGGCCTGAAATACCCGTTATCTACGAAAAAGACTCGAAATGGCTCTGTGTGTTAGTACAACGTCACATAGTTTCCAAGTGGGCATGCAGAGAGACAAACCAGCCGCTGCAATGATAACACAGTAGAGCAGGGGTTCTCAAGTCCAGTCCTGGAGGCCCACTGTCCTGCATGTTTTGGATGTTTCCCTGCTCCAACACAACTGATTCAAATGATCAGCTCGTTATCAAGCTCTGTCATGGCTTAATAATAATCAGGTGTGTTGGAGCAGGGAAACATCTAAAACATGCAGGACAGTGGACCTCGAGGACTGGACTTGAGGACCACTGCTCTAGAGGACACCATCATGTAGCTCCTCTAGGTTTGTGAGATTTGTTATGAGACATGAGAAGCTTATTACTTGAATTAGAAAGGTCCTGTCACTCTTGATTTTATTGATAAAAGGTCCAAGAAACTTAAAATTCTTTTTTTTTTGATCCTGCATTTGTGAAAACATATCGAATATACTGGATCAGTGCTTTTACGTGTGTGTGTGTGTGTGTGTGTGTGTGTGTGTGTGTGTGTGTGTGTGTGTGTGTGTGTGTGTGTGTGTGTGTGGTGGGACGCCTAGTGGCACAGCTGCAGACTGTCAGTCCAGATGGCTGGAGGATCTGCTGTCACACACACTCACCATTCAATCTGATTATATGTGAAGTGTTTCTCCATCATCCACACACACACACACACACACACACACACACACACACACACACACACTCTCTCTCACACACACGCACACACACTCCCCCTCACACTAACATGCAAGAGCATACAGGAGCAGTGGTGGCAAATGTGTGGGCCGGACTGTTTGTAAACTGATACACACAAACCCTTGTGATGGTCTGTGGCAAGCTGCTACAGCTAGGAAATAGTAAATAAAGGATTGTAGAGGCATTGTGTCAGTAAATCATGATACACTGACGCAGACACAACATCTATGTCAGTGTATACTCTCAGTGCTTTTACATATAGTCTGGAATAAGCTATCATAAGTGATATTCAACACTAACATCCTTCAACTGCTACATTTGCACAAGTGCAATATCGTTGTGAGGTCCAAAAGCAAACATGACCTTGAAGGCTTCTGTTGTGAGGAGCTAGAGGGATGATTTCTTGTGTCGGCAGCTCACAGTTCAGTAGACCCTTCATTTTGTCCTTCATGGCCGTCATACTCTGCTAACCAGTGCCTTTAAGTTTTAAATCACACCGCCTCAATAAAGCTGAGCCGACACAAACAGTTAGGTCTCAGTTAACATGCTGGTGACATACTCTGAGCCTTTGCTTATCTAGGCATGTTTGATTTTAATAATACATGTGCAAGCATTCCCGTTTTATCAGCACAATCATTTACAAACTGAGGTGCTAAAACTGAAGGTTTTTTTGATCACATAAATAAAAACATTCTTGATTCAAAGTTAGTTTGACAGAGTACGGCGTCATGAGTTCAGTCTTACTGTGTTTCCATGTCTCTCTTTCTGCATCTCCCTCTTTCACTTTTTTCAATCACGGTAAAGGCTAGGGATGGGCGATGAATTATTGTTCAGGATTTATTATCAGAAAATTGCTCCACGATAACTGTTTGCCATCTCATGATAAACACGATAAATGCAAGGTTATGACGTAGGCACAAGTGGTGGACTCACAGCTGTAGACCTCACAGATCAGTATCACAAACAAACATGGCTGAAGGTGGTGAAGAAGACGTTTCTGAGCAGCTTGTTGCTAAACGAGGCTCCACATGAGGGATTTCCTTTAAGATTGGGGATAGACGAGTGCAATCAGGTTTGTCTGACACCGGACAGTGGATCTGTTCACTCTGGTCACCCTGTGCAGTAAGGGTTTTCAATAAATGTTGAAAGTGTTTTCACATTTCACTCGTTTTCTCTATAACCTACACTAAAACTTGTAGTTAAGTATCTTATTTGACTATGCCAACCAATAAGTGCCATCCAAGAATAATGATAGTGGGGTTCTCAAGATAGAGTGAGTAAAAAACATAGATAGAGATTTAAATATTTTTTATCTGGACTTTTGTTATCTGCAAAATGGCAAAACTTAACGTGATTAATTTTTTAGGCCTATATTGCCCATCCTATCCTAGTAGAGGCAGATGACAGTCTAACATAAGTCTGGTCTTGCTAAAATCTCTGCCTGGTAAAAGGTTTTTCTTGCCACTGTCACTTTATAAATGCTGCAAAGTTCACTGCTGATGGTGGATAGGATAAGAATGGGTCTTAAAACAAAATCTTATTCTAACATTGGGTCTGTACTTTGCGTAATGTAAAGCTTATGCATGTGGACAATTTAACAGTTTTAAAATTACGATAAATGAACACAAAGACGCCTTTTTTTGACATGTAAAGTAAAGGCTTTTCAGACTGCTGGCGTCTTAAATCTGAAATGTCATTTGAAGCATGTGCCCGTGATACCATGAGCCAAAGACAGCTCAGAGTGACCTCATATGTAGAGCCAGAAGAGACTTTTTCAATATCATATAGCATCATCTTCCTTCTGTTTTGTTCCAGTTAGATTTAATGTCATTTGTGAGTTGCAACAAAACATATAAAGGAGCCTGGATGTTTTTCTATCTTTGTCTGTTTTCTGTTCATATTTCCTTTTAGCTTCACAAACTGACTGAAAAGCAAAATCATTCAGACTTTAGTTGTATTTAAGCACTTAGGGTATCATGTCTTGCTCCAAAACTGATCATGTAGCGTATATAAAGTCACAGTTTTTAATCTGCTCAGAACATTCAAGGCCCACTCCCCGCCATTAAAAAGCTTGTGCTCCATTAGGTATTAATTCGGATGCAAAAATAGAACAAATGACCAGAATTTAAGTTCCAGTAATTAAAGACTAAGAGGAGAAAAAAAACCACCTTACACTTTACAGTCATTGTCAGGGGACAGAGCAGGAAAAGTTGGTGGGTAGAAAAAGAAGAATAGACTGGAGAAAGAGAGTGAGAGAAGCTTCAGAACAGATGGACGAAGGAATAGAGAGAAAGGAAGTAGGTTGGAGCTCTGAGTGTGGAGCATTTTGTGATAGGTGCCAGGTCAGCCTTTTAATACTTAATCCTTCCCACCTCATTTCCTCACACACACACACACATATGTACATACACATGCACAGAGATACCAACACCCACAACTGCACAAACACTCACACAGCCACTATTGAGCACTGGCCCTGGGGATCAGTGTGTGGAAGCATTTGGAAACCAAGGGTGGCCAGTACTAAAATCGATGTCACACTTCCCTCCTCTCACCCAGTTCAGCTCTTGTTCTCCGTCCCAAACTGCCCTCCCACCTCCTCCTCCTCTCCTTGTTGTCTTACAAACAAGCAGAATGTGAGGGCCTAGTCATTGAGAGGAATGAGTGAATGAACTTGAACTGATGAGGTAAAGGTCTGTTTTTGCCAGAGGCCGCTGTTTGGGTTACATAGTCTGTAGCGGCCCCTGATTGTTGTTACTAAAACCACCTTTGCTTTAGTTAAGTTCATCTTAGCTCCAAGATAAACATAAAACTGTTTGTCCCGTGAAAACAGCAAATCAACATGACCATAAAATTTGCCTGACTCAAGTCCTTTACTTTGTTTTATTTTGTTTTAAAACTTGATGTTTGATTTTTGTCTGTGCAGACATATTTTAAATTTGGTTTTGCAGTAAGTACAGTCTTTGGCTTTATATTCTTTGTTCAAATTCGGGAGTGTATTTGCTTTGGTGATCAGTCACAGTTAAACTTTGATTTAGAAATTAAATCACAGTATAATAATGCACTTTGTATTTTTAATCTCTCTGGCTTGAAGCAAGTGAATTTTGTTTTTCAGTTTTTGGAAAAACTGTTCCATGTGTGATCAATATAATCCACAATTATTGATAACAGCAAACTCAGACTCTGTCTAGTTATATATTCATGCTGTTGCTGTGGTGGTCACATGACAAGTGATAAAAATAGTTTAAACCTGTGGTTCTCAAGTCCAGTCCTCGAGGCCCACTATCCTGCACGTTTTGGATGTTCCCCTGCTCCAACACACCTGATTCAAATGATCAGCTCGTTATTAAGCCATTACAGAGCTTGATAACGAGCTGATCATTTGAATCAGGTGTGTTGGAGCAGGGGAACATCCAAAACATGCAGGACAGTGGGCCTCGATGACTGGACTTGAGAATCATTGTCCTAACCTTAACCTCAACCATAGACTGTAAATTGATGCTGTAAAAAAATCGAGTCAGCCAATCAGAATTTTGGTCAACTCAGCACGTATCGACCAGTAAGTCGATCAAAAAATGAAGTTGTGACCATGAGGAGGAATTTCTCTGTTAGGAATAGTTGTGGTTCAAGTATTTTTAGTATTTCTACAGTCAGTTCATATTTACTGAGGGGTGCCACTTTGATAATGTTTTACACAGGCTGTACAAGTGTCAGACACGGGAAATGAAAGGTAATAGGTATTGATGTACAGCGACCTGTCTGAGCAGACATGAGGACAAGAATCTAATTTCAGACCCCGAGTCTGGTAGATGATTAGTACAGTCTGCACTGAGAATATGAGGAGGCAACTGGCAGATGTAGGCAATATGGAGTGCAGACAGGATTTTAATAAGAAAAGCTTCTTGAGAGTGTTTTCAAGGCCCTGTGGTGTGAAAGTGACAGACAGCTTTTTATCACTCTGCACCCTGACCCTTAATTAAATTTCCTCTCTCCTCTCTCGCAGGACTTCCCCCTTCAGATGGAATACTGGTACCAAGGAGAGAATGCTGATCAAGGTGACAGACAGAGAGCCCAGCTTCTTGGCCCACCAGGGAAATGGTTACTCCCCTTGTGACCCACCCACCCCCGGGCCTCCTTCTGGGGGAGGCACCACCTCACGAACTCGGCGTTCCTCTGGAGGAAACGCACCTTCAGAACCTGATGCCTCTCCTGTTCTCTACTCCGATCGACGCCAGTCCCCCTTCCTTAAGCGAGCGGAGCTCGGAGGCACTGGTACTCACCGCCGTTCCTCGGCTGACTCCCAGCCGCCCTCGCCCCGATATGCTTACGAGCCCCCGTTGTACGAGGAGCCGCCATCAGAGTACCAACCCCCTCCCATATATGAGGAGCCTCCCACTGACATGCACCTCTCTGACTCCGCCTTCTATGGCAAGTCACCTGCTCGAAAGTCCTCAGCCCCCCTCTATCACTCACCCAAACAGGGCCAGTCGCCGTACGGCCAGCTGGTTCTGACCAGGCAGAAGTGTCCAGAAAAGACCCAGAGTCTGGAGTACAGTCCTGTGGGGAAAGAGTACGTCAAGCAGCTGGTGTATGTGGAGCAGTCGTCTTCCAGCCCTCGCTTTAAGACTGCTGATCGTCTTCTGCGCTACGGCACCACTGGAGGTTATGGCGGCTCATACGGGGGGTCCTACACTCTGCAACACAGTCAGTCTCTGATCAGGGACCCCCGCCTGCTGCTGGACTACAGCGGGGAGGGTGGAGAAGGAGGCCAGAGGTTGCATTATGAGGACTCTATATCCTGGTCAACCAGTCAGACCCACACCCTTTCCTCCTCATCTACAGGTGGTCCTGGGGCTTCCTCTCCTGGAGGAAACCGCAAACGCAAGAGCCGCAAACCTTCCCTCCCCCAAGAGCTGGCGCGCTGTGGGGGGCTGGAGGGGGAGCTCGCAGGAACGGCATCTGAGGCGATGTTGGCCCAGGCCAGGCTTGCATGGGAGGCCCAGCAAGTGATGAAACAGAGGAGCAGTTGGGACTCAGGGCAGGGAGGGGAAGTGGCCCAGAGCGGGGGCTCCAAAGACGGCTATGAGAGCGATGGGGCGCTGCCTCTGCCGCTGCCAGGACCGGTGGTGAGGGCGTTCAGCGAGGACGAGGCGCTGGCACAAAGCGATGGACATCACTGGAAACGCAGCACCTTTGATCGACTTGGCTTTCCCCAGGCCCTGCTGGAGAAGAGCCTCTCAGTCCAGACCAACTTGGCCTCCCCTGAGCCTTACCTTCACCCCTCACAGGTACTGATGCATGCTGGGAATGTGTATCTATTCAGAAAAGTATAAACACAGTTTATCAGATATTTACATTGATATTTCAACCAGCCTGGTGGTCTGTGTGCCAATGTGTCTACCCCCCAACTTTTTCAACATATAAAATTACTTGCAAATTAAACCAAACACATCTTAGTCAATCAGTTTATTGTAAAAGAAGACAACTTAAATGCTCACTACAGCTGACGAGGTGCTTACCTAACACTGGCATGAATTTAGCAAAGCTTTTGTAAAGATGAAAAACAAAATGATAATCTGCTGATCAGCTCTTCATTTGGGAGTAAAGTTATCTCTCCTGTATATACAAACAGGTAAATGTTCGAGTTTTCAGTATAACATACATAAATGAACAAACATGACAGGAATGGTTTGTGTGTTAATCAGAGACTCACAGGAGATAAGAGAGCTGGAAAAGGTAGGCTGGTGCTCCTCTCTCAGTTATCTTCCCTCCTAAAGGTGAGAGTGTGAAAGAAGCAATCTGCAGAGCTGAATTGACCGAAAAGAAATAAAAGGAAGGACAGAGAGAGAGGACAGTGAATGGAAAATGAAGTAAACTGATGTGGAAGAGATACATAAAACAGACGAAGCAGAATAAAGTTTAATTCAGTAACAGAAAAAAGAAAACTGCAGATGCTAAAATAACTGTCATGTGAAGATAACCACCAACACAGAAAGTAGTGGTTGAGTTGAGGAGAGTTAAAGAAACTCATATCAAGAGCAGCATTCGTTTGCTCAGTGTCTTAACATCTTTGCAAATAAAATTCCCTTAATTTCTGTCTAAAAGTGAGATAATCCAAGAGTGGTAAACCCAGCTTTGCAGAAAGACTTCAAGTTAGTGGAGCACCTGGTCTGACTATCCAAAAACAAAAAGTACTTTTAAATTCATAACTGTACATGTAAAAGGCTGTCGGTTTAATCCATGCATACATGTGCTGGAACTATTTCTGGTGAACACTTGCTGACTGTGTAAAGGCGTGCCATCCTTGTTATTGTCCTGGGCTGAAACTGTGAATAAAATCAGCGCTCACTTGCTATTTTCTGTCGCATATTATGGAATTAAAGGAGACACTCCAAAGAGCCACTAGGTGAATGCTGTTGCCATTGACAGCTGAAGCCAGGAGTTATTAACCTTTGCTCACTTGTTCATAAATTATTCTGTAATGTCACCGAAATTTAGAAAAGGCTACTTAACTTCTATTGGTAACCTTTTCACCTTTACACTCTATCTTGTAGTTGATGCAAGCACTTGTACTGTCTAACAGGATGTTGCAGACATGATGTCATGATGGCTGTATTCATAAAACTCTTTCCTGTGGTCTTTTTTCCCCCCAGAGCCATTATTTAGGTTGCTATTCAAAACAAGACCCTGAGAAATAAATGGACTCTTTGTTGCCCTGAAAAGACCTTGTGGATATTGTCGTAATAAGGCGTCAGTTTTAATCCAGTCTGCTCCCTCAGAGACTTTCAGCTTTTACTCTTACTGTTCTGCAGCACAAAGATGACTGACTTCTCCTCTCTTTCTCTCTTTCTTTCCTAACCTGTCAGTCGGAGGACCTTGGAGCGTGTGCCCAGTTTGAAGCCAGTCGAAATGCGAGGAATATGATGCCGAGTGCCAGCTGTGGCATTTTCCCAGAATTCACGCTGAGGAAGCCCTCCTCAGAGACCGACATCGAGAACTGGGCATCCAAACACTTCAACAAACACACACAGGTACTCCAGAGGATGTGTGTGTGTCCGACTTAAGAAATTAGCATTACGTCATTCACATAATGTGTCTGTCTGTTATTCTTTGTGAAACTAAGTCCATTTCTTTTGATGCTGTTTCTGTCTCTACTATTTATAAGACAAGATTTCCTGGTATGTCTATAAATAGCTTATTCTCATGCATAAATATATCACAGTTTAAAAGACGCCATAATGCTCTTCTGATCGCTCTTCTGCACCACTTTCACCTTTTTAAATCAAACCACATACACTTTTTATTACTCTATAAAGGCAGACATGAGCGCACGTCGTCAGGCAGATTAAATTGTGCCGTTGACTGTGGGGTTACATTGTCAGAAAACACAGCTAATTAGCAATCAGCTGATCACTAATCAGGTTTTGCAGCTCAAAAACATACACAGGGTTGTAGTTTGTGCTCGGAATGTTAATGAGGAGGAAGGCAGTGCGGCTCAGAGGTTTGTTTATAGTTTGTTTATGTAAGTTGAGCGCCATGATGTTGCTGATCATGTTACTCATGCCGTTACTATCAAATATGAATGTTTACTTTTCACTTGTGTAAACTAGTTAGCATGAGGAAATCATTCTGTGTCAGGGTGATGCTAAGACGTTAGCTGCCCTCCTTAAATCTTTGGTCTCAAACTCTCCCTCCTGCGTCTTCTTGTGTTTCTCAACATTCCCACGCTTGTTTTCTCAGGGTCTGTTCAGAAGAAAGGTGTCTATCGCCAACATGCTGGCCTGGAGCAGCGAGCCCATCAAGAAGCCCATGATAGTGACCTCAGACCGTACCGTTAAGAGGGAAGCAGTGGAGATCTTTAAGCTCATCCAGACCTACATGGGTGACCGGCGCTCGAAGGTGGACCCTTACGCGGTAGCTCTAGAGGTCTGTGGGCAACCTGAACTCCTCTCTTCCTTAAACTAACTCACTTGCACACCAACATTTCGGGACAGGTTTCAGTGTACGCAGGAAAAACAGCCAGTATGGAAAGCAGGTAGACCACACGTAGCAGCTCCTAGTAGCAGCAGTCTGATGATGATTTGTAGGGGAGACAGGGGCTTGTTGTCACATGGGTAAGTTGGTAGTTCACATGGTAGTTTGGGGCAACATGTCTCAGTCATTTTAGGGTTAGTTGTCACATGTTCAAAAGGGATTAAAATTAATATAGAGAGTCTGTTTATCAGCAGTTGTCACATTGAAATGTTGACTTTGTTTTTTACAGAAAACAAGAGTGGTTTAAAGGAGAGGAGAAAGCGAGAAGACATGATTAGGAATTACAAAAGAAAAATAGTTGAATAATATTTTATGTTCATGTTTGTTCAATGACTTTTTGTAGCTCAATGATAAACATTTTCTGCGCCTGACTTTGATGTTTACTTTCATGTAAAAAAATGAGAACAACAATAATTTTGTCCTTGTTTTATTAGCTGCAAAATCCCCATGTAGTGAGACAACTTACCCCATGGTGGGGCAACATGTCACATGTTCACACTCTCTATTTGATTGATTATAACTGCACTGACACAAAATATGAAAATGACATGAATACAAAAAATATACCTGAGACTTTGGTCTTTCATCTGGTACACATTTTGTTTATATATGATGTATTGATTCCAAGAATTATATAAGATTGTAAAAAGTGTGACAACAAGCCCTGGTCTCCCCTATTCCTCTATCAAAAAATATCACCATGCACGTGCAGCGAATAATCTGGGAGTTGCAGATGCAAATAGATCACTGGAAAAGGGAAGCTTGTATTTGCTAGCCACTCCAGAATGACTATAAAGTTGGCATCCATTCTAGGCGGCATTCACTGCCTCTCATCATCAGACGATGACAGAAGCTGATTGCCAGGCGCTTCTGAGTTTGCCTACACACAGAAGCCGTATTCCTCACACACTCCTTCATGTATCACCTCATTATCCCTCTTAAGTGATTTGACATTGCCGTGATGTCCTTGAAGCTGCATTTTCAGGCACAGCGAAATCAGGACTGAAAGCCTAGCTAGTGGAAACATCTTCATTTGGAAATAACTTTTAGATCCGTACAACAGAGCTATGTGGCATCTGCAGAGGGCAAACTGAACCGGGATCACTCCTCCTCCTCTGCAGGACTGCAGACGTGCGTGAAGCATCGCAGTGTGAAGCTGTGTGTCCTTGTTCACAGTGTGACTTTGAGGGGAAGCTTTTAAAATATCAGGAGCTACATTTGTAGAGCTGTAACGGATCCTCTGTAAATCAAAAAGATTAAAGCTTTAACGAGATCATCAAAAAATTTGTGAAAACACTCTGTGGGTTTGTTCTAATGAGTGGACACAGAGCCGTTTTTAGTATTGAACATAATGGTTAGGGCTGCTACAAAATGAAGCCCTGTGATGATGACTGTGTCTGTCATCTTGTCTGTGTGCATTTGAAATTGGACAGCTGGTATTGGCATTCAAAGAAGACAAAGCATGTGGGAGCCCATAAGCACAGCATTTGATCATGTTAGAGTTCAGGTCAATTATAGTATCAAGTAATGAAGATGAAGAAATGGGTGTATCCAAGCGATGCAGGCTAAGTACATAAAAAGTGACCCGAGCAAGGATTCTGTTGGAAATTCACAAACATAAGATGTCAGAATAGCTGATATTTATCAGGGTTTGAATGATCAAATATAGTAAAAAGATTTAGGTTTTAGTAAGTGATTAATATCGCACATTAGTCTGATGACAGATGAAAAGAAGAAGAAAAAAAGCCTGTATTTCCTCCTGTCTTACCCCCCTCTCTGCATCTTTCTATCAGGTGGTGGTGCGTGGGTGGAGTAACCAGGGACTGCGTGATGAGCTCTACATCCAGCTGTGTCGTCAAACCACAGAAAACTTCCGTTACGACAGCCTTGAGCGAGGCTGGGAGCTGATGGCTATCTGTCTGGCCTTTTTCCCTCCAACGCCTCGTTTTCACAACTACCTGGAAGGTTACATCTACAGACACATGGACCCTCTCAACGACACCAAGGGTAAGACAGAAATCAACTGAACATGCAGCCATTTTTTTATAACCGGGGCCTTACATTTCTTGATATTTATGTATTTATGGAAGCAAGGATCTCAGGAAGTCTTTGTCTGCAGACTAAAACAAAACACCCTCATTAGCATGGGTTTTGTCTATAGGAGGTCACCACAATTAGGGTCAGACTGGCGTTTTGTTTTCATATGAATAACTGAGTACCTCTTGAAATCACTTTACATATGTATACACAATTTCATAGAATTTTGGGGGAGAAAAGAAAAGTTAAAGTTTCTAAAAATGTTAGGGTGATGATCCACAGGATAGGTGTTTTGTGAACTTCAGGATAAAATAAGAGACAATAAATTACCTGCAAACCTAAATCCCATGCAGAATATCTGCTGTAGAAAGCTTTGTAATAAAAAAAACTGACAGTCGAGCTAAAGCAAAATGAAACACACCACCTCAATTGTCCTTGAGTGGGGGTAATAGTAAAAAACATCTGACCATTGGAGTCCTAAATGATCTACTTTGAAGGTGTTCAGATAGAGAATCAAGTTGTGCTGGTGCTCTGCTTCCCCCTACTGGTTAATCTGAGCTAGCTCATGCTGATTGTACAGTATACCAATGTTTGGTAAAATGCTTTCCAGTCGATCACACATTTATAAAAGCTTCACAACCGGAGTAAGACTTACAGAGTTAATCAGCTTTGATATAATTAATGTGCTCAAGTAATGAATCAGATGTTTCTGTGAATAAAAAACATCAGATCATTGAAATTTAAGGTCATGAACAGTTACGGTTTCATGTCAGACTTTAATGCACAGTTTCATCGTTATTTAAATCACTCTGTCAGCTGTATCGCAACTTTTAAGCTGTAACTCAACCTCCTGCTTGATGGAAAATCCGAACTTCCTTGACTTCAGAAATATATTCCTGTTGAAAGAACTAATAAATGTCAAAGGGACTAAAAAACTAATCCTCTAATGGTCTGAGCATGTTTGTCTCCTCCAGGAGTTGCCATCAGCAGCTACGCTAAATACTGCTACAGGAAACTGACGAAAGCTGCTCTGACTGGAGCCAAGAAGGTGAGTAGTCCCTCTGTCCCTCTGCAGAAATAACCAGACCCCGTCTCTGTTTCTGTCAGCTGCTAAGTCCCTATGAGCTTGACAGCAGCCTGAGGTCTTTAAGCAACACCCTCCCAGTAGTTTCTAACTTTCAGCTGGTTATAAGAGGTGTCTGACCTTCTGCAGTTCAGGCTCCACAGCTGGGCGACTCGTAGCCAGAGGATGTCAAACAGGCGAACTCAGTTTCTTCCTCTAAATCTCTTCTTAAAACTCACTTCTGTCAGATTGTCGGCCCGCTATTTTTTATTTAGTGTCTTTTGTCTTGATTGTCTTTTACCAAGTTTGATTTGTGTTTTCCTTTCTGTAACTGTTGTCTGCTGTCTTGGTGTTATTTAACAGCTTTATTTGTCTAGCACTTTTTTATTTGAGAAGAGCTCTCTAAATAAAGTTATTATTTTACCAAAAATCTTTGTTCTTTTGGTTACTAAGGGGGAAAATGTGTTTCAGAAATGTGTTGGAAGCTTCAGTTCAGTAAAAATTGAAGTTGTTACAGCAGTTTATCATTGCACTGGCTTTGGTATTGCATGTCACATATGAGTGCATGTTTGTGTGTGTGTGTGTGTGTGAGTGAGTATGTGTGTGAGTGTGTTGGCAGGCAGCAACTTGGCACAGAGCCTGTGTAGCTTGTAGAGCCCAAATCTCAGCACGTGTCTGACTGAGGTCATTTGTCACTTGTAGGACCTCACAGTGTGTTTCTGGTGTTAACCTGTTTATCACTAACAGTCCTTAAATGAGCTGTGTGCTCTGAGGAGAGACATTTTCGTTCTTTCTCTGGATTAAAAATATTTCACTGCCCTCTCCCCCTACGGCTCTCTGACCCACACCCTCAGAATTTCTCTTCATCTGCTCTCCTTAGAAACATTAACGTCCTTGTGTATTCGTCTCTCTTCAGGGTCTGCAGAAGCCCTGCCTGGAAGAAATCAAACACGCCAGAAACGCCATCTTCAGTCCCTCCATGTTCGGCTCCTCCCTGGAGGAGGTGATGGCTCTCCAAAAGGAGAGGTATCCAGACAGCCAGCTGCCCTGGGTGCAAACCCGGCTCTCTGAAGAGGTTCTGGGTCTCAATGGAGACCAGACAGAAGGAATCTTTAGGTAAGTGAGGAAGGAGAGCAATAGGATAGTGAAGCGAAAATCTTAGGGAGTGTTGGTCAGATAGAGCTTTCTCTTCAGTAGCTTCTGTTTGTATCAGCACTTTCTGCCTATCTGTACTGAGGTCGTATCATGAACCTACACACAAGTAATGTTCTTTACTAAAATTACAAACTCTCTCAGACCATATCCTCTGTGGTTGCTTTAAGTTGGGTTATTGACCTCCTTGAGAGTATAATTCAAGGATTTATCTTTATTCATGTTCAGGATCTTAATAACTGATGATTAAGTCCAAGTACTCACTGTCCCTAAGACAGATTTTTGTCTCTGAAATCCTAAGAAATTGTCACCGTTATGTTACTGCTTAATATTTCTTTCTGTATCAGCCTGTTTGTAACAACCCTGTTTGTGAGGGAGCAGATTGTTTGCAGGATTTTATAAGAATGAGAGTGGAGTAACAAGGTAAAGTTTTCACCATCCTCTGACCTCTGACCCCACAGGGTACCAGGGGACATCGATGAAGTTAATGCTCTGAAGCTGCAGGTGGACCAATGGAAAATCCCCACAGGGCTGGAAGACCCGCACATCCCAGGTAAGAGCACTCACAGACACACACACACACACCTACAAGAGTGCTGCTGAACACATGCTTGTCTTCTGTGGACCTGGTCCTAATCCTACATGGCTGTCAGGTAAACAAAGTTCATGTCATGAACATGAGGCGGATAAGTCTAACACGCTCTGTCTCTGTGCTCCCAGCCTCACTTCTGAAGCTCTGGTACAGAGAGCTGGAGGAGCCACTGATCCCCCATGAGTTTTATGAGGAGTGCATCAATCACTATGACAACCCAGAAGCAGCTGTTAATGTGGTGCTGGGCCTGCCACACATCAACAAACTGGTGCTCTGCTACCTCATTCGCTTCCTACAGGTAACATACGCACACACAAATAAAGCAAACTGTAAATGTTGCCCGTGAGATAGAGTTACTGGATCAAAATGTAGAGTCAAAGTTAGATAGTCTTTGACTCTGGACTTAAACAGCAGGAATAAATCTTATTTTACTGTTACAGGTTTTATGGCCAACCATGGGAAAGTATTGATAGCCAAGACTACCCACAGCTGAGATTAAGCCAAAGTCTGCTTAGGGGAAAAAAATCACTATACTTTCACCGAAGAGATAAAACTTTAAATGAACATACCTTAAAAATAGACTCTGAACGTCTGCAGTCTTATTTGAGGCAACTATATAACATTCTGCTGTACCTTATGTGTGCAGGTATTTGCTCAGCCCGCCAACGTGACCATCACCAAGATGGATGTGAACAACCTGGCCATGGTCATGGCTCCCAACTGTCTGCGCTGCCAGTCTGACGATCCCAGGGTGATCTTTGAGAACACCCGCAAGGAGATGTCCTTTATCCGGGTGCTCATCCAGCGGCTGGACACCAGCTTCATGGATGGGATCCTATAGCCCCCCCACCCCACAGACACACCATCCACACTCTACCCTCAGCTTCTCCTACGCTCCCTTTAACGCCCTCCATGACAGATCCACACACACTCCCCTGGCACGGGAATATCATACTAACACATTATTGCTGCTGGGTGAACACCTTGCCTCTCCAACATGTTTACTTTAACAGAAACTGCCTTGTTTTGAGTTTTATGACCACTGTATTCTTTCAGTTGAACCAGCTGTCTTTTCTATTTCTGTAGATAGAGTCCATCAGCCAACATTTGCAACAAAAAGAAAACACCAGTACTGGAATTTCAAGCTTTTTCATATAATGGCAGTGCTGTGTGTGCCTTCACAACATGACTAGAGTATATCCACATAGAACAGTATGAAGGAATTAGCAGGGATCCCGATCTTTTCTTACTTTTGCTGGCACACTCAGAGTTTAGGACCACAAACGTTCATTTTGAATTTAGCTTTCGTGTTTTCTATGAACTGGTTTGAGTTTGTTTACCCCTGCCTAACTACCCACACGCAGTCACATACAAACTGGAGCACACACACTTACACACAGTACGAAGTCTTACACCAGTATTTCAACCACTGCAGTGTGTAACACCACCTGTCACAAAGCCAGAATTATCACTTGAATGAATGGATTCATTCAAACATACTTAACACACATTCTGCAGCAGGTGTTCAAATCTCTCACACATACCCTGGCTAACCAACACATGCAAAGGGTTCAGTGTGAGACTTTCACAAGATTCGCAGCTTAGCTGCACCATCCCATCAGTACCTTATGATATCAGAGTGAGCCTGGGAGACACATGTCTTCGACATCAGGTAGACAAGTAAAGCTGTGTCTGACATTATTTACACTGCCATAACAGAGCTAAGAAGTCATCCCAGAGGCTATTTACTCCTCCATTTTTAATCCTGCCTCAGGATGGCAAACTTCTGCTGTCTCAAAGGGGAAAACTCTTTGCTCACATGTAACTAAGTGTAGCCGTTTGGGAAGGCAGTGGTAGGGTTAGGCATTAGCAATGTTAGCTATGTTAGCTACTTATCCATCCAGTGAGGGAACTTGGACACTAATTCACTCCTCTTGTTTTTTACCTTCATGCTGGTTGATAACCATCTCAGCACAGCCTGGCTTCAAATGTTTCTCGATTTCTTGAAACTGTGACCGTAAAGACAACATAATGAAGATTTCTGCTCTGGGGAGTGGTGACTTATTCTCCACTGTGAAAGAACAAGAACTATTTGCAGATTATGAAACATACGAAAAGTGTTATTAATAGTTTTCCCTCCTATGTGCTGAAACAGGTCTGACTAAATCTTGAATTAAATTTACAAAAATCTTTTACAGTCCTCACCGGCTGTTTGCTCAAGGAGCTGTAAAAGTAAAGACTTAGGAAATGATTTTTGCTGCTTAAGGTTTACTCATTTATTAGGTTTAGTATAAACTGAGAGATATTTATTGTTTATTGCTGGGGAATAATGACAAATATGAGATCTCACTGTGAATAACCCCAGACTGTATTATCTTTTGCTGGTACAAACATTAATTTGTATATGCAGCCTGAATTACACATTAGTGTAGCTGACTGAAGAAGAGTTTAGTCAGAAGTCTATGCCCAGCTGCTTACCGGCTTAATGTTAACTGGTGAGCATTTACCACACTGGCAGCACTACAAAGAGGTAGTTTTGAGAGTTTTATCCAACTCTCATGCTTTACCATAACCTGTTATGTTAGCAGGCCCACTGGTAAAACTATGAAACACTGGTGTGACAGTGTCTTATGATTACTTGAATTATGAGCAGCCAATTTTGGAAACACAACTTTTAAATGTTGAATATTTTTTCAAGAGAACTTAGAGAAAACAGGGTGAAGCAGCTACCCAAGCAGAGGAGAGTCATAGTCACCAAACTGGTGTCATAAATAGTCATCTTTAGTTTGTAATCGGCTAACATCAGCACTGATCTGTCGTCTGTCATAGTAGAGCAGATAAACGGTAGAAAACACCCTCAAGCTGAGCTGTTTTTGAAACATTACAGGTGTGTTTTGGTGTCCATGTTCGAACCACTGAACAAAAGGGTTGGCGGTCAGGGAAAGTGGGGGAGTAGCTTGGTTCCAACATATTTGCTTGACCTTTGCATATAAGGAAAGTCAACCAGTGCCTCTTGCTTTTTTTTCTGATTGCCTATCCTTAGTTATAAACCAAACTCAGTGAAATAGTTTAGCTTTTTAGTTGTCTCCAGTAGATCATTTCCCTTTGAGCCTCTCTGCCACTGTATATGGTGCTGTCAAATCCCATTGGCTGTTGACCACACGCCATAACCCGAAACCATGAGTAACAGACAATGTAGAGGGATTGATAGGAACACTGCCAACAAGGCTTCATCATATTTGTATACAGCACAGCATGCTTGTAACTCCTGGGAGGGATTTTAGAAGTGCCAGCTTTTGCAACATACCCACAGCCACTCCCTTTCACCCCTCCTGACCCCACAGAGCAAGTTCAACACCATCTCCATTCCCTGACAGGCCTTTCGGCTCACTAATGATTTGTGAATGTGTCGACCTTTCCGTGTCCCTGTCTGTCTGTCTGTCTGTCTGTCTGTCTGTCATTGTTTACAAAATGTACCCATAATTGCGTTCATATGGTCTGTGTCTATGAGCAAGTACTGTGGGTTATTGTGTTGATTTGAAATTTTTTGCTGTACTTAACAGAATTTCTATGTTTTTAACCTGTTGTTTTATATGATTTAATTTATTTATATTTATTTAAGGAGATGTCCTTAATGCCTTCTTGAGAAAATTTATTGTAAGGCTCCAATGTGTGTTTTTGTTACGACACATGGGTGTATGTATGTGTGTGTACAAGTGCGTTGAAGTGCAATTGAGCAGTTTTTCAAACGTTAGGGCACATATGGCTTGATGTACGACTGTCAGTATTGCTGTATCAGTCTTCTTCGTTTGGGTTTTTCTTGTAAATGAACGGTTGTGAATGAGACACACACATACGGACCATTCTGGAAAACCACTGACTTCCACCTTAAAAGGTCCAGATGACACTCGGTTTCACCGTTCATCTTTGTTGAAAATGAACCCCTCTCTTTGTGGCAACTGCAATGAGTGTTGCTATGTGTGTGTGAGCGTGTGTGTGTGTGTGGTCCGTGGTGTGCAGTTCACTCTTTCTTACATCCATACTCCACATCAATAACATGTACATTAACACTGTACAGACTGTAAAATTAAGTATATAAGGAAACGAGAAAGGAAAAAGCATCATATGTAACAGTGAGAATTTGCTGTGGAAGGTCGTGTAACAGGGAGGGGACTAAATGTTTCTTTTTCTTTCAGTCTTGTTAAAGTGTGAAATTTCCTCACATTGATAGAGATCTAAAATTTTTACAAGTTTAGAAATTGAAACCCATCTCTGAACAGTCATTCATTCAAGTACCACAAAGTATTTTTAATTCCCACTAAGCTCTATATCTGTAGGTCGAAATCATACTTCAAAAAAGAAGTGATTTGTCCAGAAGAAATCTTTGGCTTTTTTAAGATACAGGGGGGACCAGTTATTGAAGAGAAAAAAACTGTTTCATGCCTCTTGGAGATACGGGGGATTGCAACAGTCAGCTTTGAAGCTACAGTGTCCACATCAAACATCTGGTGCTAAAATATGCAGCCAACGCTCTGAGCAAAGACACAGCTCCTCCTTGTTTGGACTTCAACACTTTCTTATAATCAGACCATCAAACCAATATATTTTATTTAGGCATAAACTGGAGAGAATAAGAATGCAAGAAATTCTGATTAACACTAAACTTATTTAATGTTTCTGCAAAACAAGACCAAGGACATGACGACTTGAATCCCATAGTGCCTCCAGTTTTAAGGGATGCACTGATTTGGCGACCAAAGATCAAAGACAGTTGTTAGAACTTGTATGAGGGGGTGATATGGTTGAAAGTTAATTGAATGAGTCATCCATCCTCCGCGCACGAGGCCAGTCTACCCTAACTGTGAGTCTAGGAATGCTAAAAGAAGCATACTGATGCGCTGAACTCCATTAATTTAGTTTATATAAATACATACAAATAGTAGATTTAATACAAGCTTAGCAAGGTATGCATTAATTGAGATATTGATTACGAAGTTCTGGTACATTTTACCTTTTGATTACTTCCATCCTGTGAAACTGAATCAAAGAGTGTCAGCAATCAGTTAAAGCGTTGAATTCATAAGGAGTAAGTAGTTTGGGTTCTAGTTTGCGTCCCATCCGCGAGCTACAAAAAAACAACGTACTGCACTACCGCAGCTTGCTCCAGCTTCAGCTCTTCGAGTGTTGAATGATTATTTTTATCAGGGTATCGTTCCAGTATGAATGCAAGCCAATCGTTTTTCCCCCCATTGGACAACTCACCTCTTTGTGAAGAATGAACATAGCCAAATATAATTTTACTTCCTGATAACCTCTTAGTAAACCTAAAGCCTCGGAGATAGCCCGTCCAGGCTGAAATGTTGCAGCAGTGTGTATGAGTGTGTATGTGATGTGTGTGAGTGTATTTGTCTAATGTAAGAGATGGTTGTAGATAGACCCAACAAATCAACCAGTTAGCATGCAGACATAGGGTCTTCACTCTCTTCAACTTCAATTCATGAAAATATGAAAATATACAAGGAAACAAACTGAATTTACAGAAACTAAGTGTTGCAGTATTTAGCTTTAAAAGTCACTAAGAAAAAGATTAAGCTCTTTTTAATCCATTTTTCTGGTTGTTTTTTCTACTTGGTTCCTACTAATAATTTATTAGTAGTCAGTGTTGACGCTGTTTGTCCAACGTTGAGAATATGACAATAAGGAGAAGGTGCGAGACAGCTGCTGTGAAACTGCTCTTCACCTTTGCATCAATCCTCCAGGTTTTTCAGTTGTCTCTTAATGTCCACTGTCACTCACACTCTGTCCGAAGGAAGACTCTGGAAGTGTAACAGATGTTGGTTTAATAAAAGATTCAAATGTCAAACTAACATCAGATCATGTATTATTTATCAAGTTTAAAGTGCAATTAATTACAAAAGAAAAACAGTAGCTTCACATTTTTTGCAAACCAATAGACAACGAACTGTGTCCCCAACAAGAAAGAAATTAAAAACAACATGGGCGCTCTTTGCCCTCCAACATCCTTCAGGATTCATAAAACCAGCTGCAGAATTTCATCCAATCTGCACAACAGTGTACTAACACTCAAATGCTGCCTTCTTGGTGCTGAGTCACACGACAGACAGCTTTAGAGGCTGTGAATAAGAAATACTGAACAGTACTGAACAATACCGAAAGAACAGCAGATAGCTGACTGCCACAGCAACTGTGGTCCTGAGATTTTTCTTGAACAGAGGAACTTTAAATTATTTTCAACTAATTGAAGTCAAACTAACAACTTTTCTCTATCAAAGAGAATTTTATCCACTAGCTTTAACAGCTGCCTTTTCTCCAATAGCAGATAGTTTGGTCCTCGGATTTTCCACCAGCTTCGTCTACATATTGCTTATGTGGTCTGCCATAGTGTTGGTGAATACCCATCCTTCAACCAGTGGTATACAAGACGGAGGGAGTGTCTTCAGTGCAGTGTCCCATGTCTCGCTGTCTCGATCTCCTGGATTTTTCCTGAGGTCAAGAGTTAATTTGTGTGGGGGGTGATACGTCCTCAATGTTTCGGCAAACTCCAGCAGATCAGCCGGCTGAATAAAGTTGGAGCTGCCCAGACAAAAAAAAATTCAATCAGAAAAAAGTAAATAAATAATCATGGAATAAAACCCTGCCATGCACAACTTTAACTTCTCCACTAGAAGTTCAGTTGAAATAAACTGTGTTCAGTTCACCTAGCAGTGCACCAGCTCATAACTCGCCCTCTTATTTGTAATGTGAAGTAAAGTGTTGAGTCACCTGCAGCTCTTACCTAATGTCAAGTCGTTTTACTGAAGATGGTGACGATCCTGAGAACAGCTCCGCCAGGACACACACAGTCTTGGCTGTTGACACAGATGGTTTATACAGTTTTAACTTTTTTTTTTTAACAAGAGACATACCTGCAGCACAGATCAAGTTCTGAATCTGTGCAAGGACTGTATTTAACAAAAACTTCATCAAAATTTGGGTCGGGTAAACAACACATGCGTATTTTTAGCATCCAGGCATATAACCCAGTTGTCAGCAGAGTAAATTGAGACAACTACATGAGTACATCACCATGACGTATATTTAGACAGCGTGATGCATAACTCCAGTATCGGTTCATCACTAAACAGTTAAATCTGTCCAGGGGGAAGATGTGCTCACCGAGCCGATTCTGAGCCAGACTGAGCGTGTGGAGAGAAGGCACTGTCCTCAAGGCGGTCATCAACTGCGTCAAACTGCTCTTCTTGTTGCTCCATCTCTCCAAAAGGCGACAGTCATTCAGCTTCAGCTCTGTAAGGAAGGAAAGGAGAAGAAATTGGAGACACTAAGCTGTCCAATTTTCACATTACTTGGGGCTGCATAATTTGTATATGTTGTTATCAAAAACAAAAACACACTTGATACACATTAAGTGTATTTAGTAGCACTGCCAAATTGTGAATTTAAAATAATATAAACTTTACTATCTCAGAGAGCAGGTACACTATGAACAGGTGTAATCAACGTCACTAGAGCCAAGGCTGCTGTCATCACTGCTGAAACCATGATTTTTTTTTTACCTTCCAGCTTGCACTTTTGTAGAAGATGAATGATCTCAGGAAGACAATCAGACAGGTTCATGTCCTCCAGATGAAGACTCTTCAGGCAGGGATTTGACTCTGAAATAGTGACCACAGACAAAGCTTAACTGTGGGCTCAATGAAACTTTTTTTTCTGACAGTAGGTAGAATATTAATCCTCATTTGATTTCTTTATTCCTTTTCTTAATTAGCATTTCTCAATTATTGACTTTGTAAAAGAGGTCTAAACAACAATCTCTCCAGTACCCTGCATGTTTCTAAAGGGTCCAAACACTCAAACCTCAAAGATAAATGACAATATACCTGAGAGAGTGGTCAGGAGTAAGCTTTGAGAAGAGCCCGTTGGTAATCTCATACCGGAGACATAAAGTGTGGTGAGGTGAGGAGCTTGTCTCAGCACTGATGTGACAAGTTGTAGGTCTGTTTGGAACTCAGTTACGTTGATGGTCAGTTTCTCCAGGGGGAGGTCTGCTACAACACAGAAGCAGGAAAAATCACAATCAAGCTGATCAAAATGACACATTTCAAAGACAGAAGCCTCAAATGCCTTTAAGCTGTTACTCAGTACTTGGGTTTCACAATGTCAGCATCTTTTAGTTTCCCATCTATATAGATTATAAAGTTGTTTTTCATCACTTACAGGACAGATAGACTGTCTCAATACGTCTTATAATCCAAACAGAAACAACTCAAAACAGCGATCAGACTTAGCGTGAGGTTGCTGCACACTTCAAGTCTTTTTCACCTTTTATGTCTGACATGTCTGACTCAGGAACCTGGGTACAGGGCACCACAGTGTTGATCCCCACATGCAGGGATTTCATTTTGGAGTTTGCATTCAGCAGGAACTTCATGAGCTTGGTGTAGGGCAGGGCACAGACACTTAGATTTGTAAGGGAGCTGCAGGAGCTTTCAGACAGCTGCCTCAGTGATCTTGCAAGGTCCAACACATCCGAGTCCTTAAAGGTCACTGCACGAAAAAAACCCAACAGTTTTTACATTTCAGAACAAGTATTGAAGCATAGCAACCTTTCTTTGTACTTATGTTGTTATTTTAGTGGTGGGAGCTACAAATCTGGTATAATATCTGTGAAATTTTAGGCACATGAATAAAAAAATTCACTCTTCTGTTGGAGATAATACTTTGTGGGAGTATTTTTTCACACAAGTGTTCAATCTGAGACTTAACTTTTTTCCTACAGAGTGTAAAATCGAGTGTCAAATTGTTCTAGTTGTTAAGGGTGAAAAAATGTTACATACGACATGAATAGTGATGTGATATTATATTACACCAAGAAACTTGTGACTGAAGAAGACTGCGAGATTGTTATCATGGACTCTCGCAAACAGCTCCTCAAAGATTTTTTTTAATGGCTTTTTGTTGTTCACTTTCAAAAAGAAAACTTATGATGACACTATATACAACTGTAATCAAGGCTGTATGACGACACGAAAACTTACGATAGCTGTGCAGGATAAGAGAACGAAGGCTGAAAAATGTGGGCAAGGCGGAGTTCAGCACCTTCAAGGACTCTGACCTACAGTTACTGAACTCCAAAATATGAATCTGCCCCCGAGGACAAGTCCCTGTTGGCTGATCGTCACAGGGAGCAAAGGCTTGGCAGAGAACCTCTGGGTCCAGGTCAAAGTTTGTTGTTCCAGATCCTTCCTCCTCTTTAGAGGACACAAAACTGGTCTTTGGACGTTTGCACGGCATGGCGTGGTCATCCAGGTCTCCTGAAGCCCTGCCAGCAAGCAGAGAGCTGCAACTGGCTCCGTCTGAAGTATCTTGTGGCAAACAGCTTTTCTTTCTTGTGAGCATAAGTTCCTTCAGCTCAGGGTGTACATACTGGGATCCCCTTTTGTGCAGGACCCAAGCCAAAACGAAAGGACAGTCGTTGTGTATAACAAGTCTATTAGCAACTCCGTGGTCTACCAGACGGTGAAAGATGTACAATCCTGCCCGGTTCTTCTCCTTTGATAGATCGAGGGAATGTGAGATGATGACACTTGTCATGCGCCTCTCAAACAGGTCCAGAAGAGGTCGCTCATCAGCAATCAAACGCTTAAGGCGGTCATTCAGGCATGCATCCAGTAAAAACTGAGTGACACATTTGGCTGCAGCCCACAGAAAAGGTGGAGTATTCAGATTTTTGATGTTTTTTTTAACATAAAAGTTTGTGAAGCCATAGAATACAACTGTAAAAAGCATTCGCATGACTTGGTGTTTGGCTTCGTCTTCTGTGTGTAGATCTATTACCTGAAATATAACATGGGAGACAAAATTAAATATAAGGGTTAAGAATGCAAACATGTAAGTAGTAAGTAAGTAAAGTTCATTTATAGAGCCTTTTTCACAAATAAAAACCACAAAGCGCTGCACATAGAATAAGTGCAATTAGATAAACATAAAATAGTACAAAAAAAGATAAGTACATAAACATACACAAATATGAATACAGTACAGTGAATATGGAATTAAGAGCAGATATAAAAGATAAGTAAAAGAGACAAACAAAACCCTGTTAATCAAAAGCTTGTCTAAAGCACCATTAGGGTGTTCTAGCCTGACGACCGAAGGGTGCACCCTGGGGAGTAGGGACACAACAAATCAGTGATACATTGGGGGGCCTGACCATGCAGCGCCCAAAAAGTTAGAACTAAAATTTTAAAATGAATATGGAAATTGACCGCTAGCCAATGAAGACGCGATGAGACAGGGGTGATGTGAGCAGATTTGGGCATGTCTGTCAGAAGTTTGGATGAACTGAAGCCTCTTAATTGCCGCCTTATTAAAACAAATGAACAGAGAATTACAGTGATCAATACGCAATGAGATAAACGCATGAGCGATCAATTCAAGATCTGGTGTAGACAACATTCTCCTCACTGTACAGATTTTTTGATTTTGTTTGATTGATTGATTGAAGTTTATTTTGAACATATTAAAAAAAATAACAAAAAAGTAGTCCCACCCCTTATCTATACTAATAGTTTAAATATATATATATCATATATATCACTATATAATAATATTAATCATCATAGTAATTATATCAATTCAAAAAAATCACCACAGTGAAAACAACAAACAACAAAAACAAAACAATGATGATAATGATAATAGTTACTATGAATGTACATCCCTATATCCCGTGAAAACTTATTCTTTATATTTTGTTTTAAACTGTTTTATGTTTGGACATTGTTTTAACTCCTCACCCTTACCATTCCATAGTCTCACCCCGGTATGGATATTTCTCAGGTGATAAAAACTGTTTTTGGTCAGCTGTCATGAATGACCCTCTAAAGCCACGGCTTGGTCAAAAACAACCCTGAGGTTTCTGAGGCTGTTTTCAACAGATGGGCCCAGAGCTCCAAGGCGATTTTTGATCAAGGTGATTTTTTCATCAGGAGCAACGATCAGAGTTTCTGTTTTGCTTGAGTTTATCAGAAACACGCGTTAGTGAAAAAAATCACACCTACATGTTTGGGTCCACTCATTTCTCGCAGAACCCCAATCCATCCAGGGTAAGTTGATATCCCTGAGAGGAGAAAAGAATTAGCACCACCTCTATGAACAAAGATGAGATTAAAATAATTATACAGTATATGGATAACTCATATGTGGCTCTTACCTCTATTGTTGAGCGCAGGCTGGATTTCATCCAACTGACATACAGTCAGATGAGGAAGCAGATCCGTAATGAGAGGCGATGGCAGACCTGATTTATAACAGATAATTGAGGTTATTCTCACAGTAGATATAAATGTCTCATTTTCACTGACAAACACAAAGATTAACAGAAAAACATGAAAAAACAGGGGGGGTATGATGCTTCATTTTTCTGGCATTACCGCTCTGATTACTTCTTAGCAGTTTGACATGATTTTAAGCTCAACAAATTCTTGATACATTTCAGGCTGCTGTCTTTAAAAACCCCTCATTTCAGCCTCTTTCTTAGTTGCTTCTTTTCAGCCACTGTTCCTTTCACTGTCCCAGGATTTGAGCAAATCTCATACTGATCTTGTTGAATTCTTGTGTAAGTTTTTTTTGACAAACCATTCAAGACACCCTGTAGTCCCATTTGGAGATTACCTCAACACACATTAATCTTGTAATCTGAAACCTTGCGCATGTGTTGCACTGATGTCTAACATTTTAACTTGACTTTTTTTTAACTTGACTTTTTTAATTTGATTAGCACAATACCACCTCAGCCAGAGCCTTAAGGTCCTCTGACCAACTACTGTTGAGCGTCCCCATTTTCAGCAGTTGCCCCTAGACCACAGGTTTCAAACTCAAGGCCCGGGGGCCAAATCCGGCCCGTGGAATGATTATATCTGGCCCACGAGATCAGATCATATTTATATTATATTGGCCCACCAGTATAAGGTCTACAGATTTCCTCCAGGATAATAATGTAAACTTTAGCACCATTATTTAAAACTCAGTATTTAGACATGTGTCACTTTTATACTTTAGGTTCCAATTTTAAATTTTAAGTCATATTTTGACCTTTTAAACCTGATTTCAACGTTCCTCTCATGTATTTGCTCTTTAAATGCATTATTTTTCCATTTTTAATCTCACGCTTTGATCTTTTGAACTAATAAATAAAAATAGAATTAAAAAAATATTTTTTTTCTATCTCCGATTGCCTTTAAACTTATCTTTTTTATCGTTTTTGAATTTCTAAATGATTTATAATCATTGCTGTTTTTGTTACATATTTTTGGAAAAGGAGGTTGACAGTTTTGGTGAAATGTTGACCCTGTTCGGCCCTCAGGTTAGACCTAAATCCAGATTACGGCCCTTGCTGTGGTTGAGTTTGACACCCCTGCTCTAGACTGTGGAACAGTTTACCTGGCCATATTAGAGCCTCTCAGACCTTAGGGTCTTTTAAATCATCTTTAAAGACCCACCTTTTCTTTCTTGCTTTGAATAAATGAGCACACAGGAATCAGAGGCACTGTAGCTTTTAATCTCTTACTGTCTGTATTTTTTTCTACTGTTTTTAGTTTTATTTTATTGTTATCTTTTTTATTCTCTTTTATTTATCCCATGTACAGCATTTTGTTTGACTGCTGTCTTTTAAAGGTGCTTAATAAATAAACATTGACTTGACTCTTTAAAGAGAAGTCTCCGTTTGTTAAAAAGCACCTCTACTTTACTTTTAGTATTCACAAACCCTGTAACCCGGGTTACAGGGTATGTGAATACTAAAAGTAAAACGGTTAAAGGGACGGTTAAACCTTTAACGGTTAAAGGGACACAAGCACAGATAGCTCCCATGTCTCTACAGTAGGATGTGTAGACTGACTGAATAACGTTGATGCTCAAAACACGCCAAATACTTCCTGTTCGTGTCACTTTCTTTAGTCTTCACTGTTCGTGTGCTTCATAGCATAGTAACAATGACTCCCAGAGAAAGTATAACGTTGTTATTTATCACTTACCTAAAACACCCTCGACTCCCACAGTGTGGAAATGTTCCCGGACAGCCTGAAAACACAATTCCTGGAGGGTTTTCAGCTTTGTTTCTTTGTCAGGGTCACCCATTTTTACACAAAAACACAGGTATCTTGTTACAACAGTATCCATAGAGCTAGACTAATAAGGCATAGTTAAATACGAGACACGTCCATGCCGAGTTTGTCACAGTTAGGCATCCCTAATGTTGTATTGCCGCCACTAACTGACAGAGCTCTCGGTTTCTTCGTTTGTTTTTGTCGAACTCGAAGCCGCACACCGCCGCCTACCGTACCGGAGGAGGGACAACCATTTCTTTTTTGGATGAAGGAATCCATTCCGGGGAAATACATATTAAAATGATTTATAAATGAGTATAAAAATATGCTTTTTAGCCATCTTTCACCTGTTTTAGACACAAATAAAGTCTGTTTCGTTTGGGCAAATAGCTTTATGTACGATTAAATTTGGAGTTTAAGAATCTTATTCAACCCCATTTATTTATTTAAACATCTTTTTTTTTATTTCATATTGATATAACAACCAGAAAAAAATGTCGGCTTTTTTGAACCAGATAATTTCCTACCCTCCCCATTATTCCCTAGGGATACAGAACAGAAAGAAAAAATAAAATTGATAAATATATCTATAAATAAATAAAGAGTACACAATCAGACAAGTACACTAAAAAGAAACAAAATAAGAAAAGTGAATAAATAAATAAATTAATCAATAAGAAAAAGGCAGCAACAATGATATCAATAAACTCTATCCAAATGTGCATACATATAGGCTATATATGTTCATATACATGCATACATACAAATGCATACCTACCACAGTCATTGGTCCCTCTTAAAGAAATTCTCCAATTTTGAAAATAATGGAGACCAAAAATCTTGAAAGATATGACCACAATTATATTTTTCCAATGTGAACCCTATTTATTTATGAGAAGTTTCTTTTTTTGTATTCTGCAGGGCTCCTTAAACCCTAAAAAAAGAAAAAAAAAACTACCACTCCTTTACCTCTGAACCCAAAGCCCTCTTTTCTCTGCTTGGGTATGTACATATTAGATTTTTGGAAATTGTGTAAAGCGCACTTGAGATTCAAAAGCTCCTGCTTTTGCCCAGGAACGGAAATTTTTAAAATTATTTTTATAACCAGACTTTGGATTGTGTGATATTTGTTTATTCCTGATACTAGGTTGGAATTGGTTATGAGAATTTTTTTTCTTTTCTCCTGGACAAAATCTCAACCATTTTTTCAATTGCAATATTTTTTTCTTTTTGTTGTTCATTCTGTGAAAATATGATTTGAATACAAAACATAAAAAATATCATTCAACCACACCTCAGACTCCTTAAGAACCAGAATCTTCCCAAAATGAGTCTTACACTTTGCGAGCATGAAGGGACTGCTTGTTCAAGTATTTATTTACCTTTCTCTGAAGGGATGCTCCAGGAGAAGCTCAGCTCGATGTTGCAGAGATGGTCTGCTTCCACTTCACGTAAGTGGGCTTGGCACATGTGATATGCAGTGATTCACCCACAACAAGAAAATCCAACACTAGGGTCATTAACCTTTGCCTCAGTCCTTTGAAACAAGTTTTAAAGTTTTTTTTAAACAATGAATGTTCTTTATTTTTTCTGTTTTAATATTACAAAAGTTAACAGAAAAACTGAACAAATAAATACAATTATTTACAGTAAACATGGTTGTGTATTTCTGCTATAATACACCCTTCTGGTCCTCGTGAGAGCGCTGGTGGAAGACAAAAGACACAGCAGCATCCCAGGAGGCTTTCAACACTTGGTCCCTCAGTCCTTTTTTGTCAAAGCAGTGGTTCCACTGAGAGAGGTCACTGGTACAGTCAGAGTCCTCTGCAGGAGGCCGTACCTCCCTGCCATTCACACAGCGGCGACAGCGAAATCTAGCAAAGCCACGAGAGGAAAAAAGAGATCGTTTCAATCAGTTATAAATAACGACAAGCAGTTATTCTGTCAGACACAGTGACACAATATTTAAGATCGCTTAATTTCAACTGGCATTTAACCTGCACAAAAATGTCTATCAAAGATAAGCGGACCTAATTTAGACAGTAATTGGATCCAATTCTATTTTTTGCCCTAATAAGTGCTTTTCTGTTCTTTAAGTATTGTTAAAAAAATCAAGTCATAATTACTGAACTTTAAACTTTAGAAACATGTAGTTTTTTTGCTTGTTTCAGCTTGATGAATACCAACGGTTCATAAGGCGGTCTCCAGATCTGATCCCTATCGATTGACCCCTTAAGATGCTGTCCAAGGCTACCAGTTGGGCTTTGTTCCTAAGCAAACTGTGTTCCCCAACAGTCACCAAAGTGATAAGGAAAAATTTATACCCAAGTTCAAGAGCTTTGATCTGCAATCAGGAAATTAAGCAGCAACCTTAATCTTAGTAGAGGACGCCATTATTGTTTAGAGTTTTTAAATCAATTTTAAAAAGCACAGCCGCTAACACCAAAGTCATAAGAGCAGCCATGGACTCTTATAGACACTGAAATAGGTTTGGCTGTTTTTTTCTCTAAATCTACATTATAAATTATTGTTGTACTGAGTCAATATTGATTATAAAACCTTGGGAGTCTTCAGATTATAACCATCAGCCAGTCAATCAGGATTGTCTCACCCAATTACAACTCTAAGCAGGTTAGACAAATATAGCTAGAGTCATTTGTTTTACTTGTCATGTGTGTCGCTGTTGGTCTCCTCATTGAAGATGAAGAGTTCTCTGAGTTCTCCAAGGGAAAAATGGCGCTCCACATCCTGCTCTTCATCCACCACACAACTGCTGAGGGCTTTCTTGTGGGCTTGCCTCTGCAGGATCTTCTCTTCAATCGTCCCCGTCTGTGAGCAAACAAACACCAAGATCAAACTTAAAAACTCTCCAAACCAATTATTTGAAACTGTATAAAACACCCCGTTGCTTCAATTTGGTTATTCCGCTATGTCGAGGCAAGTCGTATCTCATTAGGAGAGTATTTCTGAGTATTGACTTTCCTGCATTGTTTGAGCTGTGTTCAACTTACTGATAGCAGCCTGTAGATGTAGCAAGTCTTCTTCTGGCCATCTCTCCACACCCGTGCCATCGCCTGTTCGTCATTTGCTGGGTTCCAGTCAGGATCGAACATCACCAGGCGATTAGCACCGATCAGATTTAGGCCACATCCACCGGCCTTGCTGCTCAGCATGAAGATGAATTCTGGGTTCTGAAAAAGACGAATGTATTAAGACATTGGAGGAATGCTGCTCTAGGTAAACTATAAAGCTGACCACAGTTCTCTACTCACAGATGGACTGTTGAATTTTTCCACAATTTTTGCCCTTTTTTTGATCGACATCGTGCCATCCAGTCGGACATAGAGGTATCTGAGGGAGAAGGAGAGGTGTGATGACGCTCACTTAAATGTGTTACTTACATAATACCAACAACATTTGGTGGTTTCACATAGTTCACCTTCTGGATCTGCACAGCTTTTCAAAGAGGTCCAGTGTTTGAGTGTAGTTTGACACAAGAACAACCTTGTCACTACTTGTACTCTTGGTCATTGCCAGGATGTAGTCAAGGACCAGCATCTTCCCTGAGATACAGGGGTGGAAAAAGGAAAAATAAGGTAAGGAAATCATTTGGTTCCTTGGTGCCGGACAGGTCTGATTTCTATCAGGGTTTTGTCTTCCAGCTGTGTCGCACATGTTCTTACCAGAGAGCTGAGGCTCCACGGCTTTGGTGCTGTAACCAGGTGGAAACAGATCCAGTGCTCCCTCAAAGCCCTCCTCACCGCTCACACATTTCTCATAGATAAGAGCAGGGTCTGGGAAACAGAGCATGGTCAGCATTTTTCCAAGAAGGAATACAGATACAATCAAGTTGTATGAACACAGCCTTGGCTTCCTCCACTCTTTGTGTGATTTCAGAGATGTATCTGTAAAATTACCTCTTCAATTTGTAAAATAGTTATTTGCTGATCACTTACATGCTGGCAGGGATGCAGCGTTTTACAGAATGTGTGTTACTGATTTCTGAACTTACGATTGCAGAGTTTCTTGAGGGAGGTGATGGAGGACAGGGAGGAGACACTTATTTTTCCCTCTTGTAATGACTCAATAGGTTTGGCCTGCTTGAGGAAACGCTTGTACAGCTCAGACTGCAGAGGAGTCAGCCTACCAGGAACAAAGACAACAAAGGTGTAGCTTATATTAAATACTGTTCAATAAAAAAAAAAAATCATGTCATTAACACACATCATCACTCAGTAAATGTGCAGCATATGACTGCTAAAACCCTGCTGAAGCACGTCTGCCATTTAACTGTCAGGGGAAGTTTTCTAATTACATATATTTAATAAAACTGTGTTTTTGAGGTAATAAAACTTAGTAAAAAACTTTTTAATTTTGGAATTGGTTCTGAAACTTTGGCATAGAAGCGTTTGTGTTTTAACACTAACAACTAATCTCTTTACTGTAACACAGACACGTCAATAATATAGAAACAAAGTAAATCAACCCACCTGCAACAGACAACCTGCTCAATCTTCACAGGCAGATATTTGGACAAGATATCTGATGTCCTCCTTATCAAACACCTGTGAAGGGAGAACACTGTCAGTATGTTGAGATTTTGACCTTGAACATTTCAACATAAATAAAACAATCAAGATATTTTTGCAGAAGTGTTTTCAGAAAAGAAAGAAAATAGATCTGTTGAAAAAACGCTTTCAGTATTAAATTTTGTACTGTTTTGACATTCATGTAATTATGTAACTAAATACTAGCCTATCATGTATGAAGAGTAGCACAAATGTAAGCATAACCTTCCTCCTGTGTTAGCTTTTACTACGTACCCATAATGTTAAGGGTCGGTTTTGACTCGTGTCTTAAATCAGCTGTAAATTACACTAAAAACAATTCTCTATCATCCAATTTGGCTCTCATCTCTAGGTTACCTTGTTAGACTTCATTATCCATGAAAATATTACTTATAATAGTTTTTGTAGTGGGCCTCTGGGCCTTTCTTTGTGAGTATACCCCTCACACAGTATACCCCTGTACTGAATTGATTTTACATGTCTGGACATGATCGACGTTGTTTTTTGTGTAGGAAAAACAGGCAAAATGAGAATTTCCTAAATTTTACATGATTGGAAGAGGATCTGACTTTCAGTGTGGTGCCTGACAGTGCACTTATGATTTCAAGTTTTTGCTCTAATTAAAAGATATCAATCTAACCAGGTCATTTTAATAAGCGCATTTTATAATTTAGTCTTTTATATATATATTTTTTATTTTGTTAAAATAGAGGTTCCTGACAAAGTCATAAAGTCTTGATTAAAAAAAGCTAATTTATGTGGTTCTTTGAAGCATTTAAAATCCAAAACGGGTCGGTACAGACCCTAACACAGGAGGAGGGATAAAGAGGCTGTGTTCTCAGAAAAAAAACAAAAAAAAAAACGGTTAAAAACAACAAAGAAACCACGAATCATAAATGGTTTTGTGTCATTCAGTAAATGCTGGATGAAGTACAAATTGCAAGACTGCAAATCTCAATTTAAAAGAAGGACAATAAAAACGTTTAGACAGGTATTCAAAAACTGGTGAAGGTACGTCTGGTCAAATTAAAATGTCATATTTAAACAACCCAGATTTTAAATACCATATTAATGCCACAGAGTTGTCATGCAGAAGAGAAGAGAAGAGAACAGACAGAATTTTTAGGTTTATAGTTTCCCTGTTTTCAGCCTCGCTGACCGTCACAGTCCAGCCTCTTATAATCAGTAGAGTAGTGTCAGGTAAACACAGAAACAAACTAAACATCTACACACAAATACAACATCCACAAGGAAAGGTATGGCACCAAAAAACTTGGGAATTTGGGAAAAAATGTAGAAATCAAAAATCAACAATAACAAATTTAGAAGAAGAAGCCTGACATCTAAGAGGTTATGAAAGGAAAAGGGAAAAAGGAGAAGAGTGAAATAAAAATGTAGGACTGTTTAAGCACACCTGTTGACAATGCTGATGAGCTCTTTGAGTTTCTCCTCCCCCGTCTGTCTGTCTTTATCTGAAGCATCTGCATCTCGCCCCTTGAGGATGGGGAGCTCAAAACGTTTTTTAAACTCCTGGGCAGTCCCTGAAATCAAGTTGAACATCAAAATGAGGGCAAACAAGCAGAAATAAGTCAACATGTTTCACTTCAGGTTCTTATTGTTGATATTTTTCTTTGATGCAGGGTTGCTCACCGAGGATCCCCGCATTAACAAAGTGGACCAGGCTGAAGTACTCTAGCAGGTCATTCTGGATGGGAGTTCCTGATATAAGCACTCTCCTCTGAGCGCTCATGGCATTGAGGGCCTGGTATGTCTGGTTTTCGGAATTTTTCAGCCGATGACCCTACAGTGCACAAAGTTGATGTTACAAACAGAAGTCCACAATCCTGGACAGCTCTGATGTTTCATAGACAGAATACCTCATCACAGATGACAAGTCCAACTTTGCCCTTGTGGAGAACCTCAGCGTGCAGTCGAAACGTCTCATATGAGATGATCAGGATTGGGGTTGGTACTCTCAGACCATGTTGAGAGATGAAGTTCACTGGTAAAAAAAGAGACATCATGAAGAAACAGAAGCATGATGACATTTTAAGAGACTTGAATCCAAAGTAATAACTTAAGTCAGCAGAGTTTGAACCAGATTTCAATACTCAAAATTAATCAAATACAAAGACAACCTGAATTAAACTTCCTCTCATGGATACAAACCGACCCTGTCCTCGTGATAGGATTCTTGTTCAGCAGTGGATTAGATTCAGATTTCAAGAGACTAAAATGCTAATACTGTTTAAGTTTATACCACAGGGCTCTGGGGAAGTACATTGTCATAAGAGAGGTCATAATCTAGTTCAATTACTTTAACACAGGTTTACTGTTGATCTATACCAAAGACAAACTATTATCTGTGGACTGAACGAGGGGTAAGATTTGAGCCAAGATGAACTTTGATTTGTCAAACTATTACAGGGTATTAAGTGACTAAAATATGATGAATTTAGGGTATACATCATGAAACAAAAAAGAAATTGAAAAAACTACCCAGTTGTCTGTCGATCTCCTCCTTTGAACCTCCATCAATAGCCACTGGTGTGACACGTCCTCCCAGCCACTTTCCTACTTCATTGTACCAGTTGCGCACCAGACTAGAAGGTGAAACCACAATAGCCTTGTCTATCTCTGGCTTAAAATCAGGGCTTTGGCGCAACAGGGTCCACATGAGGGTGATGCACTGCAAGGTCTTCCCAAGGCCCATCTCATCAGCCATGATACAGCCAAATGAGTCTGAGATCCGTCTGCCTGTCACACACTCCCACAGGAACTTCACCCCCTCAAAAAATCAGAAGCATTCATTATCAATTAAATGAAAAAAAACTGTTTTTTAGTATTTAACATGGACAATAAAGAACTTCAATTACAAAGAAAACATAATTTTACAAATAAGGATTGGAGCTAGGAGTTATCCAAAGCTCCGAAAAGAGTCAGTGGCTCACCCATTTCTTGAGTTTTTGCTTAGCTACTGTTTTGACAAAGAATGAGCTACTTCTCCATATATTTAAGTGTAGAAGACTCAAAACTAAAGGCTGCTTAAGCGATGAAAAAGTCTAAATTTCTACTGAATAACACTTTTGGGAATCTAAAAGTTTATTGGCACTTTAACATTTTTTTGAAAGATAGAAAACAAAATTTCAAGTTTACCTCTCTCTGATGGGGCCTGAGAACTTTTGACAAAACTGGATCGACAACAACATGGACCGGCAGTTTTTCTCTGGACAGAATAAAAAAAAAAAAAACTTGTTCAGCATTTGTTTTCATTAGAAAAAAAACTTGAAGTATTTATTTGGCAATACATGATAGAGTTTTAGGAAAGTTTAAGCTGTCCAAGACATAGCCTGCACCTGTTACTCCGCACGTCTGACCAGTACTGATCATTTAATATAATTACACTTACTCATAATAATAAAACACGAACATCAATTTTTTAAAATATGCATCAGATTCTGTTCAATAACAAAGAATGTTTGGCTACAAAATAAAGCTGTTTTCTCAAACAGCTGTTTCGTCGCTGCAAAAAGAGCTCAGAGTCTGGTGAGACCTGGACTCTTCATTTAAGAGGACTAGTTACACTCATTTAATGTAAAGCTAGAGTATATGGAGGATATAGTTTGGATAACTTGGCTTATGTTGGTTGTGTGGACTAACCATCAAGATCATGCAAAACAACAAAGCGATGAATGATTATGAGCATTTTTAACCTACTTCTCAGCTTTGATGAGGTCGTGAGCACTCAAGTTTGGAGGTTCGTAAAGAATCAAAGCATCTTCTGCAAAGGGATCATGAAGGGCCTTTCTGACTCCTGCCCGTTTCAGACCCAGAGCTCTGATTCCCAAAGAGCCTGTGTATACGTAATCAAAATCAGTAGAAAAGATACATTTTTAGTATTGGAGAGGAATGTTAACAAGAAGTCGTAATGAATAAAAACGTTACCTGTGTAATTTGGTATAGGAATCTTGAACGGCTTAGAGAGGATACTGCGTATGAAAGCCTCCTGTAAAAACATTTTTCATCATTTAGGCCTGATAATATTATCATCGAACATCTTAAAAAGTACACAAAGGTAAGGTCAGGTGGTTTTCAATAACACTTACATGTTTGTCACCATCCAAACATGTAGGCCGATTGTTGAGCTGTATCAGAGGTTTTCTGAAAACAGAAATATCCTTTTCCTTTTTCTCTCTGTCACCTTTCCTTTTTTTCTCCTGAAAAAAAACAAAACAAGCATCACAAAATGTTTCAGTTCCAGTCCATTTCTGCTCACACACACTTCATGATCACATTATAATGCTTCAAGCAAAAAAAAAAAAAAAACAACAACAACAAAAAAAATAAACTTTTCATCACTTTCACCACATCAAATTCAAGCTGAAAAAATTGCTCAGAGAATTATAAACATGCAGGCTAAGCCATAAAGTCAATGCTCCAAAGTAATGGCAAATATGTTTTACATAATTGGGAAAGTGCATGCTTAGAATATGTAACATTACAAGATGCAATGAAAGTTACTCTTCTATGACAGATCAACAATAGCTCAGGCTGAATAAAAGTGGAATTACTTATGCTTCATAAAGTTTTAAGACATGTTTTACAACATTGTTGCCCCCGTCTTCACCCCCGTCTTCACCCCTACCCTCCCTCATCTTCTCTCTCCCTAAATAACAGTCACTTCTTCACATTCATGAGTATTTTTATCTATTATACACTATTCAACTGGTACAATAATTAATGAATAAATCATTTTTTTTATTTTTATAGCACATAACTGCTAAAAAGCTGTTTTGTAAAAAGCCATTTTAACGTGAGAATGCCTTTAAGTGATTCAGAACATTCACAGCTGTATTTTAGAAAAGAAGAAGTAAAACATTACAATAATCGGAACTGAAACTCTTACTTTCTCAGTTCAAGCTCAACTTACCCTAGAACTACAATTATGACTTTATTAGTCCTCTAAGCTATAATGGTGGACTATTATGTTAGGTTTTTGACCTTATGTTGTAGCTCATAGATACCACAATTGATGTATAAAACTAATTTAAAATGATCTTTTTTGGTCTAAACACAATTCTAATAAAACTTATGACGGACTAAATTCACTTTCAAGAGTGAATTTTTTTTTTTTTTTAAATAAATGTCTAACCCCTTCACCCATGAGCTTCTAACCTTCACAGACTCCATGAATTGATGCCCATCTTCTAAATATTTGGTCACATGATCAATTTCTTTGACCGTTTCCAAGCAACAGGGGGTGGCTCAACTTACCCCACTCTCTCCTATAGTCTCTCTCAGCACACAGAGGACCATACTTTTCAAAGGTTTTCATGTCAGATCAATTTAAACAGCTTTAAATGAAAACTCTTTAAAACAACTTCTGTGTTCGTTGACTTACAGTCTCGCAGGTCCAGTCATCATCATCTTTTCTGCAGTCTTCTCCTTGCTTCCTTTTTGCGAGCTGACTCGGAGCAAGACTCCTTCTCTTGGGTGGTGATAGAATAAACGCAGACAGTTATTAGACGGTTTTAATGAGTGGTAAAGACACCTGATACACACTTGTCAACATGGAAATTCAAAAATCACAGTTCGGCTCTCTTACCATGTTTCTGTTTCCTTCAGGGTGGTTGTTTACAGAGGGCTCTCTCTCTCTCCCTTCTTCTCTTCCTGACTGGCTTTAAACTCTCCTCACCCACAGACAGCAGGCTGCTCTACCTGCTTCACTATCACCTCATCAATGTTCATGTCTGTGTCACTTTACTACTGAAAAATACTCACTGTTGACTATATTTAAATGTTAGATCTGCACTACCCCGACATACAGCTACCTTTTCTCCCGGGTGCTATTGAATTTCGCGCTAAATGTTGCACAATTCTACGGCAAGCCAGAGAGATCAAACTAAGCGGCTGCCTTTTCTTCATTCTGGTTCATGGCGAGTACCGTTCAGCTTTCAGCTACTTTACCGCCATCTACTGGGATGGAGTGTGGACCGACCATCATAAAAAAATGTCTAAACACAACTAAGTTCTGTCCTAGTCCTCTTGGATAACAAAGTGTGCAAAGTAAATATCTTTTATTCTTCTTCTTCGAGCTTCCTGATGACCTGAATTTCCTTTCACATGGCAATTGCTGGCCTGACCTGTAATGACCTTTATGTTTAGGCTAGTTTGAGTGAGCTAGTCCACAAAGCCAGGAAACAAAGCTGTGTGGGGTGCAAAGGTGAAATACAAAAGCAAAACTGCACAAATAACTTTTTGTAACGTTTAATTGTTTAAATTGTACAAAAAATAGTGGTTCAGAGACATCTAAATATATTGCTATACATTTCGAATCAATTCAAGACAATAAAGAACCATAACATGTATGAATTTCAGCATTGTAAAAGTTTTTTTCTCTAAAGTTTTCATTCATACAAGACCTGCCAGGCTCACAAAAGAATACTGTCTTGTATAATAGTCTCAGAAAACACATTAAGTAAAAGTCTTATTGTATGAGCAGCATATAAGCCCCTTTTTTAACTACACTGGACTGGATGAGCGTCACTTCTCAGGCAGCAGGGGGTGCCAGACTGATATCTCGTTTGGTGTTTCCAGGCTGTACAGAGACAAGCTTTTCAGATGCATGGTTACACGATGAAGACACTCTCCTCAGACACAAATCTGAAACCTTGTTTTTGAGGTGTTGGATGTTTCAGGCCTTTCCTGAACTTTTTCAGTTGTGTAAAAATGGAAGAAAATGAAGAAATAAAAACCTCTTCTAAGTGTAAAGTGATGTGTTTAGCATAAAAAGGTTGACAGGTTGAATGAATTGATGTTTTCGGCTTTATTCTATGGAGCCTAAAGTGTTCTGGAAAAATATTAGACTGAACACATTATCTTTATTGTATATATCATGATTTCTTCAAAGCTGTTATAAGTATTAGCTGTATTTTGTCCCTCCGTTAAGTCAAAGTATTTTCACTTAGATCATTTATTTATTCATTTATTTATTTATTTTGAGGGCAACCAAGGTATTCACCATGTCTTTTTGTGTTAAAGGGCAGTTACTCTTCTTCACTTTCAATGACACAGGATAAAAAAAATACAACAGTGGAATTTTGTACTGACGTCTTAACCAATCAATAATCAGTTACATTATTTCTGTGTTTGCCATTTCCTGGTGCATCTATCAAACTTGGTCTCAATTCCTTTAGTTTTTCTTAAAAAGCAGCGTCATTTTCTGATTGTTGTAAATTAAACATTTGTATTTTGTACCAAGTCAAAGATCTATTAAGTCAAATCTTGGCTGATTACCAACAAGAGCTGTGATAAGCTGCTCAGCATTAAATGTCATAGAGGAAGTAAAATGATTAATTTGATTTGATTATTTAAATGTAAAACTGTACAAATCCTATCATTATTCACATGGCACACTCCAGACTAAATAACTTCAGAAAAATATGCATAAGGTCTTGATGATTTCCATGGGATCAGTGTCAATGTGTTGGTCAAACACACAATGAAACACACAACAGCCCATTACATCTACACCAGTATAAAAGGGCGTCACCAAGCATCTGACCAAAATGTAATTCAGTTCAAGTTTCACTTTGTTTCTAACTAAAACATTTATTGTTGTATTTAAAAAAAAAAATGAACATATGAAAAAGAAAACTGTTTATATACATGGATACTTCATTACTAATAAACATGGTCAAACAGGTTTAACAAGTTTAATGAAAATAAAGAATAAATAAAATAACTTAGACAATAAATACTCTTATGTACAGTAAGGCAACATGATGCATAGCATCTCTCAAGAGGAGTTTGGTACAGAGAAGTTTGAATTCAACAGAAACACAAGGCCTCAGAAATGATGTTCCTACAGTGGTGAACTGTTTGTACCACATTCACAACTTGCAGGTAAAGTCAGAGAAAATGGCTTTAATGATGGAAACATCTGTGAATATTTTGATGTAACAGTATAATCTAAAGTATGCTCATTTGCACATGATTCTTTCTCTCAGGATCAGGAACGCTTGAGGTCCAAAAGGGGCACTATGCCATTTTGAGAAATATGCTAGTGCATTGTCTTGTGCTGTTTGTCTCATATCAAAGATGATCAGACCAAATGAAAGTGAGAGAGCAGAGAGGACATTTGGGTTACACTGGAAGCTCACATGTCCTGTGTCTGTCTACCCTGAACACAGGAGGGAAACAGCTTGCCCAGAGTTGAAACTATAAATCTACAGTCAAGTCCAAGGCTAACAGATAACAGATAAAGAAGCTGTTGGTATGAAAAGGTTGCATCAAATTCATATTCTTAAAACGCTGCAAATGAAATTCAGAAGAAATAAACTAGCCAATATGTTTCCTCCATGTGTTTGAGAACTGTATCGGAGTCCAGAGGCTGATACAATAGTAAGGCTGATAGGGATTGTGTTTAGGCCCTTATTTGTGATAATTTTCCCTGAAATTCTCTTGAGACTTTCTGCTTAGCTTCTAACAGCACAACCTGCAGTTACGTGTAACATGAATTGGTGTAATTGAAAGCAAATGCGAGAGTCTGTGTGAACTTGGCTGTAAGCATTCTTTAGATGATCCAGATGAAATTAAAAAAAAAAAAAGTTGGACGTATTTCTGTAAGCTGAATAGTGTGAGTCAGGACCAATTGTAGTAATGAAAATATCTGGAGATACTTTGTAATCCCTTTGTTATCTGTGGAAACACTCACTTTAAAGATACTCGCTGCTAAGACACAAAGTACAAACACGCCAGTGCCTCACAAGGATATTTTTAGACCTTGTTTCATGCAGCTGAACACAAAAAGATTGAATGAAGGCTGTCTTAGAGCGCTTGCATGCACAACATACTAAGTTGTGAACAGAGTTGAAATTTTGACAAGCCAGATTTGAATGGACTACAACCTGAAACTGTTTTTGTGTCAAAATTCACATGAACGTGCAGCTCAGAGGGGTGAAACACACAGCAAAGCAAAGCTTGCATCGCTTCCTCTGGTACACGGTGTTTCAAAGAACATTTTTGGATTGTACTATGTGTGTAATTGGCCCAGAATCAAATAATTACTGTAGCAACATTGACGACATAGAAGAAATGTTATTGGTTGGTTTGTGTGGAAAAGAGGAGAACATTTGAGTAATAGCTTTTGTTATTCTAACTCAACTAAAATTACAAGGGCAATTTGTCTGTGAAAATTTCACTCTTATCTGCAGTTACAAATGTGAGCTCAGAGTGTTTAAAACATGAGGCTTAAACACAGCCTTCACACCTCCGCTTGAACTGGGTGAGTACCACCATTCATTCAAGACCACCACCGTAGAGACAGAGGACATGATAGGTGGATAGGAAAACCAATAAGGAATGAGTTTATCACCTTCTTGATCTAACTTGATTTACTCTAGCAGTCGCTGTCTAAATTCCTGAGATTCATACTTGAAACTAAGTTAGCTTGCGTAAAAGTTATTTCTGTTATTATCATCTCCTCATTATCAATTTATGTCCTACGTTGCACTCTGAAAGGCGTTGCAAGTGTGGCTTTCATCCCTGTTTGCAAAATTTTCTTTTTTCCGCGTTTCCATAGACATCTTAACAGATTTCATAATCCTGTTTGTTGTAACTACATCGGGTAGTTGTGAGAGGTTTCATATCACACCTGGTCTGAAAATAGACCATGTGCTGAAAAGCTGACTCTCTGACTGATGGTTCACCCATGACTATATTTGTGATGGCATCTTACAATAGACTGCTGACAGAGGTGTAAATAAACTTTGCTGTAACAACTACTCCAGAGCGATTGATACACAAACAGTCAACATGGACCGGCTAACACTATGTCATGGTCTATTCAGAAAGCCACTGCATTCATGTATAGCTGCTTTCCTGTGTCTGTCTGTGTGTATACGACACTGCTGTAGATGGCCCACAATTGCTTTATATATTACCAAGCTGCCCTGGAAGGAAAGCTAGAGTTGTATCACATGGTGAAAGCAAATTTGATCTTATAAAGACCAATTTATTTACAAAACAAAACAGTACAAGTTTTAAGTTCTTGTTAGCATGTCTTCACATCATAGCATTTGGTCTAACAGTGGTTCATCTGAGTTTTTGGTTAAAATAAGGCTGTTAATATTATCTTGTAATGACTTTGTTTGAAATGAGGCTTTCATGGTGACGTTATATTCTGCTCCATCCTGGAGGTTCACTGTTTGATTGGCTTTTGGCAAATGGCTACAACACAAAGCAGGAAAAACATACCAGTACATGCTTGAAATGATTCTGTGACGTGGGTAAGCTGTGACTTAGTTATGCTAAAAGTACCTGTGCTGTTCAGTTATACAGTAACTTTGAACTGAACGAATGACTCATTAGTTGGCTTTGTTAGCTTACTAACTAGTCAGTTGGCTGCTTTAAAAATGAAAAGGGTTTGGAGTACTAAAGCTGTTCATTAAAACTCTAAATATATTCTACAGAGTAACAATAACCTTTTAAATGTGCGATTGTAGTCTATAAAATATCTATATACATGTATCTGAGCCATTAAGAGACATTAACAGTAGTTTTGAGGGGAAAGAAGAGGAGGGGTTATCCTGACAGAAAGCCTTTAAGGCAACTTCTTTCACATGAAGCTGCCATTTAGAAATAAAACTTTGTCCCAGTTCACAAATTATAAAGATAATATTTTGTAACTATTTCCAAAATGGTTGTGAGATCGGATCATAAATAAAGAAAACTTACCCTTCATTTCTTCTCGAGTCTGCCTCAAATGTAAGCTTGCAGTTAGTCTCTTTTAGAGCCACCTTTACCTTTAGGACCAACAAAAGCCTATTAGCTACACAGCTGATACGACTCTGTGATTTTCGTGCATAAAACGACTTCTACTCAAGTCAACAATTTCATGTGTAAAATGAACACAGAAGTTTTTCGTACAAACATACTGAATTCTGTTGATATCGCCAAGCTGCACTCTTAGACATGTAAACTGCTACTAAGAGCTTTTGTTGCATTATTGTTGAAGACCCCCAGCATGGCTACCAGACGGTATTGCATTTACCTTCAATATGTAACTCAAGGACACAAAGTGTTATAAGTCCATATCAGGCAGGAACAGCACTGATAGTTTCCTCTCCTGGACTCGCTGCTCGTGGCATGAATTAATCCTTCTCCTGCCCCAGGCTGGTGGCAGACATCATGATTGCCTGCTGGTGCCATCACGCTCCACTGAAGGTATTTAGACCTTCATTATTATCACTGTAGCTATTAGCAGAAGAAAGGCCCTGGACTCTGGACATAGCACCCATCTTGGGCCCAGATCTCAGACCACATGAACCAGGGTTGAGTACCTCAACAACAAAGACCAGTCTTTGTGGCACCCTGCTCAAGTAGGAGCTCTCCTCTCTTTGCATATTTCAGACAGACTTTTCTTTTCAGTCATCCCACACAGCTGCAATTGGCTGCAGAGAGCCACTTAATTGTCTGCCAAGTTGTCTGGGTGTCCATGAAGGACACAGTTTCATAGCGGGTGGGCCGACAGCATGGGTGACTGCTGACCTTCTTCCCCGTGATGCTGCCTTTGTCCATTAGAGACTTGAGGGCCAAGTCATAGTTCTTTCGGAAGCTATAGCACGTGCCGACGCAGTACTTGAAAAGAATAATCTCATCCGAATCATAGCCGAGACCAAGATCACGCACCCGCATCTCTTTCTTCTCCAAGTGGCAGTCGCGGCTGCTCTTGTTCCTCTTACGGTTCCTCCTCGATGTTCTGGACAAGTTTGGTTCATGAGGTGAGCGTGGCCATCGGCTCAGCAGATTCTCCTCATCTTGTGACCATTCCTCTGCAAAATAAGAAAAAGAAAAACGCTTGTATTAAGTTTCTATTTGACTGCCTAAGGTTTCCCATGACCTATTAAACATTTCTATCTTCTGTGATTGGATCAGGAAGACAAAGTGGCCGACAGTAATCATTCAAGTGTTTGCTTCCAATTCCTGATGGATATTACCTCCAACATTCAGCAGTATCACTGTATGATTATTGTATTACCTTGTTAACATGATAAAATATCCGTTGGGACAAACTTTAAAAAAGTCAAACTCAAGTGAAGGCTAATGTCTTATCAGTAATGAAGCGATAGGCAGTTTCATTTGATAGAAGAGGGAGCAGGACAGGATAATCCTAAAATATGTGCCAAGTTTATTTGTTACCTTTTTTGGTTAAATCTCCTCATGCAGAGTGAGCTTTCTGCTATGGAAACATTCTTTCCAAGTTATGTCTTTGTTTTTTTCTATATACACTGTTGATTTTATAAAATATAAATCATCAAATTTATGACTATGCTTCACTGCTAATCAGGGTGATGATGGAGGCGTATTAATAGGAACAAAAGAGAAATAATCATATGAAGATAATTTGCTCTTTTTCAGCCCAAAAGTTGCCATATTTTTTATCATCACAAGCTTATCTCTGACTGTGTATTTAGTGTATTCAGGGTTTATTGGGTTTATCAGATATGTTTTTTCTTTGTACATGATACTCTAAATAATTGCCAGTGGTAGTATCATGTGTGCTGTGAGGGGGAAACATGCATCCATCAATTCAAAGAAGTGATTAAATATAGAAACAGAAAAACACATTTTTGTACGCCAACATGAATTCTGATTAATTAAAGCTTGACTTCTGTATATAGAGAGGACACTGTTAATGATAAAGTCACTGTTTGATATAATATGATACCCTACAAACACATTTTTGTGGAATAATATCATAGGACCTTAATAGAACAAAGTGCAGAGCTGAAAAATAGGATATAATTTAATGTTTATTATCTAATCTTACATTCCAGCTAATTCTCATTTTATACTGATATCTTACAGAGGAAACACATACTGTAGTCTTCTTACCACAATCTTGGGACACTTTTTGCAATCTGCAGCTTTAATAACTTGTGCTCCTGCTACATTTTATTCCATAATAATAGAGTCCCACATTTATCAAGCGGTCTTAAAGAAATTTGTGTCCCTGCTATTCACTCAGCCATTTATTAAGAGGTCTACTCAACTCACAAATTCTTTTGACATGTTTTCATAACTGGCACATCAAATGAGCTGATGGTTAATCTCTGTTTTGCTTCTGTTTGGCTTCATCCAAGGAAATGTATCAGAATAAGAACAAGAGGAAAAGTGTTTTACCTCTGCATGAGCTCATCAGTATCTGTTACAGTCACTGCCATCCTAACCCTGCTGTTATACGGTGGGTTAGAAGTAGTTTACACATAAAGACTTAAAAAATGGATCTGCAACACTCGTCAAGTCATCGTTAACAACACATGATGATCACACTCAAAAAACCCCTGGGTTTAATGTTAGGTTATTCAAATTAACCCAAATTTTTGGTTGACTCAATAGCTCTTTTTAAGGGTCAAGTTAACCTGATGTTCGAGTTAATTTGACTCATGATCTTGGGTTAAATTGATATATGCATTTGAGGAGCTTTGCTTTTACAACCTGTGCCTTATTTTCCCATGTACTTTTATCTAACTGATTGTAGGCCATAGCACTAAAGGTCTTGCCTGAGGACCCACACGTTGTTGTTGTATGTTATTATACTACTATAATATATATGTAGTATAATAACATATATATAATAACATATATATATATATATATATATATATATATATATATATATATATATATATATATATATATATATATATATATATGAAATCAAGGTCAAAGTTCACAAGGTCACCAGTTCACTTTAATTGCCATTAGGCCTAGAAACCATGTAGAGTCAAACAAAACCAAGGTTCTGACACGATTATTGGGTTAGGCTTGGAAAAATTACCCATAATTATTAACCCATTCAGAAAACACTCAAAGTGGGTTACAATAGAATCCATGTGACCCAAGAAATGGGTATGGATCTGAAAAATAACCCAGAAAATTAAACTCAACATGTATAACCCAGGAAGTGGGTTGAAGAAATAACCCGAGAGTTTTTAGAGTGCATCTTTGGTAGTGCGCTCCATCCACAGTCTTAAGTCATCACATGGTAAAAAACGTTGGTTTTTTACCATGTGATTATCCAGTTCTGTGGATAATCTGAGTAAGATTAGAACTTCACTGCAGATAAGTGTCTCCGTTAAACACAAAAATATAGATAAAAAGTATCTGAGTGATTAGTGAGATCATGTTTGATCGTGGGCTGTGTGAGACTGACTGTGTGCTTTGTTTATGGGCAGTTAGAGGATGACCAAACCACAGACACAACAACACTAAAACATCTTCATAGTTTTATCATCAACTCTGATCGACTTTTTTGATCACTTCTCTTTATAGTTAAAAAGAGGATTAATACTCTCTTCATGGTCAAAACTACCTGTACTTTCTATTTCTCAACATTATTACAATGTTATATATGGTACAGATATAGATGTACAACTTAATATTGCAAACATAGACATAAATCGCTTTGCTTATATTTTGACTCTAACTCTAACATATCCCAATGTCCCTCTTGGACCCAATAAGAGATGTCCAAGCCTCTGCCATCCCTCAGTAAGTTTATTCCATTAATAAGATCTTAAGAGGAAAACCTTACTTCGATCTTTCCTCTGTTCAGAATTCTGATGTTTTTCTAGACTCAAAGGTGAAAAACTTCTCACACTTCAGTTTATGTACTGGATTAGACAGGAGGTTCATGAGGCAGCGGGGGAAAGCATGTGTGATTAAATTGAAAGCAGACATGAGCGTTGAAACTGGGAGTGATTCCTCTGGTTATCAGCTGAGTGGTGCAACATGTACTGTCACTATGCAGGGTCATTACCAGGGGAGCGAGCTGTTGGCTGAACTCCAACAGGAGCTGAGTTTGCTTTTTTCAGTTGCCAGGAACATTTCAAACAAGATTTACCCTCTCCACAGTGCAGACCTAGCCCAGGTGTTTGACTGATTTCTACTTCCTGACCTGTGGATGGCTTGGCCCTGCATTTTCTCTGGATGCCTCTACGCAGTTTGTTCCTCAGGGAATGGTTATTAGCTCTGTAGAATACTCATTTACAGCAACAGAGATGCTTGTCAGTTCATGCCTTACTGTTTACTGAAAAGAAAACTTGTAATCATCAGGGAAAGAGGAGCATCAAAAATGCATAGAAATATTCCCCGGGCAAGAGCGCAGGATCCATTTAGAGGAACCCTGCTCAGGTACATATTCAACCATGTTAGAACATGCCATATGGGTTTTCATTATAATGTAATTACACAACTATTTCCATGTTACAATTGAATGGGCAATGTACTGGCAATCATGTGTGACTGTACTAAGCGTTATTATTATTATTATTTGAGCGAGACTGCCATCACGAGAACTGTTTCGTGAGATGCTCCAGGGTGTCGGAGTGATGTTTTCCATTCCTTTTCATGAGTACAGTTTAACAGGAAAGAATGGCAGTAACTTGACTGAGGTTCAGCCCACAAAAACAACATCAGTATCACCATGACTGACACTATACGCAGCAACTGCTTCAGGCACAATACCGTGAAGTAACAGCCTCTGTACTTTAAGTTCATACAGGCTCTGAGAGGAAAGCATGCCCTGTGAGATGAAAGACTACGATAAAGCTATGTCCTTAAATGAAGGCGAAAATGGTAAATCTTCTACTATAACAACAATAGGTCTTCTTCTAATTTTTCACAGTCTTTTTGTCATTTTGCCCTTCCTTCATTCTTTTTATTTTTATGTTCAACCCTCCATTGTAATACTGTACAATTTTCTACTCTTTGTGCACTTTTTATTCCCTACTCGGCTTTTTGTTTAAAAGTTGTTTATAGTGTTGGTTGTTTGGTCATTAGTGTCCTGAAATTTCTTTATTAGGACATTAATTAATGCATGGTGTCAGGGGATGGCCTACCCCGACCACTCACTTGCCACTTTGTAAGTATGTGTGTCATCAGATCAGAACTCTTTTCTTAACTTGAGAGGAATGAAGTCTGTTTCACTTCAATTAAAAACTTATTTGAAGAGTAGAATAAACACACAGGACCCACAGTCACTCATCATATGAAGCAGGGATGAACGTGACTGTGATGCATGACAGGAACCTGCACATTGGATTGATTATTTTTACCCTCTTGTGTGCTGCTGGGGCTCTTGTTGAGTTGACCAAGGCCATACTCAGCTCTGAAAACTACCAGGCAAGTCTCCAGAGGCTAAATTCGTCATCCAGGAGTGACACAATGCTATTTTATTACCCTCTCCCTAGATTTATAAGGCTTTGTTTTCTAAGAGCAGGAAAAAAAAACTGAGTAATGTTACACTGATGGATGCAAATGAAAAGTGCCTCTCCAAGGCCAACAGAGGCCTGCAGTGTATGCCTACACACAGCCATTCTGGCGTGGCCCCACACAGACCTTTAAGATTTTATTTCATGTATCCCTGCAAGGCATGTTAGTGGAGTTTCCAAACATACTCAGTAACCATGAATTTCTACACTGTTTAACTATGTGTCAGCTTAAATATTCATTTCTGATGAAATATGATCACACTTAAACAGAAAACATGCTCATAAATCAAAGTTTTCTGGATTTTTTAAACTTCTTAAATCACATCTTAGCAACTTAAGGATCACAAGCCCTTCTTGTGATGTTTATGGAGCTTGTAAATATTTGTTTTAGATAGATAGATAGATAGATAGATAGATAGGGAACTTTATTAATCCCCGAGGGGAAATTCGGTTGTTATAGTAGCCGATACAAGCTAAGTTAAAATATTTCTACTAAACACAATGATTCTTTGTTAGGATAGCTAAATTAAGTCCAGTTGGTATCAAATGTTTGTTAAAACTCTTAATAGCAACATGCAGGTCCTAGTTGGCTCTTATCTGTATGGAGAAAAGGGCAAAACTTGTGAGTCTTTGTTCTGAGGCCACAGTGCTTCCTGAGTGGAGGATGGGTCATATCAATTAGGTAAGCAAAGTTTGTGGTTTTAGTTGTTTCCTGCATCACACCAACATTTAACATTGGTTTCATCCAACTGTGACCACAGAGAGTTCCTAACCTTGACAGGGTTGGTGTTTTGACCCACGCTATGACGTTTCCGTGCTCTAAACCAAACCTAATTGTGTACACATCAAATCTAAAGAAAAATGCCAACAAACTGAAGCATAAAATGTGAATCACTCACCAATGGCTTCAGGCCAGGATGTGTGAAAGCTTCTATTCTGTTCTGAGTCGTCTGCAGGAGACCAAACGGGCTGTCTGTGGACACGCTGGAGGTCTGACTGGGCTTCTTTATTCTCCTCTTCAGAAAACACATCTTCCACCAGCATCAGTAATGACGCCACCACCCACAGCATCACCTGGAAATATCAAGGAGAAGTTGTAATAGTGTTTGTGTTAGCATGTTAAAAAAAACAAGAATTCAAATTCACCAAAACACTGTGAAAGGAGATGAAGGGTGACATCTGTTGAGCAATAAATCTGTAAGAAAATATTCTAGCTTATAGCATTTCATGGGCCCAATAGGTTCAACTTTAAAAGGTCATTATACTTAATTGCACGAATAAGACTTATTTTCATTCTGCCCAACAAGAGAACAAAGTTATTCTGTTTATCACTTATCAATGAAAATGCATAAAACCATTAACAGGGCTGTACCTAGGAAATCTATAAATAGCCTTCCTGTATGATGCTTTAAGGAATCAAAACACCCTCAGGGAAAATTTTGTGTTAGTCATTGTTTCTGCTGCTCTTGTAAAGTGATAGATATTTTATTTGATAGCTGAAAACCTTAACCTGCTAAAAACCAGATGAAAACTCAGGCAGTCGACTTAATCGTTGGGACAAATTATGTCCTCAGTGGTCAACAAGACATTTCAGTCTGCGCCACAGCAGAAACAGTGACGCCAGTATTTCAAGTAAAACATGCTAGTATTTGCATGTAATTTGTTCATATACAGCATGCATACATTGTGGAGACTGAAAGCTGCTCTAGGTAAGCTGATCCATCCTGTTCTGTCAGCTCCTTCACATGGAAATTGTGTCTGGGTTCCCTGTGTCTGGCTTTCAGCCTATAGCGGCCCTGTTACCACGGCATTGTGGGATACCTGCAGCTGACACCTGCACCTCTTTAATTACTTAATTGACATGTGACACCTTCTCTCTGTGCAAGTGAGCTTAATATTTTAACATCACTTATAAAATGAGTTTCTCTGCGGTGTCTGGCAGAACGTGAGTCCCGGATCAAATAGGCGAAGTGACCGACAGTCTCGCTGCAAAACCTACTGGCCTAGATATCCCTTTATAAGCCAAACGCTGAAAATCTGCTCACCTTCCAGTTCTTCAGGTGATGCTGGGTAGTCGATACTTCTTGCCTCCACCAGGTTTTTCCATCTAAAATGAAAAATTACAAATGAATGAATACAACCCTCAAAAGTAACAACAAGAATATAAACCCCTCTATGTTCAGTTGTCTGACTGTTTTTTTTTTTTTAAATGCCCTTTGGGTTGTTTCCACATCCACACGTTTTTGGCTGTCCCTCATTTTAATAACAAGGTATATCGGCTTCAGTGAAGTCCCCTCTAATCTGAAGAGTTTCACTGATGACTCATCCTTTGTTTATCGCAGTGCCTGAGAGCTAATTCAGTTCACTGTGACAGAATGACACTCTTCACCCTGACAGCATGTCAGAGAAAAATTTGGTAAATGCCTCCTGGTGGTTACAGAGAAAGTTTCTAATTGTAACCCAGCTGATAAGTATGAGGAAGTGAAAAATGCTTTTATTAGAAACCTTGTATATATTTTTTTCACATTCTTCAGCTCTGCAGTAGTGTGGTTTTCTACCATTGGCCTCCTTACAGCTTCAGAGGGCCTGCCAGTGAGAACTAGATGTATTAAAATCATTTTTTGGATGGGAAATAAAATAAAGCTGTACAGTAGACAAAGGATCTGGAGTGTGCACGCTCAGCTAAAAAAGGAGGCTTTAGTGTTTCATTCAAAGGGAACAACCACGACTGATAGCTTGATGATAAATGCTGTTTTTGTACAAAGTGATAGCATGCAGATTTTACCTCTGTCAGCAGACCAGTAAAATGACCATAAAACACACAAAAAACGCTTTTTAATTCAATTAAGGGTTTTCGATTTAAAATAATCGAGCAGAGTCAGCCACATAATTCCTCTATCTCTAACATGTCTGAATGCCTTTTTGTCCGTCTAATCTCAGCAGCAAGAAAACAAAGGAATCATTTTATGTGTTGTTGTTTGCCTGTAAACTACAGCTGCTGCGTTTCATATACAATACTTTAGTGTGATGTGCCAAACCAGGACAGTGTTACATATTAGTGACAGGTGAATATGAAGATTTGACAGAAGGGTTACACATGAATTTCATTTCTACAATTACAGAGCAATGACTCATCTACCTGGATTATGCTGAGGAAGATGCAATTTTTTCCAGAACAATAAAGAATCAATAGATTTAATGCCGCCCTCCAACAATGCCAACACTTTAAAATGCTTTGGTTCAAAGACTTGTCCAAGTAATGTAGTAGTTCCTTGAGTTAAATCTGGGAACACCCATCAACATCCAGGTTAAGATGTCCAAATCTAGAGCAGAACTCAACATCTTTCCTGCCTCGTACCAAAAATTGATTTCAGTCCAAACAGCTCATTTCTTTTCTTTTCTTTTGTACTGACTGTATGGGGACTGAATTATTTTGATGGTTTAACTGTTTTGAGACTAAAAGTAATGCTACGAGCCAGGAGGCCAAACACCTGCCTCAGCCCCTCCTCTTTACCTGTATCTATGTTGACTGAAGTTAACACAGTGATTTTGGACTTGTTCAATAGTAACGTTTGGATTGTAAAATTAAAATTACCGGGTCATATTCTTTGACAAGTGGGCCTTTATCATGATGGATAACAGGGTTTGGTAACACATTACTTCTGTTGCTTGGCTACTGTTATGTCTGCTCTCTTCTATCCAGTGTTAACTCTTTGCACGCCAGCATTCTGTGAAAGAGTGTCCAGCCACTGCCATACTTTTTGACTAAACTTAGTGAGCTTTCAAGCTCTCAAAATATTTTTGTCTGATGTATATGTTATTAATACAGGCATCAAAGAAAAGTACAAGGCTTCACTTCTCATCCATTTTATTGTAACTTGTTCTATTCTCTTTTTTTTTAATCAGTATTTAAAAATGGGTTGTTCCTCAAAATCACAACGTTCCCAAATAAACAGAAAACTGTGAAATAAGTATTTTTGTCATTTCTAAACAGAAAATTGATAGGATACTCACATTTTTGTACCTATGTCATATGATAACACTGACTGCATGATTTAAATACTTATTTTAGTGAATTTATAGTCAGCATCAGACTGTTTGGAGTGCCTCTGTCTGCAGACACAGGTTCACTGTAGGAGTTCGGTGTGTGCCTGAGACGTGCATATTCAGGTGCCATCATGAGAAGGAATATTTGTCATAAACATGTTATAAACTATAATGACCTTTGTTCACCTTTCCTCGAGTTTCAGTCTGTGAACAGGTCTTAATCTTTCTGTCAGGGCCCCCACTCTCTCAAACAAATTATCTAAGGAGATTAGACTGAAAAGTTCCTTATCCTCTTTTAAAACTCTATTTAAAATCCATTTTTATAAATATGCCTTTACTGAGTATGACTTTTAACTGAACTCTTAACTTTTAATGAAGTCTTAACTCATTTTATTTTGTTTTAACTTATTCTATTTTATTTATTTTGATACTATTGTCCTAATTATTTTCAACTAACTTAAACATTTAACATAGTTGGAGTCAAATGCCCCCTTGGGGATAAGTAAAGTTCCTCTTATCTTCTAACCTTATATTATCTTTTATTGAATTCTGAATCATTCCCGTTGACTGACTGTTTCAGAAATTGTATTGATGTCTGCTGCTGCTTTTATGTTGTGAAGCCCTTTGTAACTCTGTTTTGAGATGTTCAATATAAATACAGTTATTAGTATTATGAGTATTATTATTATTACCACAACAAAAAGCAACGTTGTGGTGGTTCAAGTAATGACTTCATGAATCAGTGACAGCTAAGGATCACCTTGTACAGACTTTCCAACAAGGGATATCTGATATCAGGTTCGAGAGACCTTGCTAACTGTAACTTTAGCATCATCTGACATAGGCTCACAGTATCTCCCTGTAGTTCACATACTATGAGACAGATTTACACAAAGAACACTTAAGACCAAATAGGAGACAGACCGAAAGGATGTCACATCTGCTGAGGCAAGATCAGACCCGTTTACAAATTGATACCGTCTTTCTGCTGGGAATGAGGCTAATAAAAATAAAGAAAACATGCCTCATCTTTAAAAAATGACTACCAATGACAAAGTATTTGACATGGCTCACAAGACAAAATGATAAAACAACACAGAAGCTCTGAGGTTCACTCCCTCTAATAAATGAAATGACTTCAAGGAGGTCTTCCAGCTTAAACATCTAAGCTTCTGTTATGTAAGACGAACTGTCTACCAACACAAACACACCAAGACCAAGTTCATCATCTTCTTCTGCCTACGGTTAGAAATAAGGTCCACCAGGATGCAGTGATAAGAAACAAGATAACAAAATAAAATCTGTGAATTTGTCTAGCATTGCTGGAATGGCTCCTGATATTATGTAGATGAATGGTAAAAAAACATCTTAGCTTCAATCGGCAGAGCATGCAGGGTACAAAAGGTGATATAGATCAGATTACACAACACTGACAGAGTGTTTTGTTTATGTGCATGGAGGGTAGATTATGACCTACAATGCCACGCTTCTTCAATTTGGCAAACCCCTGTTATGAAACCTTTTGAAATACCAATATTTTCACTACAAAGTCAAAGTGTTGGTAGCAAAGTTTGCCTCTATTTAAGGGGGAAGAGGCTTGGAACAGATTTTGTACAAGTATAATTCAAACAGAACCTCAGGGGATCTTGAGGAGTGATCTGTCTTTTCTTCAGATGGTGGACCCCTGGACTGTAGAAAAAAGAAGTGAGCGTAACAAGTCTTCAAGCCAGCGGCATTGAAGGAGTAGAAAAGGTGTGAACGTTGTTCAAGGAGATCTGAATCTGCTGTTTGGTTTGTGTTTTTGGGGGTTCTGGAGAAAATTTGAGAGGAAGAGAAGTAAGGGGCTCGGTCTGAATTCACCGGGAGGCTGAGTGGTGGTGATCTCTGCTACTGAGATCCAGATCCAGATCCATGCTTTCAACATCAACATCAACAGAGCCTTTCCTGCTGTTTTGATTATGTTACTCACCCAAAACATCATCATGAGCTTGTTTAGATGAGACAGTTAAACAAAAAGTTTAAAAAAGATGGAGTTGTTGGAGTGACATAAGGGCAGAGGGTGTTATGACTGTTTCTTCCTTTTTTTTCTCAGAGAAGGCCAAACCATTTTCCTATAAACAGTTTTGTTGCATGACAGGATATACATGGATGCCTACTGGGATATTGTGGACAGAACTGTCACTCAATGGAGGACGAAAACGTAAATTAAGCCTCGGCAGAAATTTTTGACAATGTAATAATCTTCTAGATTCAGAAATGTCATCTTGGGTTTTAACTGCAGTTAATGTGAATTCCAGTGTAAACTTCAAACCTGTTATTTCTCAGTGTAACCTTTCAACCTCACAGCTACAACATGAAATATACAGTTGACTATGGGGAGATCTAATAAGACATGAAGTCTAGTGTGGCCAAAGCCTCCAAAGCCAGTTTCATATCCTTTACACTGTTCATAAACACAAGCGTCCAATCACACATGCCGTAAAAAGAGATGGATTCGATCCATGTTTATGTGCCCACAGAGACAGTTAAGCCAGCACCCTGTCAGCACCTCTCAATGGATGTCTTCAAGACATTTTTATATAAATTGAGCCTTAATAAATGAAGTGGGGCTGTTTGGATTTCCCAGTGCGAGCGTGACTGGTGTGGAGCAGATGTTATTGTAAACTCTGCACCAGGCAGACAGCTTCCACCGGCAGGCATGTAAAAGGAGTCTGTTTGCTTTTACTCAGAAGTTACCAAGTCAGTGAAGGTTGTTTAAAACAGTAATGAATGTAACCATTAAAATTCATTTCTACAAACAGTCTGTATCCTGGTTAAAGGTGTAGCCAAGGAAACTGTCAACAGACATCTTGAGAATTCCTTTGGAAATCTCAGACTTTGGTTTGATTTATTAAATTAAATCAGAATAGGTAGATGGATAGGTAGGTAGATAGAAGTATGTTAACCAACTTACAATGAAGCAAAAACAACTTCCAAAGTTCAGAGAATGATGACTATCAAAAACAACGAGTCAAAAGGATCTGATCATTCCCAGGTCCACAAATACTCCTGACTTGTCTACACAGGAGACATTCAGTTTGGTAATCTTGAAAGGAGGAAACAATCTTATAAGTACAGTAAAATAACACTCCTGAAGTTGTTTGAGTAGCATTGTGTAACATAAATTACTGAACTCAATGGTTGCCTCTTTCATTCACTGGTGATAACGCAGTGACATCTTAGATTGGAGAAAATGTGGGAAAGGTGTGGGGAAGGAGTCCAAAGAAAATAGATATCATACTTGCCGAGGAACATTGGCTCCCTCTTCATTTCCTCATTTAATTCAAACAGCTTTCAAAGTGATATAACATATTCTGTGATGTATAAAGATAGGTTTACATTAAATGACTAAGGTTATTAAGTTTAACTTTTGTTGTGCATTCAAACCTCAGGTTTTCTAACTTTTGTAGAGCCTAATTCTTTAGAGACATTTCTACCTCCCTCCACTAACTAACTAACTAACTAACTAACTAACTAACTAACTAACTAACTAACAGTTTCCACCAGTTTGGTATCTTACATGAAAAGCCCATTTTAGACAGGGGTATTTAAGTTAGGCTGCATTTTATTCCTACTGATGAAACTTTTCATTGCATATTTTACTTGACGCACATCATGCACATTTTGAACAACTTCATGGAAAAAAAATTTATTGAAAACAACCAATTGCAATATGCATTCTGTGATAAGTGTGTATTTACTGTGACAATGATGTAACCAAGGTCACAGCATAATAAGTACTCTTTTCATTTAAAACAGATGTAAGGAGCCCAAAGTTTGACATCTATCCTTTCAACTACAGAAAAAGACCAATCTAAGAGGTGCATTGGGTTCCCATCTTGATACGCAGGGAATAATATGGACTCTCTATTTTCACTGACAGCCTACAGTCTGTCACACCAGGACAAAGCTCCTTTCACCTCACTCAATTAAACAAAACAGCCCATAAAACATGTAAAACAATTGGCCATATGCTGGTAGAGATATTTGCGATGGATTCTGATTTAGTAAATCCAAAGATAAGAAGAAAAATATGTCACAAAATTAACAGCAACATACTTTGCCATGTTGAGTTTGTTCTAAAACCAGTGTGAAGAACTTTGGTTTGGTGTTTTTTTTACAGCCACTGTGGACACAGGGGGACCTCCTCCTCTCTTTCCTGATTCTGTCCTGTACTTCTGAAGGCAGTGCTTTCTAACAAAGAATATCATATGAATACTGTGTTACTGTTTCACACTGTTTCATGTTCAGTGTGTTTTAAAGGAAAAACCCTCAAGGATTCACCAATGCAAACCTTTGCTGTTGTGACCTTGCACTGCAGACTGTTCTTGTTGTCAAGGTCATATACCTGTTTTAGTTATAGACATTATCGTACTCTTTGTTTTTCTGTATCACTCAGATCCTAACAGATAGCACAGCAGCTCTAAATCAGACACACAGGTGGAAGTTTTTTCATGCTTCTAAAAACCTTACGTGTCATTAGCACACTTTGCTATAAAGCAGGTCACTGCTGCTCTGCTAGCCCAGGTTTGCAGTCCATAACTCTGTAACGCTACCTTCAATCACTGCCTTGAGTTCCTAAGACGGGTTGTTAAAACACCTAATTTTCTCTTGTTGAAAAGCTGCATGGAAGTTGTGTGCTTGCTACAGCTTCATTTAAACACACATAATCCTGCTCCTGTAAAGACACTAAGTGACCAAGAACAGCTGCTCTGGAGATTTTCCCCAGGAGAGACTAAATATTGTGACTTGTTCTGTAGTTTCCCACCAGTAAAAAGATCCAATAATCTTTCAGATGTTATATAGCATATGATATATAAGATTCTGAATGCATTTAAGAATAAAACTCTAAATAAAAATGTTGTGAGTCAGTAGAAAACAACTCGAAACAAAAAATCATTAAGCTGAGCAGGAATTATCTTGCAGCAGTAAAGGGTGATATTTTAAGAAGACATTTTTATGAACACTGTTGATCTGATTGACACAAACCTGAAAAGATGTCAAAAACTGTCTGCCAAATGCTTTCAAGTGTTGCTGCACTGCAAAGCAAGTTCACAGCCTCCCTTTGTGGCTTGAGTTGGTACCAGAGGATATTTCCTAGATAACCCTGAAGCTCACAGCTGGTTAATCCAACAAACCAATCAGCTCTATTATTGTCAGTGTTCTGACCCAAGCAGCTCTGTGGTGGTTTCATTTCTCTGACCTTTATTGTTTTGACTATTTAGATTAGATTAGATAGAACTGTATTGATCCTTTTGAGAAGTTTCCCTGGGGGGAATAACTCTCTTGTAATCATTGTGCATCATGCATTGGTTAGAGGGGAAAACAAAAAAGAAGGATCATTCAAATGAGGCAACTCAAAACATGCTGTTGGCATTTCTGTGGAAATTGGGAGAGGATGTTGTACTACCAGTAGACCTGTCAGAACCACAACTGTTTGTGATGCCAAGACCCTTCGGCAATTCTGCTATTCTGGGAAGAAGGACAAGTAAAGCGCTTATAAACAACAAGTTGTGAAGCTGTCTGAGAGGGATGTTGGAGTGATGTGACAAAGAAAGTGTCTTTAAAACACCTTTGACCTATATCACTCCTATGATATATTGTATAACCTGGAGCCTGTTTGCATTTAGCATCACCACACAACAAAACAACAGGTGCATTTTTAAAATGTCCACAAAATCTGCATGAGTTGCAGCTTTCCCATCATTAAAATAAAGTCTGTCTAACACTGAAACAAAAACCTCAGATGTAGGCACTGATAGAGAGTAGACCTGACATTTGTGAGCATTCACTAATCTTCTTTGAAAATAGAACAGAAATAATCAAGTTTCTGTATATACTAGAGAAAGTCCCATAACATACACGTGGTACCTTCAATACTCATTTGTCCTTGTCCCTGTTGTAACCTATGATCTTGTCAAAAGAAAAAACTTATCAAGTTAATGCATCTAATGGCACATTCCTCCCACATAATATTCTTGGCAAGTGGGTTTTAGCTCTGGGAACAATACAGAGAACTGTTAAATATTGCCTTAACGCGTTACAGTGATGTACCTAAAATAGACACTTGGACAGGAAAGTAAGTCACTGCTTAGCTGAGGCTCTGTCCAACAAATTGTTTTCTGTAATGTTTTCCCAAAATGATTTTCTACTTCCATTTAATCAGAATGTGCTCTCTCTGCATAAGCCAGAGTTGTTATCGTAATTCTCCTCCGAAGTGAAAGAATGTGGTTAATAAGAAACAGACAAGGCTGCAAAAATAAAGTATAAGTTCAAGGATAAAAACCTATTGTTTTCCTTGTATGGTATACATGCTGGAAGCTGCGAATGCTATTTAAAGATGAGCGACAAGAGAAAAGAGGTTGACTGAGGAAAGACTCACACCAGGTCTCTGATGTGCTTGTGACTCCTTTTATGTGACTTAATATAGAAACTTCATTTTATCCCACTTTGAATTGCAAACTCCAATAATATGACGATCTTCACATTTAAGTCAGACTCATTTTGGTCTAATCTTAGAGATCGTAGGTCATAATTCATGATTTCTTTGAAAGTGTTAGCTCATTGCAAAGCTATAAATACACGAATCATTTAGGATCAATTGTATGATTGATGTGCTGACATATAGACAACTAGATTTTATTTGTCAGTGTATGCCATGGGACATAACTTTCCAAAATAAAACCACAACTGGAGGTACAAAATTTGTGATTAATTAAAATGAATTTTGTTTAATCTGATATAATCCTCCATTTACATCTGTCAATCTAAAGCAAATACAGATCAAATCAAAAACAGCTAAGGGTTGAAATAAGTCGACTCTATCTGTTAAATGTCTTTATGTCTCACCATTTACATAAAGTTCTTAAAAACATTAACGGGTCCACATTAAAAAGTCTCATGAAAGAAAATTAGAAAGCATGTTGTCGGTGCAGGCACAGGAATGTGGAGTGTCTGCATACCTTCTTTTCTGGCAAATCATTTCATGCCAATACATGGTATATATTGTTATGTCTTCAAGGTATGTGTCTTGTGAAGAATGGAAACAGCTACAACCCGTCCAATGATGATTTTTCTATTTACTTGAAGGTTGCTCCAACTTTGAGGCTGACCCAGGGTCAGAGGCAGCATTTGAGTCTTTAATAGTCTTACCTTGGCCGAGTGTGCTCGTCCTTCCGATCATGGACCTGAGTGTAAAAAGCAAACTACTGTTTTTTCTTTGCTGTAATAATCCACACACACTTGGATCTTCTCTGCGGAGCTCTGCGGTACTTCCACGGTTTTACCCTGTCTCATAGTGGCGCAGTCCTGATCCCGGTGCTCCTCATGACCGGAGACGCTGTCATAGTTGCAGCGCTGACCGCACAGCAGATCAGATCCTCACTGCTGTCAGAGGAGAGGAGCCGTGCTGTGCCGTGCGTCCTGCTGCAGGACAGGTGAGGGTCGAGTCAAGCTTCACAGCAAGATTATGTGTGTCCGCGCGCGCCTGAGTACGTGTCAAGAGGCTGTGATGTCCAACATCCCAAATCAAACTGGTGTTGATTTTGTATTTCAATGATCCCAGTACCTGCTACATGATTTTATAAATTCATCAAATCGGGGGGGAAAAAACTCTTCAGAACTGAGGCAAGCCAGCCCACATGTGATGATACACATCCAGAGAATAAACTTATTAGCCACGCCTACAACTCTCTGACGTCACACGATTGCATGTTTTCTATGAAGATGTCAGTAGTCTGCATCCAGAGGAGTGAAGCCCATACAGTCTATGGTGCAGCCTCAGTTCCTCCAACTCAGTGATAATCGTGGTCAGTGTTTACTGTTTGTAGGCCACCTAGTTCCCTTGCACGGCTGGACTGATTTATGTAACTCTCTGGTGCAAAATTATTGTCCCAAACCATGATTAGACACTTTGCTGCCCACTCAGTTTTTTGTACACAATATTAACTTTATTTTCTATGAATATTTCTCTACCTAGTCTTGTATTTTTCACTTGATTGGATGGAGACTAGCGTCGTTTTTGACAGAAGGACATAGAGATTTGCACATACAATATGTGTCAATTCAAGACCCCTCTTTTGATTGCATTTTAAAGTGATATTATGGCGTAAAATTAATTTAGTTGGACTCCCCTTGAGAGATGAATGTTGCCAACCTCATGCTTCTCTAGTTATACCAACTTAAGTAACAACCGCAGATAGCAATACACAGCAGTCTGAGGAGCTATAGACAAACCTCAACCAAAACGCCACTCTCTAGCCACAAATAATGCTCAGAACAGCACCTAACTTCATCAACAGTATGTATAGGGTCCCAGCTATATTACTAGCCACCAAACAACTTTTTAGCTTTACCTAATTTCTTAAGCAAAGAGACTAAACACAACTCACCTACTCTCTTCCAGCAGCTGCTTGTTTGTAGCGAGACCTCCTGCCAGTCCATTACGGACTACAGTGGAGTGACACAGCTCAAGGAAGAACATTTATGATCAATTCTTCTTGGAAATGCAATCAGACCGAGACGCTAAGGCAGAAGAACTACAACGTCTGTTGTGCAAAATGATTAATATGATGATTATTACTTCATGGAAAAGATGAAAAATGATCATAAATCTCTCAAGGGGGTGTCTAACTTGGTGTTACAGTGTGTTTGACCCATAATTAATTTTACGCCGAAATATCCCTTTAACTTTGCAATACACCCACACATGCATAGTAGATAACTGCAACCAGTAGACATACAATAAACACAATCCTACAGAAATGTACTTTGCCTTTTATTTTTCTATTCTGGCTTGTTCAGGATAAACTTGTTAGTGCTTCTTCTGGGTTGAAAAAAATGGTCATTTAAAAGCCCTCATACACTGTCCATTAAACTAATCAGCCACTGCTCCACCTTGTGGGGATATTTAAGAGCTCAAGTAACAACTGATGGATTGTTGGGACATGACAAAGTAATTAGAACTAATTAAGTGTAAAACCAGCACTAGGCAAATGTTTTTTTTTTCAGTCCACATGAGTTTATTTAACAAATTAGCAAGCTGAAGACAAGTGTGAACAGATGAACAGCAGTCTAATCCTCAGTGCTTGTAGGAAAAAGAAAAACATCCATACCTGTGAATACCTGTATAATAATTGAAGACAGAAAAGGGAGATTATGTGTGACCTCAGCACCTTTTGAAGTCTCCCAAATATTATTCTTTTATTTGATAATCTGTCTCTAAAACAGCAAACTGTGCACAGTGAGTGAAAAGCACTCTAGCTTCAGTGATACTGTTCTCTCCAGCAAGTGCTGGTGTTCAACCTTCAGCGCTGTGTGACTTATCAAGATTGGCCGAGACTCAAATAAAACTCAACTCTAGCGTTTTAAACCCCTGTCCTGATTGTGGCTCTGCAGTCAGGAACAAATCTCCCCTCCCCACTGCATCCCCAGCAGCCCCCAAGCCAAAAACACAAGATTAAAACCCACAGCTCCTTCTATGGGTAGTGATGGCTGGCTGATCACTGCTGGAGCCTGACCCCGCCACCCTCTGCCGCCCAGGGTCCACTCTCAGCTAGAGCGACTGTCTTATGGTTGGGGGGTGGAGGCCTGGCAGGGGCAGCGGGCCAGGAGACAGCAGCTCAGAAGAGCACTGAGGAGTGTCCTTGAATGCATCTCTTCAGCCACACATTTATTCATGACTAACCTGCTCAGTGAGCTGTGTCTGCTCCATGAGAAGAACCAGCTGTCACTCTTACAAGGAAGAAACAGATTCTTGTAAAAAAAAAAATCATGAAACAGAAAGACAAAACTTTCCCAAAACATACTGGAGACCTTTCAACCTTCAAACTATACAGCACCATGCTGGATCATATCACAATCAGTCAAGAGCAACAGAGTCATTTAGATCCTCTGTTTAAACCTTAAAGCTCTTAACAAGTAACATCATCTCCTTTTTAACACCCATTTTTACACTGCTTTGATTCAAGCACTGCACTTTGACATCGTCTTTCCATATGCGGACGCTTCATGCGGACGCTAAAGCAAAAAATGTCAAATCAAAGAGGTAAAGCAATTCGATTCATGTCAGTTATGAAGCAGAGATTACAATCTTAATGAGTAAAATCATATCAAATTTACCCCGAATCTTATATACGCACACACGAAATAGAGCTTTAACGCAAGGTGGTGCAGAGGTTTGTGATGTCACCTCACAACAAAAGGTTCGATTCCTAACTGGGGCCTCCATTTCGGAGTTTGCACGGTCTTCCCATGTAGATGCGGGTCCTCTGTGAGCCTGAATGGGATAAGCAGTATAGAAATGGATGGATGAATGAATGGATGGATGAATGGTTGATTTCGGATTGGATGTTTTAGTCTTATGCTTTTTTTTTTTTTCATATTCACAGTATAACAGTAAACATGGACTGATCAGGCCACAAATTAAGCTTGACCCATATATTAATGCTTTCAGAGTGTTCATTTAGATACAGGATACTTCTGTATTAAAAACATTTATTGCATAAAGGTTCAATTTAAATCGCACACACTATATCTATTGATTTTTATTCATTTGAACATGAATCCTCTTCTCTTTTTGGTATATTGAGAGTTAGGTAATGTGTCAAAAGTCATCCCTGGGCACTGTTTTTCTCAGTTTGAACTCATGTCGATTGAAAGTGTTAGAGAACCAGAAAAGGCTTATCTAAGATGACTACCCTAAATTACCATAAAAGGTATTGAGGCTTAGCTAACCCTCATCATATGGTAGCTATAACAGTGTCAGGCTTAGTGAATTCTTGCGAATTCTTGTGAATTCTTTCCTGGTACTTCAGAGAAAAATGCTGGTGGGGGTGTAAGATGTTGTTTTTTTCCAGGATTGAGAAAGACTTTTTCTTTCAGTGGATAGTTGCAGTTGTTTTTCATTTGTTTATCTTTTTGAAATTCTGTTCATCCACAGTTGTGTTTATTAATAGATTAGTTGTTGTGTAACTCCTGTGGAGGAAACACACCCACACACATTCATGGTAGACAAAACCAGGGCCAGAAAATGTCTGGGTGTTCAAAATCAGGACAATAATCCAAGTGATTTAGAATCCTGGTCACACTCAAAATATTGTTATCCATTGAGAAACTTAGATTTAAGGTGAATAGAAATACACTATTTCAGTGTGTGTGTTTGTATTCCAGTTTTATATTTGGTTTCCTTTTTGAGAACTTCCACAGCCACAGACAGAACATCCACACATCGGTTGATCAGATCTGGCTGCAGACACCCTCGACCTCTGCTCTCCAAGAAACCGTTTCTGAGGTGTATCATCAGAGACGCCTCAGCCCCCCACATGTCTGCTCTCAGCATGGAGTCTCATTCTCAGCCTGCCTGACCCACACACAGTCCACCCTGAGCAGCCGCTAAGAAAACGAAAGCTGTCTGCCCCAAACTATCCCACACCCATGTTTCTGTAGCTGAGAACAGGCTATATTTATGTAACACTAATACACAACAAATGTTATTGTTTCACTAAGGGAACAAAGTGAACAGGTTTAGAGAATTGTATTTGTTTATATCATTTACAAAGACCCAACCACAAGATCATTTGAGGTTCAGTCCTATCTTCTCTTAATCCACCATGAGCAAAGCACTTTTGCAGCATTGAGGAAGTTCTAGTGGAAAACTTCCTTTTAACAGACAGAAACCTTCAACAGGACCAGACTCAGCCATCTGCTTTGACCATGTTGGGAAGAGGGATAAACTGAGATCCAGACGGATAGAGACAAGCAGAGACAATCAGCAGCTACAACAACAACAGCTTTTACAGATTCATGGTTACAGAAGAAATAACTATGGTAAAAGCATGGCTGAATCTCAACCTCCTTCCTAAACCCAATTCAAGAAATTTGCCCTTAAAGACTTGTTGCACCTGGAAAGTGTGCATGAGGCTGCAAGGGCTAAAACTGATATACCTTTAATGACATATTGCTTTGTGACTTTGAACAACATCATGTTGTTTTACATAGTGGCATTAAGTTAGTTTTGCAAGTTTTAACTTCACCAACAGTCTCCATCACTCTGAAACCACAAAGCACAAACAGAAAATAAATCATTTTATCCACCTCCTCTCGGTAGTCCATCTGATGTTGATGTTTTTAAGTTAGAACAGACTTTGTTTTTACTTTGCATAAATAATACTGAAAAAGGTTCATGAAAAGCAAAGTAATTTGTTTGGACATTAAGAATCCGCCTGTGGGTATTATTTGCACAAACTGCAAATAAATGATAACAGACTGATTTCTTATGGTAGTTAAAGCTCAGGTAAGGAGTTTTTCACTTGTTTTAAAAATGCCTGAAACTGCTGCAGTAAGGTAGGTGTCAGATTAAGTGATTAAATGTTAGCTGCCAAAAAGTCTTTCTGTACACTTTCTGCAGCAAAATGAACAATTAGAGGCAACAGTTTGTCCACAAGGGAAGCCAAAATGAACACAAACCCAAAGCTCCTAAAAAGATCTGTAAAGTCAACAAGTAGCAGTCTTAATCAGTACGTTCACATGCAGTTAAAAAAGTCAATTTATTGCATTAGTTTTGCTAAATGTCACTCTGACTCAGTCGGACTAACATAC